CCCAAACTAATCCCATAAGTGAAAAATTTTAGTTGTTTTAGTCCGCCGGATGACTAAAACATCAAAAAAAAAAATCACTTATGGGATTAATTTGCGACATACTCCACTTACGGGATTAAAATGATAAGCGGTCCAGTTACGGAACTTAAAAAAAAAACAGTTTACTCTTTTTATTATTATTTTAGTTCTTTTCATAATAAATGGTGCATATATATATCTAATAAAAATTATTAGTTCAAAATATATTTAACAGTTGTAAATCAATTCAATTAACTTTATAACATATAATATAATATGTTACGTAAGATCAACTTAAATCTCATTTATTGTTCTCTCTCATCTTTAAACTTTTAACATTTTTTATAAAATTAATTAATATTTTTATTTATTTATTTGTATTATATAAATTTTTAGGAAAAAGTGCATATTTATTTATTTATTTTTGGATGACATGGTGAAATAAAATGTGTGATAGAGATTAAATATATTTAATTTTATTTTTTATTTTAGAAATATTATAAGATATTTAAAACATATCAAAAAGAAAATATTACATAATATTTAGTACATAAAATTTTATTTAAGTTATAATTTAAATCATAACACCAATTTAAAATAAAAACCAAACAATCCCAAAATCCCCAACTAGCTTTGTAATGACAAAATTAAATACATAAACAAATAGTAAACAAATCATTTCACATAATTTATTGCTATAAATAATACTCCAATTGTCATAAATAAATCTGTATAACAAATTAGGTATATGCAACTCATCAAATCCAATCATTATTGAAGCTTGTTAACTAAACTAAATGGTCAATTGAATACAAACAAGCTTATTGCAATCATTGAGCAACTTCAAATAATGTTTCTTTTTATGAATTTGGAAAAAATTTAGTTTGGATTTGGTATGAAAATAATGCTTGATGGAATATTTCGTGAGAGAAAAAAAAAATGCAGAGTCCAAATAATAAAATTTAGAAAAATATTTTGCTAAAGAAACATATTCGTGTGTATTGTAAAATGCAAGCGTGTGTTCTTTTTGCAAAAATGATAATATAATTCTTATGTCTCGTTGAAAGATTGTTATTTTTTATTTTTATTTATTCCAAAACAAGATTACCATTTTTAAATTTAATAATTGTACTGCATATTTAGCATAATAAATATCATTTTAATTTAAAATATATTACACAAATGTCATTATTTTTATATTACTCAATACTAATAGGGATATCTTTGTCTTTTTTATTCCAACTCAATATAATATTAATATTCAAACATCTACGTATAAAAAGTAAACGACAACCTTTTTTAATAGGACGGAGGAAATATATATTTTTTTAAAAATTAATATATTATGTATATTTATTATTTTTATATTATTTACAAATTTTTCTATACCTCTCGTAATATAAAAATATACCTTCATACAATTTCACAAAAATAAACAGATAACTTTTTATCATTTTTCTGAATCTAATTGACTAATTCTAATAATAATAATAAAGCTAATTTATTAGGTTGAGTTGTATGAGATATGATACACCTAAGTAATTCAAATTATTTATTAAGAAATATAATGAATGGTATCAATCAATCGATCAATCGTATTATTTCTAATTAGGATTAGAGCCGGTAATGGATCGATTCGTGTCGGGTTTGTGTCGGGTTGACTACTTTAAACGGGTTAAATTACTCAATCATAACCCGACCCGTTTATTATCACGTCGTGTTTAGGTTGACTTCTATTGACTCGTATACATAATTAAGTCTAATTTATTGATTCAAATTAAATAATTTTTTTGTATACATAATTAAGTCTAATTTTTTGGTTCAAATTAAATATTTTTTTGTTTTTGTTGGGTTAGTTTTTATTGATTTGAGCGTAAATTAGGTTGAATTATTTAAAATTGAACTTAATTTAAATTAATCTATAAAAAAATTATTAAATTTTGATTATTTTTATATATGTAATAAATATATTAATCAATATTAATATATTATAATCGAGTTGTTGAGAGTCTCAACCCTAACCCGATCCGTTTATTATCATGTCGGGTTCGTGTCAACCTGTATACATAATCGGGTTGAAAATTTTGACTCAAATCTAATTATTTCGTATCGAGATGTCGTGTCGAAATATCGTATCGGGTCAGTTTTTGTCGGCTCTAATTAGGATGAAATATATATATGAATATTATTATTGTTGTTGTTGTGGTTGACTAATAATTGCGGGTAATACGTGCACTTATTAATTTAATTTTTTAGTTAATTACATTCCACATGTATCTTTATTATTGTGCTACAGGATCACAACTATAATAAAAAAAAAAAAAAAAAATTAAAAATAGAGGGCGGCTATCATTTGTATTTCAAATACAAATTAATATTATTTAATTTGTATGACTTTTGATCTTTTTATTGTTATTTTATTATATAAACTATTAAATCAAAATATTATTTAAATTAAATATTAAATAAAAAATTCAATTTTAAATTAAAACCAAACAAACTAAGTATTTTAAATAAAAAAAAAATTACTTGATATTATTCATTTTTTAAAGTTACTATGTATAATTAACAAAATTATAGTAATAATTTTCATATTAGGTAGGAAGAATCATGATAGTAATATAAAATTAATATCATCTGCGTCCAATTTTAAAGTATACATATACTTTTACTCAAAGTTTTAAAAATAAATAATATTTTAATTATAATAAATTGCTGAATTAGCATAAAAGTAAATTTTTTTAATATTTTTTTGTATAAAAGTAATAATATTATAATAAAATAAAAATATTTATAAAAAAATAGTATATTTTATAACCAAAATATAGATATTTACAATTTGTGAGTGAACATACGAAATATATTACTATATTATATTATTGAACTTTTGTAAGTTGATAAAATATGTATGTATGACATTGTATATTGTGTATAATTATGTATATATTATATAATTTTTTTAATAGTATTCAACAATAATTATGTCACTAGAATAAAGTTAGTTGAGCACGCTCAGGAATTCCAAAATACTATCCTTTCAATACAATAGTTTTATTTACCATTTTTGTCTATTCTAAAACAATAGTCTTATTTTCATAAATAATCATATCATCATAAAACTACCCCAACTTTTTTATTTTTATTATACAATTATCACTACTTTTTACACTAATACACTCACAAGGACAAAAAAGTCTTTTATCCATACTTTTTACTCACTACCAATATAATATTAATATTCCTTAAATCTCGGGCGCAACCCAATTAAAACTATATCTATGGAACAGAGAGTATTATTTTAGCGTGATTTCTATGTCGGGCCTAGTTTACCCAGGGCATTAGGTTCGACCGTAGGTTTACCAAATGTACAATTTTGATAGCGGCTGCGGGTTTCAACATCATAAAAAAATAAAAATACTATTATTGGTCTGGTAGGCAGGGTGAGGGAACTCGTGATCATGGGTTATGGTCTTCAGATCTTACACATGGTTCGCATAGTGTGACTTGTGTTATTGTACCTAGTTTGTAAACTATTAGATTCGTCCCGAAAATTTACCGAAAACGGTCTCGAATAATAGTGACGGCGAATTCCCTAAACTGTGTATGCAATAATTAATTAAGGTCATCTTCAATCAAATGTTCTATTTTTTTTCTTCAAATTTTAATTTTGCTCAAACCCACTCTATTTTTTGTTACAAAGAGAATATCCATATACACTCCTTATTTTATAAAATTAAGAAACTTTTACTCATTGTTTACATATTAACTCCAATGCTATTTTTTTCTTCTTAATTATAATATAATATAATTTTATAATAGTTTTAGGTAATGTGCAATTAGTAATTAATTAAAAAATATATTAGTAAAAATAAATATGATTTAATAAAATAATTATAGATTAAAATTAAGATGCCTAAATAGTTTAATTAAAATTTAAAAATTATAAATTATGAATTTTAAAATGTGATTAAAATGTATAATTATATTTCTAAAGAATGAAAGACAAATTATATGAGAGGGACAAAAATATAAAAAGAATTGACAAATTAAGTGAGACAGATGATGTATTATTTAATATTTTAATAATAACATATATATTGTAATATAAATTTTTATATCTAATTTATAATTTATAAAATAATACAAAATATATAAAATAGTTAATATTAAAGACCAAAAAAATAATTAAAAAAAAAACACTCTCATCCATTTTTGGAGGAATCGCTAGGAACACCTTAGATTCCTAAAAAAAATGAAGGAAGAAATGGCGGAGTGATTTTGCTTCAAATATGGAGAATTTTTTCATTTTTACAATTGGTCGGAGATGCACTCAAGGGTGTGTTTGTTTTGGATTCGAGTAGAAAAAATTTTGAATTAAGCGTTGATATAATATTTTAAATGTAAAATAAAATTTTAAGATAATTTAACAAAATAAATATTTAATTTTATTTTTTTTTTAAAAAAAAAAATTAATAATAAATTTTTAAAAGAATCCCCGAATAAACGCACCTAAATGGGCAGGGGTAAGAGTAGCTGCAGGGGATGGAGAAAGAGATGAGCTATATAATGATGGAGGGAGGCCCTCTTCTGGGTTGGAAAGCCCATCTGCATAGTTGAGCCCTATTAGTAGTACTATGATTTATTATAATAATATCTATAGATAATTAATTAATTGTCACAATCGACGGTTTGGATTTTGAGTTTGAATTGAAATAGTGATATAATGTAATGTAAATGTTTTAAATATAAAATTAATTTTTAATATAATATAAAAATAAAAAATAAACGTTTGATTCAATATGAAGAACATGAATAATGAGAATCTTTGAACAGTGAGAATTTCCAAAGTGCTCAAAGAAACCGAAGCCATATATATATATATCTTTATCGTCCAAAGAAAGCCCAGGCCCAAAATTGATTCAATGGCCCAAAATTGATTCAATCTCTCATCTCAATATCGATAACTATTTCTCCGTGAGCCCACATTTCTTTCCGTGAATCGTCTGGTAATGGCCCCCAAGGCGAAAGACAAGTCGAAGGCCGCTGCGTCGGCGGCGGCTACACCGGCGGTGGCAATCGAAGATCTATTCACATCGCTCAATCGCCATATCCAGCGGTCCGAATTTGATCAAGCTGTCAAAGTTTCAGATCAAGGTATGTGGAATTTAAGGACTTGTTGTTCGTTTAAGTTTGAAATGTGTTACTTTAATGTATTTCGATCGCTTATATTTGGAATAATTTCGTGTTGTTTGCTGGTCTTCAGTTCTTAAGACTGCCCCTGGAGATGAAGATGCGATTAGATGCAAAGTTGTAGCTTTGATTAAAAACGATAACATCGATGAAGCTTTGTCGGCAATTCAGGAGTTCTCGAAGAAATCATCCATTGATTTCAGCTTCTTTCGTGTAAGTTTTAGATTTTAGTTCTAAAAGGTTATCCTGTTTTGGTATTTCGGCTTTCCCATCCTTTGTGCAATGTGGACTACAATAGGGGGCAAGAAAATGGTGTTACCCATAATTGAACTGTTTATCACTTCTTGCTTTTTGGGCAGTGAAAATATATTATTAGATCTTTGAATTCCTAGCTTATATATAATGGATGGATAGGCTTGGGATTGAATGTGAATTCTGAAAGACATAACTAATAGAAGTTTAATGTTTAGGGTTTTGAGAACTATACCTCACTTTCTGTATGACACACTTCAAGAATGGTATTGAAATAAACATTTCCTATGGGGGTGTTGAGCCTCGATTAAATTTAAGTTTTTAGAGAGAACATACTTTCTTGCCTTTTGCTGTTATGTATTTAATTGTTGCTGTTGGGGAACATTTGTAATCCTTAATAGACAGTATTTAGATGCACTTCACCACAAGAGTTTTGATAACAAATGAGTTTTTGTTTGAGATTTGGGTTTATTGTCATAATTTTGCTCTGTAGAAGACAGGAAATATTCCTTTGTACCTTGTCAACTCTAGTCGTAATTTCTTTATTTGATTCTTTTGAAACCAATCGACAGTTGAGCACTTCTTCACGGCCCAAATTAGCTGACGAGATATTTCATTTTTTTTTCTTTGCAGAACTCTTTATTTAAGTTCATTTATTGTTGGTCTGAATTAGGCATAATCCCAACCGTTTTGTCTTTTTTCTGTTTCTTAACAGGCATACTGTTTGTATCGAAAAAACAAGTTAGATGAAGCATTGGAGTCCTTGAAAGGGAAAGAAGAGAACACTGCAAACATGTTACTGCAGTCGCAGATTTTGTATCGATTGGGAAAAATGGATGATTGCATTAGCATATATCAAAAACTTCAGAAGTCCAAGATAGAGACTTTAGAAATCAATTATGTTGCTGCCCTGGTTTCTGCTGGGAGGGCTTCAGAAGTGCAACGGGTAATGGATTCTTTCAGAGTTAAACCAACCAGCAGTTTTGAGCTGGCATATAATGTTGCGTGCTCATTGATCGAAAGACAAATGTTTAAAGATGCAGAGCAACTATTGCTGTCGGCGCGAAGGTAATGTGTGATTTAAGAAACTTATAATTGTCAGTTTTGATTTGGATCCATTATCCTTTGCTCTTATGTATCATTTTTGAAGAAACCACATAAGTTGAGGATCTCACACACAATTAAGATTTTCTGTCGAAACTTTTGCTTGAACCTGGGATTTTACTTTTATCTCTTTTCCACAGAATTGGTCAAGAGACACTAATGGAAGAAAATTTAGCTGATGATGACATCGAAATTGAATTGGCCCCTATAGTTGTGCAGTTAGCTTATGTTCAGAAGGTAACTATGTTTCTACAGTTTCATTTATGTTTCTCATACTGCTTTGGAGACAAAGAAATAATTGGATTTTATAATTTCTACAGATCCTTGGCAACCATGAAGAAGCCTTTGTACAGTACACCAATATTATCAAGAAATCTCTTGCCGATGAATCATCCCTTGCCGTGTCAATATGCAACCTCATTGCATTAAAGGGACCCAAGGATGTGTCTGATGGCTTAAGAAAACTTGATAAACTTATAGAGAAAGGTGAAGGACCTTCCACCTTCCAGCTTTCCGGGGTTCTCAACCTGAAACTCTCACAGAAGCAAAAGGAAGCCATATATGTTAACCGTTTGCTATTGCTTCTTCACTCTAATAAGTTAGATCAGGTAATAATTTTGAGATCGTGCTTCCCTTTTCTGCTTTTCATACATTACTTTCTTGTATAAAAATTTATTAAGTCAGAGTTTTGAGTACTCCTTGAGACTAAAGTATGCTAGTAGGCAGCATCAAGTGTGACTATTTCTTGATCTTGGATGCAATGTGTTTGGTATAAAGGAAGAAAGGCGATGAACTGAAATTCCCATTTTTGTTGTTGAAAAATGTCAAATTTAAACTACCTTGTCAGTTAGTTCGACATTCTTGTTTAGTTAACAAAAGTTTCTTTGGTTTGATTTACAATTGTCTGCCTTTAAAGAGAATGCATAGCTCGTTTCTATTAATAGTCTTAATACACAGCTAAATGGTAATTGAATTGCAGGCCAGAGAACTTGGGTCTGCACTTCCGGGTATGTTTCCAAACAGTATTCTACCGGTGCTCCTACTAGCTGCTGTTCATGTAAGGGAGAACAAAGCCAACAAAGCCGAAGAACTCTTACTGCAGTATGCAAGCAAGTTCCCTGAAAACTCTAAGGTCATCTTCCTCGCAAGGGCTCAAGTTGCTGCAGCTGCAGGCCACGCACAAGTAGCAGCCGACTCACTGCTAAAAATTCCAGAAATTCAACATAAGCCCGCAACTGTCGCCACTGTTGTCTCCCTCAAAGAGCGCGCCGGGGACATAGATGGTGCTAGCTCCGTGTTTGATTCAGCAATACAATGGTGGTCCCATGCCATGACCGAAGACAACAAGCTCAATATCATCATGCAAGAGGCTGCTGCATTTAAGCTCCGCCATGGAAAGAAGGATGAGGCTGCTCGTCTTTACGAAAACCTTGTGAAAAGCCATGGAAGCATCGAGGCTTTGGTAGGGCTAATTCAGACCACTGCTCATACAAATGTTGAAAAAGCTGAATCTTACGAAAAACAGCTCAAGCCGTTGCCCGGACTGAAAGGAATCAATATAGAGAGCCTTGAAAAGACATCTGGCGCAAAGCAAATTGAGAATGTGAGCATACCCGAAATGTATGAACCGAAGAACAAGGAGAAAACAAAGAAGAAGAGAAAGAGAAAGCCAAGGTATCCAAAAGGGTTCGATCCAGCTAATCCAGGTCCTCCTCCCGATCCAGAAAGATGGCTACCAAAGCGAGAAAGATCCAGCTACAGGCCTAAGAGAAAGGATAAAAGAGCTGCTCAAATCCGGGGTTCTCAGGGAGCAGTTGCGAAAGAGTCGGCTGACAGTGGCAATACTTCAAAATCGAACCAAGCGACGAGCTCCAAAGGAAATGTTCAGAACACAAGCACAACACAAACCAAGGGTTCATCTAAATCCAGGAAGAAATCTCGAAACTGATGTTGAAAGGTTAGCTGAAGTACACATTACATATCTTACTTGCGATTGATGAGAGTATTCGCATTCGCATTCGCGGGACCTTAGGTACGTGCAATCTTTGGTCTTTTCTGGATTTATAAGTTAACTGAAATTATAGTATTTACTAATGTTTTGTGTAACAAAAAATTGTGGGACACAGTAGCTCGATTCTGCTGCTTTTCTTGTTAGACATGATCATGAGTTGTTTTATTTATACCTTGCGGCAAAACTATTTGATGGTATGAAATGCACTTGTCATTATGGTTGGTGATTTTGTGAGTTTTGAGTCCTATCCTATGAGGCTAGGCTGCATTAGTATTGATTGGTTTTAGAGCTAGCTGTTAATGAACTGTATAGCTTGAGCTTGGCTCATTAATGATAGATAATTCCAATTGACTTGTTTTTTCAGATAAAGAGCTCCTCCTCAAAAATTATTTTTTTATTAAAATACTGTTTGAGACTTTGGCTTGGGTGGGTCATTAACAATTCGAATTTTACTTGTTTTTTGAGATAGAAAGCTGATTCTCAAAAATTAATTTTTTTTGTAAGCTTGTAAATTGCATATTAATTTTATATGAATGTTATTTTGTCGAATCAACTTATAATGCCTAATATTTTTTTAATGTATTATATTAGTTATAAGATAAGATAATGTAAGATTTATTTTTATAGATTATATAAAATTATTTATTTTTTCTAAAATATCCCTGAAAAAATTAATATTAAGATAGCATTAATAAAAAATAGGCTAAATTGCAGTACTTCTAAAGCCTAAAAAATAATATAAAATTTTTTAGAATTAATATTATTTAGCTTTATTTAATTTTACTTAAAAGGACTAATAACTTTTAATTATGTTACTAAATAATTGACATTTTTATTTTGAGTAAAAATAAAACAAATATTTTATATTTATATATAGATTACTTGTTATATTATACTCCCTCCACAAACTAATATCCTACTTTTCTATTTAAAAAAATCCAACAACTATTGTCCTATTTTCTTTTTTAAACACAAATTTTATATTTTTACACTTCGTTCATTTATTACTTTTTATCTCTACCATACAATTAAGGAGACAAATTTGTCGATTCATAACAAAAAGACAATCACCTAAAAAACCGTACAAAATATACTTTAGGACAATAGAAATTGAACGAGGAGTAAAATACTTTCGAATAAGATACAAAATAATGTCAGTAATTTATGCATAAGATTCCCTAAGCTGGGGCTTAAAGCCACCGAGTTCGAATCACCACCTTAATTATAAACGCATTGCTCAACCAATAGGTTGCTGAACTAAATACTGCTTAAACTGACCGAGAGCAACCACTGGTAATTAATCCACAGAAGCATCAATGCTCTTGTATCAAAACCAATTCAAAATAAAATAACTGCAGCATCAACAATAGCAATAATAATATTCATAATTTCACCTTATCACCAACAAAAACATTATCCCCTTAAAGGGAAAAATAACATCATCGTTTGAGTTTCAATCCCTCAAATTAAATTATTACCATCATCATTCCGATTAACCTCAGGGTTTTAGCCTTTCGATAAAATCCGCAAAAACTAATGATTAGAGATTTTTCATCGCCATCTATGAAAGGGAAGGATAAAAACAAGAATAATATGGGGGGCAAAGCTTACTTACTTAAGCCCCGCCAGATCCATATTTCTTACCGAAAACAATCAGCTGAAGCTTGTCGTACCCGGCCAGCACACCAGCACCTGCTATGGCACGAAGAATATTGGCACCAGCACCCTTGAACAAAGATTTAGCACCCTCGTTTTTCAGGATTTGAGAAAAAGCATCGAACGAGCTCTTGTACTTCACTGCTTCCCCAGATGTCATCATCATTCTTCTACGAACTGTGTCAATTGGGTACGAGGCGAGCCCGGCCCCGTTGGTGATGAGCCAACCGAGGGCAAAGCTAGCAAAGAAGCTATCCTGAAAAATTAAACGAAAACCCGTATGTTTTAGAACAAGATTTTAATAAATATTGTTAACTAAGGGAAATAAAATATGAAATGAAGTTATAGGCATTGGTGTGTACCTGCAAGGATCCGGTTAGGACCACAGGCTTCAAGGAATCGTACATTCCAAAGTACAAGCCACGGTAGACAATAATACCAACGCATGAGATGTTGAACCCACGGTAGAGTCCAGCAATGCCATCGGATTTCAGTGTCTTTCTGTATACATCAATGAGACCATTGAATTGCCTCTCACCGCCCTTTTTGGCAGCCTTGGCATCATTTGCGAGACGGGTACGAGCATAATCCAAGGAGTAGACAAATAGAAGTGAGGAAGCACCAGCAGCACCACCTGATGCAAGATTTCCTGCAAACCATTTCCAGTAGCCATCACGGTCTTTCTTGAAGTTGAAGAGCCTCTTGAAGTAATCCTTGAATGCAAAGTTCAAGGCCTGCAAGTACATAACAAGATTTTTTAATAAGGTAATAATGTGCTTGTTAGTTGGAGAAACTAAATATTGATTTTTTTTAATTCATTACTGCCTTCTTCAATTCAAAGTTTTACCAAGTCTATTGATCACTTGAATTAAACTTGTCACATCAATGTTTTTGTGAAGAAAACTAAGTCACAGGTTCGGAAAACAAACCTGAGTGGGGAAGTAGCGGATGACATTGGCAGTGTTTCCTCTCCACAAGGAGACAAACCCTTCCTCCTTAATAGTTCTCCCGAAGCAGTCTCCAATTCCCTTGTAAGGTTCAGAAAGCCTGCCAGTTTTAATCATTTCATCCTGATTTTGGATCAAAAGCTTGACTCGCTCAATGGGGGCAGCAGCTGTTTTTGACACAGCAGCTGAAACTCCACCCATAAGAAAGTCAATAGCAAATCCAGCAAGGCCTTTCTCTGTAGGAGCAGAGACGAACACAGGAGAAGCATTTGCAGAGATCAATGAAAGATCTTGACTAGCCTTGCAAGTCCCTGGATACTGTAATGCTGCATTTGTGTAATTTCCATAGGCAAATCTCCTCTGATACACTGACGGCCTGTGGAAGCTACCCTGAGGGAGGCTAGAGCTAAGATGCAGCTGGCTAGCAACCTTCTGAGCAATAGTTGGGAAATCTTGCTGATCCGCCATGCTATACTAAAACAATGTTTCCTGAGGAATGTGAAATGAAATAGGAGTGGTCAGATCAATAAATTCAAGGTTTAAAGTAACATGAACATTTAAGTAATTAAGATGTATGAAGAATAAGAAAATATAAAATATCAGTACATTGAATGGTGTTGATACACAAATAACTGGACATGTTCGATCTCAATAATTTCCATACTGTTGAAGAAAACATTCTCAAAAAAATTCACAAATACTAGGAGAGAATTCGATGATCATCATACAATGAACTATATGCGTAGCACAGACGCCACATCATCCAAAAAATATATGTGATTTGATTAGATGCTACTTTGTTAATCAGTACACTTGCTTTTCAGACTTTCCAAGTCAAAATTCGAATCACCTTTTTTCCGCTACTTATCCAGTCAAATTAAGAAAAATCGCAAAACAAACAATTTTATTCTTCACTGTGAATTCTTATTAACCAACAACAAAATGATAATAAAAAACTTCAAGTATGGTGTCTAACAAAAAATCGAAACTACAATAATTCACAGTATCAAACTACCCGCGCGTCGCAAGCAACAGATCGGTCGAGGTAAAAAAGATTAAAATCTACAGACAAAGAGCGCGATAACCACACATCAGGTAGATGAGAATTAAAAGAAAAAACGATCTAGCGAACAAAGATAGCAAGATAAACGTCTAACACACAGGCGACATATTATCATCACAATTTAACATCACATACATCAGATCTACTAGATTCACAAGTCAAGAAATATTTTTCAACACACAAAAACACAGATCTAAACGTATACATCAGACACAACTCACTACCTCACATAACCTGCAAAGTTTGATCTTCCACACAAGCAGATCACAGATCTAAACATCAACAAACGCAGCAACCACGAAATGCAATAAATCAAGCAGCAAAACATCGATGATAATGACATGGCCACATCAACAAAATCCATTCGAGATGATAAAAATCACAACTGAAAAACTAGCGTTTAGAAGAAAAAAAAAAGAGTAGTTTCACTAGTAGAGATAGATCCGTCAAGGATCTTACCTGCACTGGACTCGCCTCGAGATTCTGGAGGGAGACCGAAGAACAAGAGATTGGCCGAATCGTGGGGGGAGAAAACTGCGAGAGGCTGCTTCGACGAAGTTGGAGTGCTATTTATATAGTCGTTGCCCTACTCTGACCTTTTTTTTATAATTTTTTTATTTCCTTTTCTAACAAACAAGACTTTTACTGGGGAAAAAAAACACGAGTTTTCAAAGAAGGTGTGTGAACAGTAAATTAATTTGTTCAAATCAATTATGTCCAAACGAAAAGAATCTTCTAGAAATCATTTCAGAAAGTGCTCTCGTGAAAGCCCAGAATGAAAGAAATGGGCCTTCTCTTGGTGGGCTTTTATTAATAAAAAATTTTCTTACCGTTTGTGTTCTAAATATTAGTTGGCTTTTTAAAATTATTTAATATGAATATTTTTAATGAGATTTTTTAAAATAAAATAAAATAAAATAAATTTAAAATAATACTAAGAGTACTTGTTTGGTGAATTTTTTCCAAAATACACTATTAATTCAATTCTTCATTCTAAAAAATATAAAATTCAATCTCCTTACTATTTCCTAATTTAGTAATTCTACTACTTATTTAATATAATAAATACTTTTCAAACTTACAATTTATTATACAAATGCCACCACCTATATTACACAATACTAATAAAATTATTTTTGTCTTTGTACTATAATATAATATAAATACTAATATTAAAAAACTTACGTGTAAAAAACAAATGTTAAGACGGAGGGAGTATTAACAATCAATTTTATATTTAAAACATTACATCCTATAATTATTTTATTCAAAATTTTTACTATTCAAATCCAACTTAAAATTCAAAATTTCAAACAAACACAACATAAAAATTAACTTATATTCATTGTACATAAATATATTATTACTATGAATCCATCGAAACATGTCGTTCGAACATATTTATTGTGCAGGAGTTTGAGAATTTTAGGCCACAAACACAAATAACGTGTAAATTGGCAGAAATGCCACTAACATATTGTTTTTTAGGGAAAGAGTGGAGGGGTAAAAAAGGAAAGTAAAAAATTCAAAATTCAAGTACAAATTAGGGTCGGCCAGTAGACGCTCTCCCCAACCTGTGAACATATTTTTCGTTGGAGAAGGAGAGTCGTGAATAAAGGGCTTCTTCTTCTCTCTCGTATTCAAAATCAGGGAATAAATAAGGATCCACGACCACTTGCTTCTGCAATTTTGATCCATCGCTCACGTATTGAATCGGTTGCGCCTTGGTGAAGGATCGCTGAAAGCCTCCCCTCCTTGTCTGATCTTGGGAATCACGCGGTTTGTTGCTTTTCTCTTTGTCTCTGTGTGTTCTGTGTTCTCTCTCGACGTGGTTGTGCTATTTTTTTCGGTGTGCTCTGCCTCTGGATCTGTAGTCTTTGGATTATTCGGATGTGATTTTCGAATTCAATGTTAGGGATGTGCCTGATGAGTTTTGCTGTTTGATTATTGGTTGTTCGTGTTGGTATTAAATTATAATTCAAAAATTGCTATGCTTTTCGTTAACCGAGAGGGAAATTTTTGGCTATTGTTAGGGTTGTTTGTTTTATGATCCCGACGGTTGTGTTGCTTGGGGAAATAGGCGATGCTGTGCCTTGGTATCTTTTTGTTGTGCTTTTTCTCCTTGGATTATGGATGATGCGCTATTGCTATTATGGATCTTTCCTGTCGTTTTATTTTTTCAATATTGCTTTGAGAACCGTAAGAACCTCATTTCATAACGTCATAGTATCGATGGATTTGTTTGGTTGTTTGGTTGTGGATTCAATTTCGGGATAACAAGTTTCTTGTTTTCGTTTTGTATGATCTTATATCTAATTCAAATTGTTATCGTCTGGTAATTTTTGAATCATTCCACTCTTCATTTTGCAACCAGGACTGCCTTTTTCATAAATCTTTTAGTCCTATCACATATGGACATTTCTATGAAAACTGGTTCTTAGCTCTTTTATGTTTGGTTTGCATGGAAGCACAAACACAGGCACACACATACACACGGAGTTTTATTATATTCCTGGCATGATTGTATAATATATCCATGAATTCTGGAAACTGTGAATTATATTTCCTGGTCATGCTTTCCTATTTTGTATTTGCACGATCTTATGAATATTGACACCATCCTTTTTATTATTGAAGTTCAGCCGAAGAAGCTTCAAGATGGACCACAATGATATGGGATGCCAAACTCCTCCAGAAGCCCCCATCTTGTGCATCAACAACTGTGGCTTCTTCGGCAGTCCTTCAAACATGAACATGTGCTCCAAGTGTTACAAGGATGCAATGTTGAAGCAACAACAAGCCAAGCTTGCTGCATCTTCAATCGAAACCATTGTCAACGGATCATCATCGAGCTGCAGTGAGAATGAATCTGCAGTTGCAGCAAATGGGCAAACTGAAGCAGTTGAAGCAAAGGAACTTGACGTGCAACCAATTAACTCTTCAAACCCTACAGAGATCGTTGAGCCCAAGAAAAAAGAGGGCCCTAACAGATGCAGTAGCTGCAAGAAAAGGGTTGGCCTAACTGGATTCAAATGCCGATGTGGTAACCTCTTTTGTGGAACGCATCGTTATTCTGATAAACATGACTGCCCCTTTGATTACCACACTGCAGCCCAGGAAGCTATAGCAAAAGCCAATCCAGTGGTGAAGGCGGAGAAGCTTAACAAAATCTAGAGAAAGAGGCGAAAAGAGAAGCACTTTGAATCATTTTGGGGGCTCATTGTAAGTTTACTTGCTGCTTATTTCACGTATCTTGTAACGCTTTTGAAGCTTTGCAGCTAGAAAACTATTACCTGAAGAATTCTTTTCGCGCCTTAATGATTCGAATTGTGTTGGCTTTGGTTTGTGTGTGTTTTGTGTGCCAATTTAGGTGGGAAGAATGTTGTGATTGGGAGTGGTGGTACCTTGTAAATTGTGTGGTTATTCTATTTGCCTTGATGCAGTTTGTTTCTTCTTGTGCTTGTTCCAAAAATTGAGATATGTTACTTGAAAAGTTAATTCAATGAAAATTGAAATAATTTGGTCTTAAATTGGAACTTTCATGTTATTAGAACTACAGAAGTTGAAGAAAAATGTCTTCTTGTTAACATCAAGTTCGAATTTGGCATTTTAGGAAATTAGGAATTGCTTGTTTAGGTAGTTTTTGTGTGATTTATGTCTTCAAAGACAGTTTAAATATGTGTTTGAATATGACATATTTTAATGAACTTTTGTTCTGTTTCTTAGTTTGGGTTTATTATTATTATTATTTATATATATACATTGAGATTCATTAAAAATATACACTATTCTGTATTTTGAAAAATATATCATTGAACTCTTTTAAGGGAAAATAATTTGCAGTGAACGAAAGGTTGATGTAGTGCAAAGGGCATAAATTAACATTCATGTTTCCAGTTTGTGTGCTGTGCTTTACATAAATGAATTAATTTTTTTTAATTTTAACATATAATTAGATGTAATGTTTGTCATGGTTAAAGTATTTCATTTTTCGGATATACTATTTTAAATATGATTTATAATTTTTTGTCTTTATTTTAAAATAATATCATTTTAATCATATGATATATATATTTAATTATAATATGACGTCATATCTACATTTAACAGCGATACTAAATTTGATTTAATATTATTTCTGAAACACGATCAAGCATAAATTTATATTTTAAAAATGTTTGCTCGTTTAAATTATGCAGTCAAATATGGCTGTTTATATGTACTGCAAATTTTAACACTCATTAGAAAACACAAAACCGATAGTGACATGTCAATTACGGTGTCTGAATTGATTAAATTAATAAAAATTAGTTTTGCCTATGTCGAATAGCAGGGGCGGATGCACTTTGAGGCTATGCGGTGATAACGGTCCACCAAAAGAATTATTGATATTTTATTTTTATTATTTCAATTATTTTTTTTAATAAAAAATATTACAATTAATTATATAATTATATTCTACAGAATTGTCAGAAGTAAAATTAATAATTTTTAAATTATTATTAGATAACTTTATTACTGATTTTCAATGTGATGAAATATCTTGAGATTCGAAGAATTTAAATGAACTTTTTATAAAACTTATTGAGACAAGAAAAATAGCAACTGCAAACCTGAAAAGATAATTTTCAATTATAACTATCATCTTAGAAAAATATGTGTTTACGAAAGTTAATATAAATGCTAGTGTAAGCCGATATTAAAATATAAAATCTCGTCGTGAACACTTGTAATTATTATTTTTATTTATTTATTTTAATTCAATTATATAATTTATCGATCCACAAAATTCAAAATTTTAGATCCTACTGTGGATACCACATGAATAAGAGGCATACGTATATCAATTTATAATATACGTATTATTGCAAACAACTGTATTGCAATTTGTATAGAAATAGAAGAAATATGCCATCATGTTTGGAAAACTATTTTTAGAAATGTTTATATTATTTTTTCTTATATCTTATTTTTATTTACATATTTAAATATGTTACTGCAGAGCAAAAAACAGAAAGAAAGGTGTGTTCAAATTTTTTTATTTTTTATATAAATAGTAATTTCGATTAATAAGTTACGAAAGGAAATAATATATTCTTAATAATTGTAAAGCATGAATATAAATATATACTTAGGGTGTGTTTGTTTGGGGGTTTAGATTTTGAGTTGGGATTTGAATAGTAAAAATTTTGAATTTGAATAGTTGTATGATATGATATAAATAGGGTTTGATGTGATGTTTTGAATGTAAAATTGATTTTTAGTATAATATAAAAAATGAAAAATAGGTGTTTGATTTGATGTTTTTGGGGGGAAAAAATTGGATGAATAGTGGAAATCTATCAAAATCCTTCAAACAAACACACCCTTAAATGAAGAGAACCAAACAAACGCGTCCCTAAGGCGGTCGATTATATATTTATAAACATTTTGCATGAAGACGAAAGCACCCTCCTTATCAAACCCGAATGCACGGTCACGTCCACGTCAGCCGCCGCGTTTCACCCACCACTCACGAGAAGGGCATTTTCGTCATTTCACAGCGCGCCGCCTCTGCGTCCCTGCCTCACATGTCCATTTTTCTCGAACACCTACAAATACTACCTTCCTCCGAAAGCATAAACAGGGACCGCACTCGCAGTTGCAGGTGTAGATTCATTTTTATTATTTTTTTTTCAATTCACTTTTGATTTTCCGATCTCTCGAGGAGTTATCGGATCCGAAACTATGGCGAAAAATTCAAGGAAGGAAGAAACCGAGCTCAAGGTCTCGGGGAACTTACCGCTATGCACGCCGCCGCAGACGATTACCGCGCCTCCGCCGCAGATTCTCGCTTCTAGATTGCCGGAGAGTTCAGATCTGCCGGTTTCCGAGGCTTGCGACAGGAGCGCGGACTCTGGTGGTGGGCCGGAGACTCCCGATCTGGCGGTTCCGGTAGGAGGAAGGAAGAGGCCGAGGGAGGTTGCGCGGTGTGCCGGATCGAATTGCAGGAAACGGATCGGACTGATCGGATTTCGGTGCAGATGTGGAGAAGTGTTCTGCTCGGAGCATAGGTATTCGGATCGGCATAACTGCGGGTACGATTACAAGTCCGCTGGCCGGGAGGCGATCGCGAGGGAAAATCCGGTGGTGAGAGCGGCGAAGCTGCTCAAGGTTTGAATTCGATACAGTATTGAATTGAACGGACTCAAAAGTTTTAGGGGTTTATTATAATTATAGCTAATATGCGTTTTGGGGTCATTCCTATATTTAATTAAATTCGTCGGAAATTTGTTTTATGCTTCGACTCAATATTTGTGGAATTAGATCAGTGTTCAAAACGGCGCCGGATCGGGCGGTGGTTGATGTTTTGATTGATTATACTATACGACAAAATTTAAGAAAAATACTGTTTGGTTAGCTGAATTTTGATTTTTGAGTTCTATTTTGTGTTATTAATTTTTTGGTAATGACCTGTCAGATATTTACTATAAATATAATCGTAATCCCAGTGGGTGTAAATCGGTTTTAACGCTGAGCAAGTTGAGTAAGGCTCGAATTTATTTTAAAATAAAAATAAAATAAAATAAAATAAAGCGGAGAAAGGAATTCAATGAGTGATTTACATAGAATTTAATATGACAGGCCCAAGTATGGGTCATCTCAATAATCAAGTAGACAAACCTCAAGCATACATAATTAGGGTTCGTTTATTCAAGAGGCTTAGTGGAGTTTTTATATTTTAAAAATTATAAAATATTAGTAATATTTAACGGTACCTCCGTTCACAGTCAATTTATCCATTTGTATTTAGCGTCATTGATTTTAATATTAAAAATATAATGCGTCATTGATTTTAACATTAAAAATATTATTATATTTATATATATATTTTTTTTATAAATATCATTATATTAGTATTATAAGACACCAATAGAAATATTTTTTTTAAAAAAAATTAGTTCATCAATTTTTTTATAGAACATTAAATTAAATATTAGTTTTTTTTTTTTTTTTTTCAAAACTTCCAAATTTTCCAAAATTTCCTGTCTAAATAAACTGAGCCCGGTGTAGAAAAGTGTTATTGTTGTTTTTAATATAAATTTAGATAGTCTTTTTTTTTTTTTTTTTTTTTTTTTTTTTATAAATTATGTTGATAAAACTAAAAGAGAAAATAAATAAATAAAATTAAAAATATTTTACATCTCAAAATAGAAATAGCCTGATGAAGAAGACAATAACGATTTTAATTATTCAAATAAACATATGCTTATTAGTAATCAAGGGGGATAAAATAATACTCTAAATTACTCTACGAAAAATAAAAGTCCTTCTATTACCCTTTCTCAAAATACCAATTTCATCTTCCAACGGCTAGCTACGCTCCAACGGACTTTGTCTTGTCTCACATGGCCGATTCGTCTTCCCTCTCATACCCATAATTTCAAATCAGAGAGAGTTTCGAATTCCACCTAGTGGATCGAATTTCCATCGCATGTTCCAGAACCAATTTAATTCTGGATCGACATTACTATTTGCGCTTCAATCATGGAAGGATCAGCTGGCGAGCAAGAGTCCGCCTTCCGCTCCGCTTTGCCGCCTGCTGTTGTCTCTCTAACGCCGTTAACTTCCTCAGTTTCGCCTTCTCCGCGTCGCCTTTCGATTTGCTCCACGCGCTGCAACCAGCCGGTGAGAGCAAAGAGGCAGCTGGCTTGGGCGTCTCGTCAGGTAGGGATCATCGGAGCCGAGAAGGCTACCGCCGTTAAGAAGACAATTGAGCGACACATCTTGTTTACCGATCAAGAGGCGACGGCTTCGGAGATATTGACCCCCATCCAACGCGCTTTGATTGTCTCTGTGGTTGCGGCAGCGGCTATTAATTCAAAGAAGCATCAGCAGATTTCGAGCCTGCAGAATTCTGTTGAGATTAGGGTAAGTCGATTAATTTTTATGCGATGTTTATTCTCCGCTAATGAAATGGAAACTGTTTAAATTGATTTTTAGTTTTGAATTGGTAGAAAATGAACAATAGGGTTGTTCTGTATGCTCATTCCATTTGAATTATTGCTTCAAGCCTTCAAGAACATTGAAACAAAAAAATTGCAGAGAAGTTAAACTCAAGGCAACCAGATATTCGTCAGGAAAGTGTAGAAATCGTTGATATTGAACAAAAATAGTGTAATTCCAGCAAATTTTCTCTTTAAAACAGATCAATCGTTTCATGCAGTATGCATTTATTCTTGCATATTTAAATTGTATCCAGGATCAAGTACTTGAAAGCATGCAACAGAAGATAGACAGTTTGTTTCAGCAGGTAAGTAGTTTCAACAATCAGTCTCAAGATGCCAGTGCTGTTGATTTGTCAGCTCAAAAACCAGTGGATAGTAGGCAATGTGAGCCTTTTCATCATCACATATCCGTACCATCAGATCCTAATTTGGTATGAACTGCATCAAACTCATTTCCCTTGCATAAGAAATAGTTTGCACACAAAATTGAATCACAAATATTTTGTGCATTAGGGAAATACATCCATAGAAGGACCGAATAGAGGCAAGGTTTTTGTATATAGAGTACCAGCTGCCGATATGGTTGAAGCAGAGGAGCGCCACCTATCTTATTGGTCAGATTCTTCTCCCAGCATCTCATCTTCGATGGATAATCAGGTATAGATGTCGGATAATGATACACATTTTTTAGATTGGACTTCCAATGTCTTTGTCTATGATCTATATGGTTTAACATGCTTTGGAAGCCTATTGTCTTATATTTTTGTGCAGCAGCATTGTTTCTTTAACGTTGCTATTATTGAGCAAATCATGGGTTTTGTAAACACGTAGTAAAAAGTGGAAAGCATTTCCACACAAATAGTTAGAACTATGTTTTGCAGACAAAGATACAAACAGGAATACTCAATACTGCAGATTGTAGAGTGGCCATGGAAATATTGCTTATAACATGTTTCATTTAAATAACACCTTGATCTTGTTATGATCAAAGTAGTGGACATTAGTATATAATTATATTGAATAGTTTGGAGATTCTTTACGTTGTGGCCAAGTAAAATCACATTGGGCTTATCAAGGATCTCTTTAAGTATTCCAAAATCTCTGCATTATCAGAACTTGATTACTTGTGGAGGAATCTGTTGTGAGCAAATTCTGATCCCTTTGATCTTTGAATTTGCATATTTCTTGCAGTTTGACACTGGAGCAATGGACCATGATGCCACTATGCCAATGAAGAACAGCAAGCACAATGATGTTTCCATTAATCATTTGTCAGCTTTTATTCGGTCATCTGAAATATATGTTTCAAAGGTGCGAATCTTTCCCTCATTGTTCTAAGATAGCAGCATGGAATGGAATACAGTAATATGTTTCTGGTGCTTACCTCTAATTCGTCGCGCCCTCTCAGAGAATTGCAAAACTGGAAGACACCATTGGAAGGAAAAATGCAATAATCAACAAACTAAGGAGGGACATTGTTATTCTCGAACGAAAGGTAGGGAATTCTTTACACATTAACAACTCCCTCCCTTACCTTACATGATTGATCTATCAAAGCTTCTTCTATTCACAACTGCAGACTCTGTTCATCAGCCAAGTTAGTAAGGACTGAGGTAGTTGTAACTATAATATGTTGTAACTTTAGTCTGTTTCTTATTATTAATCAAAACATGTCTTGCCCACAGGTGATGAACTTGACACAAGTAGGCAAGCCGCAAAGCTCGGCTGCAAATTCAGATGTGAGGCAACTTCCTTACATGGCAGATAATGTCCTTTATGACATGGACAATACAACCAGCCCTTCTGATTCAGACAGCTCTCCTAGGAGCCAGATGCACCACCCCCTCAAAACTCACAGAAAAACTTCGACAGCAAGTCGTAAATGTGATCAGTTCAAGACCACCTCTGCCACAGGCCAGTGCCACAAACCCCTTGTGACAAGTCCTTTGAAAGAGAAGTCTATAAACAGGACTCCTAACTCAGTTCCTTCAATGAAACCAAGACGTTCTCCCGGGGAAGAAAACCGATCCAGGAAACTACCCTCGGCGCGATCCCGGGAAGGAACTGCACAGAAGAGATGGCTATGATGATGATAGTAAGTGGTAGTGTCAAGGGAATAGCAATGCAGATGGTATGTGCATTTCTTTCAACTATTGAAGCCATAGTATTTATTTGTCATGAAAATTTAGTACATTTGTGCTTGTATATTTTACTGTAAGTATTTTAATTTTGTCATTGATTATGGGACAAAACTAGCCTAGTATTTTTACTTAATTGGGCTTATTGGGCCAATCCAAATGGCGAAAATTAGGCCCATTTATTGATTGGTTGTCTACAGAGAGAATCTGGACCACATAATGTTGGCATAATCAACGGTTCAGATTTCTTTATAGGAATGTTAAATAATTAATAGACGGCTCGGATCGTGACAATATCTGATCCTCACCCTCCATTATCCCGCCAAAAACTGTTCATTCGATTTTCCCAAATCTTTTATGATAGAAACCCGACTTTTAATTTCACATCGAATTCAGCAGCCGTTCCTGCCGTATCGTACTCATAGATCCATGGGGCACGAAGCAAACAGCAGGGAAATCGACTGGCGGAAAAGCGCCTCGGAAGCAGCTGGCGACGAAAGCGGCGAGGAAATCTGCTTCGGCCACCGGCGGAGTCAAAAAGCCCCACAGGTTCCGTCCGGGGACCGTAGCGCTTCGCGAGATCCGGAAGTATCAGAAGAGCACTGAATTACTGATTAGAAAGCTACCGTTTCAGCGGCTTGTAAGAGAGATCGCTCAGGATTTCAAAACTGATCTACGGTTCCAGAGCTCCGCCGTGGCGGCGCTTCAGGAAGCGGCGGAGGCGTATCTCGTCAGTCTCTTTGAGGACACAAATTTGTGCGCCATTCATGCCAAGCGAGTTACAATTATGCCAAAGGATATTCAATTGGCTAGGAGGATTAGAGGTGAGAGGACGTAATCAATGTCATATGATGATCACGCTCTGTGATTGAACTTTTCTCAATGAAATTTGACCTGAAGTCATGATGATATTGGTTGATTTGTGCTGATGATTGGAAGTTGGATAGATAATTCCATTTCTCTGTTAGAAGATTGATTGATAGGATATTAGTCAAACAAATTGACAATTTCTGCATATTAATTTGGGAGATTAATAAATGGCATCAGAACCGAGTGTATATATCTTGTATTTGATTTGTCTCTTTTGAATTCAAATTCAACCAAGGCCAAAAAGCATGAGTCAATTTAATAATTCCTTGATTGTTGCAGAGATGCTATTGAAATTTTGAAATGTTACAGGGTGATTGAATTTAGCGTGTAGATTTTGAACAAACAGGTCTCAATTAATTACAAGATCATTCACTTTTAACATCTTTAGTATGATTTCAGCCTGGTTGATCGAATTAGGTGATTCAGTTTCATATCATTGACACCTTTTAGCAGACAAGATGTCAAAGTGCCATACCTGAATTTTGACAGCAGAATCTATTGTCTGTGTTTTTTATTGACTTTCCACTTATGGTGCTTCATTTGAATTCTCATTGATACAAGAACTTGTACACTAATGATGCTTATGGTGTTTCATTAGTGGTAATTATACAATTTTTTTATTAGAAGCTGACAGAACATTTCAAGAAGATTAGAGTCCAAAAACCAGAGATTAAGAGTGCACATGTTTTTGATATGATGTTCTTATTCACAAACTAGAAGCTCCTCCATTAATTATGCTATAACACTTGCAGAAAATGCTGATAAACTCGTAATTATACAGGTATGTCGCGGCAGCTGAATATTGCTTCCAAAATGAAAAATTCAAGTCACTGCCAGAAGGGAGGATTATCATGGTGCATAGTGGTGCGCATGTGGAGAACCTCGGCCTGTGCAACGGCGAGCTGCCCCTGCAGAGCCTCGACCTGCTGCTGCAAGGATGAAATGGCTCCCACGCAGCCGTACACCGGGTCTCTTACTCTAGCATTGGCTTCGTACACCATTGAGCTAACGGCGTCTCCTCTTTGATGCTCCGGCAACTCCTGAATCCATTGCCCTGTGGTTATCAATCAAGTATGGTGCAATGAACGCGAGATCTGTGATAAAAAAGATGCCATCACTTACCTGAAGCATCTTATTGACATTGCTGGCGCCGAAAACTTTGTGCACGCTGGCGAACTTGTGAGGCTCCTCCGGTGGGAAATATGGAGCAAACATGCAGGTTTGTGCGCATCTTCGGCGCAGAAGCTTACACCCGGCGCAGGGAGCGGCCGCCCCTGCCGCCGCCCCTCCTTGCTTCCTACCCTTGCTGTCCTTCATCATTTGCTGATCTATACTCAAATTTTGATACTAATTAAGCCTATATATATATATATATATGTATATATGATCTTCTTCAACTTGGGAGGGGTTTCATTTATCTACTGATTTTTGTTCTCATGTGATCTTATTCTGTGTCTGCAATGATTTCAGTTTGAATACGATGGCATCTTGGTTGAAGAATACAGTTGGGCAAGTGGGGAGGAGATTATGAAGCTTGGAGTTGGACTGGAGGACTGCTAAAATTCAATGGTATGTGTATATCTGTTTATAGTTCAGTTATGTTTTTTTTTTTTTTTTTTTTTATTTTGGTTTATTTAAATGTTTATTTTTAGATAATATTTAGATGCGTCACGTGTCTATGTGTAGTGATAATTAAAATTTATTCATATTTCAGTTTGACTAAAAGTAAAGTTCATCTTCTTTGTTAGATCTTGTCTCAAGATCTACCCACATATAAGACCTGCACTACTATTTACTCATACAATTATAAAATTGCAACTTATAGGCTAGGCTAGTCTACTACACAGAGTGTTCCCTTCCACTTGCTAAACCTTTTTATCATTCTATCTTATTTCTTGATTAAAACAATTGATAGTCTTCTCACTAGCGTAGCGAGAGATAACACTGTTAAATACTTCTCCCATTCACAAAAATTGTGGTTGTTCTGTTGGACATACAAAACTAATATTACCTCGTCCATAAAACTGGTAACATTTTTTTTTTTCACATAAATTTTTTAATGTTAGTAGTATTCTAAAATATATTTGCACGGTTATTTAGGTGATTTTTATGAATTGACAAATTTGCCCTTAATTATACGGTAGAGATGAAAAGTAATAAATGAATGAAGGTAAAAATGTAAAATTTGTGTTTAAAAAAAAAAAGGGAAATAGGACCATAGTTGTTGGACATTAGTTTGTTGACGGAGGGAGTATTATATTGGTATATAGTGAAAATGACAAAAATATCTTGATTAGATTGTTTGATATGAAAGTAATGACAGGTAAATAGTAAAATTACAAAATACCCTTATTAGATTGTGTGATATAAAAGTAATGTTATGAAAATAGTAAAATTACTAAATTAAGAAATAATATTTTTGTTTTGGGATGAACAAAAATAAAAAATGGTATTCTTATAGGACGAGGGGAGTAATAATATTTTATAAAGAATTTATAAAAATTTGATAAAAAAGTGATAGAATAATTTTAAAATATAGTGACAAATTGATTATTATTCGTTAAAATAATAATATATAAATTTAGTGAATAATAAATTTTTTGGCGGATAAAATTTTATAAATAAATTATATATAAATTTAATGAATGACAAAAATATAAATAAATAATAACATAAGTTTTGTGGACGGTGGAAGTATTAGTCAGAGTCATTTTCATCCAATTAATTGTGGATGTGTTTTTTCTGTTATTTGAATGTTTTCAAATATTTGAAAAATTTGTATTGAAAGTACATTTAAAGGGTGTGATTGTTTGGGGGGTTTGAATTTTGAATTGAAATTTGAATAGTAAAAATTTTGAATTTAAATAGTTGTATGATGTGATATAAATAGGTGTTGATGTGATGTTTTGAATGCAAAATTGATTTTTAGTATAATATAAAAAATAAAAAATAGGTGTTTTGATTTGATATTTTTGGGAAGAAAAATTGAATGAATAGTGTAAATCCAATCTAATTTCCCAAACAAACACACCCTTAATATTTTGTCTGTAAAACAGTTGCTATAAATGGATCATGGTCAGAGGCCCTAATTCTAACGGTTTCTGTAGTAATTACAAATCTTCATCAATTTAAATCACAAAATTTTGATGATTGAAAAAGGTGATTAATTAGGGTGTTTTTTAAATTGATCACTTTTTATATAATTATTGCACTAATTAATTAGGTATGTGTCTTAACAGAAAAGTCATCATTGCAAAACATGGGTCCATACGACAATTAAAATGAAGGGATTAAATAAGTTTAATTGGCGTCAGCTCCAACTAAAATATTACTCTACTGTTTGTATGATAAAGTAGCATCATCTTTTTATTTTTTTTATTTTTTTATCTATTTCATTCATTAGTTAGTGTATTGAAATATAACAAAAATACTAAGCATACAGGCAGGTGTATTTACTTGATTATGTTCCATAACCATAATTATTTAAGTGATTGAAATGATGAATAAGCAATTCTTAATTTTTTTTTTGACATAATATTTTAGATGATATAGTTTTAATAAATATTTAATTATTTTATTCTTAATTTTTCGTGTGAACAAATTTATAACATTTACATAGATAAAAGAAGAAAATACCTTAGAAACAAAAACATAATAAAAAATAAAAAATAAAAAATAAAAATAAAAATCTTGAAAACTTTTCAAATAAAAAAATAATAACAAAAGATTTTGGAATGTACGATAATTACTGAAGGTCGTGGTTTATACAATAAAAACAACCATCAGTTGTTTTAGTGGGACGGTCCATCTCAAATATTGTCTTAGCTCGACTGAAACTAACAACCGTTAGTTGGTTAAAGTATAGTAAAAAAATGTGAAATTGAAATCAGATTCTTTTGCTATTTGATAGGGTGTGTGTATATAAAGTAAAGTAAAAAAATGTGAAATTGAAATTTGAAGGATACTAATTGGGGTAATGCTTCACGAAAGGTTAGTATATATATATTTTTTAAAATAATAATTTTATTTTAAAACACAGGGGGACAATAGAATTTTAAAGGAATTGTCAAGAAATCTTACCAATAATTGAAATATCAAATAAAATAATGATAATGATAAGAAAAGAAGCCGGGAAAGTGGCGGTGGTCGGGAGAGGGAGAGGGAGAGGGAGTTGTACAAGTTACAGTTCAATTATTTGATTTGCCATTGTGGCACTCCTGCTGTCTTCTTGTTTTTATTTTTTATTTTATTTATTTTAATGTAAATACAGAATCTCACCACACTGCGTGAAGATCGATCGAGTTGGAATTAAAGAAAAACGAATAATAACAACATTTATAGTCAATTAAGTTTGATACATTCTGTTACATATATCGTCAGGTATTGGAAGTAATTTTACATTCTGATTATACCTGGTTATTCTGATAAATAGGAAGTAAAGTGTATGTAACACATGATAAATTCGTTTTACACATATTACATCTAGTTATTTCAAAGTTACGACAACAAATAAACAAGAAAATAAACTATAGCCTAACATCCTCTACGAATATGTGGGTAAACAAAACATCAGACAGACAACATTTCAAACATTCATTGCTTCATAAATATAAACTTACATAATAAACAAATGCATGTTGACACCGTCACACAAATTACAAGTGCGACATTATTGTTATCATAAAGATTTTTCCACAGGCAGGAAAATTTTGCAAACACAGATTGATGTGATGTGATGCAGTTGAAAGTGAAAGACAAATGGGATCTCACATAGTTATTATTTTGATAGGTAATTTAATCAAAGATTATGCAAATGCCAAAATGCTGATGTTGGAATATAAACGATTAATCGATAAGCGAGTGGAAAGATTTCCAATCAATATATACATATATGTATGAAGAATTATAGAAAACAGTAGCATAAGCAATATTGTCAAAATGGCAATTGTCAATCACAATCTACAAGAATCCAAAAAATTTGAATACTTGTATATGATGCCAAGGCTAAAATGAACTTGCATAGCCAGCTGGATTGATTCAGTTTAGCATACTGCAATTGTTAAGACTATTGTCATTTATATTCAACACGTACCTCAAGGGCCTCCTGGTGACATGGATAGATTGATATTCCTCAGGCCTCAAAAATGCTCATTCACTGTCTGGAAATGTTTACCTACTCGCGGACACTTCTTTCTGCTGTCTGTACATTCACTAGAAACTAGATGAAGCTGTAAGCAAATATTGTTCTTTTTAGGTATTTCTGTGATCGCCATCTGCTAAATAATACTATCAATTATTGTTAGCGCTGCTTAATGTTACATTGTCCTGAGAAATATAAGACATACTGATTTTCAAAGAAAAGGCTGTTAGGCATATGCAAGATCTACAACATTCAAGAATTAGATCAATAACCTCAGATACAGAACTTAAACTGCATGATCTACAAGCATTTCACGATAACCAAAATCTTAGTCTCAAACCTATCTTTTCTTTCAACTAAATATACTTTCCCAACACTTTGTAAGATTATTACAGCTTAATGTTGTGAAAATCAGGACATCTTGAATCACTAATTACAGAGGCAAACTCATGCTCTGATGTGTTACTTCTTATACATACCTAATTCATAAAATTCAGGAAAATTTTGAATAACATAAACCAAGATGCATCTTGGGTATCTACGCAAATAAAGAAATGATGCACGCACTAGGTTCAGTAAGGCCATCAGTAAAATTTGCAGTATCAAATGATGCAGCTCAGCAAATAAATCCATCCAGGACAATCACAAACAAAATAGCATAAAGGTCCTGCCATCTTGTGGTTATACAAGATTCATAATTATAAGGAAGCAATGCTGGTCCCTTTCTACCATACGAACCATACGCTGGAGAATCACAAGCCTGTGTATTGATTTCGGAATCACTGTATAACACCTCCCTTAAAAACCCACTAAAGTATCATATTTACAGCCACAGCACTGAAGTGGATAAATTTGCAAAACTAGGGCCAACCATTGACCAAAGAATGAGTATAAAGCTAGTAAACTTGCAGCTAAACAGACAGATTACACGGGATAGATTACTTGCTGACTGGGAAACATTTGGCTAAGCTTTTGAAGATCATCCGGTGGAATGAGATGAACTTTCTCCTATCCCCTCAATCAATTCTGTATCACAAAAAAAATAAATTAAGAATTAAAAATTGTCGGAAGGATAACAGTTAAAAAGTGAACTATAGAAGAAACTATAAATAGTAAGGATTGTGAGTACCCTCAACCACTAAAGAGACAACAGAGATCATGATGCGAAGTACTGCATCAGTTCAGCAAAGTTGCTCTCATCAAGTGTATTGTTGTCAAGAACAAAGTCGAAGTCGGTAGTATCTAACGAGCTCGTGCCATCAAATTGAAGGCTAAGTGAACTGTATCCCGGTATATCAGGAGGCAAACTACTAAGAGAAGAAGGAAACTGCGAATCCACTGGCCGAATTGCATCATGAGGAAATGTATCTACAATTTGTGTGAAACCTCCTCCGGCAATCGGCACATCCTTTTTAGGCAACACTGATAAATCAAGTCCTGAATCTTCCGGTGGTCTATACTGCATTCCATTGAAGAGCACCTCAGACTGCTGTCCTTGATGACTTGAACCAATAACAGCTGTTGGCTTATAACCATGATGCGTTGGTTCATACTGGAAGCCTGGAGTTTGAGATTGCTGAGGATGAGGGAAAATTGAAACCGCCGATTGAGGCTGCCATACATTATTTTGGGATATATGATGCAAAGCAGAACTTGAAGCTTTTTCATGGGCATTAGAAAGCGGGGGCCTATTATGTAATAGAGGATCTTGCGGAACGTGTATCATATGGGAACCATGGGGCACTGCAGCAGCAGCATTTTGTGACAATGGATAAGGCAAGTGTTCGGCATCAACAGGAGCTGAGTTCAATGGAGGAAAGGAGCATATAAGGTCAAAGTTAGGTTCTACTAAGCAAGGTTGTGCAGCATTGTCATGAAGCCTCATCGACGCAGTTTCTGTTTGGGCTTCATCAGCTACATAACCACCAATCGGCACAATTTCATCATTTATATCAATCAGCAAATTTCCAGTGTCTTCGTGAGGTTGCTCCTCAATAGATGCAACTGCATGTTTCTCAGTAGGGCTTGATTTCGCATGTTTCTTGTTCTTGTGGCACTTTCCCGAGCGCTTTTTGTCCTTAACTAGTTTTGGTGTATCGTAAACCAGAGGTGGAGATACTGTATCAGCAAATTGCTTTCTCCTGTCATCTTTAGATGAAACAGAACCCAAACCATTATCAATGTCATCAACATCATAATCACTGTCACTCTCAGCATGATTTCTCTTTTTACTTTTACGAGCTTTTGAAGGCGCCTCACTGATGCTAGACGAACCATTATCACTGCTCAGTTGCCGAATCAGCTCTTCCTCCCTGCTTAGAACACCTAACCATATCAAGCTTTCTTTAGCAGTCATTTTATCCTGTAAACATTTTGACTGCCGAATTAGTCTCCTTATCTTTGCAATATCAGGTGACATGTGCTTGATTACAGCAGTTAGAACTCCGACTTTCCACATCTTCTTCAGATCATGAGGCTTCTTATACACCGGTGCTTGACCTTTTAACAAACCCAAACCTGTCCACCAATCCTCATTCCCAGTCGGCCACCAGGGTGGCGGGATGCCCTTCTCCAGAGGATATTTCCGCTGAGGTGGATCACAATGTTGCATCAATGAGGACAGAAGCGATCCCAATGTAGCATCTTGCAAGTCTTGAAGAACACTCTGTGGATTCCCTTTGGTACCGCCCCTTTCACTTTCCTTCGAGAGGCATTCAGCCTCATACTTGGCAATCGCTGCAGGTCCATTTTTGTCGAACTTTACCTTCTCCTTCCACCAAGCTCTGATATTATCTGATGCACCACTGACTGGCTTACCCTTCTCGGGAATGATACCGTACACAAACCCTCGAGCCTTGCAAACTTCCATGAGCTTCAGCATGTACTTCAGAATCCCATCCTGTGCTCGAGCCATCTTCTTCCGACGTGCTTGATCGGAAGTAGACTTGGCTTTCTGCCTCTCAGAAGCTTGCTGTATTGCAGAGAGCTTCTCTCTTTCCTTGATCCTCTTGAGCTTCACCCTGTCCTTCCACATGCGCTTCTCTAATTCTTCAGCTTCAATTTCTTCGTCACTAACATCTTTTTCCTCTAAATTATCATCTCCTCTAATCTCACAAACGTCAATATCCGAACTGTTGGATTGGTTAAGATCAACAAAAATGATTATTACCAGAAAAGGTTGAAGAAACAAATTTGAAAATGACTAATCGGAATCAGGTTAAAAAATAAACACATTGATATGATTAATCACAAAAACACTAACAACCTCTTCCACGGAAACCTTGAATGTAAAACTACGAATGCTAATCAGAGTTTCATCACAGTTTTTGAATATCCTGGCGGGCGAAATCAAGTATACAACATTCTCGATGAATCGATAGACCAGACGCAAGTCATTATCATACCAATACTAGATTCATCATACAAGCTCGTAATCAATCCAACCCAACCATCCAATAGCACCAACGGAAGACGAGCGACAATAACATTTACCAACATAGGCAAGTAAATAACAAAAAATCGCTTCCATCCACAAAATAAAAAATAAAAATAAAAAAAGAAAGAAGAAGAAAAATGAAACGAACAAACCTGATATCAACGCCTACATCCTCCATCACAACCATGCCTAATAAACTTTCCACGACGTTCGAAAACCCTATCGAGAATCAGTAGGATCTTGCAATGACCGACCAAAAACCGAAAAGGCAAATAAAGGTACAGACCGAGCAGGAATATATTCCTCCACGCATGGATGCAACATTTCACCTTTATGAATTGCTGCACTGTATTAACAATAATCCATAGAGTGAAGGAACCATAGCCAAAGCAAGTTCATGCGATTCTAGTTGAAAAAATCAACAACTGCAGGATAATCACAGGAGAGGAGAGACTCGAGCGAGGTTCGGTGTATGGGGTCAAATCGCCGAAATCGAGGGGGCCTGAATGAACGAATGTGAGATTAGTCAGTGGGCGGCTATAAATAATAAATATATTTAAAAACTGTATATTTATAACATACTATATATTTGTAATAAGTGTAATAATACATGCATTTTTAAGAAATACTAATAATACATAAAAATAAATATATATAATATTTCAACTAATTAACTATTCAATAAATTCATTCCACCAAAAGAGGTATTATAATTTATTATAATTACTAAAATCGAATGCTATATTAGTTAACAATGACGCAGAAAGAGAAATTGACAGTGGTTCGAGTGGACGGTGTTATTACAATATAGCCCTCGAACAAAAACATGTCCGGATACAATGTATGTGCAGAAACATACTTCGTGACAAACCAATAACGTGAGCAGTAGTAACACCTTCTACCCCATCAATAAACTTAGTAATAATAAAATATTATTCAAATTTCTATTTAACATTATCCACACCACATATTGTTAGTCTTATTTTAAGTTGTTTGAACTAAAATCACGCAGCTATGCCTCTTTTAAAAATTCACAGTACACAAAATTGAAGGACCATGGTTGGATTAAAAATACATCAAATTAACAACAATAATCGTAATAATAATATATACTACTGCTGTGAATTTAACACGTGCCAAATTCTACTCACAGACAGTATGATACAAAACTAGAAACAATGCAAGTCGTGACGCCATGAATTCAAACCCGACAAATCTTATTTTGACATATATTATTATGGTAAAATACAGACATAAATTCTCCAAGAGTTTAGTCGTACCAAACATTTTTGACACGAAGCTAAAACCTCTTAACATTGACAAGAGCTCCACTGTTCTTCCCAGATTCAAGAATGGCATCCACAACGGCAACATCTCTTGCACCTTCTAGAAGACTAATCCGAGGATCCATCTCTAAGCTTCCATCTTTCTGTCGGAACACCAAAGTAAAATAAAGACTGAAAGTTAAAAAGAGTGTATAAATAAACTGAAAGAGTAAATTAAAAACTTCAAGCATGTAATATACACCTTGTCGGAGGCTTCTGAAATATTGTTGAGAAAAAATTTCAGCTCTTCAGTTACACCATTGAAAGGGTAGAAGGAAGACTTGGTCTGCCCGTCCGGTAAGAAAAGTTTAACCTGTGAAGTTATTACAGGCATTGGTCGATTTGGCTTGTCGTGTTAGGAATGTTGTTGGGAGTCAAAGGGAGTTTGCTTACCAAATTTCCATATTTTCCTTCTTCTTGTGTGACCTCGATTTGCAACGTCCCATTTAAGCCCACAAAGCGATAGAGCATCTCCAGGAGGAGATAAGAGAAATAGAACAGATTTAAATGTAATGTGGATGCAACATATGAAAATCAAATACAGTAATATCAAGTCTATATATAAATAACTATTCTGATACATATTCAAATCTTCGGAATATCAGGAAGAAGGCCACTAGTCTTGACTCTCAATGCACATAGCATGGATAGAATTGCTATCATAATTCGAGCTATAGAATGACTTTATACATGGGATAAGCATATAAATGGAAATCTCAATTCTCAATCAAGAAAAGATTACACATTGTACCTTAATTGTTTGTGCGGATGCAACCAGTACAAAGACTCCTGAACAACCATTCTCGAGTTGTCTTCCAGGCAGCAAGAGGAGCAAAAAATAAAAAATAAAAAATAAAACTTGTATGAAAGTTGATTCCATTTGTAGAAGAGACGAGATCAAATTTTAATAGAAACTCACATCACAGAAGACATGGTATCTGGTGGAGGCAGTGTTGTATCAACATGAGAAGTTGCGGCCGACACAGAAAGAACCTCACATCCTGCAATCTGATTTCACAAAATGTTGAAATCACAAAAAACTAAAACCTCAGATATAATATGTTACTTTTTAAACAATTGGGACTAGAACAAATTATTCATCGTAAAGAGTGTTGGAAGGAGGCTCACCATCCTCAATGCAGCCACGATATGAACACCCATGTCAAGAACGTAACCACCCTTAATAGAACAATAAAACCTCAACATTAGATTTCACGTATGCAATCCAACAAGTATAAACAGTGCCAAAAAGGGAAATTGACCAGTAACCCAATTCAATCCTTGAACAAGTTACTTCACTAAAATATCAGTTTTTTTTTTTTCTCCAGATATGAGGCACGTAGGAAATTATGCTCACCGTAAAGTCGTGTCTCCATTTACTTGAAGTGTACATATTTGGCCTATTCATTGGAACTTCCACAAGGATTTGAAAATTAATCAATTCTTTGATATCAGCTGCAAGCTTTGTGCACTGTTAGCAAAAGATAGTTATACGCATATTAACCATATTTGCTAAAGGAAAAAAAAAAAAAGACAATATATTGTAAATAACCATTTCAACAAGTATTTTTCCAATAATGAGATGAACTTTTGTATTCTTATACACATTAAAATTTTCAGAATGCCCAATTGCACGTGTGTAGGATTCATTCAGTTTCATAAATTGGAGACTGTAATTCATTTCACTACCCTACTATGTTAAATGACCACTCACCTCCATAAAAGCAGGTTCAAAACGATAGTTTTCAGCAACCGCCCAAATCGGTTTACAAGGTGAAGATGTGGTAAGAGAATTGTAGCTTGATAAAGCAGATTCCGCCTCATCAATGGCTGTAGAAATGGGAGAGATAACTCTGGGAACACCATGAAAAAAGATAATCTTGTACAATTCAAACTTAAGTTACTTACAACATGCTGCAGGTTTCTCTTCATGACCAGAATCATTAATGACGTGTACAAACATTCAAACCAAAAGGTTAGTAGAGATGATAATTTCAATCTAGATAGCTATCGGGGAACTCAGAAGTCAGAACAATGAAAGTTTACTGAAGAGAAAGATCTGTCAACTTGAAGGTATCAAGTGAAAAGTAAGCTCATTTCATCAGTTTTATGCTTTTAGTACCGAAAGGGTGTTGACATTAGACTACCTTGAAGAACATGCTTTCCCGCCTTAAGCATCTTCAATGACAAATCCACCTGCAACAAATCATTGATACCCAAATCATAATAGGCAAATACCACAGTAACTCTTTGAAAACATTAAAACTATATTCAAAATGAGACTTTCTCCTTGAAAAGCCATTGAACTCTCCAACATACAGCCACTCCTCCGCTAAACTTCCAAAAGATAATCAGACCAGCTCTTCAGTTCTGTTTTGCTTGGTCCACATTGACATTGGAGGTATATTGATATTTCCCAAAAAAACTAATGATGGAAAACTCGGCTAAAACATAGGAGTAACTTCGACATCAGTCATTTACATTCGTCCCATGGGTCCCATAAGAACATGATAAATACTAACCTGCCATTTCTTTGCTTGGTGATAGTGGATAGCTAGAATAAGAAGTAAGACTGAATTAAAATTTGAATCCAAGCCTATGTAGATACAGCTATTATGTTCTACAATGGCCATGTTTAGTTTGAATGATTGCGCGTGATAGATTATGATTCTTCACATAATCAATCCACATAAGATAATCGTCCAATAAGTAACATTTAACATAAGCCTGATACTAATTAACTAAATTGATGAGATTATTCATAGGGGGGAATCCACTAAAACAGAACGATGGGACAGTTCCATAGTGCTGCTATAGAATCTATTATCCATGTAGTACTGATAAGAGTGAAGCACTCAATATTAGAGACCGACTTGCCTGAAATTGGGGAGCAAGAACCACAAGCACTGCAACTATGGAATTATCTTGAATGATCTCATTGAGCCCCTCATCGCCCCATTTACACTCAACCTCTTGGAAAGACTTCTTCGCAATATCAGTTGCACCTCTGGCAGACTCCTGTAAACAAAATTAATTTGAGACGATTAGAGAATTCCGAGAGGAAGCATCTCAGATCATTCATCAAGGACAAGGTAAAACTCCTGGAATAAGGTAGTCCGAATATATATATTGGTGGTGGTTGGAGTTACTACCTCAGAACGACTCCAGATGGCTTTGAGAACGAAGAGATCGGAAATCTCGGACAATCTCGGAAGGTATTCATGACGGACGAAGATGCCGGCGCCGAGTATGGCTATCTGCTGCGGCGCCATTCGCGTCTAAATTGAGCTGCTGAAATTTCAATTCGTAGTGATGAAGAGAATGAACAAATGATAAATTTTGGATTGTGTTAACAATTAGTCTTCCGCAGCGACGGCTTGACGTTTCATTGCCAATTTTTCTTACGGCTTTCCACATCAACAGTGAATCCATCGTTTTCGTTGACAAAAAAGACCAAATTAATCACTACGAACTATTCAGTTGCTTATTTGCGTGGCGCGAGAATATCTCTCGCTGCAATCACTTCCAATTCCAAGCGGTTTATCGGCGGGGATTCTCCAGCACGCCGCCTTACTCACGTATCGACAGACATTGTATTTGTTTGATCGCTTTAGCAGTGTTCGCTTTAAAATTATATTTTTATTATTTTATTTTATTTTTGCTAATTTTGATTTTATTATTTATAAAATAACTTATTTTATATTATAATTTTGTAATTAATATTTATCATAAATTATTTACTTATTTAATATTTATTCAAATTTATAATTAATTAATTATGATAAAAATATTATAAATTATTTATATTAAATTTAAATTATTATAATATTTATAAATACAAAATAACATTAATTATTAGAAAATATATAACATTAAATAAAAGATAAACTTAGAAATATAATATACAAGAATAAACATACAATATTGTTTGAATTCTCGTCCAACTACCAAAATAAACTTAGAAATATACTATTGAATTAAATATGCAATATTTTACTCCTTCCGTCTCAAAATTATAGTTTGAGTTGTATTTGATATGAGATTTATTGTGGATAAAAGGTATGGATAAAAAGACTTTTTTGTTAGGTAAAAAGTAGTGGGTGAAAAAGTAAAACTAATTTCATATTTATGAAAATGAGACTATTATTTTTTTTAAGATAAACAAAAATAGTAAACAAGAACGGGACGGAGAGAGTATTTATTCAGGGCCTATTTACTTGGGTTTTCACGACTTTATGATTCTAATTTATTTTTTTTTTTCAAAAATATCAAATCAAACATTTATTATTTATTTATTATATTACATAAATATCTCATTTTATATTACATCAAATAACTATTTTAATTCAAATTTTTACTTATTCAAAATTAAAATTTTACACGTTTATAAATAGAATATTCTTTACCTTGAAAAATATAGGGTACCATAAGAAATGAGTTAACAAAAATAGAAAAATATACTATAGCTCCAGCAAAAATAAAATTATGGTTTGGAGATATCTTAAAAACATGAATATTTGCATGATTAAGGTCCCTTCTAACTGCTCATGACTGCACTCTAGAAGAGTACAAATTATACTAACCCATATTTATTTTAATCATAAATACTCCAATGCACGGTTATATACATCATTGGCAGAAGGGAATACACATAACTATTTATTTCTTTATTTATTAAATAAATAAAAAAAAGAAAGATCCTGGCACTAGGCTGGAAGATTACCAACCCCCCAAATTTTACAAACACTACATCAAACTCAATACTAGTGTGTGTGTGTGTGTGTTTAAGGTCATTGATGAATGCATGTTTGTATGTGCAATAAATATTTGCAAATAGTTACACTAGTTATACGTACCTGAGGTGTTTTTTGTTGGTGTGTACTCAAGAAGAACAAGAAAGCATACACACACCGGGCCGGCGAGCCCAAGCCGGAGGCAACTGGGCGTATCTCTCCATCCCCGGCTGCTCGTCGTATGGTTTTGACATAACCTTAAGCACCTGCCGCACCTCCTCAAAATTGCCTGCCTCCGCTGCATCAATGGCGTCTTGACATATGTAGTTCCTGAGGATGTACTTTGGATTCGTCGAATCCATCGATATTTTTCTGTCTTCATCAGATATGCCGCTTGCAGAAAGCTGTAACACAGAATAATATCATTACAATTATGTCTGTCTACTTAGAAGAAAGCAAAATTATAAGAAATTACTTTTACATTTATCTTTTATTTTACATGTATTAACCCAAATTATCGCCTACCTCTTCAATGTAGGATTGAATCCATTTAGTCCACGCTTCTTTGCGCTCATTACCAATGTCGAACAGAACTGCTTCGAGGGGATACAATAGCTCGTCTTTGTGAATGGCAAGATCGTCAGCTTTGACATTTGAAAGGAGGCGGAAGAAATTCGTGTAGTCGACTTTGTCAAGAGCCATGTTTTTTAGAAGCTCGTTGATCAACTCCTGGTTGTAGTTCATCAGCCCGAGCTTTCTGGTCATTATAGCCTGATACTCATCCATGAACTTTGTTGCATATCTAACAAGTGAAGGAAAAATGAAAAAAGAAGAGCAAATATTAAAGTATAAAACAGAACACATTCGGAAAAAAAAAAAAAAAAAAAAGCACTGGTGGAGGGATTTTCGAAGATACCTTTCCATTGCATAGTTTGCCTCCTTGTCACTAATCAACTGACCGGTAAATGTTGCAGCAAACTGTGCAATATTCCATAAGCCGATATCCGGTTGATTGGCAAAGCAATAGCGTCTGCGAGGAAGATCAGTGGTGTTTGGAGTGTAACTGGGATCGAAAGAGTCCAAGAAACCGAAAGGGCCATAGTCGATGGTGAGTCCCAGCACACTCATGTTATCTGTGTTCAACACTCCATGGGTAAAGCCGACGCCTTGCCATTTTGCAACAAGTGAAGCAGTAGTCTCCGCGACTTCCACAACCCAAGCTGGTAGTTATTACCATTGCAATCACAAGCAAGCAAATCATTTTGATAATTAGTGTTCCGAAGAAAAAGGTCCAACAATATAGATGTAAACACATTATAAACAGGAAATGTTATATTGAATCAAGAGTGTAGAAGAGGAGAAGTTGAGCAGTAGAAGTAGAAAACTTGTAGATGATGTATGTAATGATTAAGAACACTGCCACCATTACCGACTTCAATTCTCCTCAAACCAAGGATCACTTTTTGTTGGGCATTTCAAAACAAGAATTTCTTGAAAAGTCAAACAAAGTGTATTCCCTTACATGGTTACATGCACTTTACCAGCGAATCCATGAATTGTAGCAATGAAATGGTAGCACAGGTGAAGATGTTTGGGAAAATTATTATGAATTTTTAAATTGTGGATGATTATTGGTGCATATTATGCATATAAGCAGTTTGAAATATTTTGAACTGACCTGCATACTTGTTTGAGTTTAAATCCACAATCGAGTCATCTCCTTCACCTGTGAGGCAAGATGAACTGTCACCTGGGCTGAGATTTTGTAAATGGGGAAAATGATGCCTAATCGCATAGTCCGCCAAAGTGCGAACTATGCCACGATCATCATTCCCTCTTGCTGCGTGTAACTGGTAGGAACCAAAGCGAAGAAACGACGGAGCAACCCTGCAAACAATTGCACCAGGCTCATCCTTTGGATTGCCACTGCACGAATACAAATAACAGTGTTAAATTCAGAAACATCTAAAGCATTGCTAGTTTCAATCTAAAACTGCAACCATCAATTTGACAGAATTTTATTGGAAGCATGGCAGCAGACATACAACAAGACATTCTCATTTAGTTAGTTCTTCAGGATCAGAAATTGGCCATATGAATCATTATATCTTACGACAATTACGGTATCATTAACTGGAACTGCCTAGTGTCGTATAAATTTAGAATAGGCTAGAAAAGCTTACTCATAAAACATGTCACGAGTAACATATTTTCCAGTTGTCACTATACAAAGAGCACGTGTTGTCGGGATTCCTAAGCTGTGCATAGCCTCACTACAGAGGAATTCTCGAATGCTGCTACGTAAGACAGCAAGACCATCGGCAAACCGACTGTACGGAGTCTTTCCAGCCCCCTTGAGCTGCAACTCCCATCTCTCAGACTTTGAATTCAGAATTTCTCCGAGGGTAATCGCCCTACCATCTCCCAACTGGCCAGCCCACACCCCAAATTGATGTCCTCCATAACACTGTGCATAAGGCATCCTGTAAGAATTGGATGGAAATACAATTACAGGTTGTTCGAAGAGCAGCAAAATGCCCGAAACAAAATAGGGTTCAATGGAATAAACTCACTGTCCAACTAAAGGTAAAGCCCCAGAAAAGACCTGTGGGAAATCAGGCCGTTCAAATCTGATATCCAACAACAAATTAGAAACAGAACATGTTAATTTTGAAAGATCATTTCAGCAATAAAGCCATTAAAACAGCTTACTCATCTGGATCCAAGTCCAGTAACTCTGCAACTGAATCTGAATATGCAACGAGTTTAGGGTTATCGACCTCAGCCGTTGGAGATACTCTCGAATAGCAAGAACGAAAGACCTGCAAAGATAAATAAGAACACCGTTTGATCTCCATGTAGCAACTCAGTTTTTACAGTAGATACTTCAAAATCACTAATTGCCGATAAGAACACCCAACAAAGCACACAAAATCAAAACCTGTCGTGGAATTAAATCGGTTCTAGGATCACCAGGCAGCTCTCGAACGAACGAATGGTCCCATTTCAACTCTTCTAGCTTCAACTTAACCTTATCCCGACAAAAACTACCATCTTTGGAAACTCCATCAGCACCGTTACCATTGTTCAACCTTCGATTCTTCAAATCTTCAGCAATAGACCCAACTGAAGCCGCTGCCGCGGGAGAAAAGCCTCCGTCCATCGACACAAACGTGGAGAAGTGGCGCCTCCGCAAATTGAAAGAGCGACGCGCGTTGAAATGGAATTTTCGCCTTATCGACGGCCGGCTGAACAACCGGGTGGTTCCGCCGGAGAGCGCGACGGAGGTACGGGAAAGCGACGGAGTAACGTGAGAAAGCATTTCACGAATTTAGCTATTAGTATTACTTTCATTTTCTATTTATATCTGAAATATCGGCCTAAGGGGTAAGGAGGACTAACAAAATTCGGAATGGTTACAAAATCGATTCCAGCGTATGATATAATATTGTTGTACTAAATTTTAGTCTTTATCAACATATAATTAAATAAAATATAATTAATAAATAACTAAAAATTGTATTTTAGTACAAATAATTACAATGTAATAAAATTAATTATATATTACTTCATCTGTCGCATATATTTGTATATTTATTTATTTTTTTTTACGAAATTTACGAAAATAAAAAAATAAATAAATTGTTAATAATAGAAGAAATCATTAAAATAATTAAATAATTTAATTAAAATTATAAAATTTAAAATATAATTAATATATAAAATTATATTTAAAATTAAAAAAAATAGATGAGACTGAAAAATAATAAAAAAATATGAATATTTTATATTCCTTTTGTTCAGACTGCAGTGTCCCAACTATATTAGTAAAGAAAATAGAAAAATAGACACGGTTGCAGAAACAAATAAATTATTAGACAGAAAAATTATTTTATAGACTAATATGAATATAAATATATAGATAAGATTTTTATTATATTAGTTATATAAAATATGTGCTTAAACTGATTTTCAATTTTCCTTTCAATTTAAATTATTGACTTCTTTAGATACTTTGAAAATACACTCCAGAATTTAAAGTTTCTAATCATAACGACAACAATCAACACACAGCAGAAGCAAAAGCTAGAAAACATTTCTACAAACAAAAATTAGAAGCAAATTTATAAGTAGAGAGACATACAATATCACAATGATTGTATTTTAGTGTCACATGTATTTATCCATTTATAAGAACGCATGCACTTAATTAATTACCTGAGGAGCTACTACCTCTTCATAACCCTGACCTCCTGAGTTCTTCTGCTCCATGTGCAAAGTGACACCTCTCACCAAAAGTGCAAGCTCCTTTGTTGAAGTTGTCACAAAGTTTCGTTTTATAGTTGCTGGCCGCGCTCGATTCGTGCTGCTGGCTGCTGTTGCGGTTCCCAGAGTGTTTTGACGAGGCGGCTGCAGCTGCACTGACACTCACGATGAGTTCCCGAACCATTTGGCTAGCCTGCTTTATCTGGTCGAAAGTACCCTCCAGTTCGATGTTCCTTAAGTTGGGATCCACCTCATGATCCCTTATGGAAAGCCTAGCTCCTGTTACACGGCAGATTTGCTTCGAGTTCACCCCTCCCTTGCCAATTACGGCCCCGGCCAATGAAGCATCAATGCTGATCTTGGCAGTGGCTGAAGCGCCAAAGGTTGCTGCTGGACCGAAGTTTGGAGTAGGATCCATACGGCCGCCAGTGAATCTGCCGCCCATTTGTCCCATTGCTCGGGGGTCATCATGTGATGGGGCCATTGGCTTGCCAAGCTCCCACTCGCCATGAGCGAAATGACATTTCTCGCCAAACTTGCATCCTTCTGCAGTTTTATACTTGTTGCATAAACGGGTTTTCACAACTGGGGCTGGGCCGTCTGGAAAAGGGGGTGGAACTACCGGGTTTCTCGGGATTGCTGGAATGGCGGGGTTGTTGCCCAGAATCTGAGTGACTGCCTTGATGCCACCGGGTATGTAATGCAAGAAATGACATCCCTCTCCAAAAGGGCACCCCGAAGGACTGCATACAATTGAGCAGGATTAGTCGAGAAATTATGATGTTAAGGTGGTGACTATATGGTGGTTTAAGAAAATGTCGAACAAAAATTGTACAGCTGAAATGGAAATATGGCTCAGATTTTCGTAAGAGTCACAAGACAATAGACTATTAAAAAATGATGCAAGATAAATTACAGATCAAGAATACAGTTTGAATGGAATAGCTAGCACCAATACACAATTCTAACACGTGTCGAACAGAAATAGCAGCAAGATGGTACGATAATGTGTTTACTTACAAAACAGAAGCTTCTCAAATTGATATCAATGTTTTGCATGAAAGGTAGCAACAAGCACATATGCAAAACCTAGAATGAGTATGTTCAACACAAAGAAATGAAAACATTAAGGGAGATCAACAACATAATTCATATCACGAGAAAGTAAAACAACCATCTATTAGCATACTTTTGTGAACAAAGGAAGATTATGTACATTGTTGAAAAGTTACAATTATCAGTCATTTAACACAATATTTGGAAGACATTAAGGTGTGTTTGTTTGGGAGATTCTCCCAAACTTCTACTATTTATCAAAAATTTTCTTTCAAAAAACATCAAATCAAACACTTATTTTCATTTTTATATTATACTAAAAATCAATTTTACATTTAAAACATCGCATCAACACCTATTTATATCGCATCATACAACTATTCAAATTCAAATATTTTACTACTGAAATTTCAACTCAAAATCCAAACCCTCAAACAAACACACCCTAAAAATACTGCAGATAGTGGCCATCTAGTGTAATGTGTTTGTATCCTACCTTCTGAAAGAATAAATTTCATGAGTTACTCTAGGCTGTTGCACATACACAACTTCAACAGTGAGCATTAGAAGACAAACACGCGAAAGGACATTTTCATATTCTCACCACCTAACATTTTTTATGCTTAATTATTCATCAAATCATCAACATAGATCACATCCATCCCAACAGTATGAAAACCCCACTACCAAGATACACAACTTACCAGGCTACCAGCAACTTTCCAATCAGCATAATTCCACAACTTAAAATCCTCAGTTTTAGCAGAAGCACAACACAGGATCAAGATTTATCATATAATCATGCAAGAAACCCTGGACTAAAACTACCCAAACTGGTGAGGATATAGATAATGCAAATTATGCACACAACTCATCTGAGTACATAAACCAAAATCAGATACCAGTCATTAAAGAGATACTTCTTGTAACCGCTAACAAAGACAAAACTGAAAACTGAATAGTTACAAGCCTCTTGCACATACTTAACAGGGTTCCTTCAAGAAATCTCTAGAATATTAAATTATTGGATGTTGAGTCAGACTGGAACACATTTCTTCCAGCAAGTCAAACCAAGATGCAGCCATACTTAATTCAACAATTACCATCGACCCATTGAGTAAGAATAAAACGATCAAACCATATTTACACCAAATTACCACCATCCCAACTGGACTCCAACTAATTGCATCTTATTAATAGAGAAATATACAACACAAAAACACTTTTAACTATTGAGCCTTTACGTTCAGTGGATGTTACATTGCTTTGAGCAAGTTATTTCAGTAAGACTGCATTCATCCATTTCCATTCAGTAGCCATCATTACCAATTAACCAAGTGAATAACCTGTGCCACAACTTTAAATGTCCAATTCATTAGTCCAAATAATGTTATTATCCATCAAAAAGAGCATAAAATCAGGATTCGTTGCAAAAACATTACCAATGTATCAAAGACTGCACTTACGATAATATTATTTTTGATAGGTTAAGATTATAACCTGAAAAACTTTGTGCATGGCTTCGATTTGCTTCCTATACCAGAAGTAAAGTACTCCATTTCTGTTGCAGAGAATTAAACGTCTTTCTTCAGTTACAACCTATATGAGTTATTAATCTCTCCATTTTTTATAAAATATTTTAATCACAATAACAATTTTAGAGTTTAACAGAACAATACGCACACACTACAGCTACTTGTACAGATTGGAAACCATAGCACCCATCTTATTCATTTCCAGCTTGTGGGTACTTTCAACCGTCATATTAATAAATTTAAGCTGATAAATCATTCTAAACGCAGCAAGCTGAACAGGACCCCAATCATTATAAGTTCACCGGAATTTAAAAGTAGGGGGAACAAAAACAAAGGAAAACATGCCTCAAGTCTCCACACTGTCAGAGAGAAAACAAAAAGTGCAAAATTTAACTTAAAATTAACCAAAATTCCCAGATTTAGCTAAAAAAGAACCTTGCTTAGATCTCTTGAAGCCACCATTCCCATTGAGGCTTCCCGCTGGCATACCCCTTTTCCTTGCGCCTCCAAACTCCATTTGTAACTTCACTCCTCGATGATGAATAAATCAGAAAGAACAAAAAAGAATGTGGAAAATCCCCACGTAAAGTAGAAAAGAGGCCTAAGAATCTAATCGGAGGGAAGAACCTAGTTTGGCGAGGAAGAATGAAAGAAGGGATAAAACCCTAGAGAGAGATACGCGCGGATACGAAAAAAGAGATTTAAATGTCTTTTATAAATTATTTTTTTTCACGTGCATTCCTATGTCAGTCACAATTTACCGCCTAAGATTTTTCCGTGTCAATTGGGCCTATGAATTAATCTAGCGTTTGTCGATTAGATGATAATTTTTAATTATTAGCTGTTTCACAAGCTGATTTAATTAATGATTTGTATTAATATTTAATTTTATTTTTTTAATTTGAAATTTAATAAAATTTTTATTATTAATTATTGAAAATTATAAAAATATTATAAAATATTTATTTTTATTTTTATTATTTAAATTTGAAAAAATTATTGTTATTAAAATATAATATTTTTTTATTAAAATTTTGTAAAATATAAAATAATAAATTTTTTGTATATATTTTTTATAAATATTATGTTAATTATTGTTTTAATATATAAATAAATTAATAATATTTATTTTTTTTATTTGATTTAGTTTTAAAAATATATATATATTTTACAAATAAAATAATTTATATGTAATAATTAATAATAGTAATTATTTTAAATTTTAAAAATAAAAATATAATTTAATAAATTAAATATATTAAAAATTAAAACTGTGTTTGATTTGCTAATTTATATCATTTTTATTTTTCATATTTTTTTATTTAAAATATTAAATAATTTTTTTTGATATTATACTGAAAATTAATTTTATATTAAAAATTTATATTAATTTATTTATACCAAATGGAACGTTTACTAAAATTTAAAATTTTATTATTCAAATTAAAATGAAAACAAAAAATTCAAGCAAACACACAAGTTTGTTGGGAAACGGAGAACGCACATCTTACTAGACATAAAATATTTTGAATGTTTATAAATATATATATATTGAACCAGTAAATAAAAAATAGTAATATATGCAATGCAATAGTTGATAATAATAATAATAAATAAATAAATACCTTCGTGGGGTTGGACGTGAACCGTGTGGTGATGGATTCAAACCCCGACCCTTCAGGTAATACGCATGATTCGCTGGCGAATTTTACTGAACCTGGTCTCTTACTAAATATAACTAACTAGATCTATTTCGTGCAGTGTAAACAAGCCTTGAGCACTCAAACTCAAACATGTCAGATGCAGACAACACAATTATGCCCAGATCAGATCATACTATCAAGAAAAGGAAGAAGTCAATTACCTCATCACATTAGATGATTCATATCCGAGCCTCATATATCATTCAGGGATTCGAATACAGCTGCCCTGCAATATTCTTGAGTGAATGAAGAAACCAATCATGGGAACTTCAATTAGTTAGTTGTATTCGACAAATAGAAGACACAGTCTTCCTCTATGAAAAAGATATACTGTGTGCCATGAAAGATGCACTCTTCCTAGTACATTAGTCATATAAGAAATTAGTGTCCACACTTACCACAAGGATTGGTAGAACAGCATGCACTTGCTATGATCTACCAGCTTAAACAGCGATACCGATTTTAGATCCAACTATATAACTTCCTTCTTACCTGGAGTGAACTTCAGTTGTCATGCATCTTCCTTCAGATGCTGCAAAAAATATATTAATATATATATGTTCTGAAAATAAATATGAATCCAATACCACAAACTTTGAATTATGTTATAGGAAAAATAAGGAACTCACAGCCGGAACAAGAAAGGGGCAAGAAGTACCAAGACAGTCAAAACAACAAGTAATTAGCTTTATCTATCATTGAGTCAAAAAGATCGAAAATCCATCAACACAACAACAGAAACACGGCGATCTTGAGCAAATAACTACTGCGAATGGCATTCACGCGATAAACAACGATGAATAGGAGAAAATAACCACTGAGAATGACATTTGCATAATAAACGACAAGCAGTAGGAAAGGAAACGAAGATCTCAAGGACATATTATGTCGATATAAAATCCCCTAGGATTCTCTAGACTTATTAAAGCATATCTCCTACATGAGAAACATAGAACGACAAAAGGGAGCTGTAAATCAAACTTCAAGAAAACAAATTTAAGAAAAAAATGAAAAAAAAAACTGAGCAGCTAAACACCCAATGTATGCGCGTATCATTTGGCTCAACATCTGATCCAACCTGAAAAACAAAAGCTCGCACTTCAAAGTCGAAAGGCATCAAAAATTGCGAAGAAAATGACCAATGGAATTTATTTTCTTTCTTACTATATAGATAAACAGTCTTGGTACCAATTATAGATACAAATATAAATAGTTGTATACACAGTTTCTTTATTCTTGTCTCAGTTTACCATCCCGCAATAAAAAATCCTCCTACGAACTTCTTTGCAACCGATATATTGGAGCATCCGCATTCCATCCCTGACTGCTCAATTCACAAATACAACAAACATCCGGTCTGCATGCACGAGTGCCCACATCCATAATATAAGCTCTTGGGAGAAATAATACCCGGGCTATATACATCCACCTGAAACACAAGTAGTTGAATCAAATTAAGCAAGGCTGCCGCCAAATATAGGAGAGATTGGAATTTAAATAGAAGGCGTGAAACAAACAATAAACTGCAAAATTATATATCTACACGTGTAAATATGGTTTTTCAATTAGAAAATTGTTAAGTGATAATCTATCATCCTCATAAACAAAAAATTCACATTTCAAAACTTTATGAAGTAGCATTGTGTACAGTGTAGGTAAAGAAGATGTTTTAAAAGCCTAGATCAATTTCAATGATAAGTTTATCTGGATCTAAAGATCGTCTGACTATATTGACAGTAGCATGGAGATCATAAAAAGTGCAAAAGGAAATTTCTAATGACAAGAAGATAATAGATACGCACATAAATCACGTTGAAAGTCAACTCAATGGCAAACAAATTCTATCTCTCCAAATATACCAGAAGAAAAAGATTTCCAGTTCTCTTTTGTTAGAATCCTATATAAACTCTTCACAACTAAGAGCTTAGCAGACAATAATATGATTAGTTTTTTCTTAAGATTACGTTTAAGATGATTTACAAATCAAGCATTACTCACCAACACAGTCACCCAACAAATTCTTTCATGACCACCTCGATCATATTCAAACCTACACATCCTAGAACCACGTTTCGAGGATATAACTAACACTAAATGCCACATGCCATATTCACGTACAAAAACAAAAAACAAAGAATGTCTTGAAATCGTCGATAGCATAACGAAATTAACTCAAAGTAGTGACGTCATCAGTGTCCCAGTGGCATACCGAAAGAACAAAATTGAATACTCATTCGATGCACACTCATCAACAATAAATCTAGAAACATATTCAAAGCTGCATCCTAAACCACATTTCGAGGATATAACTAACACTAAATGCCACATGCCATATTCCCGCACAAAAACAAAAAGCAAAGAATGTCGTGAAATCGTCAATAGTATAACGGAAATAACTAAAAGTAGATACGTCATCAGTGTCCCAGTGGCATACCAAAAGAACAAAATTGAATACTCATTCGATGCACACTTATCAACAACAAATCTAGAACATATTCAAACCTGCATCCTAAACCACAAATCGAGGATATAACTAACACTAAATGCCACATGCCATATTCACGCACAAAAACAAAAAACAAAGAATGTCATGAAATCGTCAATAGCATAACAGAATTAACTAAAAGTTTGACGTCATCAGTGTTTCCAGTGCCATACCGAAAGGACAAAATTGAATACTCATTCGACGCACACTTATCAACAACAAACCTAGAACATATTCAAACCTCCATCCTAGAAACACAAATCAAGGATATAACTAACACTGAAACAACATGCCATATTCATGCACAAAAAACATAAAACAAAGAATGTCGTGAAATCGTCAACAGCATAACGGAATTAACCAAAAGTTGTGACGCCAAATGCATCTCAACGGCATACCGAAAAAACAAAATTGAATACTCATTTGATGCACACTTATCAACAACAAACCTAGAACATATTCAAACCTACATCAAGAACATAATTGAATACTCATTCGATTTGCCCTTTTCAACAACAAACCTAGAACATATTCAAGCCTGCATCCTAGAACCACATTTCGAGGATATCGTTAACACTAAATGCCACATACCATATTCACGCACAAAAACATAAAACACAGAATGCCGTAAAATCGTAACAGCATAACGGAATTAACTAAAAGTATTGACGCCATGAGCGTCGTCGCAATCCCATACCGAAAGAACAAAATTGAATACTCATCGATGCGCACTTATCAACAACAACATCATGCATCAACCATTAAGATATCACCATCCTCGTCCCGCATCGGATCAATATCCAATCCACTTAACTCTCCACCATTTCTAGCTGGGGCTACTCTATCAGATCCAGAGCCCAACACTGCAGCATTTGAGCCAACACTCTGCTCACCATCAACCCTACTTAATGCTGCCCCTCTTCTTGGAGGCAAATCCAACACTGGAACGGCATCGTTTTCCACCTCCGCCTGGCTTGTGCCAGGGGAAGTGCCCTCACCTCTGCCGCCAATCTCTACCGGCAATTTGTACCGGCACAGGGGACAAGTATTGCTCCTCTGAAGCCATTTAACAATACAATCCCTGTGAAAATAATGCTCACACGGCAATTCGCTGATTACCGCAGAAGAAGGCAGTTTGATCTCGAAATCCTCAATGCAAATTGAGCACGACGGAATAGCCGGGGGTGCATTTGGGGAAAAAGTTTTAATCGGAAGCGAAGCGACGAATGATTTCAAAGCCGGAGTAGATGAATGGAAACTTGGAGTAGCGAAAGACAACAGAGAATTATCCGACTCATATTCCTCATCGGAGTCGGACTCATCGTCATCGTCATCGTCATCGTCGTCGGTGTGATAAATAACAAAGTAGGAAGAATTCCGCAGCGGAGTTGCAGCCGGAGACTGGGGCGGTGGCGGAGGCGGCGGCGGAGGAGTAGGAAGAACGGGAGCAATTGTGTGGTGTGGTATGAGGTGGCGGTGGTGGCAGGAAGGGCATCGGAAAGACGAAGGGGCGTCGACGGCCGTCGCCGGAATCGGAGTTATATGAAAAGAGTAATTGCAGTTGTAGCAGCTGTATGATCGGCGATGCGGTGAAGCGGCGGCGACGGCGGTGTAGACCGACGGCATAGAGGGGAGGGTTGGCGGTGCCGCCGATGCTGACGTCATGCGGTGCGCGTCGAGTGAGTTCGTCCTCGACTGAGATTTCCTACGCGCGCGCGTTTTCTGTGTACATAAATACTAACTACTGCGGGAAAGGGGGGCGCTGGGAGGGGGGCGATCATTATTATTATTATTATTATTGTTATTGTAGTTGTAGTTAAGTCACAGCAGTGCAGATGACGGGGCATTTAATTCTTTTACCAATTTATTTTTAGAGGAAGATGGAATTGTAGTCGCGAGATGAGTTGGCATGTTCAAAATTAATTCATGACATGTCTTTTAATGCTCACGGTTATGCTTACATCACACTTCCACTTCACATAGCTCGCACATATTTAGCTAGGACACTCGCAAAATAGCGGTTTCATGTTATATAAAATATAAAATAAAATTATGCACAAAATCTACACATGATCTTACAAAATTATGTGAAATTTTCATATTTTTTAAATTGTGTCCAATTTTTTTATAATTTTATAAATTTTATGTTTAATTCTTTCGATTATTTTTATTTAATAATATTTTATTTATATTCGTCCAAACTACAAATAAATTTCAAAATTTTTATTTGTAAACTTATGAGACTAAATATAAAAAATAATTATATTTGTAATTTCATATATTTAAAAATTGAGATTCTGAAATAATAAATAAATAAATAAACATATTCACATATTACTGTCATATTATGTAATATTAAAGATATATATATATATATTCATACTTACATATCACTATCATGCTATGTAATATTAAATTTATTTATTTATTTGTTTATTGCATACGCACCGCTTGATTTATGAATATATTACACTTCTAAGAGTTTAAAAAATATTTTTACTTATTTCACAATAAATTACTTCCTCCGCCTCAAATACAATGTCCACGTTGTCTGTTTCTGTCCGTCCCACATACCATGTCACTTTTCTTTTTTAGAAAATGATTACACACTTTAATCTCATTTTAAATTTTAAATTTTTTTAATTTTAATTAAACTAATTAGTTATCTTATAATTATTTTCACTAATACATTCTTAATTATCTACTAATTACACTCATCCTAAAATACCGTGTACAGACACGGTATATGAGATGAAGGGAGTAATAAATAGTATAATATTATATCAATCAAAATTGGTGTAGGCAGGAGATTAGGTTCGGGTTTACCCAGTAGGCACTTTCGAGTAGCGGTTGCGAATTTCCACGTCATCAAATAAATAAATAAATAAATTGGTGTCCAATGTGTTTGTTTGGATATTGGATTTTAAATACATTATTCATCCCATTTTTTTCTCAAAAAACATCAAATCAAATACCTATTTTTTATTTTTTACATTATACTAAAAATCAATTTTACATTCAAAACATCACATCAAACACCTATTTATATCACATCATACAACTATTCAAATTCAAAATGTTTTACTATTCAAATCTCAATTCAAAATCCAAATCCTCAAACACACACACCCATAATATATTTTCGTAAATGGAAAGAATAATACATATTATTATTAGTTTCGAACACAAGGGTTTTGCTTAGATAGAAGTTTTTGGGATTTTGGAAGTGTAAAAGAAAAAAAAGTAAAAAATTAGTATTTAATTTGATGTTTTGTGACAGAATAAATTTATGTGATGTGATGTTTTTTAAAAAATAAATAGTGTCAAATGAATAAAAATACGTTAAGTAAACAAAAGTAAAAATATATTTAAACAACCCACTCCTTAAAATATAAGGTTTAATTAATACTTATATTAATTAGGGTAAATTATATAATATTATTTTTATTTTCAATAAAATTGTATAAAATATTTCATATTTTATTTATTTCGTAAAATCTATTTTGATGCATAGAACATTTTCTTCCTCCAAAATTAATGTTTGGCGGTTAAATTACACTTAATTGTGCAATTTTTATATAAATTAAAAATGGTAAAATATTTTAAATGACATTTTTAAATAACATAAACAATTATATAATTGATCAACCATTTCTTTATTAGTTTTTTTAGACGGCTATTTATTATTATTATTAAAAAAATTATAAAAAATAAAGGATTATTTATTTATTTTATTTAAATAAGACTATAAAGGATTTTATGATTTTTATTTTTATAAATTTTGTATAATTAAATATGCGTTTGTAATCAAAATAAATTGAAATGTGATTGCTACACTCTTGGGACGAATACGATGTTTTGTACCTATTTTAATTTAAAACCAAAGAATTTTGTGTATTTGTGCTTAAATGCAGTAGGTATTATGCAATTTATCCTATTAATTTAAATTATCTGTTATATTAATTTATTTTTTATTTTTATTTTTAAAAAAAATGTGTTGTATATTTGCTATTGCTAAAAAGTACCATAACTGTTCTCTTTCTACCTCTCTTTTTTAAGCAAAATTAATTCAATTTATATATATATATGTATATATATCTAAGTTTATTAGTTCTAATTTTTTTTTTTAAAAAAAAATAATAAAATACTCCCTCCATGGCAAATGATACGTGGGTTAATAAGCTAATAATAATGAATTATAATACTATTTTATTATATTTTTATATTAGTAATATTGTTAGTAATTTTAAATAAAAATTCATATATAATTAAAATAAATTTGAAATATGTATTTAAATATTTTCAATATTATATCTCATTAAAATATATGCAATATAAATAACAATAGAAAATAAATTTTTATATAATAAAAATAAATAAAAAATATATTTATTTATAATTAAGATAAATTAATTTTATAAAAGATATAAAATTTTAAATATAGATAAAAATATTTATTTATTGAAGAAAAAAAAAATGTTTAAATTGAAATGAGACATAAGCAAGTCCCTAGGCTATTCCTTACTGAACGAATTCAATAGTTTTGGCGACATAAATTTTGATGTTTAAGTCAAGTTAGGGTACATTAGGTGTGTTTGTTTGGGGGTTTGAATTTTGAGTTGAGATTTGAATAGTAAAAATTTTGAATTTGAATAGTTGTATGATGTGATATAAATAGGTGTTGATGTGATGTTTTGAATGTAAAATTAATTTTTAATATAATATAAAAAATAAAAAAACAGGTGTTTGATTTGATATTTTTTGGAAAAAAAAATGGAATGAATAGTAAAATTTTGTAAAAATCTTACAACCGAACACACCCTACGAGTAAGGATTGGGGAGTCTAATCCCACAAGATAAGGAGACTAAAACAATGTACTTGACTTTTGTGATTGTACCATCATTTTAGAAAAGTTAATATTTTATAAAAATAAAAAAAAAAAAAATGATACGATACTTTTAAAAATATTACTCCCAACATATTAGGTCATCCGTTATTTAAACTTATACTCACTTTTTTTTTTTTTGTCATCGGTTATCGTTTTTTTTTAAAGTAAAAATTTATTACACTTTTATACTTTTTTTACTATAAAAAAAATAATTATTACTACTCATTTTTTAAAAAATTCGTATCTGATCAAGAGAGCACACATTTGCCAGAGGGAGTAGTATAGATAAATAGTATAAAAAATTCAAAAAAATACTTAGCGTAGATAATTCTGAAACTGTTGACTCAGTTGCTTCCTCTTATAAATAATGAGAGACTATGGTGCGTTTGGGACTTTGGTTTTGGTGTGAATCTAAATAATACTCCTTTTGTCCAATATATAAGTATATAAAAGATGTATTAGTAAAAATAATTATTATTTAGTAGATTAAGATTTAATTCAAATTAAAAAAATTATAAAATTTAAAGTTTAAAATATGATAAAAATAAAAAATAGGAATATTGGGAATGGAGGAAGTATCATTTTAAATTTAAATAATTGTTTAATAAGTATTTATATAAAAATGGTCAATATAGTTTTCTACCAAAAAATTTCAACGACAAAAACACGGTATCCAACTTACTATTTAAATTTAAAAGAATAAATAAAAAATCATCAAATAAACAATCATTTATTTATAAGAAATCATTTTAGAAGGTTTAGTTTAGATAGAAGTTTCAATTTTTTTTTATTTTTTTAATAATATAAAATTAAATATTTGATAGTACAATATTTGTTAGAGAAAAAAAACAATTTGATCTACTGTAAACGTTTAGGATCATGTGCTGGGAATAGTTTTTGATTTTGTATTACTGAATTAAATTTTAGCCATTAATTAAACAAAGCTAATTAAATTACTTTAAATATTTATTTTTTTTGGAAATTAAGAGTGAAGATTAATTATAGGATGCTGAATTTAGCATAGTGCTAGGAAGTGAATTAATCATAATCCAAACAGGTAAGGTAGAAATACCTTTACTTGTAAAGCAAAAGCAGTCGGAATGGACGAACATCTCCGTTTACCCCACAGTAATTTCTTGGTATATCCCCAAATTCAAATCAAACGGATCCGACGAACAGTTGTGCTTAGTCCAGTCCAGCCCTGCAATTATCAGAATCAGGCCTGTTAACAATTACAATTACAGCAATTTAACCTAGATTTGACTTTTTCAATCATCTATGGTAGATTCCAAATCATTGGATCGTATATTTCATTGGAAGAATACTTATCTCATCACAATGAATTGGCTTTGGTACACACAACCAAACTTAGAGAGATCGATGTAGTTTGAGATCCATATCGGGGTACCAAAAACACATCAATTTTGATTTTGAACTGAAACAAACTATGGATTCGGTAAAACTTTTGAAGAACAGTAACAAATTTCAAACACAGCAAGCCAATTGCTTTTTCTATTTCCAGTATAGAGGCCAGGAACTTACAGACAATGTTTTGAATTTGAATTTCCCTTCCGCTCGTGGCTTCCAGTTGAGTTGCTGTCTGCAGTTTTTCTGCACCGGTTGGAGTTGGAAGATAATGGCCAATGGAGGAAAGGTAAGTATTTATTGAAGAGGGCTGTGGGCTGTGGCAGAGAGAGAGAATACTCTATGCAGATTGAAAACCACTAGGGCCCAATCAGATCCAATTAGGCCCAGATTTAATCATAGGGGGAGGATGTGCGCGGAAAGAGGAGATGGACGCAGCGTATTCGTGGCTCCGCCGGAGTGTTTCCAAGCTCAAAAACACCACCGCGCCGTCCTCCGCCGCCGCTTCTGATAATGGAAGAGATTACAATGGTAAATTACAGGAAGAAGAGGAGGAGAAATTCTACGGAATAACCGACAAATTGATCGAATTTATAAAATCCTTTTCCATTGAGACCTTCAGGAACTTCTCTCTTCCAGGTATTTGCCTTCGCTGCCACTGTTGTGATGTATGATTGTCCTTGCTGTTTCTTGTGTGGTAGTGGTTGATGTCTCTGTTCCGTAGATGAAGATGGAAATAATTGCGACGGCGCTAACTCCGGGAATTTGCGGAAGGATCTGACCGATTGGCAAGAGAGACATGCCATGCTTGTTCTTTCCAAGGTCAAGGTTCGTATTTCTTCTTCCCTCTCTGTCTCTTGTTGGTATTTCGTAACAGATCAACAAAGTAAGGAAATCATGTTGATGTTTGTTCGAATTGAAAGATGAACATTAACTTGCTGAAGAAGTGATTTACCTTTGGAATTGAACTATATACTTAGATTATCTGCAAAACAAAGATGAAATGCAGGTTGAATAAGCTAGTTCAGCTTATATTATAGCTATATATATATATATATGTGTGTGTGTGTGTATATTTGGTTGAGATAAAGAACCTGATCAAGAAAATTATAAACCCTAACAAAGGAGAATGGCTAGCCTGAGAGATGTTTTTATGGGATTCTGGTTCTGAATTCAAAGGTAGCTATGTATAGAGTATCAATTTTTTGGCATATAGTCGGCCTTCATGTTCGATTGGATGGAGGGCACATTCGATAGGCCCTTAGTATGTATGCATATCCCTAATCAATATATTTTTGTTTGAATATTGTTATGTAAAACATTTATTACTCGATCACATGACTAGCACTAACCTTAGAGGAGATGATAATGAATCTGGTGGGAACAGGGATTCTTGGGCAAACATCGCAGTGAGTACAACTTTAGATTAAATGACGGCATCTATCTGAAGGAACTTGTTATTCTTGGGCAAACATCATATTGGTTTGATCACGGCAACAAAATTAGTGATTAGAACTCTGGTTTGAATGAGATTTTGTTATTCTTTGCAGGAACTTGCTCAGCTACGGTTCAAGCTATGCCCCCGTTATCTGAAGGAAAGGCAGTTTTGGAGGATATATTTTAAACTTGTTGAGAGCTACGTGGCCAGGTGAGTTCTCTAACTTTTCGACTATGTAGACTCTTTTTTAATGCTTTTGCCATTTGCAATTACCAAATGTGGAGAAGTGCACTTATTATGGAATTGGGTTAGTACTGTGTTATAGTGTGTACGAAAGGTATGGAGTTAAAAGAATAGGTATGACCAATTAACTATTACTATTTTAATTGACTCGAGAAGTAGATTAGCCATTTTTAGGCAAGGCAGCTGTTGATTTATGCAAGTGAGATATTACAAGATTCAACTTCTTTGATAGTTAATGTTGCACAAAGTTTTGGCATTGTAGTTTTCTATGATAGAAACTCTTAATTTCATAGCAAGTATCCATGTCATCTGAAAACATTGTACACAATCATAATGCAAATTTAACTCTAAAATAGGAAATTAAAAAATTATAGAATATTTTGTATTATTGATAGCTTTAGTATGGCTGACAGACCTAAGACATGGGCTTTCAGTTCATTCACAATTTTGCGGTGGTTGAATTGCAAGTGTTTTGTAAATGTTCACTTTTGTGGATGGACTGAATAATTCTATCAGATTCATCTCCTTATATTATCCATCACATTTTGTTACAGTTTCAGATAGCTCAAGAATGTTAAAATGCTGAATGTGGAAGCCATATAGTTTTTGAACGGCGTACAAAACTAGAAAATTGAACTTGACCAAATCAGTAAGAGAAACAAATATCTTAAATACATTTGCAATGTGCATCCCAACCTCTCATTATATTATCATAATGCTTCCTTATCTTCAATCCTTTAATCAACCATCTGAATATCTAAGATCCAAATGAAGGTTGTGTTTAAATTTTCTGCTATTTACCATGGAATTTCTAGTGGCCCTTCTCCTGGTGTAACAACTCAAAATTATTTCATCCCACTATCGACTTCCATTTTTTTTTTCCTTTTATTTGGAACAATTATATGTGAATATGATTTAACATGCATTGTTCATCAAACAATCATCAGGTACGAACTACATGCTATACAGTTAGCCAAACTCAAACAATTAAGAACCGAGGACGACTCCGTCTCCAAAAGTAGCACCTGTGAAGTTGAAATGTCTGAAGCAAAGTTTGATGATTCAAAAACATATGAATAAAATGCTCCAAGGCGCCAAATACATTGGTAACATTTACTTCTGTCAATTTTTATTCGCCTGATAAGATTAATTAGTTGTCCCCATTTTCAGCACTGCTGCTCAAGAGTAACACGGCATTGATTCACATGGATGTTCATCGGGGAGGGAAGGAATAGGATCCCTGCTGGTGGACGACTATCTGGAAGATTGTAACCCAACCCTAGAATCCTTTATTGTTCAACTCCCAGGTATGTCTTCCATGCCACCTGAGCTTTTTTATGTACTGTATTAAGGATTCGGAATGTTTTTTCTGGTGATTAATTTATGCTGGAGATGGTAATTGATGCTGTGTTTTTGTTGCTTGAGGAGCTAAGTAGAAACTTTGAAATGTAAATAAGTAAATAATGTACTTAGGTTTTGGTGTGAGTTTTTCTCCTGCTGCACTAAAATAGTGATGATGTCCTGTTGGAATGATTTTCTGTTATATGTTGCAGCTGATGAATGAAATTATTAAGTTCTAATGATTATATTATTCTCGATTTCATTTTTAGTAAAAAAATACTAATTTTTCTACTTTTTCTTTACCATTAAAGGATTTTTTTTTTTTATCTATTTTTCTTAAAACTTGTGTCCTGTCAAATGGACATAATTTTAAACGACGGACGGATGGAGTATTTAATTATTTATATTTTTCCTTTTTGATGTACTTTATTTGATTCTTATCGAAACTCCTATTTAACTATAGCTCTTAATTAATGTTCTTAATAAAGAGATAGGATTGGGTGGATAAATCAAGGAAAGATTATGAGAATTTGGTCTATAAAACTATCTTGATGATGAATTAAATAGAAAGAAAGTGTTCCCTGCTTTTGACCCTCCCACCCACTGGAAACCCTGAAAAAAGATGCCTCGGAAAAAAAAAAGAAAAAAAGCACATACTTTCAGAAATATATATACAAATGAAAATAAAAATAAATAAATTATGTGATTTTTGTGGCGAGAAGCAACCTAAGAAGGAATTACGCCAAATGTGATATAATTTTAACTTTTCTCAGTTATATAATATCACAATGAGTGTGTGTATCATCAACATGTATTAAAGAAACAAAAGAAACATATCGAAATCAATAAAACGCCATTACATATACATAAAAGTATTGTCGGTACTCTCGCTGTATATACAAGATCATAACTAAAAAAAAAAAAAAACACCCAAAGCCCCTCACAATAAAGAAGATGTCGAAAACAAGAAATGATACTCATAACAAACTTACTCACAACAATGGATTATGGATCAGCTAAACCATTATATATAAAAATATAATGCCCAAAACTTTCTTCACCTTCTTCTGCTAGCTTTTCTTGAATTCCCCATAGCTACAACACCATAAAGGGCACCCCTTCCACACAAATATCATCATATTATGCATATGTAAATTACCTGTTGGAAATAGGATTTGGTCCACTGGGGACTTCATGTTTGCCTTCTTCAAAAACCCTGTTACCAAAGTTGGCCTTCAAGTTTTTCCTATGGCGATGAACAAAAGCCTTTGAAGATGAAGCAGGTGGGTAAAGGAGGGTTGTCTTGTGAACAATAGAGGGAAGAATATCATCACTGCTACTGGCTACTGGCACAAACATCAAGAGAATGAATAGGATCAAGAAAGAGCAGCTGTAGTGATGATGATGATGATGATGGTGATGGGATTTGGAATTAGAGTTGGGATTGAGTGATGATAATGCCATGCAAATTGGAGAAAAAAAACCTGCTGCACCCCCAAACAGGCCTCAGAAGATCAATATCCATGAACCACACGAGCTAAGGGAAGGAGATAGAAATCAACATGCAACTCAATTAAGCTATAAGAGAAAAGATCAAAAAAGCCCTCTGAAATCTATGGAGGATTTCTCAATATATCTAAACATGGGAGATGTGTCTATGCATTTTATGATCCTCAATCCCCATGCTTTTCTCCTTTCGAATTTATTAATGGAGTACAAAAGAAGGGAATGAAATATATGTATATATAATAATATATGCGTAGATACATTTTCAAAGGCTGACAGTGTCATATCAAGACTTCACTTTTTTTTAGAGAGAGAGAGAGAGAGAGAGAGAGAAAGTAGGTTTATACGGTTGAATTTGATGGTGTGTAGTTTCAATTTCCCAAGGAATAAGATTCTTGAAATATGGTATGAAGATGATATACAATAATGAAAGACATTTCAACAATGGCAGCTTTTTTGAGTAATATAGAGAATATTGACAGCAATTTCTTATTCGTGAAGAAGTTGGCGAGAATAACATGAGACTGAAAATTAAATAATTTTTTTTATAAAAAAATTATGAAATTAAAATGTAAACTCCTAGTATAGATGATGTGGTGATGCTGTAGATATAACTTTCAACAACGTAGTATATAAAAAAATCATCTAATTAACAGTAGGAACAGATTTATTTATTTTGGTAAAGTGTGTATACACATACATAGATATGGTATAAACTATGAAAGAAAGCTGATAAAAGTAAAACAAAAAGGCATCATATTCTCTGTATCGCCAATTCTCAAAATTCAATGGCCAAATAAATTCCATGTATGGTCACACAAACTCACAATCCTTTGTTTTGTTCTGTCTCGTAAAATTAATAATACATACTTGATTAAAATCAATTATCTGCACGAAAAATTATTGTCTCCATTCCCTTTCATGTTGTGTTTTTTTTCTTATTTCCAGTTTACATTATTGTTTTTCCTTCCGACCATGCCAATTTCCTAACATAACATAACACAGACATGCAGACATCTTCTTGTTCAATCAACGCCTACAGTTAGCTACCTGTCCTAATGACCTCAGTGCTGCTTTCATTAAAGCACATAAAGCAGATGGGCAATGAAAAACAGAAAAGTGGGTCGGGAGGGGCCAGGCAAGACAGACACACCTTTTCCCTCACCAAAAAAAAAAAAAAAAAGGAGATAATTTGAACAGGCAATTGAATTTAGATTAGATTAGATTAACAAGAATTGAATTGAGCAATTTGTCCAAAGAAACAAGTTCTTTCTGGTAAAACAAACAGTGGCAATAATTAGCCAATGATAACAGAGCAACAATATGCAATTACAGGCCCATGAAGGAAAAGAAAAGGGACAATTGATATGACAATGACCATTCATCTACCCCTCCAATCAATCCCATTTCTTTTTCTACATATTTTTATTTCCTCTTTTTGTTGTCAGTGTCCCCAGCACTTTTTTAACGACAATTAAGCCAAATATTCAAGATTCTAATCTTGGGTTTTAAATATACCACACTTTCAGCACAATCTCATTGTTAAATTATGAGTTAAGAGTGTCATATATTCAATTATTTTTGCATGAAGAGACACAGTCAGGAGGAAAAGCTTGGGTAGGGTTAGGTGGGAAGAAGAAATTATCATTAGTTATTAATTATATTATATAATTTGGATCATGTCTAGGTTAAGAAATTGATTATTTTAGCATTGGAAAAGATAATAATTTATCTAATCCAAAGATCCTATTTTCAACTTGAATTTTCTTTTAAAATAATGATTTTTGGACCCAAACTTGAAAAAAGATCAAGTTACCCGACTTTTAACTAAAGGTACGCCCACCCTTAGGCATGAAGAACAAAAGTCTGGAGGCCTCACTTTATAAAAATTGGGAACACTAAGAAATTATAGATCTGAAAAAAAAAATGTACATTAAGAAGTTTCATTTGTAAAGATATTAATGGTGTGTAAAGAGTAAAGTGGGTAGGGAAGGAGGGTTATCTTCTGAAATGTACTTTTGTTTTTTGTAATCTTTATTTATTTATATTTCAAGACTTATCAGGTATTGCATGTCTTTTTCTAGTGTCTCTGATCACACACCACACAAATGCTTTTTCGAGCAAATAATTCAAACAGAATTGCCCATTTGCATGAAACCTCTAAATTTTAACACAGGGGATAAATGTAGAGTCAAAAGGAATTATTAAAAAATATAAGAAAAACATTGTAGCATAGGTATAAAATATATAGCACAAAGATTAAGCAGTAATCACGGCATACCATGAATATAATGCTAGCTTTTGAAAACATCGCCACAAATCTTCATCAGTATCCTTCAAGACATCCTATCCTTAAGTTGTTCCTCAATCAATGGTAGATTAGTTCTTCAGATGCTCTAAGATCTTGAGTCTGAGGTATAAATGCACCTCCTGTGACAAAAGAATCAATGGAGAGAAACCTTATACTAAACGTTCTAGAACTAGCTTCTTAATTCTACAAGATGTTGCAAAAAAATCATAGAAACAAATCTTTTTAGCATGAAAAATAAAGGATACCAACAGAATCATGTTTAGGGCTCATCAAGTTAGAGCATCACAATGTACCTAATTCATACAGGGTGTTTGCAGAGCTACGCATACTCTTGAACATGAACAGGCAAGGGCAAAAATGTGAATCACTAACGCCAATATATTGAAAATCCTGATCTTAACTTTGTAATTACAGAAAGGTTGTTTTGTTATAATGCATTTCCCCAGTGATCAATTTCTATTATTAGTGTTAATCTTGCAATAAAGTAGAGAGAGTATCCATTCCCCCTCAAACACGACCAATACAACCAGACAACCAACATTGTTGGCAGAAAATTCGAGCAGAACGTCTGTACAGCGCAACCAAACAACCCAACCAGAAAGCCAAATTTATGCAACAGTAACGATGCATCTCCGCCAAAACTAATATCAACAGCGCGAAACTCAAATGCATAAAACCTCCAGCACCACTGAACTGGCCAGCGGTCCTGCTTCAAAATTCAAACGAAAAGCCGCAGATATAATATACATATATCCACGCAACAAACCAACAAAGGCTTCACCAACCTAATTTCGACGTAACAAACAGAACCAAAAATCCAACGCCATTAGCAAAAAAATATACCAGCAGAATCCGAAATTCACCAACCTAATTGCGATATCCGCACCACCACCGCGCCGCGCTCGAGCAAATCGGTGGTGAAGAGAATCGTTTTCCGGCACCACTGTAAATTTAAAATTTGTACTATATTTGTACCCAATGTTCGTCAAAGGGGTGGTGGCGCAGTTGGCTAGCGCGTAGGTCTCATAGCTTCTGAGTTATCCTGAGGTCGAGAGTTCGAGCCTCTCTCACCCCATAAAAATTTTTCCGGATCCGACCCGGGTGTGGGTATATGTATTTTTTCTAATTTAATTTCAATTTTGGTACAGAAACACGCTTCTGTGGACCCCGAACGGAAGTATATTTTCATTTCCACATATAAATACCAACGGCATTTTGTTTTTTCACCGTTCCGTCGTTTTCACCTCTTTTTTTTTTTTTCCTTCGGTACTGTACGGTTTTACATACGTTCTGCACGTGGACGTGGAGTAGGGTTTATCGGAGAGAGGAAGAGGGGAAGTAGATGGGCCAGCAATCGTTGATCTACAGCTTCGTGGCGCGGGGGACGGTGATCCTCGCCGATTACACCGACTTCACCGGGAATTTCACCGGTGTCGCCTCGCAGTGCCTACAGAAACTTCCAGCAACCAACAACAAGTTCACTTACAATTGCGACGGATACACCTTCAATTACCTCGTCGAGGATGGATTCAGTAAGCGTCGTCATCTATGTTTTTCTTTTTGATGATTCATTTCTTCCACCTGCTTTTTGTTTCTTTGTTATTGATGCTGGCCGTCGTTCTTATCAATGTTCTCGTTCTTGGATTATCGGAAACTATCTACGTCGTGAGTGTTTTTCCTTTGGTGTGTCAGGAAGTCAGATCTTCATAGACTGTTAGTGTTTTCTTTTGAATACATTCTTGAGTTAATTTCGGGGTTTTCGAATCCGGTTGGAAGTTTTAGGATGCAATTTCCTTCAATATCGAGCAATCTGCAATTGAAGCATCAATTTAAAGTTCTACTTAGAGGATAGGGCTCTCATTGATTTCTACTTATTGATCACTGTGCATCTTTGGAACAAAGTCTCATGTTTTTTCATAGTGGCACCTAGGCATGCATTTTTATGAGAATATATGCATAAGGCATTAGCAGATGCAGATCAATCAAATCTTTGGTAGGTAGAAAAACCACTTCAATTGAGGAAGTCTGGTGTATTGCGAAAAAAAGAAAAGAAAAGAAAGAAAACAGAAGCAAAATGCATGTGAAATTGTGTGGTGTCTCAACTTTTGTCTCAAGCAGGGATGAGAACATCAAAACCAACCAGAATAAATAGTGCGGCAGCAGTCAGCTCTCTGTATTGTGTCTCTAATCATGTATTCGTGCAAAGAATGTAGTACATTTAGATGGTTGGTCACTTTATAAGAAGATAAGACAATGTATGACCTTCATGGAGTATGGAAAGACCAGTTTACAGCTACGAGATATATAAATGTATTAGATTTCTTTAGTATTGCTACCATAAGAAAATTTTGTCGGCAAAATATTATCTTACACAATATACCGTGAGAAAAACATTTCTTTTTGAATCCTTAAGTGCAAGACACTTTACTCTGTTTGACTCTAAATTGTCCTGTTGTATCCTTGAATCTCTTCTGTGGAATGATGAATAGTATTTCTAAATGACAGCATATTGTGTTGTTGCTGTTGAATCTGTTGGAAGACAGCTTCCCATGGCATTTCTTGAGCGAATCAAGGAAGAGTTTACCCAAAAATATAGTGGAGGAAGGGCAGCTACAGCTGTTGCAAACAGCCTGAACAGAGAGTTCAGGTAATATTTTTCTTTAGTTCCTAATTTTCTGAACTGTGTCCTAATTCACAATTTTCTTTGTGAATAAACTCAAATTGGTTTTGTGTAACTTTAACAATGCAGTCCTAAATTGAAGGAGCAAATGCAGTATTGTGTAGATCATCCAGAGGAGATCAACAAACTTGTTAAGGTTAAAGCTCAAGTTTCTGAAGTTAAAGGGGTGATGATGGAAAACATTGAGAAGGTACAATTATTAGGTTTGTTTGTTTAGTGTGTATATATATATATATATATATTATATGAGGTATAGGGAATTGTGTATTTAATATAAAAAGTAATATTTTATGTTGAATGTTGATTTTTGTAAATGATAAAATATATATATTACATCTTGAGAATCGTGTTGGAAAAAAAGTTTGGTTGAAGAACAAACCCATTATTTTTGTTAGTCAATATAGTATGCTTTCTGTAGCACCTTTTGTTTTGTATCTTTGATGTTTTTGGGATTTGTCTTTGGATCCAATATGCCTTCTATTCTGCAGGTTCTTGATCGTGGAGAGAAAATTGAACTTCTGGTTGATAAAACTGAGAATCTTCGTTCGCAGGTCAGTTAATTGTCTCATTTTCAGCTTATCATGTGATGCTGACTTGTCGTATACAAAAAATTAAATTAAAATTATATAGAATTATCAGAAATTAACCGAAACATGCATGGTTGTTTGAACCTATCCCTGTTATTGCTATTTACGTAACTGCAGCACTTTGAATTAATTTGTCCTAATCCGTATAGATGGACTTTATTGTTTGTTGGTTTTTTTTATTGTTTTCACACCTTCGGAAGCTAATTTGATTTCCTTGTTATCTATATTTCTGTGTTATGCCATTTAGATTACCATGTATTGTATGAGATGTTTCCTTTCTTCTCCTTCCCGGGGCTAATGATGAGATCAAGTTGAGTCAAGATCTCAAGCTTGACTGACAATAACAATATATTAAGTTTATACTGAAATGACAATTTTATCTGGGCACATACTTTGAATTTGAGTTTGTCCTTGTTTTAAGTTCAAGTTCAAATTTATATTTGCTACTTGAATTGCATAGTTGGAAACACGAAGATTTAAATGAATGTAAGCTCATTTATTGAGACAGTTAATTTCCTCAAAAAGGAAATTTGTACTTCAGTTTTAGTTATTAATTGGTAATTGTCAACACTTAACAGCATATATATAATGTTGGAGTAGCATTACACGGGTCAAGCATCAAACTTTGATGCTCGAACTTGAGTTTTTATAAACTGAGCTCAAATTGATTGTTTTCTTCTTCTTCTTTTTTTTCTTTTTTTAAGTTGAGTTTCACTTGCTGTATTTATTGTGTTTCACATGGGATTTCTTTTCATTATTGTGGCATTACTACGAAGCTGGAACTTTTTGGTATTGGCTACACCGACTTTTTTACAAATTACAACCAACAGCATAGCTGAAATGTTTGATTGCTATCGAACATTGGTCACAGGCACAGGATTTCAGGACACAAGGAACAAGAATTAGGAGAAAGATGTGGTTTCAAAACATGAAGATAAAGCTGATTGTTCTTGGTATTATCATCGCAATAATCCTTATCATAGTTTTATCTGTTTGCCATGGATTCAAATGCCATTAATGTGTGTGTGTGCCTGCCTGCCAATCTGCTGCTTTCATTTCTCCCTAAATTCTTCGGCAACTTGCGATATCCGAAATTCAATTCTGTATTTTTGCAAGAGATAGTGTAGTTTCTGTATAGAGTATAGGTTGTGTTTTTGCCTGAATATATTGGTAGAACACTAGAACTAGAACTAGAACAAAACTCAACTTGACTTCAGTGTTGTGTGCATCTGTGTTTGTTCTAATATTGTAGTTGGAATTTGAAATTTTAACCCTTCCCTTCTCTCATGCCAGGGATTTTTATTTTTATGTTTTAAATTTTTATCGGACTAGATATTAATGATGATAAATTCCTATTTTTTTTCTTTTTTCTTTTTTTCATATAATATCTAGACATTTGTTATATTAGTTAACTAATTATATTTTAATTATATTATAACATAACCAAATTACCCTTTTAACTTTTTTTTAAAATAATGTATCTTTCACAAATTCCAGTGGAATGCGTGAATGTGTGTGCGTGCTAATAAGAATAATAATAATGCAGCCACCCGAACGAGTAAGACAAAGGACATATTTCTTTTAATTGGATTTGAAATTTTGAATTTTTTTTTATTTAATATCATAATATTATGTAAGAAAATAGCGAATATACATCTTTCTGAGTTAAAGACTAAATAAACTTTTCTTTTAAAAAAAACGTATCCTAAACTTACAAGTCTTGACTTCAACTGTTTCAAGAATGAAATTCCTTATATACAAGTCCAGCAATCTTCATTTCAGGAGATAGAAATGGAGCACTTGCAATGGTGCTATCGTCTCTTAGGAGATTCCCTCTCTTCTTCCACACCACGATTAACATTAAATAATATACATAAATGTTCTGAACATCTCTTAGATACCTTGCAGAAATATCCAATAAATGCCAACTTTTTTTTTATATAATTATATTTAATTTTATTCTCTAATATTAATATATTATTTAAATATAAATACATACGTACTTTACTGCTAATGTGGCAGTAAAAGAAAGTAGTGTTGTAACATAAAGAACTCCAAATTTGAACTTTTTGTTGCCGATGCTCTTAGGAATCAGTGGCAAACACAAAAGCTTATTCATTCAATCATTTTTAACCATATAAAAGCGCTTATTTTTACGTCAATCAATCATATCAAATCCAATAAAAATAAAAAATAAAAAAAATACTTTATAATAAAAGAAAACCAAGAAATCAAGACAAGGTGGAATCAATCATACCCCCCACCCCACCCCACCCCAGAGCAGCACAGCTCTATACTAACTAACAGAAATTGGTAATTGGATTTGGGTGCCTCGATTCTGCCCGTAACTTTTTACTTCTTTAATAAAAAACAAAAACCCACAAAATCTGAAAACCAAACCAAAGCTTGCTTACAAATAAAACCAAAGCAGCAAAGAAACACGATTCAGCACTGTAGCCCACATCACCCCAACACTATTATAAGCCCCCAACCCAACACCGATAATACTTTGATGATGATGATGACGATGACGATGATCAACATTGAAACACCACTTGAAAACCAAAACCAAAACCAAGGCAAAGAGCAAGAAACAACCTTCAAACTAAGCTTGAATCCCGCCGCCGCCGCCCCTTGGCCGGTTGCCCACCCTTCCTCGGCCACGGCTGTAGCCTCTGCCGCCTACACCACCACCATCAGCACCTCGGCCTCGACCATATCCAGCTCCTGTCCCTACATATTAAAACAATGTTAATAACTTCATTACCATAGAGCAGGGAATTGATTGGGATCTGTTTATGTATTTTATGAATTGGATATATTATATAAAGCTGAAAAGTGCACAGGCACTGACCGCGATAACCCCAACCCCCACGACCACCGCCACCCCCTCTACCCCCCCAGTTCGAATATCCACCAGAATAGCCACCTGAATAACCACCTGAATAACCGCCTGAATAACCGCCCGAGTACCCCCCATTGTCTGCCAACAGGGTCATGTAATCAGAACCTCAAATATTATTACATATAACACAGTTACAAGATTTAGTCGATGCAATTTTATTTAACATTGATGGTAGAATGGGTACCTTGGTAGTAGTTGTAATTTCCATAACCACCCCTGTTCCAGCCTCTTCCCCTCCCTCTGCCACGGCCCCTTCCCCGCCCATATGTATCTGAAAATCGAAAACATCATTCAATTTACAGTTTTTCCATGCGGGAATTGCTATAGTAGACTAAAACTTCAGCCACATCTGCTACCTGTGTTGTAGACAGCGCGTGCTTGTCTAGGTGGTTGCTGTTGCATTGGCTGCTGTGATTGATAGTTGTATTGCTGTTTAGTTTGACCAACATTAACTGGAGCTTGATACCTGAGTTGTGCAAAGCACAAGATTGATCGGGTTAGAGCGAGTTTAAAACAAACATCAGGGTAACTTATCAAACTAATAAAAAGACAACATCAAGACAGTTCTCATTAATCAGACTGAATGATTGCTACCGTTTTGTGACCACAGCACTTAGACCCTAATAAGATAAAGGATTATGAGCTTACCCAGGTGAATTCTTGTTAAGTTCTTTAGTAGAAAGGGTAATTGTGATCATTGAGACATGGCGTGTCTGCTCCACACTGTACATGCATAAAAAGCAATGTTAAGAGTAAATAATCGCAGTGTTCTTGCACATAATGCAGTATATGGAGCTATGCACAGTGCGAGAAAAGTATAGTACGCGGTAGAGGGAATAGAAAATTACATCTGAAGGCCCTCTTCAATGGGTTCAAAGGTATCTGTTATGCTCACTGAACTGATGGCGGTATCTTGATACAATCTAGGAACTCTTCTCTGTTTCAAACAAAAAGCAATCCAAACCATCAAAAAAAGTAAAATACATTCAACCATGGAAGCCGAACTAGCACACAGAAAATAGACAGGAACCTTTATGAACTCTGCAATTGCCACAGTCTTGCTAATTGCCTGGCCCATTGCTTTTAAGACAATCTCTCTAACTTGCCTCTCCTGAAGAAAAGACAAGTAGTCTAAAGGATGTTACATTAGGTTTGAGCAGATAGGAAAACAAACACCAAAGAGCCGCGCCTGGAACTCAACTGGCAGAAGAGATCCATCTAAGTGAAAGAGTTGCATAACAACATAGGCAATTAAAATGAGATTAATCTTCATGTAATTAACGGTAAAAATGTGGGGTTAATGAAGATGGATGGACACATAAATTGCACCAAACAGAAGTATAAACTAGCATCATCAAGGAATTGTTTATGTCTAGCTCTAAAATATTTAGCCCTTAGCAGTCGATCTAATGTTTTTAGAAATTCTCATTATCTTGTTCAGAACCTGTTCTCTCTCTGCTACCACCCCTAGCCCCCTACCTCAGTATAACAGATACACATACGCAGATCATATACATGAGGGGGGCCAAAAGGTGAAGAAAGTTCTAGAAAGTGTCTTTACAGAGCATAACCAAAACATAAACAAGTAGACCATACCCTAGGTAAATAAAATAATGGATTTAAATGTTTGCTACTGGTGAATATTCAACACAACATCATTGCAATTGCTAGAAGTACATCATGAAACCCAACACTAACAATTAACAAAAAAATTGCTACGTAAAACAGCAAGTACAATAACATTCCACTCGGTGGCCTCTCAAACACCTTAAAACAATAATGAGTTTGTAAATATCCACATTCCAAATAACATGATAGAACAACATAGAAAATACTACATGCGAAGCACCCAGTAGGACATACATGGCGTATTTCCAAAAACAATTCCTAAAGCATATAAATATTTATATAAAAACAAAATTACAAAATCAGAATTTTAAGCACCGACAGATAGGTAACAAGAACCTCAAAACATTGAACACAAATTAAAATAAACCAAGATTCGAGAATGACAAGAACATTAGATGCATTATATTGCATTATGCAATTAAAATCAACCATTAAGGTAAAGGACAGGTAAAACTCAAATACCAACAAGCGACTTTGACACAAATACTCTCGAACAGTACAAACGTATACAGATTCAGAACATTAAGAATTTAACCCCCAAGAGATACAAAACATAAAATACAACGCAGTGCGTACCTGAAGCAGAGTGGTGGCATAGCTGATGTAGTTACGAACTAAACCCTGAGATGTGATGCGAATCTCATTCTCATTAACCGGCGATTCTGGCTTCGGTTTCTCCACCTTTTGATACCTATCCATGGTTTCCCTTTGGCAGAATTTCAAAACCCTGAAAACCCTAGAGGAAGAAGCCGGATGGACAAAGCAATATATACATATATTTGAATAAGCAGTTGAACCAGCACAGAGACTGGACGCAAAATCTCATGCGCTTCCAGAAGGTACCATGCGAAGGAAGGGTCGGTATTTTTTGGGCTTTTGGGCCCAATTTGATGGGCCGAAATTGGACACTGACAATTGACAAGCACGTAAAAGAGACTTAGCAGGCCTTGTTTGGGCCCTCTGTGACAACTAAGGCCATTTTTTTAAACTAGTTGAATTGATAAAATATAATTAATAAATAATTAAAAATTTGTTTATTTTGTTTCAAAATCTTATGTATTTACTATTTATATTAATAATTTTTTTTAAAAAAATATATTTTTTATTTTATAAAATATCTTTTAATATATTATTTTAATATAATTAATAAATAATTAAAAATTTATTTCTATTGTCCCAAAAACTTATGTTGTTATTATTTCTATGATGTGTTTTTCGAAAAATATATATTTTTATTTTAAAAAATTATTTTTGTTTAGATATAACCTAAATTGATCAAACTTTGGTCTCAATATAAAAAAATTTTGTTTCAATAAAATTAAAATTCATTATTTTTTATCTCAATATAACTAAAACTCATCATTGTTGGTCTCAATATAAAATTTTTATCAATCCAAATATAACCAAAACTCATCATTTTTTTTTATCAATATAATCAAACCTTATATTTTTTGGTCTCACCGTCAACAAATTGACGAAAAATACTGACGTGGACCTGCAAGATTATGCAATTTTTTTGATATAAATATAATGTTTGATTTTTTTTTACGTCAACATTTTTCGTCGGTTCGTTGATGGTGGGACACAAAAATAATATTTGATTATATTGGGACAAAAAATATGAGTTTTGGTTTTATTGAAACTAAAATTGATAAAATATTTATATTGAGACAAAAAATCATGAGTTTTGGTTATATTGAGACCAAAATTGATAAATTTTTTATATTTAGAGCGAAATTGATGAATTTTAGTTATATTGAGACAAAAAATAATTTTTTTCCCTAAAAAAAATAATTATAAATTAATATTAAAATAATTAAATAATTTAATTAAAATAAAAAATTTATAAATCATAAAATTTAAAATGTTACAATTTATACTACCTATTTAACATAATAAATATATTTTTAATTTACCATATATTACAAACAAACGGTCACCCTTTCAACTTACCATATATTACAAACAAATCGTCGTCCTTCCAGCGGGACGGAGGGAGTATTATTCATTTGTTTGGTGTGACTTTAAATTTAAAATTTTTATTTGAGTAATCGAGCCGGGTTTGGACCCGGATCCGATGCCGCCCCGTTTGGACTATGATACCGCTCTTCGCTGTCCCGAGGCATTGGCAACGAACTCCAGGTGCAAACATCTCTCTCTTTGTCCTTCGGTCGTTCCCTCGCCGATCCAGTTGATAATCTTTTCATTGAGTTGAATTCTTTACGAGAAACCGTTAGGCCTTAGCTGGAGAAGTGAGGTAACCCGACGGATCAATCTAATACCCCATTTAAATTTTTTATATATTAACTGCGACGACTTTTGAAATTTGGTGGATTGTCTGCCAAATGCTTGATTTATTCATTTATTTTTCTTTTTGAAAATTCTGCTGTGTTAGCTTAATTTCGTACAGTTTTCAGCATGATTTGGTATGGTCAATTTCTAGGTAATTTATCCGGATTCTTACGACTGGTTGATGATCTCGAGTAGAAAGGTCAGCCAGAGAGAGTGATCATTGATCTTATATCTGGGGAGTTTATGGTTAGGTACTTTCTTCTTCCTTGGGCATATTTTGGTGTGTTTCCTACTAAATTTGGTATGCGGGCGTGAAATCTTTTTCTCTTATGTTGGTCTCTGGAGTAAAAGATTATTGTTTTAGTTGGGACAGATAATTATTGAGTAGAGCATGAAGAACAGAAGCAAGTGAAGAGTTAACAAGGCAGAGTGTAAGGATTTGAGTGCGAACTTGGTGATTTTTGTGCAATTTTAGGGTGTATTTGAGAGCAGTTAGGTTAGAGTTAATAATCAGTCTGGCCACTGGAACAAAAGTGTTTGCCGGTGTTTTGGGTCAAGCAATGAAGCTTAGAATAGGGATCTGCATTTGATGAGGACATATGGGGAAGCCAAATAGTTCCATTTATCTAGCTGAAGCCATGACTGGTGAGGCACCTGGTCACCATGGTCAATGGACTCAGTTGGATTCACTGGACTTTGAATCTGGAGGTGTGGGAAAAGTCTGTAAAACTGCAGATAACAATGTATCTATTCAGACTGGAGAGGAGTTCTCCATGAAATTTCTGCAGGAGTGTGCTGCTGCTGGAATTGTTGCCTCTGTGCACGGTATCAATCCCAACTACGAGAAGAAGGTTGGAGTTTCTGATGTTAAGGATGGCCAAATGGTTTACGAGGAGTTAGCTCGAATTCTTTGTCTGAGGAGAATAGATTCTGAATGTGGCTCTGACATCACAGAATTTGCTTCAGCCAGAGGATCCATGTCACAAATTGATAATGGTGTTTACACAAGTAACGAAAGCATGCATTATAAGGAGATTGGTGCTAATGGAACCAAAGCCAATATATTGACAGTGGATGCATATAATGATCAGACTGCAGCAGCACTCAATGTTCCTGTATTAAATGAATCTGATTCATCAAGATCTTTATATTCTTCCGCACTAGGAGGTTCTAATGGTTCCCTATCTGGGAAGATAAAAGTTCTTTGCAGTTTTGGCGGTAAAATACTGCCACGACCTAGTGATGGAAAACTCAGATATGTGGGGGGTGAAACACGCATAATATCTATCCAAAAGAATGTTTCGTGGGAAGAACTGGTGAAGAAAACATCTGGAATGTGCAACCTATCTCACTCTATTAAATACCAGCTTCCTGGGGAAGACCTTGATGCCCTTATATCAGTATCTTCGGATGAGGATCTGCAAAATATGATTGATGAGTATGATGGAGTTGAGTATCCTGAGGGTTCTCAACGACTTCGTATTTTTTTGATTCCTTTGAGTGAATCTGAAACATCAAATGCATGTGATGCTGGTCTTGTTCAGCAGAACAATACTGACTATCAGTATGTTGCTGCTGTAAATGGCATTGTAGAGACTGCTCTCTGTAGTACCGTTGGAACTGATCCTATCCTACTTAACCACCAACATGAGCAACCTTCAGGAGATGAAATGTTCCATGCGATGCCTAATGAAGAAAACAGTTCAAGATATGAAAAAATCTTTCCATTTCCTGTGCATCCTGTTGAAATTAAGGATTCCCCTGGTGCCCTTGATCTGGCAGCTATTCTTAATGACACTGAGAAGTTGATAAGTTCTCGCCCAATAACTTCTGTTTCAATTCAGCAAGAAGATGTGAATAATGGCAAGACTACAATGTACAAAGACAACTCTTCATTTGGTGGTACCGATGGTCTGATGGTACTCAGCTCTGCTTTACCACTTCAACCTGAAGGTTCTATCAGCTACGCTGCTTCTCATGATCCCACTACTCATGTGGCTGTAAATTTGATGAATTCTCATGATCCTGTTACCAAACAAGATACTGTCCAGCTACAGGAAATGAACCCCTTGATTCTGAACAGGGAGAATTTCCCTAGTCAAGCAATGAAGCAGGGAAATGACAATGTTGGGATAAGCCATCCTGAGTGGGTTGCAAACATGGAAGGGACATTTGGTTTAGAAGTATCTCTTCCCCAAAATGGTAATTTGGTGGACATATTGCCCACATCTGGTGATTCCGTTGGCTGTTACCAGGGAATTCCTCATGCATCATCTGATCCAAATCTTCACGGTCAGAGACAGATGTCTCCTTTCCCTTCTCATGAAGGAGTCTCACAGTCATTTTCACTAAAATTGGAAAAGCCTCCATCATCTTGGTGCAGATTATCTACTGACCTACTAGAAAAACCAGTGGAACCGCATGAGAATGTTGGTTTTGTTAATACACAGCTTCCAACCAAGGTTTCGAATGGGGATCCACTTGTTCCTGCTACAGAAGTTTCATTTCTAAACCCCTCTTCTGGGTTTCCCACATCAAGCCAACTTGAAGTTACCGACCTTATAGGCTATACTGCTGGTAAAGAGCAACTATCAGAAACAGATTTTAGAAGTCAGATTTCAATGGTGCAGTCTCATAAAAATGGATGCGATTTAAATGTTGCAGCAGGGAATAGACCTGTTGCCAATGATCATCTATTAAGCAGCAGCAATCTTTTTGGTGCTAGTGATTCGTCAGCTGTTGCAAATGAGTTGGCAATGGGATTGAAAACTAACAACTATGAAGCATTTCCCCCCATGAGTCTTAACTCACCCAAACAAGATGCACAAGTTTCCAGGAATGTGATTCCGGCATCAGTCAATGCAAATCCATTGAATGATCTTGAGTTAGAGCAAGCCCAAAAAATTCATGCTGAGAGAACCTCAACTGTGGTAGGAAAGGGTGTCCTGGAAAGCTGTTCTTCCTTCTCCCATAACTTTGAAGTTGCAGATCATACTCATGGATGTCAAGAAGAGTCTTACGATAATAGCAGCTATCCTAATCTCCTTGATGGGCTATCTAATTGTGTAGTTTCACCTGTGGCTGAAATTTGCCAATCTTTTGAAGGTTCAAGGGATGTTAGTCATAACAAACTTAGGTTTGGGGAGCATAATGATTTGGATCAATCTGGTGTTGTTGATGATGCAAGAGGGAGTGAAAATCAGCATAACTCTGCTACTTTATCCAAGAGGGAAGTTTCACTGCTAGATGTCGACCTGCCTAATTTTCCAGAAAAGAGGGCCAAGAATCCTGAATTTGCTGGGACTTTTAATGAACAGATGAAATCACGAGATGGGCAACTGGTTACTCATGTCATGCCGTGTGAACAGAAGCCTGGATCTGGCACAGAGTTTTCATCTATTATTCCTTTTTCAGATGTACCAGCTGCTGACAATGCACAAATTTTACCATCGCCTGCAGATGAAGCACAGAACACTTCACAGGATCTTGAGGTAATAACTCTCTCTTTGTGTTGTTCCGACAATCTCTTCTTAACATGTGCATGACATAATTGATTCCCTTCTACTGATGCAGGATGTTAATGCTGATAGTCATGAAGAAGAATTGTTTAGTGATGCAATGATAGCTGAAATGGAAGCGGATTTATATGGTCTTCAGGTATGCCTTCACTTTTCATTATAAGAGAAGCTCAATCTAAGGTCTTAAACAATTTCCCGATGTGGTTGGGTATCCTATATGCAGATTAAGAAGAAATTTGAGTCTTTCTCTATTTATATCAGAAAGTTTATTGTCAAACAAATGCAGATTTTAGGGGGTCTTAATTGGCCAAGGGTTAACTGTCCTTTTTTAGAAGATTATACTTATGCACTGTTATTAACATGGATAGTCTACTTTTTAATATGAAACTTGTGCACCCCAGCGTTTGGATCATTTGTATCTCCTTTCCATTTTTTACTCCAAAACCATGCTTCTCTTCATGTAATCCAAACCAACCTGTCCATTGAATTTTAGGATAGGAAATGTTAGATTTTCCCAACTTATCTTATAATTGTGGTTCTAGATAATAAAAAATGCCGATCTTGAAGAATTGCGAGAGTTGGGATCTGGCACATATGGAACTGTTTATTATGGAAAATGGAGGGGTACAGATGTTGCAATCAAGAGAATTAAGAAAGCTTGTTTTTCTGGGAGATCATCAGAGCAAGAACGATTAGTAAGTTTTCACAACTTCTTTTATTGGAATGATCTTATGTACCTGACATACATATGATGTACCTGGCATACACATGACGTACCCATTCCCTTTTCAGACCAAAGACTTCTGGCGGGAAGCGCGGATTCTATCAAATCTTCACCATCCAAATGTTGTTGCCTTTTATGGGGTGGTTCCCGATGGTGTAGGGGGGACATTGGCTACTGTGACAGAATTCATGGCAAATGGATCACTTAGAAATGCTCTACTTAAAAAGGACAAGTACATAAGTTCCCCTTCTATAATTTTGCAATATCAAATCATGGTTGAGGCTTGACTATCTGAAATCAAATGCAGAATACTTGATCAGCGTAAAAAGCTTATAATTGCAATGGATGCAGCATTTGGCATGGAGTATTTGCATTCCAAAAATATTGTCCATTTTGATTTGAAATGTGACAATTTGTTGGTAAATTTAAGAGATCCACACCGACCTATTTGCAAGGTACTTAATGATCAATTACAGTGACAAAAGTTTAGAATAATTATTTAGTAACCACAAATCTTAAGATTATGCACTTGAATTTGACATGATTTCATTGATTGCTTTCCCCCTTTTCCTTAATACAACAATAGTTACCATACTTGACGCCTAGAGATCTAATGCTTATTCAGCCCTATTTGGGACTTGAGGATGTAGGAACCTGGCATATAGAAATTAATCACCTTATCATCAAGGGTGGCAATTGCGGTCGTGATATGAAATTTTACACGAACCTAATTAAAAACTTTGTGAATTTGGATTAAGTTTTGTGGGTTCATGTCAAATTTGGGTTAAACCCAAATCTCTATTGACCTGCGAAACAATCAGGTTAGGTGTGGATCAATCTATACTTCTTGAGCTTTATGCATTTCAAAATTCAAATTCAAATTCAAACTAGGAATCCATCAAACTTACCTGATCGACACCTCTACCTATTCTTTTTTTATGTTTCCCGTAGTTGTAACTGAATTAGCCATATAGGCCATTGAGATCTTTATATGTTTTGCTGTAAATGGGAGAAGAACACCGTTATATAAGCAAAAACACATGATAAAAATAGTAGATGCCACATGGTAAGTGGTGCCGGAAACAACATGTATAAAGAAAACTCATAATGACATTGCTGCAGGCAAGGACTACATAGCAACATGATTATTTACTCATTTCTTGATGACTGAGGAATTGTTTGCAGGTTGGAGATTTTGGACTATCCAAAATCAAACGCAACACTTTGGTATCTGGTGGTGTTCGCGGGACTCTACCGTGGATGGCACCAGAATTGTTGAATGGAAGCAGCACTAAGGTATCTGAGAAGGTAAAGAACTATCTGTGCTGTTTTGTACTACTATGAGTTTCTTCTACTTTCCTTTATTATTCCATTCTAAGTGTTTTTAACAGTTTCTTTTTATTTTCGTAACATCTATAAAACCTTAAACTGTCTCACAGTGTAATGGGCATCTATGGTTAGATTCTTTGAACTTCATGCTACTCCTCGAGCAGCCATGAAAACATCCAACGTCTTGTATTCCCACTGGCAATCTGTGTAACACTTGAAACTAGTTAACATGTAATATGACTTTGACAGGTTGACGTGTTCTCATTTGGTATAGTCCTGTGGGAGATTCTGACCGGAGAAGAACCTTATGCAAACATGCACTGTGGGGCAATCATTGGTGAGCTTATTTCAACTTTCTATGACACAAAAAACATATTTTGCTATATTGACTGCCCATTTATTATATAAATGAAACTAAATTTATGTGTGTCTATGAATTGAACTTTAAAATTGAATTGAGAAAGTGTATGTTGAATTTGGTTTCCTATTTCTGGAATCGATTCTAACTTGCGAATGCAGGAGGAATCGTGAAGAACACCCTCCGGCCTCAGATTCCAGAACAATGTGATCCGGAGTGGAGGAGCCTCATGGAACAATGCTGGTTGGCCGACCCTGACGGCAGGCCCTCCTTCACCGAAATCACCTACAGGCTAAGGTCTATTCACACGGCAATCGAAGCAAAGGGTCAATCCAATTCGGTGAGACACAGAACTAACAAATAATCTACACATCAACTACAGTCATCGTATAATATATCTTATATCTTGAAGTTTTGTGGTGTTCCTCGTGTTCATTGTTGGGGTATGGTCTCTTTTTCCATTCTTGTGTGTATTCTTCCTCCCCTCCCTTCCCCTCCATTACATACATATATAGTCATCATTCTTTGGTTCTTTTTGGGGATTGAAAGCGTGGTTTGTCTGCTGCAATATGCGATGCGATTTGTCGGTGTAAATCGTGATGCAGAATATATCTGCTGCATTTGCATGGCTTCAAAATTTGAATTCTGAAGGCTTCTCCACTTTGCCGTTTCTCTTTTCTATGTATCATTTTTTCTTTTTCATGATAACAGTGGTAATGAATAATCACAATACATGAGTACAAGCTACTCACATGCACATTTTATTATTTTCTTACTTCATTTACTATATATGTTGTCTTACATGAAAAAACTGCCTATGTATAAAGACAAAATATATAATATAATATAAATCGTGAGTGTGTGTGGAATAAATGTAAGAAATATAGTTTATAATTATTTTGTACTGTACTTTTATTAGTAAAGACAAATGGTGTGTTTTTTTACACAAAAAAACTCTAGGTTCATTTTCAAAAGACATTTTTTTTTTCTCAGGAATATCTTATCGTACATTTTAATATCAAATTAAAATCAAATTTTTTTTCTAACTTATAAAAAATAACAAATCCAAATTAATACTCCCTCCATTTAACTGTATTTTTATTTTGGGAAGTTTAATTACAAAGTAAATATTTTATTAAATACCTAATTTTTTTTACAAATATTTTTATTTTACATCGATCACATAGTTACTTTGGCAAAAATGTTATTATTCTTAAACACTGCGTCCAAAAGTAAATGTATAATTTATACTTGGACGGAGGGAGTACTAACTATTATTTCATTCATCCCTAAATCTATTCTTATTTTTTTAGTTCTACGGTGAAGTAAACAAATTAATATTTAATTATTATTATTTTATTTATTTTTATTATGTTTTCTCTTTATTTATTTTAATTATTAATTTAATTATTTTTTTTTTTAAATAAAATATTTATGTTTTCTTAATCTAGGCGGACCGTCAATGAGTATTTATTTTTATAAAAATTGTGTTCAAATATTTTTATAAATGACGGATTGAGAATGTTTTTTGTTTGGTATTATATGTATGATATATTGAGAAAACTTCATCTATAATTATACCTTATATATTCATATTATTCTACGTATATATGTAACAAAAGAATCAGTTTCTTTTGGGGGCTACAATTCGGGTTCGTGTGTGTGGAATAAAAAATATAAAAATATATATATATATAATAAATGTAAGAAAAGAAAACTTAGGGCAGTGGAAAATACAATGGTTATATTAAAAATGTAAGTCACAATTATTTATTTTCCCACTAGCGTAAATATCATCGTTAAAGTGACGGAGATTTTACTACGGTTACGGGGCGTTGACGCGTGGGCGGTGAATGCCAGCGTGCCGAGACAAGTGTATTTTGCGCACCGGCACGGCTGTTCCGTTTCCCCACTATTTTCGACGTGACCGCTCTTCCGGTACGCTCTCTCTGCCGTCTGTTCATCTCAACGCGCAACAATTCTCACTCTCCACCACTGTTCCTCTCCATATTCTACTCAGTTTCTGCTGTTTTTGCTTCTTCAAGTGCCTGCAGATCTGGATCAAGTTCTGAATCCGTCGGAGGTGCGGGCTGCGCCGCCGATGGCCAGAGCCGCTGACTCAATTTCGTCCTCGAGCTCTGGCGAAGTGTCTATCGAGTTCGGGGAGCATGCTCAGAAGGTAACTGATACAACGCAGGATGCTACTCCTACAGGTGGCGCCGCTTGTCCCTCGCTCTCCGATGGCGTTGGAAGCAACTCTTCCGGTAAGACAGGGGTTTTGGCTTTGTAAATTGTGGATGAGTTCGAGAGTTTTGAGATTGTTTTAAGGTGTTTATGATTGTTAGTGCGGATGTGTTCGTGCTACAATTTTGGTCATATTATGTTTGCTTATCTTAGGTAAATTGGATGGATTTGTTAAATACGGAATTGGTTGTGATTAATTTTGAAAGGGAGCGCACAGGAGATATATATTCGACTAAATTCTATGCTACCTGAAGTGTCGAATGAGCAGTTGGAGTCAGAAAAATCAAACATAGAGCGGCGAAGGGATAGCAATATACTTGCCGAAGAGGCTTTGCAGATATTTGATGATCGCATTCCGGTGCAACAAAAGGTAAAGATCCTTTTTAAAATCTTAAATATTGTTTCATATACGATAAGCTGTGGATGACTCTTGGTAATTCTTGGTAGGATCTTGAAATACTAATCTGAAAAGTTTTGCACTTGATTGAACTAATTATTAAATGATTATATCTGTGTTCAGGTGGACATGCAATACATATGTCCCTGCTGTGTGAGGAATGATTTTATTGCTAATTTTTGTGTGGCCATCATGCATGGATCTTTGTTAAATATTAAAAACACTGCAGCTCCAATTGTTGAACAGAATAGCTACAGTGAAAGATGATGGAACTGTAGAATTTGAAATTCCAGGAGATGTTGCACCTCGTGCTCATGGGGTTCATCAGGAGAACATATATACTAAAGCTGATGAAGAGCACCTTGACATGGCAGAGCTCAAGCACATCCCTCCATTGCAAATTGTAATGCTTATAGTTGGAACTCGTGGAGATGTGCAACCATTTGTTGCGATTGGGAAGCGACTACAGGTATTTGAAGAAATTCTAACTCAGATGCAGCATTGATAGTATAGAAAAGTATTACGATCACTAGATTGAGTTGTTAAAGACAAAAGTGGAGGTACAATTGTACAAAGAGCAATTTTCTTGTAATGATAGCATTAAAATAATTGTAAGGATTTTCTTAATTATTTATTTCCAAAAGTTGATCTTGGGTTCCTTGAAGTCGTTGATGAAGATGATTGGATGCAGGATTATGGCCATCGTGTTAGATTGGCCACTCATTCCAATTTCAAAGAGTTTGTATTGACATCTGGATTGGAATTTTATCCTCTTGGGGGAGATCCAAAAGTTCTTGCTGAGTGTATGTTTCTAGTACCCTACTTTTTTTTTTTGGAGCTCATTGTGTTCACTCTACTATGATATAGTTGAACTACCGCTTTTGTCCTTGTGGCCATTGATCAAATCTAAACCATTGAAGATCATGCAAGCCTTAAAAAATCTATCTAAAACTCATCTCCCTGAGCATACCCACATGTTTTATATACTCAAGATTGGGGTTGATCTGTATGTCTAAAATCATTTATTTGATCTTCACGTACATTCGGACATCTCACTATGCACCAATCAAGAACATTTTTATAAAAACAATTTTTGAAACTGTTTCTTTGTCGAACTATATGGCTTTACAGCTTAAACATAAATCTTATGCCTGAACTAAACTGCACCTAAAGATCTTTGTTTTTATTATGTGTGCAGGCAGATATATTAGGAAGTATTCAACCATTTGTTTTACCTGACAAGATGCACAAATAATAACTTCTCAAAACTTCATTTTCTGCAGACATGGTAAAAAACAAAGGGTTTTTGCCCTCAGGGCCTTCAGAAATACCTGTACAAAGAAATCAAATAAAGGACATTATATATTCATTACTTCCAGCATGCAAAGAGCCTGATATGGACACTGGAATTCCATTCAAAGCAGATGCTATTATTGCAAATCCACCTGCATATGGTTAGATTTACACACATATATGTATATATTTATTTTTTTTGCATCTTCATTCATTCTTATGCTTTCCCAAGTTTGTAATACAACGTTCCATAGTTGTACAGTTTCTTGTGAAGATTGTTCCCGGTATAGAATTTCCTCCCCTTCTAGAGTCTAAGTGCATATAAATTTTGAAAATGCTACCAGAGTTTAAGGGTGTTTTCCTTTGTGTTTTCATTCCTATTTTCATTTAAATTTTTACATAAAAAAGAACAACTTGTTCTCTATTCAAAATATCTCATCCGAACATTTGTTGTTCATTTGAAACATCATATTCAACGTTTATTTCCTATTCAAATTTTTTCTATATCCAAGACAACCCAAAACACTAAAATACTTCCAAAAACACAATTAACCAAACCCATTATTCTATTAAAACAACGCATCAAACAATTATTTTCCATTAAAAACCTCACATCAAAACCTATTTTCAATAGAAAAATTTTCCTAATCCCAAAACCCATTCTTACAGTTTAATGAATGACTTGCGTCATTATTAACTGAGGAATTGCTGCAATTTCACTGAAGAACCAAATGGCATCACATGTTAGTGGTAGACATGCTCCAAACATTGGCTTAATTAGATGATTAAGTTCTAGCGAACTTTTGCAGATGTTTTTGCATCAGCTTACTGATTAGTGGTTAAATCATATATGTATTTCTATGCACTAACGTGGTGTTCACTGCAGGGCACACACATATTGCTGAGGCTCTCAAAATACCAATTCATATATTTTTCACAATGCCATGGACGTAAGTCTTGTCTGAATCATTTTGAGCCCTGGAAATCATTTTTGTTCTTTTTGGTTCAGCAAAGAAACCAAACTCTGGTTGGTCTTTTCACAAATTTCTTCCATGCGTAAATAATCTCTTGCCTCCTAACCAAGTGTGTTTTGGGCCAGACCTACTAGTGAATTTCCCCATCCATTGTCTCGTGTTAAGCAGTCTGTTGGATATAGAGTATGTCTTCTTGATCAGTTTATTTTGTATTTCTTCTTTTGTTAAGTAATATTATTATTCAGTCATATATAACAGCTTTTCCTTGAATGCCCTTGCAGTTGTCGTATCAGATCGTTGATTCATTCATCTGGCTTGGAATAAGAGATATGATAAATGATCTAAGGAAGAAAAAGTTGAAGCTGCGGCCAGTCACATATTTGAGTGGGTCACATGGATCTGAGTCAGACATTCCACATGGATACATTTGGAGTCCGCACCTTGTTCCTAAGCCCAAAGGTGCTCTTTCTCTCAAACAAGACCAATTGTTGGTTAATGTGATGATTGTGCAAAGTGAATAAACTACATGTAGTTAAACATGATTTTTGTCTGTCCATATCTTTCACAACTCCTCATGAGCTTATATTCAGTCCCATGCACAGTTTATCTTTGCTTATCGTTTCTGATTGAGTAAATGGCAATCTCACCATGCAGATTGGGGACCCAAGGTTGATGTTGTGGGATTTTGCTTTCTGGATCTTGCAACAAATTATGAGCCACCTGAGTCACTAGCTAACTGGCTTAAGTCTGGCTCACAGCCTATCTATTTTGGGTTTGGCAGTCTTGTGAGTATACTATCTTGTTTATAATTTGACAGCAATTGCTTTGTTTAATTGAATATCTGTTTTGTATAATTATTATTGAATACAAATAGAGAGAGAAATAGGAAGTGTTGAGTTTTGTTATTTGACAATTGATATAGAGAATTCCCCCAAATGAATGCTTCGTTTATCGAACCTAATAGTTTGCAGAAACTAGGTGAATCATGTGTGGCAAGCAAGATCTACAAGTAGGTCTTTTCAATGACTACGGATCTGCTTGTTTGTGATTTGGTATTTTTGTATATTTTTTGGCATTAGTACAAACTTAGAAAATTGGTGTTTGACATGATTTTGATTCAATGAAAAATAGGAGTTTGATATGAAGTGTTGAATATAAAATAAGTTTTTCCATGTTATATTTTAAATGGAAATAAGTGTCTGTGCGATGTTTTCTGGGGAGAAAAATAAGTTACTGTAGTTTGCATAGTGCATAAATAGTTTGAAAGACACAAACAAGCTATCTCATATTTATATGTCCTAGTTTCTTTATACCTTGAAAACATTAATTTTTCCAGCTTGCTTTATTTTATGATATTTGTATTGTCTCTCAGCCCATTCAGGAGCCTGAAAAAATGACACAAACAATTGTGAAAGCATTAGAAATAACTGAACAGAGAGGAATTATAAACAAAGGCTGGGGTGGCCTGGGCAACTGTGAGTTTCCTTTTTATGGTTGATTTTTTCTCTAATGAATCATTACTTTCAATTCCATGTGTCCTTGCATTTTGATTAATCCAAGATTGAATACCTGTTCTCAGTAGCAGGAGAAAAGGACTTTGTATATTTGCTGGATAACTGCCCCCATGACTGGCTTTTCTTGCAATGTGCTGCAGTGGTGAGTTTTCTAAGTCCAGCCTTTTGATTCAAGCTTTCTAATATTTATCTTGTGAAGGTTATTTGTGAATTCATACACACTGGTGTTTCTATTTAATAAGTCCACTTTTTTTTTTTGATAGTTCTCTGCTGCTGCATGATTTCCTTTCTTTTATTTGTCATCTACTCGATCATGATTCTGGGGTAAAATTTTGGTTGAGGCCAGATATTATTTTTCAACTTATATAAATAATATCCAGCATGTAAAACTTCATATGTAGTGCTGCCGCTTTAAATGCAAATTATGATTTTATAAAATCATCTGAGTGTGGAAATTCGGGATGGCCGATTCTGCTAACTAGACATCTTATTCAAGCTAATGAAACTTCTGGAACCTCTCATTGCTTGGGAATTGTTGTGAGCATCTTGTGGTGAGCCTTATTTGCTGCTCAACGTGCTTTCAGGTACACCATGGAGGTGCTGGAACGACGGCTGCTGGTCTCAAAGCTGCGGTAATGACAATAAACATAAAATGGCCTCATGTTCACTTCCTCATTCCAGCGTATTCCCAACTGCTTTAATTTTATCTATTTTTTGGGGGAGACAGTGCCCAACAACCGTCGTCCCATTCTTTGGTGATCAACCCTTCTGGGGAGACAGAGTCCATGCCAGAGGTGTAGGTCCCCCTCCAATCCCGGTTGATGAGTTTGCACTCCCAAAGTTGGTCGACGCCATTAAGTGTATGTTAGAACCTAAGGTACTTACAGCAGATACTTCCATTACATTCACCCACAAGTTTGCCTTGATTTGTTTGATCTAAACAAAAGAATTATCAAAATATGTAAGCAGGATAATTCATTCAGGTTTAAATCTTTGAAAGCAAAACTTTATTAACTATAATACACGCAGGTAAAGGAGCGCGCAATTGAACTAGCAAAGGCCATGGAAAATGAAGATGGGGTTACAGGAGCTGTGAAGGCATTCTTTAAACACTTCCCGCGCAAGAAAATTGAACTGGACGCAGAACCTACCCCATCGACTATTTTCTCCATCCGGAGATGCTTTGGCTGTTCATAGAGGTATGTATAGATCACTACCATATGGTTGCATTGCAAGCATGAGTTATTTTGTTCAATTGTGGTTAATTTATAGCTTAACTGAGTGAGCAAGTATAGGTCTGTTGTTCGATTTGGGTTTCGGATTTATTATTATAAATGTAGGTAGAGTGTGTATATCATCATTTCATAGATTTTGAATAAACCGATTTGTTGTTGTATAGTGTTAGGATTTTGGTGTTCAACTATTGACTTCATGATCAAAATAATTGTGTTTTGAATTTAAATTTATCCAAAGTGAACTCACAACCCAGCGATAAAAAACTGAATGACACCAATATCTAGGGGTGACAATTTCGGGTTGGCCCGGTTTTTTTGCACCGGCCCGGCCTGGTCCGCTTTTTTCCGGGCCAGGACAGACCTGGCCTATGGTGGGAATTGATCCCACAACCCAATAGTCATAACATTAAATTCAACTATTAGATCATACTTTTAATTTAGTTATATAATTATTTTTTATTTATATAAAAATATTTTTAAAAATATATTTAATTTATTAAATTGGGCCGGTTAGACATGGCCCGAAAAATTTTGAGTCTTTTTTTAAAGCCTGAACATAGTTTTTTTTGTGTCGAATTTTTGGATTGTTTTTATTTTTGTCAGCTATCCAGTATCCATTTTATCCTAAAATGTACTTCCAATCAGAGTGCATTGATGACTAATATTAATCTCTCAACTTTCATGGATCACTATTTGTACGTACACAAGTAGACAGTGAAGTGCAGTCGAAGATCACGATAGTTATTATTACATGTGTAATGAATTATCGATCAACTTGACATAATTAATTAAGCTGACCACACTACACAGCAGCAGCAGCAGCAGTAGCAGCTACAAAATCAGAGCTTGCTTTAGTTTGCATCCTGTCAAAAATACCTAATAATACTCGTTTGACATTTTTCTTTGTATTGTCACCTCACGACGTCGTATCTGCTTCAATTCATAATTCAATTGTACGTTTACCGTCAAAATCGATCTATCAACCTCCTGCATGCAAAAAATCCATTTACCTCAAAATTAAAAATAAAACCATCAACTTGATTACTGTAAATTAAATAAAAGTTAGCGCACATAGACACCACGGTTTAATTTCTTACCACCTTGCTGATTATAAGGGTTGGGTGGATCTAATTTGCTGCTACAAACCTTGTTAGCGCCCGCAGCTTGATTCTGCACCATAGAATATATATATATATGATATAGTGACGATTAGAAATACATATTATTTATTTATTTATTTACAACGAAAAATGTGTATATATATATGTGGATACCTGTGCTGCATGGAGACTGAGAAATTGTTGATATGGATCCACGAAGTTGGGCATGGGCATTCTTGGCGGGTCGGGTTGGGGCCGGGAGGGATCAACAACAGGCGGCGGCGGCGGCATGTGGAACGGAGGCGGCATAGGAAACCGTGGAGCCGCGGGAGGCGGCGGCATTGCCGAACCGGGAGGCAACATTCCCGGATATGGTACCATAGGCGGCGGCCTATTCATCCCGCCCATCTCCATGTTCATGCTTAATCCCATCCCCATTCCCATTCCCATCGGCATGTATTGCTGCATTCCCGGGTACATCATCGGGACTATCCCACACCCCATCGACATCATCTACATTATATATATACATACACGAAAAATTAATCATATAGGTTATGGCGGCAGCTACAGTGCTATGTATTGTGTGTAATAAGAACAAATGCTGTTTGTATATATTATAGGTACTGATTTGAAAATTTTAACACAACCATTCCCATATATTATATATTCTTAACAAAATTAATTAATTTTTGAGACAGAATGTACCTGCACTTGAAGCTGAAGCGACTTCAAGTACTCGATAGCTTCATCCAACATAGAAGCCTTGTCAGACTGATTGATGTAATTTGCACAACATGCAAAATCAAAATTAAAAATCATCACATCACTTCAACTCGATCTCTTCATGCACAACAATATTTCAAAATAATTAAAAACATAATATAATTAAATCATATTAGATACATACCTTGTTACAACGAGGTATGAGTTCTTGCAGAGCTCTCATCTTTTCATTAATCCTATCTCTACGCCTCTGCAAAATCAACCATTAACATAACATACTTAATTTCTATACTAACTTATCCCAAATAACACATGATTAAATTCAATGATATATATATATATATATACAAACCCTCTCCGATAAGTTGTGGACTTCTGCAGCTCGAGATCTCTTAGCCGAAGTTGAGCAACGGCCTTGTTTTTTCCCCTCATTAGCTTCAAACTCGATGTCCTACACGTCATCGTATATATAAAGTTATAAATTAATTCAGTTCATAAAAATAATGGTTTTTTAAAGAATAAATTTTATATATAGTATGCAGGTACGTTGTATTGTGTGTTTATATAATATGTTATTTAGTGTAGTGTAGTGTAGTAAAATTGCATTGTCGTCTTCGATCTCCTCCAAAGGGCTGAAGGGGACCAAATTTATTAGTAGCAATGAATATGTATATTGTGATAATGATTATATGATTCTGCAGCAGCAGCAGCAGCAGCAGCGCTGAAAACTATGCCATGCATGCCCTAATTGTATTAGGTTTTGGAAGACAGGAACACTTGCGGCTGTAATCCATCCACGTGGCGAAAGAAGAATGCAACTGCAGACATCGATTGCATTAGCATTCGCCACGTGTAACGGCGCGCCACTATCTGCAGGCCGCACGGCGACACTACCGCGCGCCGCAGTGCGCACCGCAAGGGCGTGAAATTGGCCGGCGCATGTTAGACTAGGGGGCGCACGGTAGAGTAATTTTTGGATTGTTGTTGTAATTATTTTATTTATTTATTTTACTATTTTTAATAAGAAGACAAAAAAAAAAATTAACCACGCGTTCGTATGGTTACCTCGCTCTGGCCGTCGTTATCGTCGGTTTCTCTCGATTTTCGTTTCCGATCTTCCGCCGGAGGCTTCTGCTGCGGTCTGCGCATCTCACCGCTGACGATGAAGCTGGCTCCAGATCCGCCGGGGGAGGACGTCACCGTGACGTCACGCGAACCTGCCGCTAAATCTCCGGCGAACGCCGTGGTGGCTGTGGCGGCGCCGCTGTTGACGTGCATCATCAGCCTGCTGTCGGCGGCGCTGCGAGGAATCCTTGACATTGGATCCAACGCCGGCGTCTCGTTCGATTCGACCACCGTGGATGTTCTGGCTGTTGTAACGGATGGCTTGTTCATCGGCTCGGTCCTTGTTCTGCTGCTTGGAAGCCTCGAGAAATGCACAAAATTCTGCAAGCGTGGGCTATTATCTGGCTTGGTGATCGACGAAGGTTGGGGCGGCGGAGGGAGGATCTCTCCGACGGTTCTCGGCTGCGTAACCGTACTGACCGGAGGAGGAGGAGGAGTGGTATTGAGGAGATCGGCATACAAATCTCGGTCGAAGGAAGAGTCATCGAGCGGATACTGAAGCCAGGACGCCATCTCATCCTCCTGCATAAACAAGTGTTGGTGCTCGTCGGCGCTTGGTCGGATCTCCTTCTCGACGTGAATCGCCGCCTCGCTGCCATAGGTACTCTTCTTTGGTGGTCTTTGATTTTGGCTCTGAACTACTACTTGTCCGTTTTGCCAAAGTAATTCCATAATCTCTTCTTCACCTCTAAAATTCAAAATTCAAAAATCACGAATCTCATATCAACAAATTTGTTCATACAGGAACATCCATGGTATGTAGAAAGGGGAGAATAATTTCGCAAAAGCTTACGTTGCTGGTTTCTTGTGTCTGGAAAACCCTGACGTAGTCGGACCAGAGTAGTCGTCTTCCATCTCAAAATCCGGAACACAGTGATTCATCTTCAAATCAGCGATTCACTCATACCAAAACGAAAATCCCTAGATTCACACCAAAAAAAACCCCAATCACCCAAATCACATCACAGATCAAATTACCAGTAATCTCATCTTCTTCTCACCTCTCAAACAAACCACTAGAAAGAAAAGCCAACAATACCTCTATGGAGTTGGAAAAGCATCTCCAATAATTCAGTCGTCCGTTCTTCTGTTTACTGTACTCCTCTTCTTCTGCACAGAAGATTCTTCCAAACTCTGTCCTGTTTATTCCTTTTGTAGTGGTGTAGAGCGAACCATAAATGATCTCCACTTCCAAATCGGGCAAGTTTTGAGGAGACTGTCAATGGAGGCCAGGCAGGTATTGTGTCTGGGCTTCTTTCACCTCTCTCCCTCTGGTTCCCCTTTTGGTTAATGCACAATAATAATTATGGCGATGATTGTTGGTTGTGATAAATGGCTCTTTGTGCAGGCAGCAGCAGCAGCAGATAAGGCCCTGTCTCTCTGACTCTCTGATGATGGAACAAATTGTGGAATATGTTAACAGTGATGAAGAGAAGAAAAGAGAGGGGGAACAAGACGAGAATTGATAATAATATTTGCAGAGGGTCCCCACTGCCTTTCTCATTTACAACACACCAATCATCCACTTATCATCAACTACTGGCCGGTACCATTTCTTTCTCTATTCTCCCTCCCCCCAAGTTTATTTCTTCTCTTTTTCTTCCCTTCCTATGTGGTGCCAGTTTTATATTTTTATTCCTCGTGCTTTTATTTTATACTATATTTTTTGTTGGTTTCTTTTCTGGGTAATCATCCACTGCGTCATTGCTTAGTTATCGCTTGCTTAATTTAGCCATGAATATTGATTATGTCCACAAGAATCTCTTAATTTGTTGTCTGTATCTTCTTTATAATTGAATTGGATAAATGACTAGTTTTATTATTTAACCGACTTAAATAATAACAATAGTAATCAACTAGTCTTGAGCTGAAGAACACCAATAGGCAATATAGCATATATATATATATATATATAGCACCTAGAAGAAGCTGGCTGTGGGGTTTTATTCTCTATTCCACAAGTTGGTCAGAACCGATAGCTCCAGCTCCAATCTTTGATTTGGAACTACGTTAGATAGAAATTACTGTGGACGATTACTCTGAAATCTGAATAAGGCGATTGGTTAATCCCAAGGCCTTTTTAAGGAACAATAAGTAATATATATATAGTATTTTATTGAATCATAGAGTTAGTTAGTTCTTTGAAACCTTATTTATTTCTGTTAATAGAAAAGCCTAAGAAAAATATATTCTATTAAACCTTGGAGATTAGATCGTAAAGAAGAATCTGTACGATTCAGATATAGGCAATGATTAAAGCATTAAAAAACGTACCTGATGATTATGAATAATTTTTTGGGTATTGTATTTTGACTTGTACAATTTAGAAGTTTATATATATATATATATATATGTGTGTGTGGTTTAGTGGGGTGGATAGTTCAATCGATTTTGAACTGTTCTTGGCTAATATTGGACGTCTTGTACTGCTGACTGCTAGCTTGTGATATCTGACAACTCATATATTTGACTGCAGTTATAAATAAGATCCATTAAATAACTTGAAAAACGAAAGGACCTTAATAGTTAATATATATATATATTGTTGTATTATTAAATGCCATTTCTGCTAGTACTATACTGCAATTCTACATGATATCGTAGACATACTATATGTTATTAATTTTATATTAATATAATATGATATATGTGAATCATCATAGCAAGAAAAGTTGAATCTTTTTCTAGTCACATCAAACTTTTATTATTGTTATTATGATTTCCTCTACCATCATTAATGTTTTTGACTCCCAACTTATTTTACGTGTAATTTCTATTATTGGGTTCCTCCTGGTATGGTACGAATTGTTTGAATACCTAGCTAGCTAGCTACCTACCACTGCTACTGCCAGTGCATAGGCTAGAAATACTGTCAAAATCATGCCCCAAAACAAATACTCCTACATGTTGGGATGGGTATACACTACAGTGAATTGTGTTAGAAACATAGGAGGTAGAAATTGTATACTCCCTCCGCTCTCGCAACAAGAGCAGCTTTTATTTTATACACATAAATTTTTTAATATTAATATTATATTAATTTGCAGTATAGAAAACGAAAAATGTTCTTATTAGTATGATGTATTATAAAAGTAATAGCATTTGTGTAATATATTGTAAATTGTAAGAATATTTATTATATTAGATAGGAAGTACAGTTACTAAATTAAGAAATAGTATCCTTATTTTGGAACCGACAAAAATAAAAAATAATATCTTTCTTATGGGACAGAGAGAGTACAAGAATGTATTACTCCCATCTTTCATCAAAATTTGTACTCATTCTTTTGTATTTTGCAAAGAAATTGAGTACATAAGTAGATGACAGGGGTAGTACTTCTTTCGTTTCAAAGATGGTGCAATATTTGTTTTCAACATAAGAATTTTCTTCCGTCTCAAAGGTGTGCAATATTTGTTTTCAGCATGAGAATTTAGATTAGTATCAAATATGATAATTTGGAAATCAAGTAATATTATTAGAGAGAAAAGTGTATTTATCTGAGTGATTTGATGAAATAAAGTGCGAGATCAATATGAAATATATTTAATTATTTTTTATCTTAGAAATATTGCAAGATGTTTAGGACAAATAAAAAGACAAATAAAAAGTGAAATATTGTTTGGTACGAAGGAAATAGTATAATAATTCTCCAATTACCTTTGCAAAATTAGCTATTCGCAGTTTGTAGTTGGAGATGGTCCAAGATGAAAATTTTTAAAATTTATGTATAGCTAATTTTGATAAATAAAAATAGAAGTAAATTAATAATAAGATAAGTTTGAAAATAATGTATAAACTATAAATAAAAATATGCTATTATTTATGTGGGACGGTCGACGGAGGAATATAAAATTGTAGTGTTTGTTAAATTGTTTATAGAGATATATAATATATATATAAATGTATCTTACTACTATTATTTAATTTTTCTTTTTTTATTTCTAAAAAACATTAAGGCTAGCTTTATTATTTCATTAAAAAACATTGGGTTTATTTGGTTTGAGTTTTTGGTTTATATAGTAAATACTATATTTTTATTAAAAAAATTATATGGATAAAGTCTAACTTTGTTTTTTTAATAAAATTTTTCAATATATTTTTTTTAAAAAAATTAATACATTATATATAATTTTTTATATATATTATCTACACAGTTTTTCATACCTTATTTAAAAAATATCAAAACACAAAACAAACACAATAGTTTTAAATCAAAACCAAACAAATTCATTTTGATTAACATTTACTCCATTTAACTTAAAAAATATCAAGGCTAAAAAAAAAAAAAAAAAAAAAAAAAAAGACTTTGTATACATCAGAATTTTGATTAATAAAATAAAATATGTTTATAATCAGAATCACGATTTGTTAATAAAATTAATATTTTTAAATTCAGAATAGGATTCTAACGAAAAAAATAAAGAAACATAAGAGAAAAAAACTATTTGGTTAAGAAAAAATTATGTACCCTTTTGTTCTTTAGTATATTTAAAAATAATACTAATAATGTTTTGTCGGTAGGTGAAAAATATGTGAGACTGTGACATTATTTTATAAAAATTAGAAATATTTTAATTTTTATATATAGATTATTCTGTTATAATAAAAAATAAATAAATAAATACTTGTGAAGTAGCGATGCCAAAATTGTAAAATTAGTAGGTTAAATTAGGGAGTATATATTATTATAATAGGAATTCATGACATCTGGCGAGGCTGAGGCTGAGGCTATCCATCCATCCATCCATCCATATGCTTTTAGTAGAATATAATACTCCAATAGCCTCAAATACAAGTCATATGTACGGCGGCGAATCTAAGCGAACCTTTAGTTCATCACAAACATGATTTAATTATTATTATTATTATTATTAATTAACTAACTGAAATCTTCTAGGATAGTGATACTTCCGAACCATTACATTTTCTTTTCTTTTATTTTATACTATTAAATTAGATGAGGACATTACTACTGTTTGCCAACTTGTGATAAATTACTAATATTTTGTTAGATCCATCCAAATTACACTAAGCTATTATAATTAATTAATCACTTGTTATCTTCTTCTAATTACTATACTCTTATTATTATAATTATCATTGCATCATCTATCATGATATATATATATAATTGTTTAGTTACATAACAATGATTAACGGTATAAACTGTCAATCACACACACATATATATATATATAAGGAGAGATATTGCTCTATAGAATACTACCGTATTAATTAATTAATTAATTAATTTTATCCAAGCATCTTGATAATTACAAGTATTTGTGTTTGTCAAGTATTTTGCAAATAAAAACGGTCGCGAGTCTATCTCCACAACACTAGATCATCTTTTACGGGACTTGTTTAATATTTATTTTTAATTTTTATTGCTACTTGAGTTGAGTTGGGTTGTGTCTGTCTGTTCTTATGGGTTGGCAGTAATATTCTTTGCACGTGCATGGTAATGAACCTTTTGGGTGTATGTGTTTGGTGCTTTGTGCAAATAGTTATCATATATATTTACAAACCATATAAAGCTTTATTCATCAGATGCAGTTCGCAGATTTTTTGTATTTGTTTTTCTACAGATATATAAACCTTTAAAGATATAAACTTCTTAAAAAGAAAAAAAAAAATAATAATAATAGAGAACGAACCAAAGTTTGAACTTATCACATGCATATCCAAATTTGTATTTAAGACTATCTATCTTCAGCACTGGAACTTGTTGAAGATCTAATAGAAATGATGATTGGTAAAATTTTAAATATGGTTATGTATGTATGCGTATCCGTGTTACTAGGAGGACTTTTTGTTAGTAATTATTAATATTCCCCCTCCAGTTGGTCTTTTTTGGGTGGCTGTCCAATTTATGGGATTCTTGGTCCACACACTAATTGGCACTTTTCATTTGGTGATGCTAACGAGTCGAATCGAACAAAATTTTATTAAGTGTTTGTGTTCATTCATTAATTTTGCAGACAAAGTTCGTGTTCGTCCGTCAACATTCGAGCTCGTTTGTATTATTTGAACTCAATGGCTTATAAATTTTATTATTCAAGTTCGTATTTGTGTCCAGCTCGAACAAGTTTGTTTGAGCTCATTCGAACTTGTTTGGATATGTATGGTATTTTATTTTATTATTTAATTCATATGTATGATATAATTTTATATATTTGTTTTCTAACGAATACATGTGAATATTTGTGAACAAGGCTCGGACTTGTTCGTTGAGCTTATTTATTTTGTTCGATTCGACTTGACTCGTTTAACAAGTCTACTTTTCACTTCATGGTCGCTTAACAATCTTGGCAAGTGGATTGGCGAGTATACATATGCATGCATGTTGTAGAGAGAATTGTAGTTGTAGATGGCCTCTAATTAACAGATAATCTCTGGAAATAGGTAACTTGCTATTAAGAAACTTATAAGCAAGTTTTTAACTCCACGTCTGACTATACAAAAATACTCTTGAGGATATAGACAAATTATTTATTATAAGTAATAATAAATAATTTAATTTTTTATTTATAAAAAAAAAAAGAAAAACCTTCAAAATATATTATGAATTGTGTGGCCCTGTATGTGTAAGATTTACTTAATGCTGAATGAACATAAATAGTGTAAAGTAAAGTATGGAATAGAGAAAGAAGGAAAACAATCAATCATGTAAAGAAGTACAACAAGAACAAGAACAGAAAGGGGAGCGACAGCGATTGAGATGGCATTATTTTGGTTTGTAATAACTAGTGTTTTGGAACATTGTAATAAGAATATGATTGATTGATGTAATATGATAGTTAATATATATATATATATATATATACATGCAGGATAAATGATTATATAAATACAGTGCACATGCAATGTTTGTGAAAAATCAGACGTGATAATTGCTAGGTTGGCACATGAACTGTAGGCCTACTCTACAGCAGCAGTTAGGTCATTTTTCATGTCTGGCCCAGGCCCACTCTGATTTGATTACATTATTATTATTACTATTATTATACTCAACATTTCTTTTCCTCTTATACTCTCTCTCTCTCTCTCTCTATATATATATATATATATGTGTGTGTGTGTGTGTATATTTATACAGGTAATTAATTACATTGATTGTGAAATAAACACACACAATATGATAGTACTAATCAATCTAATAGCTTAGATAGATTAGCAACTGAACTGGTTTGGTTATTAGGCTGCAAAGCTTTGAGCCCCGATGGAATTCATTATTTTTCTCTACTGCAGCTTCTTATTAGTACAAGGATAGTCTAATAGAGAAGAGAATATTTAATTAACATGTGAATAGAGAGAATCTCCCACATCGCATTCTGAGATGTGTCCGTGGGTGTAAAAGCCAAAAGGTTGATTCCTTCATAATTCACATCCCTCACTTCTTTATCAATCATATTCATCCATCCATCCAACACCAAATTCTACTATACTACAATTCTACTTCTACATGACATTGAACCATAAAACCCAAACAAACACTTAAGAATAAAAACTCTTTCAGCATTAGTTACATTACATCACAAGGTTTCCTTCACTCACACACACACACACTTACCTCTTTGCTTCTTTCTTCATCAAATACAACAATAGAAAACATAAAAAGAATTACAGGAATCAACACCACCAAACCAAACCTTTCCCTAAGTGGGGGAGGGAGAGACCATTAATTTCATACAAATCTACAAACATTGCACACCACAAGAATAATGAATAATCAAGATTTACCAATAATAATAATAAATGCATGGCACAAACAAAACCCACACCTGAAAACACACATAATCTTTTCTTCTTGTCATTGGGAGGCGTCCATTGGAGCACCAGTCCTGGCCTGAGAGATCCTGTTAGCGTAGATTGTGACCAGCCTTAGCTGTGTGCTGTTAAGCCCCTCCAAGTATGGCAGAAATGCTTTCCCAAGCATTATATAGATGTCCACTAGGCAAAATACAACCGTCTGCCCCACCCCCACAAACAAAAGTAATACTTATTTCAGAACTCATCATCATATAATTATTATGTTATATAAAAATTACAGCAGAAGATCGATCTATCACCCACCTTACGAACGTCCGCACTCTGATTTCCAAATGCATCGAAGAGCGCAGGCAAAAACGAGGGAAGTTGCGCCATTAGTTCCTCCTGGGACACCCGCCCCACAAGCTGCATTAACAAGCACATTTGTTATATATAGCCTTCTCTAATAGAAAAGCCAAAAGCACTGTGCTACTGCTACACCAGATTTAAGAAAAAACAAAAGAAAAGATTATAGACAAATAGAATACCTTTGTCAAACAGTTTATGCATGTGACGAGCGTTCTCTCGTCTTCATTAACAAGCAATGGAACAACAACCTGCAGCAACGGTGAAGGATCAAGGGGGAATAAGAAAGTGAAAATATCCATCGCAATAAATCATGCATACGACTTACACTAAGGCATCTAAATTGATCGTATTGAGACAATATTATAGTTAAGCAATGCTCGGCCTCACTGGACACCTGTATTTGAAAGATCAAACCATAAGATAAGAGGAAAACAATGAGGTTAATTGCAGAAACTTCAGAAAGGGCTATCTATATATATACTTTTGGAATACTGTCCTTTGTAGCATGAAGAAGTTTTTCGATTACAATCTCAACAGAATCCTCCATGGAATCCTTCTGCATAAACGTAGCAGCAGAAGAAGATAGTGAGGTCAACTGGAATTGGAAGATGGGATAATTCAGGTATACTGATAAAGAAGCAGACCTGATTCTTCAACATTTCCGCAATCAGTGTGAGCGCCATCTCTCGAGTTGATGAATCAGAATCATCCAGCACTTCGAGTACTGCGGTCAAAATCTGATTGAAGTACTGAAATATGCTAGCTTTTAGTAATAGAGTTCATGATAGTATTTCATTACACGAAAAATCAAACAAAACTAAAGGAATCGTATTCTCTTCAAACCACAGAAGCTAGATACACGAACAAGATGTGAAACCAAAACTACCCACACGAAGAATTGGAAATCATTTCATAGACAGAAATGTGAAATTCTTTACAATTAATTCAGATAAAGGGCTTGCAGTTATAGACACATAAGTTCTCAATTTGCTTTCAGCCTTCAACTGCAGAGTGCAAACCAACCCAACATAGAGAAAGTAAAATAGTAATACAAAGAAGAAATTTAACTTGAATATTATTTAAACTGCACACCAAGTATCGTATCCCTTACCTTGCTCCAAACCGAGTGATTGTTGGATGTAGAAATTTCAACCAACTGCTGAAGTGCAACACGCTTGTTTTCAGGACTCTCTTCAATGCCTCTGCAGATCTGCCCATAAGCAAACAAAAAACAAGGAACCATGAAAGATATTCAAAATTTGAAGCTCTGTAATGCAATCATTCTGGTTTCACAGATGAGGAATGCTTGAGGATTAAAAACTCACCAAATGAAGAATTTGCGGAATGCTGGGTCCATTGTCTGTGGCAGAATTCAAATTCAGAGTAGAGAGACTAGAATACTCGATGCCAACCCCCGAGTTTGCAGACTTTTGCGAATTATCCGATCCATTTACCCTAACAACGTCCACTTTTGTTGAAGAAACTTCAACATTTGCACTGCTATCGATTTGCCAAGATCCAAGATTATCGCTGGAATTATTAAGTGTATATTTCAAGCTTCTGTAATTTGGAGGACTGTTCGTCTCTGTCATATGATGATGCAAATTCTCCTGAATATCATCAGTTTTTTTATCACCAATAGAGCCGCCCACAGTAAGTGGCACATCTTGAGGGCTCCACTTCCTACCACTATCACTGTCAACAGATCCTGAAGTATATCTTCCAAACAATTGGCTCTTCTTTGATGCTCCGATATACCCCTCTTCCGAGGATGCTCCAACCACGTCAAATGGATCATACGAGGACTTTCCTCGCCTCTCTTTCTTGCTTTGCAAAAAGTTCACCAAGTCCACTTCTATGCGTGGAGTATACTGTTTCAGTGCTCGTCTCAATGTGTTTTGTTCTTCAATGGATAGGCTAAGAATGAAATTCAATACTCCTGAAGCATCAAAATGGGTATAAACAGATATGATGCATGTTATGGCTGCTTCTTTCAGCTTCGTATTTTTATCATGTACCAGTGGTGTCAGTTTTGCAAGCCACAGCTTAAGGATACCACCATTAGCAGACCCTTCAGAATTTGATGTATGCTTGTTAAAGGAACCTATAGCAAACTCAATGACAGCCAATTTTGCCTTGGGAGAACGTTGCTCATCCAAGGATCGCAGCATAGCTGGTAGAAGAGAATCGGTGCCATACGTTTTGCCAACTGCATCTAATGTAGTTGAACAAGGTTGCCTCACTGATTCCTTTGGGTCTATAAGCCGAGAGAAAACATGGGGTAAAATCCTCTCCATGTAACTTTCGAATGGCTTCTTGCAAGCGGGAATAAGATCTGAAAGTGTTGAAAGGGCTGCTTGCGCCACTTTATGATGAGGGTCATCCAAATGCTGGAAAAACAGTTTCATGACCTTCTCAAAACTCTGCATTATTTCTTGAATACCTCTGGGACCTTGCTGTAGTAGAGAATGAATATAATTAAAAGCTGCAACCCGGGCATTCCAATCTGAGCTAGCACTGAGCCCCTCACTCAGAGCATCAGCGAGAGAAGCTGGGCTATCAGAATAGCTTGACAAATCTCCTAGCGAGAACTGACTGTCATCAAAGCTCCTTCTCCTGCCAGCTGACATCCGTCCAGTTGCATTCTTCCGTAGAAGAGGACGCTGAAAATTTGGTACGTGATTGTTCTGAGACTCTCTATAACTAGGATCTCTATACTGTGCATCTAAATATTGCCTCTCAAAGTGAGAATTCATATATCGCCTCGAGCCCTTCAAATCAGCACTGTCTTCAACAAATACTCTATCCTGAACCTTCTCAGCAGCCCTCTTGGCTGAGATAGAAGAATGTGCTGTCAGAAGTTCACTTCCCATGCTATTATGATAGGCGGCTTTATTTGACTCTTTAGAAGCCTGAATTTGAGAGATGATATCAGACAGAGCCAAGCCTTCATTGTGATTGCTGCCTTTAGTACCAGACATTGATTCTACTAAAGAACTCCTAAGATTGTTTGAAGCTGGAACAGCAAGTGGAAATGGCGGATCACGAGATGATGGTGGGTCAACTCCTGCACTAGGGACAATACATAAATAGGCATTCACATGAGATTCAAGAGAATTAGGATCAACAGTTCACAAGGATATCATGATGGGAAAAGTCATTGACAATAACTAGCAGCAGAATTAATAGTCAGCATGAAGGCCAGACAGACAGACAAATCAAAGGGGTCATTCATGAATCAAATGGCAGAGCAATAAAAAGCAAATACCTAGGTCCAAACTGGATGATCGGCTCTTCTCAGACATGTCCAAACCTCTCAGCATACTTTCTATAGCAGAAACCTTCTGCTTGCTCGAGTGCAACACACTTTCCAAACTACGTTCTGTGCCCTTAACTGCAGGCTTCGCTTGGGAAAGTAATACTCCAGAAGTAAGAGATGTGGTTGAAGGCAAACTAGCAGTTTTGTCCATAGCAACTATAGCAGAAGTCCCATAACCAGGTATATTTGACGGTGCTGATGTATGAGCGGTGAATGGCATGTTTGAACTTCTTTCACGAATGGAAGGAGATGCATGCCTTCTATGCATTCCCCCATCTTCGTCATTTATTACCTAAATAAGTATTATATACTTTTTCAGCAGATATCATCAACCATATTAACAAAGTTCAACATGACAGCTTATAATTGCAAGTACCCTTTGAACAACAGCATCAAATGATAAGAAAAGGCGTCGAGAGCGATCAGGCCATGTTTTTGCGAACATTCTATAACAAGTCCTTGCAGTAGATCTCACCTGGTAAGTAAAGCATATCAGACTAAGGATACTATTACAGTGCAGTCAGATAAAAATTACCGAGAAAGTTACAGAGAAAGTAGATAAAAAATCAATCAAGTCAATTTACGAGAGAGAAAAGTTAATAGTGCAGTCAAGGAAGGACTTAAGATCTATACTTCACTCATTGCATCTGCCACACAACACCTAATAAGGTCTTCATAGAGGTCAGCAGAGCGTTGTATTTCAGGGGCATCGGGCCAGTGTTCGAGGACTAAAAGTGCATACTCACAACACCTAATTCAAGAAACAGAAGCGTTGTGACATAAGCAAAATGAATAGTAGCTATGAACCATAGGGAATCAAATTATTATACCTTGCACGTAGTACTGCATTACGATCATTCTTTGCACAGTCTACGATCCGAGGAAGTACACGAGATACTTTACAATTTCGTAACATCTGAAAATTAAAATTGGTCCAGGTCATCAAAGCACAAAAAGGAAGGAAAGAAGAAGCTACAGGTAAACAAGATCTTACTGTCTTTATGCAGTTATCCGCAGATTCTGCAATTACAAGGACTGTTATGACAACAAGCTTGAAAAGGGCCTATTATTGAGCAGATAGTGAGCAACAAGAATATTAATAGCATGAAACTCAAAAGCTATAAAAAGAACTGTTCTCACCGGAATAAACAACTCAGCACAAGCCTCAAAGTCCCCCAAGAGATCTTTTGATAAGAAGCATAACAAATGACATGCCTATAAATGCCAACAAGAAAGGTAAAACAACCAAACCAACTTCTGCTAAAATACAACAATGAATATATTTTCATGTCTCTTTGATTTTGGAACTGTTAAAATGGTTATAATGATGCACTTTTATTTGTCTAGTCTAGTAGCCAGTAGTAATGGGATTTAACCTATATAAAACAGTGCTTGAGTGTGGCGAAAACCATAAAATTACTGAAAACAAATATTTTGTTGTCCTCAAGGTGACTTCATCAGGATGAATATTATCAACTAAGTTCTAGCTTCATATAAACTATAAAAAGTGGAAAAGATATTATGAAAATTGAAAAATAGAAACAAGAACATGAAGCCAATCTGACTGGAACTATAAGTGCTACTATTCTCAGAAAGGGGAAAGGATGTAATAACTACGGAACCTGCTTCACAATGCTAGATCGACGATCAGATAGTTGGGTGCTCAAAGGCCCAACCAGCTGCTTGAGAAGTCCTCGGAAACAAGGGTAATCTGCTGCACCTGCAAAATATGACCAAATATATCTATTTTTGCTTCATATCCCAATAACCTGAATAAATAATAGATAGAAGTGTGCAGTCCTATAAACCAACATGATACACAAAATGATATATACAATACAATTAGGCCAGCCTTCGAAAATAGAGTATTCTCAAAATAGTGGCAGAATTTTTATCGAACCTCCAATAACAAGACCTTCAACTCTCTGCATGGCAGCAATACGAACGGACCAATCTTTATCTGGTACAAGGATGGATGCAATCTTCTCAAACTCTCTAACAAGTTCTTTCTCTGAATACACTTTAATTGGTTCAACAGGTCTTTCGGTGATGTCATTATCCGCTGCTCAAAGCCAATTGATAAGTTAATACCAAAAGTGTGAACTTGTCATTCTGAATCTACCTAGAACAGTACAATGAAAATAAGATTTTCACTTATTTTAGGCAATCAAGTATCTGGTCTTCGTCAGAAGAACTCTACCTTAAAGCATGATCTTCTACATGTTAATTTATATAAAGAATATACTCTCTCCGTCTTCCAATTATGTGCTCATTTGACCAGGCACCGATTTTAAGAAAAATAGGTAAAAATAGAAATTTTAACTTTTTTGGATTAAAAAAAAAAATAGAAAAGTGGTATTTTGTTACCAAAAGATGAAAGTGAAAATAAATTTGGATGACGGGAGTAATACATATGGGTTGATAACTGACCAACTACTATATTCAAGAAAAATGCCATATTAATATACTACAACACTATCATCCAGCAGCGGCACTAACCTCCAAAAAAAGAAACCTCACGTCCGGAGCTTTTGGCCTTGGGGCTGCTTTTCTTCGGATTAATGACTGTAGGCTTGCTCTCACTGGCTGAGTAATTGCTCACAATAGCATCTGAAGAGTGAACCTTTGGCTGAATTCTTTCTAATCTGGAATTGATATCTTTTAACTGAACAATGAATGTTTTACAGAAGTGTTAACCATATAGAATTATCTAAGATGCATAAAGATCATGGATAAGTTAAATCTGCGGATCATGATCAACACTTTATTCTCCCGTCTTTTCAATTGGAACTTAATATGGCTAAAATGCACATAACTGACAGATCACACTACCAATAATGTAGGTAAATGATGCCGGTGCAGCTCTTCAAGAAACTGAGGGCCCGCCTGAGTGTACATTTCCTGAGGAAAAAGAAATGACAACCAGAGATTGTTAAGCTATTGGAAAGATAAAGCGGTTCTTGATTAGAGGAGATTACAGTAATTAGTGACAAGGATGTATCAACAATATGAGATAAACACGATGACCACTGTACATTGTAAGAGAGTATTTTATAAATGTAGAGAAACAGTAGAAACAAAAAGAATAAAAATGTACAATGAAGTCCTAATAAAGATAAATATCAGTCAAACCAACCTAAGCCGATAATAAACATCCATCTACAACCCCATTTTGTATGAAAGGCATCATAATTAAAATTATTCCCCACCTTAATCACCACCCTCCTTATAGATATCGTCTAATAACTCTTAATGCAGTACACATAGAATGAGTGAAAAACTAAAACCTAAAGTAATGTTAAGTGAAGACAAATTATTTTATCAAGGATTTTCTTACTTCAATGCAGGAAGTAGCCGCTTCCCTCACACCTGGATTCGAGTCATTCAACATATCCAAAATCTGAGAATACAAAAACTAACACATGAGACCCTTATTCTTTTAAAGATCACATCTACGAAATCATGTTTCTAAGGCACCAACTAAATAAAACCAAGTTGTGAAATGGCAACAGTAAAATATAAATGAAACAAACATACAGGCGGAAGAATGGCCCGTTGAAGAGGTAGTTCTGTAGATGCAAACAAGCTAATAGCTGATGTGACAGTACGAGCGAATTCTTCCCGGACTCTCCAGCTTTTATGTGTCCAAGCATACGATCCAGTTCTTTCAACAATTATTGTTGGTGAAGATACCTGTAGTAAAGTTAGCATCTTTGATTTCAAGGGGTCCAAGAAAAATTTTGAGCATGTTCCAGAGATAGACTCAGATTCAACTAACTTATTAGATCAGTGATGGATAATTGGATATTTAGAAAAAATTTGAGCATGTTCCAGGAAAAAGACTAAGACCTGTAGAATACTTTCTAGAAGATATATTTCTTATTTCTGGTTTGGATAAGAAAAAAATGAGACAGGGCAATGGTTTCCACAAAGAAAATACCTAAAATGATTTACTTTTAAATGAGTGACTTCAGCAGGATAGTTATCAAGCTTCATTGAAGCGCAAGCATAGTGGCACCACCCTACAGATATGCTCAAATGGAAGAACAAATGATGAATTGGTTCCAATCATTGAAAATTTGAGAATGCACACATTCAATGGGATTAAAATTACAACTGCTATGTGATGGAAGGCTCAAAGATATAGAGGGCAGCAATGTACAATCTCCTTAAAGTATAGTTACTCCTTCAGCCTCTTTCATCTGTCCTAAATGCTTAGAATTTAGGTGAATCAAATCATAATTGTAAAAGACCTCTTTGAAAGAGATTCAGATAACTTATAATTAGTGTGCATTGTTAATTAGACTGCAGTTCATAACCAATGTTTACATCTGTCTCTTTCCAATAACAAATCTTGGTGTAGAGACAAGATCAAAACAATTATTTTGTCCCATTCAATATGGACATTTCATTCTATAACACTTCATCCTATTGGTTGCAACTATCGTACCCAGATTTCTCAACATAACTTAAACAAGACTCATTCTTGTTACGCTTTATGTTTACAGAAGAATTGCAGCAAAAAGTTATTATCAATTACCCTGCCCATAAATTTCACATACCAATTACCAAGCCAAAATTTCATATTACAATTCAGTACCAATTCTTTGAAAATAATAATTAATCGACCCAATGTCTGGTGGTTCAATAATGAGAAAATTGCTGGGTTATCCATTGACTATTACAAAGTTATATATATAATTATATATATATATATGAAATCATAACATAATATATTTTTATCTTAAATCGAATTGACAGTGTTATGAACTAGCATGATTTTACTCTCCGTTTTACACACACTAGAGGTAGAAACTAGAAAGTCTTAAATGTTTACTTACTCTCACTACCGCCTATTTTCAAGAAACATATATCGTAGTAAATGTGATCTATCAAGTACCTTTTTTAAATTGTATAGACTTTTCATATTTTGGAACTCTATAGTTGAACAATATATGCGAAATTCAATGAGATAAATAGCCTAGAGTTTTGATTATGAAGACTATAATGTCAAATTGCGAATGAAATAAATTCACACCGCCATGTAACGCGCGGAACTAAAAAATTATAACCAATGCTCACAACCAAACGAAATCGGAACGACCCATCCACAACACTGAATAGCAAGTCTGAAACAAAAATCGCCCCTACATCTACACCATATTTCGGGATAAAATGCCAATCGACCATAATAAATGCAGCGACATACCTCCATCAGCGTAAGTAACAGCCTCCTAGCAGCATCCCTAACCGGTTGCTTGCCATCACCCAATCTCTCAACCACCGCGGGGAGCAGAGCGTTGAAATGCAACTTGAAGTGTTCGCCGGAGAGAACGGCGGCAGAAGCTAGAGCCTGCAACGCGCCCTGAGACACACGGAAGTTGTTGTCCTTCAAGAGATCCAAGCAAACATCGACAAGCGACGTCACCTCCGACGGCGACAACGCCTTTCTAGAAGCTTCGAGTAGTTGGTAGAGTCGCTCGACCCCAGCCATCCGCTCCTTTGTGTCCTTGGTCCGCACTGATTCCAGCGCCTCCTCCATGGCGGAGGCGGCCAGAAAATTGAGAGAAATTACCGCAGAACTCTGATCCGGCGACCGGAAGATCGATCGGATCTGCGAAGAGTGGGAGTGGTGCGAGAGAGTGAAGAGAGAGAAACAAGGGTTGGTTCCTTTCGCTAGATCGAAGGGAAGACGGATAAAAATGAAATAAAATTATGTACGCGCTATTTTACTGCGCTTCGATCGAAATGTCCATTTCACGCTTTCTACACTGTGTATGGGATTGAATAATCATACTCTACACCGGGACTAAAACGCCGGATGCATCTCTACCGTCCACGTGTCAATCCACAATTTGGATGGTATGGAGAGCTCGGTGAGCTGAACCCCTCAGACCTACCTGAGCTGTCTTTAACTGTTAATTTAATTTAAAATGAAGCATTAATTTGAATTTATATTTAAAATATAATGTTTTATAAGAAAAAAATAATATAATTCATTTATAAATATACACAATAATGAAATTTTAGCAAATTATCTCACATTTAGATTTAAATATTGTCAAATTATTTACATATTTTAAAACTAAGCATACATACAAACATGTACCCTTATAATGCTTTTGTGTTCATAACAAAAGTCAGAAGAATAAGATGTTTGCATTTCATTGCTGGCAAAGAGTGTAGGAATCAATAATTTCAAAATCTTCGTTTAAAAAAAGAAAGAAATTCCACATTTGACGTACCTTTCATTTTCAAATAATAGTAAACCTGAGCATCCGCGAAGAAATTAACAAAAATTGTGTTTTAATTTATACAATTGAAATTGTACTATAAAGGTATGTTTACTTTAAGTGATTAAGAAATAGTAATATTATTTTTATACACTTTAATTATTTATTTATTATGATTGTTATAATATTAAATAAACATTAAATTATTTTATCATTCATAATTATAATAATACTATGTATTACAATTTACCCCACAAAGTACACAATATACGTGGGCTGAAGAAGGATAAAAACAAAAGGGATGATAAATATTATTTGTAAACTTATACTAAATTAGCGCACATTCCTTTTTTAATTTTACTTTATAAAAACATACATCACATGCCCTGTAATAAATTAATACTACTATATATTGAAGTGGAACAAAATATGTTATTTATGGTACAAATTTGATTGACAAAGGAAGGTAAATACTAAATCTTCTCCAACCCATTATTTATTTTTGCATTTTTGCAGCAGTTTGCTGATGGTTTATCACTACAAAAAAATAATATATTTCTAACGGAATTCCGTCCCTAATCTTCACGTAGCTAACGTAATTCCATTCCTAATTCCGTCTCTAATGTCATTAGTAACGAAAAAAGTAGATTTAGAGATAAAAAATTTTTGTTACAAAAATGATTTTTTTTTTTAGTGTATAGTAATTTTACTTTAATATATATTAATTTTTGTTTATTATATATATTTTTTTATATTATTTTATATAACTTTATATATTTATAAATTACGTCCTAATTTTAATTTGTTTTTACATTATTATTAAAAAAATATATAATTTATATTTTATTTATAAAATTATACATCACTTTTAAAAAAAAATAAATTATAATATATAATTTTATTTTTTTTGAAAGTGATTACTTTTTTGAAAGTGATGAAAAATAGAAAATTATATGTCACTTTCCAAAAAATAAAATTATATATCATTTTAAAAAAAAATAAAATTACACAAAACACCCCAAAATAACAAAAATACATGAAATACGCTAGAGTAACATTGTAGATATCCTCGTAAATGGGGAGAAAATGAGGTTGGGTTGAAGCCCCAACCCTTTTATTTTTGGCCAACCCACTCATTTATGGAGTGGGTTTAGATGATTAAGGGTGTGTTTGTTTGTGGGTTTTAGTTTTTTAGTTTAAATTTTTAAATAGTAAGACGTTAATTTGAATAGTTGGCCAACCCACCCATTTATTGATATGATATTTTGAATATAAAATAAATTTGTAGTATAAAATAACACATATTTATATCACATCATACAACTATTCAAATTCAAAATTTTTATTATTCAAATCTCAACTCAAAATCCAAACCACCAAACAAACACACTCTAAGCATTGGATTAAGTATGACTAAAAAAACAAAAAAGGATCATTAGCAGTCTTTTAAGGGATGGTCTGGTTGTGTAGGAGTTGGACTTCCCATCGGGCCTGATTTACACTGTCTCTAACTCCATTCAAATAAACTGCATACAGTGTGAATCATGCAAAACTCCTAGTTTTATACTATAGCATTTAGCTCATCGAAATTGCCTTATGATGAACAACACGGCTCTTTTTTTTGAGTTTTACCAAGATTTTTACTATTCAGATTTATTTTTTCTTTTAAAAACATCAAATCAACATCTATTTATATCACATCAAACAATTATTCAAATTCAACTTTTTACTATTCAAAAATTCAAACCCACAAACAAACACGCATTATTCTTCCTAAGTACAGGATACCCAAACATGCTTCAGACTTCAAGCCCTGATCACAAATCAGGTAACATGTCGCTTACGAGTTACAACTATCAGGCTATTCTTGAAATTAGGTTCAAATACATCAACAGTGTAACTTGCAACCATTCATTACAATATTCTTCTGAAGAGTGATTTGTTGCTCGTATTCTCTTTTAGAAGTCAACAATAATCTACATAATACTTTTCATCATGTAAGTGTTGTTAGAACCATGAGGATCGATCAATCTAACAACTATACTTGTTCAAGAACTTTACTTCTAGTGAAACAGACATTTAATGATTATATACATCATATATGTATTAAAGTTGTCTAATCATTTCTCTTTTTTTAGTAGGGTATGTCATCATCAACAGCTCAATAGGATTAGCTTAACTTTACAGCTGGCTAACATGATTGATCTCCAACTTTTCATGATAAAAATATGTATCACTCACGGTCAAAAAGACTGCTTCTCAAGTTGAAAAATGTAACAGTTAAGCCATACATCACAAGAAATGAACAATAACAAATCATTATTAATAAGTCAGATTGAAGAAAGGACACTCAATTTCAAAGAACTGTTCAATCCATCATACACTCTCAAAAATTACGAGCAGGCTGAGCAGTTCAATAGTTCTATATGCACAGAGAATAAGAACATAAGTGTAATCAGGTCTCTACAGGTTTAAGGAAGTCCACTATTCAGCTAGAGCACCACTAGTTATGATGTGATTTACTGAAGCAATGGCAAATAGAGATTCCAAGTACTAGCTTAAAGATCTATACAACCGCGAATTGTGCTAAAGAATCATAATCAAACAAGCATTTGAAGCAGCTAACGAAAAAATATTAAACTAAGAGCCGAAAAGAAGCGTATTCAACTCGATGAAGTAAGTATATAAAAAGATTTCCATCAGATTCCCCATGTTTCCTCAATTACCTTCAAATGAGAGCGATCGGACGAAATTTATGTATAACAGAGTACAGTAAACACCTCAACTACTTAAAAATATGGCGCTGCACCGGAGGAAAAACAAAATCAACCACCAACAGGGAGACAAGACAAAAGTACAATTTCACAAGCCAAATCAAAACATCCAAGCATAACCTAGCCAATGTTTTCGCTAATTGACACACGCGATCAATTGGGAGGCTTCAAGCTAAGCTCCATCCGCAAGAGAATTTATTGCGGTTACAATGTCAAAGAAATTTCTGCACTTGTCTTTCCGCTGTCGGACCTGTTTACTCTGCTGTGTTTACTCATAGTTGATTAAATTACAAATGAAAATTATTACTCCATATTTATACTTAAAATATAATGAAGGTATGCATATATATTATATTTATAATAATATTAGTTGAAAATTTATAGTAAACACATCCAATATTTTAAATTAAATAAATCGGTTGTAAAGTGCAAATTAGTCTTTGTACTTTGCGGACAGTTAAGCTGCCATATGATGCACGCGTACACCAACTTTCAAATATTACTATTAGGCCATCTTCAATCAATACATTTCATTTATACGATTTTAACTTTAAATATGGAATTGCTACAATATTTTTATTCCAATTCCATAGTAAGTCTATTTTTCACTAATATTCTTCGAATATTCAATTCTTTCTATTATTTTAAACAATTTTTTATATTTATAATTTAAAATATTCCATCCGTCCCATAAATAAATATCAATTTGCTTTTTGCACGTAGTTTTAACAATATTAGTATTATAGTGGAATATAACATGAATAAAGTAGAAATGACTAAACTAACCTTATTAGTATGTATGATATAAAGGTAATGATATTTGTGTAATATATTGTAAGTTATAAGGGTATTTGTAATGTTAGGTAGATAGTATAGTTACTAAAAAAAGAAAATGGATACTTTGTTATAAGACGGACTAAAATAAAAAAATAGATACAATAACAATAGAGGAGTATTTTTTTAAAAAAAAGTAGAAAAATATAAAATAATTTTATTTTATTTTTTATTTATTTATTTTTTTTTTTAAAAAAAAAAGCAATTTTGGCATTGGCGTCCGTTGGAGATGGGCTCATTTATGAAATTTTGAATGATGGTGCTGAATTGGAGATGCATTTATTCTCATTTATAAAATTTTGAATGCTTTGATACAATTTATTATTTCTCATTTAATCGGACATGTACTTTTTTTTTATAATAAAAAAATAATAATATAATAAACTTTTACTTGAAAAATTAAAAACATTTTTTGATAACAGCTTTAAAAAAAAGTGAAGAATGATAATATTATTTTTTTAAATATCACATTAATAAATTCATCTAGACATAAAATAAAAAATAAAAAGTAAAACTTTGAGGGTTCTAAAATTTTTAAAAATTGGGAAAAAAAATCAAAATTAGTCCCAATTCAATTACAAATTATTAATTTTGATTTCAATATTAAAAAAAAAAAAAAAAAATTGTCAATTTTAGTACTATTAAAATCAATTTTAATCACTTTAGGTCCAATCCATTGAAAATTCAACGAAAAATGTTGATGTGATGCAACGTAGCACACGTAGATGCTGACTTGACCCACTAATTCACCCTCCTCTTCATTCCGGCTTCCTCCCACCGCCGCCCTCCGCCGTTGCTGCACTTCCATGGAAATCTCGCCTTGCCCTTCTCCGAAGAATGCCCGGTCTTCTTCTCCTTCCTCCAAGACTTCACTCCGTCGGTCGTCGGACATGGCGTCCCCGTCGCTACCAAAGCACCCGAGGACTGCGCTCCTCGAAGAAGAAGAAGAATCATCGTTCAGGAATTGATGAGCAAGCTGGTCGCCTTCGACAATCCACCGAGATAAAGACCACCGTTGACTCCAATTCTCCTCCTCCACCACCTTCAATTTCGACGGAATTTTACAGCAATCGGATCTGCACTGACTTCGGAGAGAGTAGTTACCACGATTTCACCACCGGTTATCCTAATTTAATTGATTACAGCATTTCTCCCAAATCGAAGTGCTCTCACTCCGACTCCGATGGCACTCGCCGTCTCCGACGACTCAGCAACCTCCCGCGCCCCGGGCCTTTGTAGTCCCAATCGAATGCCTAGTGGGAGCAAATCAATATCTCCAATTTCTCCGACGCCGACTTCCGCAGTGCCTTCGGTATGAACCTCACCAAATTCGACATGATCTACAACAAGCTCGAATTCGTCATCACCAAAAAGAACACCATGCTTTGCACCGCCATCCCCGTACGGAAGCGCGTCGCAGTCTGTACCGTCCTAATGCCGAAATTCCTCCAATGGCTGGACTCCGCCCGAACCGCCGCCATCAAACATGCCTTCGAAACATCCTCCGGCATCCGGAGTAATAAAATAGAACACGATTGTGTTGTACAGTCAGCTGCCACGTCTGGTGCTCCGCTAGTCCATGTCACCCCTTTTTGTTCCGTTCATTCTTTCTGTTGAATTTGAAGTAATGGGACCGAAAGTGCTTAAAATTGTTTCTAATAGGACTTAAATTGACAATTTTTTATATCGGACCAAAAAAAAATTAATAATTTTTTATTCAATTGGGACTAATTTTTATTTTTTCCGTTAAAAATTAAAACATAGTAAAATATTACTGTGTAATACTAATATTTTATTAAAAAATATATATTTAATGTAATAATTTTTTTAAAAAAATTAGAATAAGTACCAAAGATTCCACATTATTGTCTAAAAGAAGCTTGGTTTACATGTTAATTTAAATTTTTTTTTTTTTAATAACGTTAGAACCTGCTATCACTACCCGAAAATACATGGAGTAAACCTCGGCTGAACCTAATACCTGCAAAGTAGGTCCAACAAAACAAATCACACGAGCTTAACCATATGTGGCAGGTACACGTAAGGTCATAAGTTTGTTTTTTTATTTTATTTGAGATGTTCTTGTCAAAAAATTATTCCCCTAAACAAATAATTTACAAGAAACTCCTGTCTATGCAAAATGGGGTGCATACGAAGGGTGGGAACAGGAACAGGAATAGAACTTCACATGCCGAGTCAAGATTCTCAAGAAGCCAAATGGGCGACATAATTCATCCTTATCCTTATACTTCAATCCGTAGCCAATTTACCTACTCGGGCAGGGCAACCAGCACAAGCGTTAATTAGATGGGACCCCAACTTGTCGCCGGCTAGCTAACTCTCGGACTTCTTTGCGCAGGCTTCCGTTAGCAAAGGCTTGAGTTCACCTTTCCTGTGTAGCCTTACAGTATCTGCACACCCATCATAATTCTATTGTTTATATTTCATGTTCCAAAAACTACTTTGAAAAATGCTGAGATGACCGGAGAATACAATAATCATATTGTGAGAGTTACCTGTACAACCCCCGATATGCTTGCCTCCTGTCAGAGAATGCAAACATTGTGTCGTTAACAACTGGAAAGGTTAAGATAATCACAAGACATTTGAGCAGACTACATTCGGGAGAATATGTTTGATAGTATCCTCGTATGAAAGGAAAGGAAGGTTTTCCAAGTCTTTAATTTCAAAAATTTCAGTAGACTCAACTACATTTGATAAGCATTTATATCACATTTGGGGTAAAAGCAGTGCTTGGCCCTAATCTTCTTACCTACAAACACATTAGGAACTGTATGCTGTCCGGTAAGCCTTTCCAAAGTTTTCTGCAGCTGCGGTCCTTGAGGACCTAAAAGAGAAGACAAAGTTTCCTTACAAAATGTTTGCTAGTGCAGCCGAGGGCGCTTCACATTATAAGAAACTTATGCGGTAAAGAAGAAAGCCATAACTAATTCAATTGAGAATCTTGAATTGCACTTTGTGAAATCTGAAAACTTCATGATTGTCAACACAACAGACGACTCAATTAATTCATAGGTAGGTTAAGCCCCATCGTCAATATAATTATTTCTTGTCTAGTTATTCATTGTCCATGGCAATTACCAACTTGTAGACTAATTCATAGTTACTCCATTATGTGCCTGCAAAGTAAAACTTCTACATGGGCAGAATAGCGATTAACTTTTAACACGGAGGTATGGTGAGATGAGAGTCGTGAACTCTTCTTGGCACTAGCAGCATCTGCTTATCAATTGCTGTAAACTTTTGGATTTGTTGTTAACACTCATCTCAATTAACAAAATAAAGATTGAAAAATTAAGTGGTTAGATGATGGCTGTACAAAAGTTTTTCCTTCTCCTTTTTTTTTTTTTTTTTTTCCCTTTTCAATTTCCAAGAAGTAGAGGTAACTTGGCAGATGTTTTCAGTTCACTTTCACTTAAAGTGGTTCAAAAACACCTAAGTGAGCCCATGATTTTCACCACAAACAAGAATGCTGATAATCTGTATGTGCCCTTAAGTTTCTGAACTACAATTTGCAACAGTTTACCAAAAGGTAGCAACTTATGCTATCAGAAACAAGAGGAAATCAAGCACAGATACATAATGTCGTGTTGCTGCCGAAGAATAAATCAATAAACCCAAAAAAGAAATGGTTGAATGTGAAAACAGATCAATACAAACTCCCTCTAACCTTATAGAACAAATCTTCAAAGACAAGAAAACTTGAACATTTTTTACATTAACAAGCAAATAGTCACTTTCTAAGCACATCGAAGATTTATAATCCCTACTATAACAATTCGTACAATGTCAAAAGAATCACAAGAGCAGTTCCATGATTGCATAATTGCAGAAATCAGTTAACTGAGCATAGCAACAAATTAAAACTTTTGCATGAAATCTCTAAAGGGCTCTTACCCAATTGGTCCAATTCAATAACAAGTGGCTCCACGCCAAGCCTGTTGAACAGAGACTTCACCTCCAAAGAGTACCTTCAAGCCACACAACGAACAACAAAACATAAATCGGAACTTAGATGGACAACAGAAGAACATTTCATCTGAAAATGAACACTTACGAACACCAAGTTTTTGAATAAACCACAACTGGATTTTCACCAACAGTCCTCTTCACGCTCTCCTCCAATCGTGACCCGAAGGAGCCGGAGCACATGGCCCGACACGAATTCCTCAACGGCGTTCTGCAGGATGCATTGAATCTCCCTGAATTAACATTTAGGGATTGAGAAAATGAGGGGATTCCAAACTTAAATCCAGTTCCAATTCCGATTCCGATTCCATCCCTAGGGCGAATAAAATTAGCGTAGACAGAAGGGGGATCCGAGCGCAGTCTGCAAATCGATGAGCCAACAAATAACGCCATTATCGAGAAATCAAGCTTAAACTAGGTTTTATGGTTTTTACTTTTGATCCGCCAATCGGGAGGTTGGGGAACTTTCGGGATTCGAACTTGGCAGTCTCGCTTTTCAGCGATTTCCAGCAATTTTCTTAACCGGCCAGATGTCACCCACCCAGAAACATACAAAAATCCGACTATGTAGGCCTAAAAGGCGAATCTCAGCGCATTCCACATCTGGGAAGCAGTAACTGTGCGTCGGATTTCAACGGTGTCCGTTCTCAATCACCAACAAAAAATTACTGCTTAATTCGCTCCGCAACTCACGGAGATCGATCGAATTCGGAATACGACGATCAATTCTCAAGCTAAATTGCAAATTTTTATTTAAATATTATTTTAATATAATATTTTATAAAAAAATAATACATATTTATTGTAAATTGTATCAAATAAATAACATAATAAATAATTTTAATTTAAATTCACATTCACATTCACTTAGATTCACGTGATCCTATCTCTTATTTTTGTCCTTTGGATATGATTTTAAATTAGTTTAAATTACATTAAAATTTACATTTATTTTTAACAATTTAACAAACACTCTACCATGTTTCCCAAAATTTATTTTTTTATGTTTTAAAATTTATTTGAGATAAATTTTTATTTAAATATTATTTTATAAAAAAAATAATAAATATTTATTGTAAATTGTACAAAGTAGATAAGATAATATGTGTTTATTTGTTACCTAGTAGAAACGTATATTAAATACCAAATATAATTATATTTGTGATAATTATATAATAATTAATATAATAAATAATTCCAATTAAAATTAACGTGCACCCAGATTCACGTAGGGTGTGTTTGTTTGAAGGATTTTGGAGGATTTTCACTATTCATCCAATTTTTTCCCCCCCAAAAACATCAAATCAAACACCTATTTTTCATTTTTTATATTATACTAAAAATCAATTTTACATTCAAAACATCACATCAAACTCTATTTATATCACATCATACAACTATTCAAATTCAAAATTTTTACTATTCAAATCCCAATCCAAAATCCAAACCCCCAAACAAACACACCCGTAATGCAATCCTTTGTGTTTGCCGGACATGGTTTTAAACTATTTTAAATTAAATTAAAATTTATATTCACTTCAACATTTTAACAAACACTCTTGCATATTTCACAAAATTTAGTTTGTTATGGTTTAAAATTGATTTGAGATAAAGTTTTATTTAAATATTATTTTATATAATATTTTATAGAAAAAATAATATATATTTATTGTAAATTGTACAAAGTAGATAACATAATATGTGTCTATTTGTTACGGAGTAGAAAGTATATTCAAGACGAAATATAGTCATATTTTTTATAATTATGGAACAATTAGCATAATAAATAATTTCAATTTAAATTCACGTGCACCCAGATTCAAGTGATTCGATCCTCTGTTTTTGTCCTCTGGACATGACTTTAAATTATTTTAAATTAAATTAAAATTTACATTTATTTCAATATTTTTACAAACACTCTAGCATGTTTCAAAAAATTTCTTTTGTTATGATTTAAAATTGATTTGAGATAAATTTTTATTTAAATATTATTTTAATATAATATTTTATAAAAAAGTAATATATATTTATTGTAAATTGTACAAAGTAGATAACATAATGTGTGTCTATTTGTTACGGAGTAGATACGTATATTGAAGACGAAATATAGTCATATTTGTGATAATTATTGAACAATTAACATAATAAATAATTTCAATTTAAATTAACGTGCACCCAATTCACTTGATCCGATCTCATATGTTGCCGTTTCGACATGGTTTTAAATTATTATAAATTAAATTAAAATTTACATGTACTTGAACATTTTAACAAACACTCTCGCATGTTTCACAAAATTTATTTTGTTAGGGTTTTAAATTGATTTGAGATAAAATTTTATTTAAATATTATTTTAATATAATATTTTATAATAAAAATAAAATATATTTACTTTAAATTGTACAAAGTAAATAACATATGTCTATTTGTTACGCAGTAGAAACATATGTTGAAGACGAAATATAGTTTGTGATAATTATGGAATAAATAACATAATAAATAATTTCAATTTAAATTCACTGTTACCCAGATTCACGTGATCCGATCCCCTGTGTTTGCTGTTTGGACATAGTTTTAAATTATTTTTAATTCAAATAAAATTTACATTTACACCAATATTTTAACAAACACTCTCGCATGTTTTACAAAATTTATTTTGTTATGGTATAAAATTGATTTGAGATAAATTTTTATTTAAATATTATTTTAATATAATATTTTATTAAAAAAATAATATATATTTATTGTAAAATGTACAAAGTAGATAGCATAATATGTGTCTATTTGTTACGAAGTAAAAAAGTATATTGCAGACGAAATATAGTCATATTTGTTATAATTATGGAACAATTAGCATATTAAATAATTTCAATTTAAATTCGCGTGCACTCAGATTCACGTGATCCGATCCCTTATGTTTGCTGTTTGGACATGATTTTCAATTATTTTAAATTAAATTAAAATTTACATGTACTTCAACATTTTAACAAACACTCTTGCATATTTAACAAAATTTATTTTCTTATGGTTTAAAATTGATTTGAGATAAAAGTTTTATTTAAATATTATTTTAATATAATATTTTATAAAAAAATAATACTCTCTCGGTCCCGTTGGAAGTGTGACGTTTGTTTTTTATACGTAGATTTTTTAATATTAGTATTATATTGGATTGTAGTAAAAAAAAAAGACAAAAATACCCCTATTAGTATGGTGTAATATAAAAGTAATGACATGTAATATATTGTAAGTTGAAAGGGTATTTATTATGTTAAGTAGGTAGTACAATTACTAAATTAGAAAATAGTAACTTTGTTTTGAGACGGACGAAAATGAAAAATGGTAACCTTTTGGGACGGAAGGAGTATATCTTTATTGTAAATTGTACAAAGTAGATAACATAATATGTACCTATTTGTCACAGAGTAAAAACTTATATTTAAAACAAAATATAGTCATATTTGTGATAATTATGGAACAATTAGTATAATAAATAATTTCAATTTAAATTCCCAAGACAACAAAAAAATTTAGTACTGAAAATTATATATATGAAAAAAAAATATATATGTATTTTTCTATTTTGTAAATATCAAAATCAGTCCCAAAGTGTGGTCAAATCCAAATGTTTGCACTAGATAAACCCCTGAAAACTAAATTCGATAGAGGCAAATCATGTATGGCAAGTGACCTTAGGCGTCGGGAGTTTGAACCTATGACCTCGCGATGACAAAACCAACGTCACACCATCCGTCATCGCTTGTGATAAATATTGGTTCATGACCGTAAAGGTGAATAGTGGAATTGGTTCATTTATTTAAGATAAATATTTTGTCATGCTGAAGCAATTTCCACGTAATGTGGAGTAATTTCATGATCGCACACTCTTTTTGCTGCAATCAAACTATTAATTACGCTACCTTAATTTATTGCATGAAAATTTTAAAGTAATTAATGAAGTAACCGGAAAATGAACATGTGCAAATCATCAGCAAATTCAAGGGGAGGCACTATATTCGTGTGATCACTATATATATATATATATATATAAATTGAGTAGTAATTTTAAAAACATAAAATGGCATCTTTCATTGGACATTCGACAAAATAGGATCATAACTAATTTTACAACTTTATTATTTCGTAAAACAAACATAAAAAAAAAAAAGAAAAAAAAAAGGAATTAGATATCTTAATCCGCATAGTAAACAAAGCACCCAATCTTCAAAAAACAGTTGGGGCTTCGCGGATGTTCTTCTTCTCACTTGCATTTTACAAATAATTTTGCAAGTGTAGATATCCTCTCTCTCTCTCTATATATATTTTTTTTAAAAAAAAAAAAAAGAAAAAAAGGAAGACCATTTGGCTAAAAATTCGAAATGGATCTTCTAACTATATATATATAATTCTAAAAAGTAGAAATGGATCTTCTTAGAGGAGATACTCTTTGCTTTTTTTGCTTCAAGTCATCCTTCCATGCATTGCTAATATCTCGTGATACGTTCACGGCATCCACCGATGCCCCGGCCAGCCCTCTCTTTGTGAACCCGACCGTGTATAGCCCGTCTTGCCCTTTCCACGCATTTGGGAATTCGGCTTTCGGGAACCCATTCTTTGCAAAAAATTCATTTTCCTATATAAAATAAAAATGAGCATGATCAAATAAATCAAACTAAATTAAACTAAATGGCTTGGTTGAGTAATATTTGATTCAGACATAAATTACATACTGATTTAACCGGATCAACATATATTATATAAATATAAATAACATACATTTATACATACTACATCATTTGTTAAGTTATAAAGTATCCTATGAGATGTTATAACATAACATATGGTGTATTATAATACAACATATGTTGATCTTGATCAAATTAGCAAGAGATCTGTGCCTATTTGATTTTAATGTTAATAATTATTATTCTCACCTGCAACCAGTATGGCACGTTGCTACGGTATCCGGTGGCCAAAACAACAGCATCGATATCAAGCTTTTGGCCATCAACAAACTCGACCGTACCACAAAGGAACTTTGTGATCGCCGGCACTACTCGAATTTCTTTGGACTTAATCTTTTGGAGGGCTCCGATGTCCAACACGGGGGTCTTTCCTCGCGTGTTCTTTAGTTCCAAGGGGCCAATCGCCGGCCTTTTTAAGCCGTGCTTTTCGATATTTCCTAGAATGATCCAAGCCAAAACCAGCAAAATCTTGTCCACAAGCCATAGAGGTAGCCATTTTAGCATCAACATGGCTAACTCGAACGTCGATCTTCCCCATATCTCCCTTGGCAATACATGAACCTATTCATAACAAAATTATAATTAATTACACACATTTCTAAATTATTATCTTAATGTATAAATATATGAGACATAGTATTTTAACACTACTATTATTTTTATATATTTTTTGTAAGAATATATATATAATTTTATAGACAAACTAAAACTAAAACGATAAAATGAGCATAGAGAGGAAAAATGATGCGATACTAATAATTACTTCTTATGTCATTCAGTTTTTTTTTCTTTGTCATTTAAATTTATTATTATTTTTATCTTTTAGTAAAAATAATACGTTCTCTATCTTAAATACTGTGCAATATTTGAGTTTTGTACGATAATTTAGGTGGATAGTATGGGATAATTTGAAGAGTATGTGATGTGATTGGAGAGAAAAATGCATATTTAATTATTTTTTATTTGAATAATACGAGAGGATAAAGTGAAATGAATATATATATATGAATATAATTAATTATTTATAAATTTTAAAATATTGCAATGAGTTTGAAAAAAAAAAATATTACAAAATGTTTGGAAGAAAATACCATTTTTTCTATTTTTTTTATTTAAAAGATAAAAATTTCTATTTTCTTTTCCATAAAATTTGTTACTGCTCAAATGAGCATGCACACATAACGGAAGGAGTATAAGGAATAAATTAATAATTGAAATTAAATAAATAAAATAAAAATGAATTAATTATATATATTACCGAGCTCCGGGCGACCATGGAAGGATTGGCGCCATAGTTGCAGAGGTCGAGAGAAACTTCCATCCCGGAATTACCACAGCCGACGACGAGAACCTTCTTCCCCTTAAAACGCTCCCCGCACTTATACTCACAAGCGTGGATCACTTCCCCGCCGAATTCCGCCAGTCCTGGGATCTCCGGGACCACCCGCTCGGCGTTCTCGCCGGTGGCCACCACCAGCCACTGGCAGATGTACTCCACCTCGCCGCCGTCGCCGCCGACGGTACGGACGCGCCACAGGCGGCAACCGTCGTCGTACTTGGCGGAGTCCACGCGCTCGTTGAAGTGCGGGTGGATGTCGAAGTGCCGGGAGTAGGAGTCCAGGTACGAGATGAATTGCTTCCGGGATGGGTACTCCGGGTAGTGGTCCGGGAACGGGAGTCCCGGGAGCTGACAGAATTGCTTGGGCAGGTGGAGCTTGAGTCGGTCGTAGGTGCGGTTCTGCCAGAGGGAGGCGATGCAGGCGGCGCGTTCGAGGACGACGAACGGCACGGCGGAGCTTCTCAGGCCGGCGGCCACCGCCAGGCCGGACGGGCCGGCGCCGACGATGACGGGGCCGTTTACCCAGACGCACCGCCGGGAAGATGACATGTCAGGGATCGGAAAATCGAACATTGTGTATATATAATGTAGTAAAGTACTTAAAAATGAAGTATTTAACTTAATTATTGTGTTAGAATTTGGAAAAATGGAAGAACAAAATTGAGGGTTTTTGGAATTAATTTGAGTAGGAAGAAGAATGAATTAATTGTGATTGGATTGGTGAAGTTTTGGGGGTTTAAATAGAAGAATTTGGTCGTGACATTCAAGAATTTGCTCATCATTCGAGAAATGATCATGTGATGGTTTTGGGTGTTTGGGCCAAGAATAAATCGAGGCCGTTGATGAGGTGGGATCTGTGAAAGAGTCGGGTCGGGTCGGAAGTATGAGTATATAATACTGTATTTATAGCAATGCATTTGATCATGACGGGCAAAATAATATTAAATTTGTTGTTTTTGATTGATGAAGTTGTAAAGGAAGTGCCGATAAAGGAGATTCTTGATCGCATTAAACTTTTGCACTTTCTGTGAAGGTTTATATGATAATGATGATATGCATGACGATAAAGGAGGTTCTTGATCGTATTAAATTAGTTATGTGTGTATATTCTTTGTTTTCATGGTTCAAATTAATAGTGTATTGATTTTTTCAGGCGATATCGTTTAAGTTTTCAAAAAACATCATTCAATAGAATATTGATCGAAATTTAGATAATATGTATTATATTTAAAAATGTGTGCTTTTTAAACTTTTGATCAATATTTTGTGAATTCTTAGTCACTAATTTCTAAATTCTTAAATTGATTCTATTAGAAAAACTTACAACATAATATAAAACATAATATATACCATATTGAGCATCAAAACATCATATATATTTATATAGAGCATATTATATATATATATATTATAGAATATCGATATAAAAAATAAATAGATAATTCATACTTTTATTTAGAAAGATTCAATATGGGCATTCAATTTGTATGTTTTTTTTTTTTTTTAGAAATATACATGAGCACAATTATTTGCATAAAAATTCTTGAAATTAAGTGTGAAATGTGGTTTGATGGGAAACGAGTTTGCATGTGCATGTGGAATGATTATGGTATGGATGACGAAGCAAGTGTAACTCTCTTTCTCCAGGCCAGGCCAGGCCAGGCTGTAAAATCCAAGTGTTTTGCAGGCGGCGCCACTTTTGGATGATATATATAGTACTCTCCCACCGTTCCAAATATACTGTAATATTTTTTTTGGTATGTCCATACACTATGTAATATTTTTAAAATATGAAAATAATTAATTATATTTAATTTCTATCTCCACGTTTTATCCCCTCACATCATCAAAAATAAAAAAAATAAAATATATATTTCTCTCTCTATCATATCACCTGATTTCTAAATTATCTTATTTAATACTACCACCTAAAAATTCGTGCCAAAAATAAATATTGCACATTGTTGGAACGGAGAGAGTAATAAATGCTAAAATAATAATCCACTTTTTAATTAAATTATTTGTACATTCCTTTCTTGCCTCTTACGCTTACGCCAACCAAAAATACACATATATCCAGATCCAGGCGGAGGTGGAGGTGGAGTTTATTAAATTCAATTTCAAATTCAAATTAAATTCAAATGAAATTCAAATTCAAATTCAATGGTGGTCCATGGTCCGTCCTTTCACGAGCTTCAATTTCGCATTGCCTATTTCTGAAGGTAACGCGTTTACCCCTCCATACTTAAATATGTATGTATGTGTGTATATGCCTACTTTATTGTTAAATTTATGTTACATTTGTACCCTAAACCCTATTTTGACTTGATTAAATTAATCTTTTATATTTATATTATTAACAACAACAATAATTACATGTGTGATACCATTTAGTTATGAGCGTTGGATCTTTGCTTCTAAGTGATTTCAACCGCCCCCTATGCAATTATACATACATATACATATATATATATATAAATTAATTAACCATTTCCATGCCAACTAGCATTCTACAAATACATTAGATATATATATATATAATACTAATAAAATGATATTAAAAGGCGCTAAAAATCTTGGAAGTACAGACCGACCATAAAATTATGGATTTAAATTCTATTTATTCACTAATAAAACATCATCGTCGTGTCATCATACATAACAACAACAACAACAACAAAAAAAAAAGAAAAAGAAAGGCAAATATTTCACAATTTTCACTATGTATATATAATACAGTACTAAACAAAAACAACCCCTTGGGAATTTGAAAGAATACAACCAATTTGGCACGGCAAGGATCAAAAACAGATGCCCATACAAAATCAACAAGCACCAACGTATATATATATATATATTTATATATAAATAATGATAATACTTTAAATATAATCGAAATCAAAATCAAAATCGAAAATTAATAAAATGTACACCATTTGGGGCGCGGTTGCGGTTTTAGTTTTAGAGGCGTCGGCCTTAGCCATGTAAAAACTGGAAGGCCGGATTCTCGAGGAGGTCGGACGCAGGCTTGACATCTAAGAAATCCTTGGCTTCGATTGAGCTCGAAAGGTCATCGACAGAGAATGGGATGCTGCATTTGCATATATACATGTTATTATGTACCAAACAAGTAAAATTCAATACATACATACACCAGACATACAATTGTCAATTTTATTCATCGATAAATAAGCAAAGCAGGTAAATAAATTGAAGATAACCTGGAATTATCGTCCAACAAAAATGAGCTGCTGACGGCGTTGTTTGAGTCCTCGGCCATTAGCACGCGCATGCTCGATATAACCTGGTATTTAAAATTACGATTTACATACAAAAACATATAACATCGAGAAAAAAAGAGAAAAAAGAAAGTTCGGCGAAAGGGATGGATGTACTTCAGGGGACACACTTCGAGTGTTGTAGTTGTCGTCCCAATATAAAGTGCATATTCTGTAGAGCTGCTGGACGCTCAAAATCTAAGGATACGACGAGTTAAAACATTTTCAGTTTGCATTCGATAAAGGTTGAAAAACACAAATGGCGAAAGAGGAAGCCGTGACTTACAGGGCACAAATCATTGGTGATCTCGTCGTATGATATTCTATACTTTTGGTGTATCACCTGAAGGAGGAAGAATTGAAAGATTAGGTCATAAAGTTTTACAATAAAAATGGTATTTAAACATAATGTAGAATCAAAAAATTTACCAAGAATCCAACAGCTTGTCGAATATGTTTGAGTTCGTCCCAAGCCGAGCCAGCATACTATAATTTGAGATAAAACCAAGAACGGAATGAGAAGTGGCGCGTAGCTTTTGCGACTTTTAGGTTATCATTATTTTCATCGTAAGCGTTATTATTACCTCTTCTTTCGCTTGGCAGCACCATAATTCGAGCTCGGCCAGTCCAGCTTTGACGTATTCACCATTGCTGAATGTGCAGCACTCGCGACGAAGAAGGAGGCTAAATGAAATAAACACGAGAAGGAAAAAAAATTGGTTATTCTCCAAGGAAAATGAAACATCGATCGATATCAACCACAATTATTTATATATATATTAAAAGAAAAACTCGATTACCTGTTAAAGAGTTGTACGTTGATATATGAAAAAGTCTGTGTGATGATCTTCTGAATGAGAACCGAAGGAACCTGAAAAGGCACCGTCGGTCAGCATTGTCCGAAGCATTATAAATGTACATAATAAATGTAGCACAAATCCAGAGCATACAAAATTTTCTTTAAGTGTGGTGAGAAGGGAGTTGAGGCAGTCAATGATGCTCTGCCAATGATTCGTCGGAGAGTCTTTCCCGAATGACCGCCCCGATCTCAGAACGCTTCCCTTGGAGGTTCTCGGAGCCTACGTACACACACAAATGTAAATATTGTGACGGATTATGATTAATGATTGAATAACAAATAAAAATGTAAAAAAAACATAGATTTACGTGACTACGTCCATACGTAGAAACGGAGAATAGATTTATTAAGAATAGATACAGATTTCATATCTCAACGTCTATTTAAATAAACTAAGAGAATGCATCAGACGGGTTCAGCCCAATACAAATTCAAAAGCCCAATACTGCCTATCGAAGGGCCGGGGGCCACTCCGCCCCCTTGAAACCCCCCCCCCCCGACTCGCTAACCAGTCAGCGAGACCCGTATAAGCTCAGCAAAATGACAAACTAAATTCAAGGCATATTACAATTTTAACCAGAATTTTTCCCAAGCTTGTATATATGTATATATATTTGCATATCAACTGTACCTGAATGCATAAAGCAAGCAACCCTCCGAGTTCCTTCTTCAAGCTGTCCCGAATAATGCCATATATTTTCTCGACATACGCAGTGAGTTGCTGCTTGAAAAGCAAAGCCGGATATTTGGCTTCAACTTGGCGCACTGTCTCAAGTGCGGCGGCAGCTGCAGCAGCAGTGACGGCAGAAGGAGAACGAAAACCCTGAAGACAAATTTCACTTGCATAACATATTGCAGCGCGGAGCGGCACGCCAAATATATATATATATATAGATAGATAGATAGAAGGCGAGATTGGTTTAAGAATTCCAATACCATAGTCATTCTCCCAAATAAGGACGTTGGCTGTTGCGGTTTACGTGATGGAGTTGCGCCGGCAGGTTTCAGACTTTTTTGAAGTAAGAACAGAAGCGTCGAGGTGTTCGACAACCAATAGGCCATATGATCACTACTCTCTTGATCCTGCAGTCAATTCGTGCTTTTAATTATTTTACAGTAGTTTGTTACTCGGCACACAAAGATTCCAAAAAAGAATATCGAGCACCATTTCGAAATACCAAATCTCAATATCACAATAAGCAGCCATGTACTAAAACCGGTAAATTACCTCGATAGCAGAACCAATCATCTGAATGAGACGATCGAACACACTGGTTCGTTCAGCTTCGAACGACTTCCAATGCAATAGGCACTTGTATATCATGAAAGCAGCGACGGGCTTGCCTTGACTGAAACCGACATCTTTCTTGACACATTCAATGAGAGCATCCACGTCTTCCTGCAACAAAAAATTCACATCTCTTGCATTCAGTAAACCCTGTTAATTCAAACAAAGGATACAAAACATGGCTCGATTCATAGAAAGACAAACATGTGGACGGTCAGTCGGGGGCCTCCTTGGTTTGCTATCAGGGGTTTCGTAACCTTTGACAGGTGTATGGAAGGATTCCTGCAGAAACCAAATGCAACGTCAACATCCGAAACCCAACAATTATTATAATTCACAAAATCTGACAATTATTACAATTCACTCAGTAGTACCTCAGTTCTCATTGCTTCGCTAGCATGATGACCATTTTCCAAAGCCTTGGTTGGAGGATTTATTGTTCCTTTGCCAGCATTGATTAAGGTCTGCTGCCGGAGAATTTTGTTCTCGTTTTCCATGTCAGAAATCTTTTCTTCCAGCCTATGCATATGAAGAAACACAATTACACACCGATACTAAGTATAGAATCGCAAGAACAAACAACCTTGACGAAAATTGATATGTTAATGAAACAAACCTGTGCATGTTGGTTTTCAACTTCACGATCGTCGACTCAGCCTCCAAAGCCTGCTTCAGTCTCTCCTCGCTAAGCTTGCTCGTCTCCTTGTACTTCTTCTCTGTCTCGGCTATTTTAGTTTCAAGAGAGCTAACCAAGCCCTGTAATAATAAAGAAGCAAAATTAAACCAGCATTTACACAATAATTTCAACAGATTTTAAATAATTTCGCAATTCTAAATTACACTACCTTGAGGTTTTCATTTTCGGAATTGAGCCTATCCAGTAATTCTTGGTCGAGGACAGGAACCTCCTTTATTACAGGAACTTGCTCGGCCGCCTGCTTGGCAGCTTCCTTTTCCTTCGACAGCTTGTCTTTTGTTTCTTTCAACTCAAGCTGAACCTCTTGTAAGGCTTTTTGCAATTTCGCCGTCTCTTGTGTTTTCGCTTCTTCTAAATCAGTCTGCATTGAAATGCATAAGATCAAGAAGAAAACGGATCACAATCATTCTATCAGTCGTGGTGGCGTGGATTAATTAGATAATACTTACTCTCATACGCTTCTCCAATTGTAATCTCCAAGTAAGCTCTTCAACTTGCTTCTCAAGTTTATTCTTGGCAGCTTGCAGAGCTCCGGTTTCCCTTGCAGCCTGTGTTTATGAAGATAGTACAAAAAGCCCGGTTTTGAATAGCTTTGATCGAATTCGAAAAGAGAGAGAGAGAGAGAGAGAGAGAGAGAGAGAGAGAGAGAGAGAGAGAGAGAGAGAATAGACCATTTTCAATTTGCGCAGTTCTTTACGAGCAACTTTAGCCCTCCACGCGCATTGTGTAGTGATTGCAGCCTTCTTCAGCTTCAAGTATTCCGAACGAGCCAAAAATTGGCGGCAGTGACTCTGCAGTCATTTTTTAAGGTCAGTCGTCAAACTCTCAAGAGACGAACATGATTTTTTGGTGAGGTAATGATACCTGTATCTTAATAGCTGCTTTGGTCTGCCGTCTGAAGCAAAGCTCTGTACGAGCAGCCATTCCGCGCATTCCTGTCTGAATTGAAAGAGCAGATGCGCTGAGCTGGACGTACGCTTTTCTTGCAAGATACATTCGCAAATCAGTCTGAATCCGGAGACATGCAGCTTCTCTCCGCATGGACTCATAAACACGTCGTGTAAGTTCTCCTGCCACCCGATAAAACACATTTTCAGAAACAAATGTGAAAGGCTTCCGGAAGTATTAAAACATATTAGACTAAATGGATTACCTCTGCACACTGATTGAATGCATATTACCGACCGTCGCAGCAATATAAAACTCTTTCGAGCCATATATGAACGAACTTTCCTCTGTATGACAATTGCCGACCTTCCCAACACCTCACTCCTACGAGCATCAAGCTCAGCCATCTGACCAGCCCTCAGAAACACTTTTGTTTTGCCTATCTGGAAGAAGTGTTAGTCGAGTTCAGTGAAACACTATAACTAAATGTAAAATTTCAACACTCAATAATAATTTGATTACTATATGCTACTCTCAACTTCAAATTCAAAGCTATTCATACAAATATGCATTTTGTTGACCAATTTAAAACAGCACATCACCTGATACCCTTCGAGCCCAACTTTCTCCAAAAGATTCTTACAAACGGTAACCTCATCCGAACTACGATAAATCCAACAAAAGTGAATAGCCCGAAATCATAATTAGGAAATACTTAGGCGAGTAAATGGTAAGTATACCTTGAATCTAATACTTCGGGAGCAAGGATGCCGAAACGGTCAACAAATTCATAGAAGGGTCGTTTCGTAGGATATCCAGCACAACTTATCCTGATTGCTTCCATAACACCCTAAGGAGCACAACAAGCATAAAAATCGAAGATTCTAATCAGTTGAAGGTCTTAAAGTGCATAAGAAACAAAACAACAAGAACATTACCCCACAGCGAAGTTGTTGCAGGACATTATGGTTCTCGAAAATAGCCGGTTTAAGAAGGTTATTTGGCTTCACACAACGAATATAGTGAGGCTCCGTCGAACTCAATGTTTCTAGCAAGGCTTGCAATTGTTGCTGCAAGATATACCCCAGACTTCAACGTAGAAAATAGAAAGGTAAGCCAGATAGCATTGATGAACTAAAGTAACGGCGTACCTTAAACCTTGTGCCAATAGAAGAAAATTTAGATTGTTTGGACGACTCCTCGTTTGACAGCGGAAACAGACCCGAAACAAATGAACATTTGGAAGCACACAAAAGTGCCTGGTGTTCCGCGATGACATAATCCTTGTTTTTGTCCAGAAACAAATCGGTATGATATGTTACCTGATCGACATTAATTTTTGTAAGTAAATTCAGCAACTGGTTTGCACATATCTTTTTAATTAATTAGTCGAAAACAACAAACAACACTTACATCACCAGCATAATGGCAAATGGTGAAATCAGAACGGGCTAGTTTTGGCTTCCGAAAGCGCTCATGGTTCTTGAACGTCTGGTACAGCTTCTGGGCGAATGTTTCGTGAGTTGACCGTGGAAACATGCTACAAGGCAAGATATGACAGTATGATAATATTGAAATCGAAGGAAGTAATCAGATTGGAGAATTAGTTTTATAAGGATGAGATTAATACCAAGCTTCATCGAGAAGTGCAATAATGCCTCCCGGTTTCTGAGCAATTTCAAAAGCAATATTAGAAATCCAAGCTTCACGAAAAGAAAAGCAAAACAATGTACAATGTAGAAGTAGAACAACTTCACTAAATTTAGCTGATGGCACAAAATCAAATAGGTTAAAAAAAAAAATTGATAAATAACTTTGCTGACACACATGTCATGTAATGACGGTCTCATTTCAATTTCAGCACATTCCTAATAACAGGATGCCCCATACCAAATGATGCAATAAACAGCCACTTCTCAAGAAAGTATAATCATTCCGACAACTGAAACAACAGAAGAGGACATTGAAGTGCTTGAAATCACAACCTTTTCAATTAGATCTAGAACGTCTTGGTTGTCAATGAACTCAATGTAGCTCCAGTTGATTTCTTCTTTCGTATACTCATCTTGCTCCATTTTGAAAACGTGCTGAAATAAGAAATGGGAGATCATAAGAACGGACAAAAGGATTTAAAATACTGCTAAAGTGGAAGGATTTGACGAGCTACCTGATTGAAGTGCTGCTGAAGCTTCTCGTTGGTCAAGTTGATGCAAAATTGTTCAAAACTGTGAAGAAACATAATTTGAATCTAAGAATGATGTGTCGAGGTAAAAAAAACCGCACCTCATTCACCAAAATGGTCAAAATAAGTACATGAACATTGCTGAAAAGTCTGAATTAATCATCATAGTCCTTAACAATACATGCCATGAAGTAATGGTAACAAATAACTGATCTCCAGCACACAAACAAACCCACAAGACAATAATTTTTATTTTTATTTTTTAAATGAGGAATATATTGTAATGAAAATATGGGTAATCAAAATTTGCTCTGTTTGGCTTTGGCTTCACTAAGGCAACTGATCATAACAAATCATTTCAACAATGAAAACACAGCATACCAGTTAAGCACCTGTTAATCTTGAAACTCTCAAATCCATAGATATCGAGAACTCCAATTAAGCATTTTGAATTTGGATCTTGACCGATTGAACTATTAATCTTGTCCACGAGCCTGAAAACAACACCAAATTACCAACAACCATGATATCAAATCAACTGATTGATATGGATCAAGGAAAATTATTCAGCCGAGAAGTTGATGCCTCACCAGTCAAACAATCTTGCATATACAATTTTGGCCAGAGCATCTCTGCTGGATGCAGCGGCCTCTGGATCCAACTCTTTGGTGATGGTTTCGTCACGGGTCACGATGATACGCTTGCAGAGGGAGTCTTCCAAAGCCTTTGCATCACACCTACAAAACAATCAAGATTTTAGAGAAAAAATAAAACTTTGTTACCCCATTTGAAAGATGAGAAGAAAATGTAATAATCAAGTACATGAAAAGTTCAGCTGCTGTTCTTAAATGAAACCACGACTTCTCATCTTTTGGCATGGATGAATCGATTTCTTTCCCCTTAACAAATTCGATATTTCCAAGATGCAGGATTCCAGCAATAACTCGAAATATTGCCTCCTGGGACACGATTAACAAGTAGAATCAGTACGAGTAGGTAGTGGTTTTTTGTGTTAAAACTGATAAAGTTAATACCTGGTCCTTGGCACTGATTCCCACAGTATCCATTGCCTTCCTAGTCTGTTTATACTCTTTAGCATCGTCTATTCCATCAAGCTTATAGCAATTTGTCTGGTTTAGATAATGAAATGTTCTTGGATCTCCCAACTTGTATTTTTTTATGTCCTGGTGATTAAAAGAAGCAAGAAAATTCATCATAATACAAAACAGACAAGTTACTTCTATCTACGCGAAACAAATCATCAGATGATGCAATTACCTCCGGGGGTGCAGCGCAGAGCATATAGAAGCAATGGTAATTTCTCTCCGGGTCGGATACTTGGCAAACACGAGATCTTTCTAACAAGTACGTTCTGATAGCAGCACCGGATATCCTACCTTTTTGATCAAACTGAAGCTCGACAAATTTACCGAATCGACTACAATTATCATAACCCGTGAATTAGTTGTACAGGCTCAACATATAAAGCTCTCAGGGCTAAACTATTCAGGAAAAACATGCTACCTTGAATTATTATTCCGCACTGTCTTCGCATTACCAAATGCCTCGAGAACTGGATTTGACTGCAATGAAGAAATGTGTCAGAAGAATTAAATATAAATGTCTTAAATAATATGTCTCCGTATCAGTATCACCCACTTAGAGAAGGATGTCTGTCACGTGCTAAGTTGTACGTAGAAAATGATATTAGAGAATCATGTGTAAACCTTACATATCAGGCAAAGTAGCCATTTAACAAACAGCAAAACAAAAGAATTAACAAATCAGTCATAAGTTCAATTGGACAAAAGATCGGATGCCTACTGATGAATCATCATTACCAATTTCCTGTTAGTAGAATGGAATTACAAAGTCTTAAGCGAAAGCAATAATCACCTCGAGAACCTGCTGCTCCACACTTCTTCCCTCTGCTCCAGACCGCCCCCCCATGTAAGCAAGATACTGCATAAGCAATTTAGTGCTTTCTGTTTTACCCGCTCCACTCTCACCACTCACTAAAATTGACTGACTAATTCCTTCATTTATCATTTGTCTGCATCCGCAATATGATTCATTAATCGCAACAAACACAATCATATATATACATATACGTGGTTAGAAGCTTTATCAATAGCTAAAAGCGACACATGCCTGTATGCAGCATCAGCAACGGCAAATGGGTGCGGACTCAGCTCACCAAAAGCTGCTCCTTTATACTGTGCCATCATATGGCTATCGTAGAGATGAGGCAATCTTTGAAATGGGTTCACAGCAATCAGTATATTTCCTACATAGGTCTGAAAATTCAATCGATATTAGACAGGAAAATAATTTTCCAAGAGGCAAAGGAATAACAGAAGCATACATACATATATTTCATTTATATCATATCTTGTTTTCAAATTGTGTAGAACTCCAGGCTCATGCAAGTATGCCAGCTTCGTCATATCATCAACCCCACAAGGCGGAGCTTCGGCATCTTTAGGGTATACATTGGCTGCTGGGACCACGACCTGACAAGAATCAATATGAAGTATGAACAACTAATCGAACAAAGTGTGCAACAGGGATGAAGCCATGTAAGCCATTAAAGAAATAGTTTGCAGAAAAGCACGGCATTAAGCAGTGGAGAGTAGAGAGGCATTTTCTGAGTTGCTATGAGAAAACTGACCGTCTTCCCCGATGTACAATGGACCTTGACATTTCCGCCATTGACCTCGACAACTTCTCCATCCAACCAGGCCGCATCAGGATCCTCCACCCAAACAAGAGATCCAACTCCTAAAGTGGCTGAAGCAACCTACAAAAGTTAAACAAAGTTGAACTATTTTCACCATGTGAAAACTTCACAATTTAACCATGGAAATTAGAGTAAGCAAACAATTAAGTATTCTACTGATCAGATATCAATCAAAAATTAAGCCTACTCATAGATTATGCCTTAAATATAGGTTGCAATTCTTTGAAAATTAAACTAGACTACCAACCGTTCTCAAATTCTACTCAAACACCGAAAGCAACCACAAAACATTGGATGTATTGAATTCAGGACAAGAATAGGACAAAAATGAATGCCTGACATATTGAATTCAGGAAAGCAACCACAACACATTTGATGTAGGGAGTAAAGGCATGTCCTCAGTTAACCATCAATTGGAAAGTTGTCGAATTTTCGAATTCACATGATCAGCAATCAAAGTATCCAACCAATCCAACGTAATTTCTTTAATTGATGTCAAAAGTATAAATGCAGCCATAGTGATAGCTTCCACAAGGACACAAAGTGGCGACAGAGCATGATACAGTGAAAATTCATGAAAAAGCAGGAGATAATCGAGAAACAAACTACCGATCAATCAAAGATTTCAAGAAACATAACAAGATCACCAAATATATAAATATATCTGCAAAAAATTAAGCCACCTCCGTACCATTCTGCAACAATTCCAATCAGATCAGAATCTTCAATTCAACTTCAGCTGTATCCTTCAGAACCCAAAGATCAATCCTCGAGGAAGAAAAACAAATCCAATAATTACAAACAACTTCCACCCCCCAGAAAAATACAGATCAATCCACGAATAGTTCTCCCACTTCAAGAAACTAGAGAATCCCAATCTCAGATCACTCCAATCAAAAAATTCTTTTCCTACAAGAAAATTATTTATCAAAAAATTAAGATAACAATCCCCTTCACAAAATCCTTCAACAGCCCAGAAAATGGGAGCGGCGTGGAGGCTTGCTTGTTTTTTATTGAAAAATGGTGGAAGGAAAATGGAGGAGAAAAGATTAACACATAATTAAACCCTTCATTGATTCTGCTAAGTAAACGATTCTGGAGATTTTCCTTTTTTTTTATTAATGGTTTCCTTTTTCCACCGGCAGTCTTTCGATTTTCCGTCCCCACGTAATTCGGGGTTTTGGGTCTTCCATTTCGTTACAGCAGCCGTACTGTAAAAACTCGGAAGGTGTATACTGGAATTACGTTATTGCCCTTCCTAGATTCTCGTTGCGATGCCGTTGACGGACAGGTTTGAGTGGGGCCCGTTTTACGTGTGCCAGCCAACGCCGTTAGGGTTTCTCACTTTCTAATTTTAAAAAATTAATACTAATAATAAATGTGTGTCTTAATTAAGCATCGATTAAATATTAATTTCTTCCACGAGACTTAAAATACAATCAAATTTACAAATGTATGTTCTTATAAACAAAAAAAAAAATTGTTGCAAGAATTATATATTAAATGCTTAATGCAATATAAATAACAATGTTTTAAGTGGAATTTTATTTTTATACAATATATTCAATCAAATAAAATATTTAATCTAATAAATTTAAAAGAAAAAAAAAATGATAAGACAATGGGAACGCAATACAATTTGTCTTATTGCAACGTTCAATAAATAAGGACACTTACATTCAACTGTCTGTCTTGTCTACATATTCTCAATTCTAATTCGTTTTCTTCACATTATCCATTCTTGCCTCAATTTTTTTTTTTTTTTTCAATTAAAATACAGATCAATTCAATTGATTTTTAAAAATAAATAAAAAACGATAATAGACTAGACAGAATATGACATCAACTTTTTGTAACGCAATTAGCAAACAATAAAAATATAGACACATGTTATTTATTAATTAATTATAGGAAAAGAAAAAGGCGCGTTGGAGGGTGGAAATCTTAAAACAGAGGGAAATGGTGGACATGTTGGTATGTACAATAGGCACGTTCTTGATTCTTAATCAAATCCGACGGCCCAGATTGAAAGAGAGGGACATCTACGATGGACGGACGGATAGATCTCTCTCCTATATCACCGCCACAACCGACGGCTAAGATGGACGGCTCTGATAATATTCATAAGAACCAACTACTATTAAATTAATTCAGAAATTTAAATTACCATACCTTTGTTAAAAAAAAAAAACAAAAAACAAAAATAAAATAAAAAATCAATCCATTAGAGAAGTCCCTGTGCCTCAATAAACCTCACTAAAACCCTTTACTCTTCTTCCCTTCCCCAGCTTAAAATTAAGGAAATCGAACCAATTTTTCCAAACAGCCAAAAACCAAAAAAAAAAGACCACATTTTTATCAATAGCACCGCCAAACAGTCATCTTCTTCTACTGTACATGTTAATAAAGAAGAAAGCATACCTTAAAAAGAAGCTTCATACGTGTTCCCGCCGCCGCGCTTCAAGAGCAGGCCGCTGTGCTCGCTCATGCTGCCCTGCAGTCGATGTATCGGCCCCGCAATCCGGGTTGTCCGAAGCGGACCCGATCTATTACCATGTCTTAACGGCAAAGCGGCAGGACCACCCTCGGTCAGTCTGTTTTCGAGTCCGTCGAGGGGACCCGAGCTGTACTCCATTGTAATGAACGAGGAGGCCTGGCCGTAAGTGAGGCGGGGGGTGGCGCCGCCGGCGTTCCACCAGCTGCTGTCGGAGGGGGCGTAGTCGCCCTTGAAGTCGGAATCCCGAGCGGAGGAGTCTTTATGGCTGTAAGCGTCGCCGCAAGTCTCGTCGGCGTCGTTGTAGATGAGCTTGAGGGCCTGCACAACTTCTCCCATGAATGGCCTGTGGGTTACCTCCGGGTGGACGCACATGGAGGCGATGGCGGCGACTTTGGCCATGTCGTCGAAGTCGTAGCTCCCGGATATAGAAGGGTCAGCGAGCTGCTCCAAGCCTTCTCGGTTGGTGAGTAGCGGTCGTGCCCATGTAACGAGGTTTTCTTGCCCTGGAGTTTGGGACATGTCGACGGGCTTCCGACCGGAGAGAAGCTCCAATAGCACGACCCCGTAGCTGTAGACATCGCTTTTGACGAGCAAATGGCCCGTCATTGCGTATTCGGGAGCAACGTATCTGCAATCCAATCAACAAAAGAAAAGAAAATTTGACATGATCTCATTTTGTTAAAATCAAATGTCAACAATAAGATAATTCAGGTCACATTAATTTCGGCAAAATTTTTCATAACTCCCTTGGATTTCGAAACTCAGCTTAAATGTCCCTTTACTTTAAAAATTGCTCAGCGCCCCTTATACTTTAAAAAATGTTACATAAAACCTCTACGTGGTTTTGAAAATCAACGTAAATCCCTATTTTACTTTAAAAATTGCATTAACACCCCTTATACTTTAAAAAATATTACATGAAACTTCATAATAAAAAATCATCTTCTCATCTCACAAAAAAATTTGATGGTGGTGGAGTTTCATACAACGTTTTCTAAAGTATAAGGGCCGTTACGCAATTTTTAAAATAAAAAAAAAAAATTATGGTAAATTTCGAAACTACAGGATGAGCAATTCCACCCATAAATTTATGATATATTGACAGACAAGAGAAGAGGTAACAGAATATAAGTATAAACAAAGTCCTTTTGCAAGAACCGAACGTACCCAAAAGTTCCCATGACTCGCGTGGATATATGATGACTTCCCTCGGTCGCTTCCCTTGCCAAGCCAAAATCTGAAACCTTGGGTGTGAAGTCATCTTCTAGCAAAATATTGCTAGCTTTAAAGTCTCGATGAATGACACGGGGATTGGAATCTTCATGAAGGTAAGCTAATCCTCTGGCAGCACCAAGAGCAATCTTCAACCGGACGTCCCAATCAAGAGGGCCCTTAGTCCTGTCAGCGCCTACAATATCGGCAACTTGGTTGAGTCTAAGAGGGGTATTACTACGTCAAACTGTTAAGAACAAATACTCAAATAAACAATACCATGTAAGTGTGACTCGACACTGCCATTTGGAACTAGCTCATAGACCAAGCAGCGTACGCCTTCTTCAATGCATATGCCGATTAATTTTACCAGGTTGCGGTGATGCAGCCGGCTTAGCATTTCAATTTCAGCAATGAATTCACGGTCTCCATTTTGATGGTCCCTCGTTAGTAATTTCACAGCAACATGATTTCCATTATCCATGATCCCATGATACACACGCCCGAACCCTCCTTCACCCAAAACCTTTTGGGGGCTGAATTTGTCAGTAGCTTTCTCGAGCTCTGCAAGTACGAATGTCTTGACAGAAAGAACAGAGGCCGGCATGGCAGAAACAAGAGAGGGTGATGTTGAGCTAACAGGACTACTTGATAGCATAGACCCTACCCCTGCAACAAAAGTTATCAAAGAAAAGAGTTACAAAATTATAATATATGAAAACTTACATGGGATAAAGATATGTATTAAATTTAAAAACCATGCATCTTATGCACATGAGCAACCAAAGTTGTCGATAGACAAGCACAAAATTTAACAAGGAAAATATCAAATACTTAACTAGAATTCTAGCAAGTTCCATAAAGTTTTCGAATAGCTTTTCAAAGGAATAAATATTTAGTCCAAGCAAATTAATGCATTCATATGAATTGTTCAATCAGCTTTGGCAAATTGTTAATTCCTATATTGCACTTTCTTTTTCCAGAAAATATAGAGAAGTTCACCTCTACGACATTCTGGACAGGTTCAAAACACAGCGTAAAATCTTACCGGATCTTTTGTTCATGGATGGTACAAACACTGGGCCAACAGCATTGGATGGTGCTCTTGCCTTCCTGCAGTTTAATATGATTGCAACTGCAGCAAAACAGACGACCAAGAGCACGAAAGCCGACAAAGCAATCACAAAAACTATTCGAGGGTTCATTTTTTGATTTTTGCCCACAAAATCAGCAGTAATAGGGTATTGATGACCCCCAGCACTTGCACTAGGACCCTCTCCAGATACAATGCCGGAAGGTGGTGACGGAGGCAACCCTGTTTGACATTGTTTTAGTATATATATATTCAAATAACCATAATGGTACAACAAGAATACAGTAAGTATAATGTACCTGGGTAAGCAATATATAATACGTCATAATCACCAAACAGGGTCCTGTTCAGAGGGACTTTCTTGTGCAAAAATCTTTGATAAGTTAGGGTAGCAGTTGTATTGTCAAACTTCTCCTCCAATGGAACCAAATTAATATCAACCACCGTTTTTTCCTGGTTTTGATTATCAGCACTGGCACCAATTATAGTCACTTGACTTTGTTTTAGATATGTGCCTGATGCAACTTCAATCTCCAGTTCCGTGACCTCTGGAAATATTGCATACACAGATACTCCTAGGAGAAGTCTGACTCTCATTGGAAAGACACAAGCACATGGCGAACCAAATGGAGCTGAAGTAAGTGGCTCGAGGCAAGTTTGATCACAACCTGTCAGATTACAGAAAAGTTCATAAGATCAATGGATATCTAGTAGTTGTCCAGTTCAGAAAATAAGTGGATTTGTTGTCATACCACAGAAGGCATCAAATCAACAAATATGTAATCTTAGAACACTATCCAGTTTGCTTAGCACAAGCGTATTAGTAAGTGGTTTTCGAAAGGAATTGCACCAAATTATCATGGCTAGCTAGAAATTAAGGAACAGAGAAAGACAGATATTGTTTGTTGAATGATGACCTGGAGTAGCTGAAGGGACGGGCGAAACTGGATGACTTCTGATTCCATGGCTGTGATGGCGATGCCTAGGCCAGATTCTACCTGTAGGATTAGAAACTGGTACTACAAAAGAGTTAGAATTTTGAAAACATAGGAACCAGAAATAGATGACATTAATCATTTTCAGTACCCAGTGATGCGGGAGATGGTGCAGGTGCAGCTGATAAGTGCTTAAAATGTTGTCGCCGGACAGCAATAAATAGATCAAATGAAACACTCATCGATGTAACAGTCACTGTGAACAAGAAAAGGCCAGTGTCATATGGTTACATGAAAAACAATCTATGAAAATGAAATCAAAACTTAAATGTAACTTCACAAACATTTTATTTGCAGAGTTCATAGTCACATAGTTACTGACCATACTTTTTTCGAAGAAATTTCATTTATATTGAATCCAAACCTCAGTTACATGCTAACAAACCATCCAGACACCTCCCAGATTGACATATTTAGCTATTCTAGTAAATCAACATTTGAGAAACAGTATAATGAGTGGGAATCGTGTATGTACGTCAGGCATTACAAATTTTAATTAAATTAGGGCTTCACAAAGTGACAAGGAGAAACAATATAGCAATATAGCAGCGAAGCAAAACGACAGAGACCGTCGAGTATCGAATTATTTATCACCATTAATCCTTCAGAAAATAATTCGATTTTTTAGGATATGGAAAATGAACTCATAGACAACAAGCGAGTCCAAACTGCATACAAAATTTAACGTCGGAGTTTCCTCCATTGCAGAATCTCACTGTATGTTGAATTTTTATGCAAGCATGGTTTCTATGGAGTTAGTTCCCTTGCTTTCTCGTAACGTTTGTTAAAAATCAAGCAAAAATATGCTATTGCAGGAAATTGAGGTGAAGAAAGGGGGAAATACCGATATTAGAATGAAGCAAGCCGAGAAGAGGAAGAAGAATGAGAAGGAGCATATTGTCTCTCCGGAGCGCAATTCACAAACATTGTTCTCAAACCACAATGAGAGCTCGGAGCACAGTCCGGAGCTGTTTAGGTTTCCGAATAGCCTCTCGCCACCGACAAGCTGCATCCACTTCACCCCAAAAATTCAGAGTTCGCATATCGATATTCACGCAACCAACGCCAGTACAGTGAAATTTCGAAGTCAAACCACAGTAGAAGAAGCCAAATCCCAGCTCAAAAACTGCAATGCAGGTGCCTTCGTCGGACAATTTTCAGATCCAGGAAGGGCGACGGAGATCCAGACCAGACCAAAATTCGCCGCCGCGGCGGCGGAGCAAACGCGAGGCGGAGAGAAATGCGCCAAAATGGATCTCAGCAGAGCAAGACGAGAGAAGATCTTGAGAGGAGGAAGGCACTGTAAAGAGAGAGAGGGGGAAGAGTGAGAGAGAAAAGCAGAGGAGGGTGGGGAGGCTTTAATGGCGGTGGAGCCACCAGTCAGCATACTGTCTTGCGGGTAAAATTGAAGTGTGTCTGGTGCACGCGCGTATACGACGCGTGTACATCACGAACCAAATGAAATTTAGACCACACTGCCTGCACAAAAAAAATTGTCTTTTGTTTATTGTTTCCTGTTAACAAAATAAATTTATATAATTCAATTTTTTTAACCTTTGCTTCTCATTGCCACGTGCATTTTTTTTAATTTATTTCTAATTTCTTAGCATTCAAAAATTTTAAAATGGTAAAAACATAATTAATATTTTATATCAAATCAAATAATTATTTAAATTCAAATTTTTATTATTTAAATTTTCAAAATAAACACCCCGTATATTATTATTATTATTATTATCATTATCATTATTATTGTTATTGTTATTTTTTTTCACATAATTTGATTATAATATAGAAAATAAATTAATTAAGTATAATTAGCAAATATATTTTAAATAATAAATTGACAACGCATACTAATACTTTATACAATATGTTTTATCTGTTAAAATTTTATATGCTAATTGAAATACTCACTTTGTCATGTTGAAATGTTGTCATTTTTTATTTTCGTTCGTTTCAAAACAAAGTTATCATTTCATAATTTAGTAATTGTACTGTGTATTTAACATAATAAATACTCTTCCAACTTACACTATATTACACAAATGTCATTACTTTTATATTACATAATATTAATAAAAGTATTTTCGTCTTTTTTTACTACAATTCATTATAATACTAATATTCAAAAAATTACGTGCAAAAAGTAAATGATAATCTTGCACCGGGATGAAGAGAGTAATCAACATGGTACTTATAAATCTTCAATCACTATCATAACCGAAGTGTGTATATATATTATATTACGTAAGTGTATATATATATTTTTTTATAATATTGAAAAACATGTTGATTTTCTTTCTTTTTATTAGATAAACATACTCATAGTATTTCGGAGTATGCTATCTATAGCATCCGGTGTTTGTTACAATTTTATACATTATGTATAATATTATCATGATTGAGACAATTAACATGATATTCATATTCAATCACCATTCTAACGAAGAGTATATGTATAAATAGTATATTGCATAAGTGTATATAGATTTTTTTATAATATTGAAAAGTATGTCCAATTTTCTTTTTATTATTACGACATAACGATACTCCAAATAATCCTAACCTTTCATCTTTAATAGCATATCCAATTACTATGCTACATAAATCATTAGAATTTTGAAATATTTTGAAAATAATAAAAAATTATATTTGATATTGATATGATATTTTATTAAAATAAAATATTAAATGACACTATTATTTTATACTTATTTAACCATCGACAATTCTTATTTAATTATATTTGATTTATATGTGTTTAAATTGAAAATAAATTTTAGAATGTTATTCCTAAAATTATAAATATATATATATTTTTTATATTTAGCCATAAAAATAAATTTTTAAAACCTAAAGTCACGATTTCAAATCCCGGACGCTTGAGATCACCTGTGTGCTCGTCTAGTGTGATTTTATCGATAGCGGCTGCGGTTTCCATTTCGTTAAAAAAAAAATAATAATAATAAATAAATAAAAAGAAAAGATAATAGTATAATTATTAGAAAAGATGCAAGACCGTACAAGATAAATTTGCAGCAATACCGACATTGGAGACTTCTCCTAAAACAGAACTGAATATACAGTTTGCAGACCGCCGTCCGCGGGCGAGACGAGAACGCCGGTTTCCGATTGGCACAACAAAATCTGCCAACTCGATTCCACATCCGGCGTAGTCTTCCTTCTATTGTAGAAATCGCATTGCTCAGAGGCTGCACGGCGGCGTCCGTTGACTTGAGTCCGCGCTCACCCCCGCCCATTACTTCCTGCGATTTGTGAGTATGTGCCTTTGTTGTGCTGTTTTGTTGGTGTTTATGATTGTCCTTCGATTAGGGTTGAGGAGATCGGGAATTTGATTTGATTTGGCTTGCTTTTTTCCTGCTGTTGTTTTTCAATACAGATCTTCTGAAGAATGGCAGAGGAAATGAATCACGCGTCGAGCTACGTGAAATTGACTAAAGAACAAGCGCCGATGGAGGACATTAATCCCGGCGAGCTTAATCAGCCAATAGAAGTTCCTCAGGTAATCGCTACCTCTTGTGTGTGTTATAGTTTTGTGCAGATTTGGTATTGATTTTACATTGCCTTTGATTGTCTGCTGTTGTTTCCTAGTTTCGTCTCTTAATTCGCAGTCGGAATGCATTCCAATGGTTGATTATCGGATGTTAATTGCAGTTCGGCTTGGGTGGGGTGTCTCTATAAATCTGAATGTTAATTTTGAATTCCTTGCATTTGCTCCACATATTATGTAAATAGCTAACTTTTTTATATGATCCAGACCAGGTTATCTCGTCATGTCTGATCTGTTCTTATTACAGCGAAATTTGAGGCTCATTTTCGACTGTTAGTTTCTTGCTGATAATAGCTGCTGAATAGCAGATATTCTGGCTAATTACTGTATTCTGTTCCCACATCTAAGGCCTTGTGACTAAACTTTCTAAGCAGAGAACTAAGATATATTGAGTAGAATTGGATATATATATATATATGCTTGATGCTTTTAGATATTCCCGACTTATGGAAACATTGCAAAGTTTATATAATGCTCGTGGGAAATTGAAATTGTTTTTTAGAGAGGAGTGTACAAGTATGGCATGATCTTTTGAGCCTGTAAAGATGTTGGTTTAACATTTGTGACGATGCTGCACTTTGGGTCTAACTGAGCTTAGAATTATGTGTGGTTTTTCTGCAGTTACATGTTCATAAGTGCAATGAGTGTGGCCAGCCTTTGCCAGAAAGCTATCAAGCCCCCGCTGATGAACCTTGGACTACTGGGATTTTTGACTGTGCCCAAGATGCCGAGAGCTGTAAGTTTGAACACGTTTTGACAAAAAAATAAATTAATTCGGGAATTTGAAGTTAAATATGCTTTGAGTGGATAAAGCTAATATTTCGCTGCCGAATAATAAATGTTATACCTAGAAATATGACAAGTATTATGTGCATTAGAAGTTTCGATATCCTTGTTACTTTTTTCAGTGGAAAATAAAGTTTCTTTAGGTAGTTATGTGATCAGGGAATGATTGCACTATTTTGTTATTTAAGACTTGCAGATGATGTAAATGTTGGGGTGCGATCTTACAAACAAAAATTCTCAACACATTTTCCCAAAAAATTAATATATTACACATCCTTATTATTTTATAATACCTACACAATTCTTTATACCTGAGGTAACATTTTTTTCCTTCAAACCAAAATACAAAACAAACAAACCCTTAGAGTCTCTGTACTTTTTCAGCATCGTCTGAAGAGTAGAGTTGAAACCTTTTTTTTTTTTTTGTCGTATGTTTCTGCAGTTGTAAAATTATTGTCATTGGCCATATTCCGAGCATTGAAATTTCATTATTTTACATGAGCTATTTTCACGCTACCAAAATATATCTACGAGCACTGAGCCTCAAAGTAGTGTGAAGGATGGCTTGTAAAATTATAACTGCACTTTAGTTCTAAGAAACCTCTTTTATCACTTGGGCAAATTAAAAAGTTATCATAACGAAGGGCATAGCTGGGATATATATACTCCTACAACATTTTGCATGTTACTTATTATGCGCTGCTCTGATTCCTCATATCCCACTTTTCTCACCTCTTTTCACTCTTTGTTGTGTTTATTTATCTCCTGTATTTCCAAATTTTATATGAAAAACAGGTAGAACAGGCCTATTCTGCCCATGTGTTCTATTCGGCCGCAATGTTGAACAAGTGAGAGAAGATACACCATGGACTGGGCCGTGCATCTGCCATGCCATTTTTGTCGAGGGCGGCCTCACCTTCGCTGCAGTGGTAGCTGCGCTACACGGCATGATTGACCCGAGGACAACTTGCCTCATTTACGAGGGCTTGTTTTTCAGCTGGTGGATGTGTGGAATATACACCGGCCTTCTACGACAGATGGTGCAGAAGAAATACCATCTCAAGGTACTGCAAATCTTACCAACCAGCCTCGGCTCTACCAGCGAAAAAGCTGTCATTTTTTTGTTAAAATATAATGTTCGTATTTCTTACAGAACTCTCCTGGCGATCCCTGCATGGTTCACTGCTGCCTGCACTGGTGTGCCCTGTGCCAAGAACACCGGGAACTTAGAGGGCGACTGTCAGATGAGGCTTTTGAGCCCATGACCGTGGTTAATCCTCCTCCGATCCAAGAAATGACTGCTGCGAATGACGGCCATGATCAGGCACGGGCTTCTGCGAGTAGGGACGAGCGGGTTACTGTGGAGATGCAAGCTTTGTAGAAGCTACTCCATGGCAACTGAGAAAAAAGGTAGCAGTTTTCATGTCATTTTGTTGCAGAATTACCTGTGGAAGTTGAGATTTTTTACCTCATTTATTTGGTTTAATCTTCATCAAGGTTTGTAAAAAATTTGATGCCTGTGCATGTGTTTAGGGAGAAAGAATATCACATCTTTTTACTGCTATTGTCATTGTGAAATGAGGAAACTGGTACTTTTTTTAAAAAAAATTATATTATTACTACGAATAACTACAATTGTTACTATTCAGAGTGCATACCTAAAATTCAGGCTGGCCTATCCTTATGTGTGACAGATAAAAGACAGAAAATTTAAATATATTATTTAAATTAAAATTTAAATCAAATACTGAAGACAGGCAAAATCAAGGCTTAAAGATTTCCTTATGTTTGTTCCACATATATATATATATATAGTTTCCTTAGTCTATTAAAATTAGCTCGGTAGGAAAATTAAGAAAAATTAGTACTCTATTTTATTCAGAAAATATAGTCGGAGGTATTTTTGAAAATTTAAGTAAAAATTAAAGTAAATGAAAAGAGAATATAATAAAGTTAAATGATATTTATTGTAAATAAGTATTGAATAAAAGTTAATCATAAGATAAATTTGGGAGAAAATATTATATTTTTAATAAAATATTGGTATTTAAATAAAAGTTAAATAAATACTAACATTTTATTTTATATTAATTTCAAGAAAAGAAATCCTTAAACAAGAAAATGTGTATTTTATGGAGCAGTGCATTTGGGCCTTAGGCTTCTACGAGTCCAAAACAAGAACAGTAAATCAAAAACAGATTTCCCGCCTCTCGAAATGATTCAAAGTTTTCGACTGCATTCGAAATTCCGACACCGTCGTCTTCCACTTGCAGGGCTTTGATCTCCAAAACCCTCCACTACCCATTTTCAGTTCTATACTTATATTTTTATCTCCAAACCAAGGAAGATGTACATCAAGGAAATCTGCTTGGAGGGTTTCAAGTCCTACGCAACGAGGACGGTTGTCCCGGGCTTCGATCCTTACTTCAACGCCATCACTGGTCTAAATGGCTCCGGCAAATCCAACATCCTCGATTCGATTTGCTTTGTTCTCGGCATTGTCAACCTGCAGCAGGTTAGGGCTTCCAAGTTGCAGGAGCTGGTGTACAAGCAAGGCCAAGCTGGAATCACCAAAGCCACTGTATCTATCATTTTTGATAATTCAGATCGAACTCGGAGTCCTCTTGGATATGAGGATTGCCCTGAAATCACAGTAACTCGTCAGGCATGTTTAATTATACACTACGCGCCAATTTTTAATATTTCCCCCAATTTTGTGTAAAGAAACATTGCACTGATTAGACGAAGTATTTTGAAGGTTCATGTTAAACCTAATGGGTTTTTTTCTGTGTGTTTGAGATAAGGAAAGCTCTAACTGTCTGATGTTTTGGTTTTGGTGGAGTTTAATAAACATTTTTGATACTATTGAATGCCCTGAATTTTGAAACTTCATAAAAATGATAGCTTTATGTTAATTCAATCAAATTCTTGTATTAGATACTTGTATTAGTGGTTCCATGTCATTCATTTTGTGTTAATCAAGATTGACTGGTTTTTGATGGGAATTGGTAGTCAAGTTTATTCACACAATTCAATTCTAATGTTGAGTTGCAATTTTCAGATTGTAGTCGGCGGAAGGAATAAATATTTGATCAATGGACACGTTGCTCAGCCTAATCGAGTTCAGAATCTTTTCCATTCAGTGCAGCTAAATGTAAATAATCCACATTTTCTTATAATGCAAGGGCGCATCACTAAAGTGTTGAATATGAAACCTCCTGAGATCTTATCGATGCTCGAAGAAGCTGCAGGGACAAGAATGTATGAAACAAAGAAAGAGGCTGCTCTAAAAACACTTGAAAAGAAGCAGAGCAAGGTAGATGAGATAGACAAGCTTCTCGACCAGGAAATACTCCCAGCTCTCGAAAAATTGAGAAAAGAGAGGATGCAGTACATGCAATGGGCCAATGGAAATGCAGAATTGGACAGGCTTAAGAGATACTGTATTGCTTATGAATATGTCCAAGCAGAAAAGATTAGAGATAATGCAGAGAACAGTGTTCAAGAAGTACGAAATAGGATTGTGGAGATTGATGCTAATGTCGTAGAAATGCACGCTAAAGTGCAGGAGATGGAGAATCAGGTTTCAGAATTAAGTGCTGAAAAAGAAGCCAGCATGGGGGGGGAGATTAAACTGTTATCAGATAAAGTCGATACTCTTGCAAGTGATCTAGTGAAGGAAACTTCTATGCTTAAAAATCAAGAAGACAATCTTGTAACTGAGAAAGCGAATGCAAAAAAGGTACAAGGACTTGCTGTTGCCGCCATTCTGTTTGATAGACTCACTTCAACAATGATTTTAGTAGATTCCAGTTTCAATTGCATTCAGTGGTTTTTTTATTTATCCTCTAACATGATCAGATTGAGAAGAGTCTCGAAGAATCCAAGCTTTCAGCAGAACAGACAGCAGTTGCAGTAAAAAGTGCTGAAGAAGGAGCTGCTGATCTTAAGAAAAACTTTCAGGAGCTCTCAAAGAGTTTGGATGAACATGAGAAGGAGTACCAAGTAAAATATTAAATAATATCTTGAGACACCTTGATAATGAAAATAATCTCACCACTATGAACTTGTGCTTTATTGTAGGGGGTAGTGGCAGGTAAGAGCAGTGGAAATGAAGAGAAGTGCCTTGAAGATCAACTGGGAGATGCCAAGATAGCTGTTGGAAGGGCAGAGACCGAATTGAAACAGTTACAAACAAAAGTGAGCCATTGTGAGAAAGAACTGGAAGAGAAAAGAACTCAATTAATATCGACCCGTGAAAAAGGTTCTGCTCTAGAGACTGAACTCGATTCCAAAAGGAAAGATGTAGAGCAGGTTAAAAGTTCTTTGGAATCTCTTTCCTACAAAGAGAACATCATGGAAGAGCTTCAAAAGGTATGTTTTTCATTGGTTGTGTTTCTCAATCACCTGTTAAAAGGTGCCTGTGTCTTTACTAAAACTTCACTATCAAATGTTCTTAGGATCGAGCAACTGAGTTGGAGATGGTGCAGAAGTTTAAAGAGGAAGCACGCATACTCTCTTCGCAATTATCTAACGTTGAATTCAGTTACAACGATCCCGAAAAGAATTTTGACAGGTCAAGGGTGAAAGGTGTGGTTGCAAAACTGATTAAAGTGAAGGATAAATCTGCAATGGTTGCATTGGAGGTCACTATTACCTATTATTCATAACCCTCAATTACATTCTGAATCTGGATGTCTTCTGTTGTGCTACAAAGTCTCCTTGAAAATTTTTGCAGGTTGCAGCAGGTGGGAAGCTGTTTAATGTGGTTGTAGACTCGGAAGACACTGGAAAAAAGCTTCTACAAAAGGGCTCTCTGCGGAGGAGAGTGACAATCATTCCTCTGAACAAGATTCAGAGCCACCCGGCCACACAGAGAGTTCAAAATGCTGCTGTTAATTTGGTCTGCAACCACTGTATCTCACATTATTTTATTACCATTTTTGTATTTGATTATTTTTGTTTGATTTTTGGTTTGTGACCTTCAGGTTGGCAAAGGCAATGCAGAAGTGGCACTTTCTCTGGTTGGATATGACAAGGAACTTCAAGTAATTTCCTTCTCAAAGATTTTGGATTCTTCAGTTTTGGTTTTCATTATTATGTTTTTATTACTTTTATTGGCTTACAAATTCAATTATTCCTGGAACTAGCCCGTAAGAGTATGATACCTTTGTCTATTCTTACCTGCCCTAGTATTTTAGGACATGGCATTGAGCTGTTTGAGACCATCATATAAGAGATTGGGATTTAAATTTTAATCTTGATCCGGCATCTCATTTTAATGTGAGACGATGGCATTTATAAACTTCTCACTTAAGAGACACACCTTGCAGAATGCTATGGAATATGTGTTTGGATCAACATTTGTTTGCAAATCAATTGATGCTGCAAGAGAGGTACATGCTTTTATATAGATGTTTACAGATTTTTTTCCTTTTTTTTTTGTTTCCTTCATTTGACCGTCCCTCATATTTCCATAATGTAATGACTTCCATCATAACCCTTTTGAGTTATCCTAACTCATACATAATCTAATTGTAATGTCTGACAGGTTGCCTTCAACAGAGAAATAAGAACACCAAGTGTAACTTTAGAAGGTGACATTTTTCAACCCAGTGGACTTTTGACTGGTGGTAGTCGCAGGTAATAATGAGATGCATCTTCTCTCAATGAATTTACTAATCCACTCAATATATTGCCAACACCTCTCGTGCGCACTCTTTCAAACACATGTATTAAAGCTCTAGTTGTAATTGCAGAGGCGGAGGAGACTTGTTGAGACAGCTTCATGCTTTGGCAGAGGCTGAATCGAAAATTTCTTTTCATCAGAAACGTCTTTCAGAAATTGAGTCTAAGGTTATTCCTTCACAAAGGATTCAATATGCACGTCCTTCAATAATTGAGGCTTCATTGGATATCTATGCTTGTAATTTTCAATGATAATTTAAAGATGCTTACTTTTTTTCTGATTATTGGCATCAGATTAACGAGCTTCTACCCCTTCAACAAAAGTTCAGAGACCTTAAGAAGGTGTTCGAACTCAAGTCTCATGATCTCTCGCTCTTGGAGAACAGGGCTAAGCAGAATGAGCATCATAAGGTTTGCTGCCTAACTGTTGTATCAGCAATTTTTAGAAAGTACACACATATATTTGTGCTGTTGCTGTGACAATAAGTTTGTGTTGTATATATATAGCTGAGTGAGATGGTGAAGAGGATTGAACAAGAGCTTGGTGAAGCAAGATCTGCGATCAACGAAAAGAAGCTTCTCCATGAAGAATGTCTAGCCCAAGTGTCACATCTTGAAAAATCAATTCATGACCATGCAGGAAGCCGGGAAAGTAGACTCAAGGATTTGGAGAAAAAGATTAAGGCTTTAAAAAATGAGATGCAGGCAGCTTCCAAGAACCTCAAGGTATATTTCTGTAATTTTCTATAGGCACAGATCTAGTTTTGGTGCTTGATATGGTATACTATCTGTGTATCCAATTTATCGAAATTGCTGAATATGATTTCTGCTGGAAATATCTTGAAACATTAGCTTATTGGGTTAAGTGACACCAAAATTTATTGGAAGTGAGTAACAAATTTCACAGGACATTCTTTCAGTAGGAGAAAAAAATGTGTAACAATTGAAGCATGCTGTTTCCGCATATCTTGGTGCTTGTATTTCGGAGCAATTCCTATGAGCAAATACAGCTATTGTCTTGCACACCAAAGTGTTCATTTTTCCATCCCACTTCTTTACTTTACATGTCTTATAAGCTCAGATGTAACTGTAATGGGTATGAGTGTAGGATATCATTTATTGTTCTCTCTTCTACTATGCTTTACATGTATCGGGATTTTGGTCAATTGACGAGCTTGGGAATCCTTGTTTAATTGCTGGCGATCTACAGGGGCATGAGAATGAGAGGGAGAGACTTATTATGGAATTGGAAGCAGCTCAAAAGGAACAAAAATCATTGGAGAGCCAATTGGCAGCTTTATTGAATCAAATCAATAATCTTGAACTGGAAGTGGATTCTCAGAAAGAAAAGGTTCATCTTCTTTACAATGACATATACTGCTCTGAATCAGCATTACTTTCCTGGAGAAAACAAAATTGAGCTTTGTATCATTTTCGTTTAGGTTTTTTCAGTACAGAAGGCACATAACGAGGCACAATCTGAGCTCAATGTGGCTCGCCAGAAGATCAAGGACTGTGATTCACAAATCACTACCATTGTCAAGGAACAGCAGGGAATCCAGCAAAAAATAATTGAGACAAACTTAGACAGGAAAAGAATGGAGAATGAGGTAATTTGCTTGTTTTCTACTCCATATCAGCTTCTTTAGATGGCTAATTTTATCTTTTTGATGTAGGTCAAACGAATGGAAATGGATCAGAAAGAATGCTCGTTAAAGGTTGAAAAATTGCTAGAGAAGCATGCTTGGATTGCATCTGAGAAGCAACTTTTTGGAAGAGCTGGATCAGATTATGATTTCGAGTCCCGCGATCCTCGCAAGGCTATGGCGGACTATGAGAAACTTCATGCTCAACAATCTGGGTGAGAATAAACATATGCTTATTGGTGCTTTATATTTAATACATTCTAGATTTTGAACAGGTTTCTTTTGCAAACCAAATACACATTGTGACCTTGTTTTCCCATTACAGTCTCGAGAAAAGAGTGAATAAGAAGGTCATGGCAATGTTTGAGAAGGCTGAAGATGAGTACAGTGCCTTGATATCTAAGAAGAACATTATCGAGGTTAGATCTGTTGAAAAACAAGAGTTAGCCAATTCCTACTGTATTTGTTATTTATGCATATCTCTATTCATGTAGAATGACAAGTCAAAAATCAAATTGGTTATCGAAGAGCTTGATGAGAAAAAGAAGGAGACGCTTCAAGGCACCTGGGCTAAAGTCAACAAGTTAGTTCATATCGATTCTCATCTTTTGTTGCAACCTTTTCTTATTACATACATACCTTATTGGATTTCTTCTTTACTCAGAGATTTTGGGTCAATATTCTCCACTCTTTTGCCGGGAACAATGGCCAAACTAGAGCCCCCTGAGGGATGCAGTTTCCTCGACGGATTAGAGGTCCGTGTTGCTTTTGGAAGTGTTTGGAAACAGTCCTTGTCCGAGTTGAGCGGAGGGCAACGATCTCTTCTCGCACTTTCATTAATCTTGGCTCTGCTTCTTTTCAAACCGGCTCCACTATATATACTCGATGAGGTATATACTTCATATATATATGAAGTGCATTTTTTAATCAACCATGCTACGAGTAATAGCATTCGCATTTAGTCGTGTTTATGAAATGGTTTCAGGTCGACGCTGCTCTTGATCTGAGTCACACGCAAAACATCGGGAGGATGATCAAAACTCACTTCCCACACTCCCAAGTAAGTTAGTTTCTCACTCATGTCATGTTGCAAAAAGTTATCTGGCCAAACTTATATGGATTGGTTCGGTGTTTGCCTTTGCAGTTTATCGTTGTTTCGCTGAAAGAAGGCATGTTTAACAATGCCAATGTTCTCTTCCGGACCAAATTTGTCGACGGCGTCTCCACTGTTCAGAGAACTGTAACAAAGTAAACACAGGGGTGGATGATCCTGGTAAGTACATAATATCATTGGTCCTCGACTGTTTTGCCATTAGAGTTTGCAGATCAATCTTAATCTGTTGATCGATGCACATTTTCATTTGATGCTGACAACGTAGTGTGTGTTTATCTTGACAAAAAAGTTGCCTGAAATTATTTCTGACTGAAGTAGAGAATAGAAGGTCAACCCGACATTATATTGCAAGATCTGAGAATCTATCCTCAAACCATGTATGTACTATGTGTATATGTTATGCAATGTAGGCTGTGAGTTTCAGAGTCCTCTTCCTCTTCCTCTTCAAGGCATAATGTTATTTTGACAATGCTTATTGAATTGGTGAGCTTTACTATTTATTTAATGAATTCTGAGTTTGCTTTCAAATTTGCATCTCGTTTGTGCTCATAATGCTCGATTTTTTTTTTTTTATTTTTTTTTTTCAATTGGATATGTTCTCCTTCTATTATATAAATTTAATATGTATTGAACCAAATATTGTTTTTATTATCATTATTTTATTTTTTTTAATTGTATATATATTGAGCAGTCACCTTCCTATTCAATAATAAACTGTTGCTGAATTACTATTATTATTATTGTCAATAAATCTTGGTGTGTAATTTCTATCATATCAAATGTTATTACATCTTGATTTATTTTATTTTATTTTTCCAAGAAAAAGTTAAATCTGATTTGAAAAGTAATTTACTTATGCATTAGTAACTATGGTGGATATGTTTATATAAAATAGACTTAAGTAAGACATACATACAAAAAAGCTGTTGAATAGAGTACTTAATAATTTAATCACCCCATAAATAAAATAGTAGTGTATGAGTGTTGTGTTTGTGCATCAAATTCAATGTGTCACTCAGGAGGATGGACATTTTTATTTAATTTATTATATGTTTTTGTCAGCCCATTTTATTATTATTATTATTATTACCATAATCTCTGTTGGTGATTTGTTACTGATGATGATAATTATAATAATTATTATAATTGAATTGACTTGGGACGTACATACATAAATAATTAATGTTTGTAATCAAGTCTTAATCATAAAGACCTAATTATATTGAAGTGTGCTTAGCCACAAAGAACTTCAGGTGACTGACAACTACCAACTAATCTATTCATTGAACAAGATAATATGGCTGGCTTCTGTTTACCCTTTTTTTTTTTAAAAAAATAAAGATATATATATATATAATTAAAGATATTTCTAGGTAAAATAGTAAATGAATATAATTTTGAAAAAATGAAATGAATGTTAGATATAATATTTTTATGGAAAAATTAAATACTAGTAAAAAAAAAAAAAAAACAATTTCGCACCAACAAACCCTAAATTAAGATGAAATGAAGGATATTTTACCAATAATTAAGCGACTTTCATAAATCACAAGTATTCAATAATCTTATGCATTAATAAAATGGATTACTCATATATACATAAGAAAATATCTCGAAAAATCTATGACAATCGAACTAGGCCTCGTAAATCAGTGTTCTACGACTAATCACAAATTTCATGGTGCTATCGGTATGAATATTGGAAATTATGATCAAGGTTTTCTCTATGAACTTCCATCTACTTTAGATATCTCTACTGATTTTTATTTTTTTTCATGAATTTGTGAATTAAGCAGGACTCTTTTGTACAAAATAACAAGTAGCGAGTCAATCTTCATTCAATTTGATCAAGAATGTGAAATATTCTAAATAAAAATACGGGAGATATAAATGATGCGTATTCTGATTAATAATCTAACACAAAAAAAAGGCAAGTAATTCATAGTTTATATTTTAAAGTTGTTTTATAAGTTTGTTTGGGGTTTTGAATTTTGAATTGAGATTTGAATACTAAAATTTTGAATTGGAATAGTTACATAATATGATATAAACAGGTGTTGATATAATATTTTAAATGTAAAATTGATTTTTAGCATAACATCGAAAAAAAAATTGTTTGATTTGATATTTTTAGAAAAAAAAATTGGATGAATAGTAGATTTTTAGAAAAATCCCTCAAACAAACACACCTTAAATATATTTAAATCAATGATAGATGTATCTTGAGAACTATTGTCATGTATTGTATTTTAATTATATTAACTAAAATTATGTATTATTACATAATATTATATCCAAAAATACACAGTGAATATCCAAAAAGCATCAATTTTAGTGCAGATAACATTGTTCTTAAAATAAGAGCTATGTGTTATCAGTTAGTTTTTTTTTTTTTTTAAAAAAATAAAATTAATACTCTACAAAAATATATATGGTACTTTACAATATAATACTCCCTCCGTCCAGTTACAATATTTACATTTATTTAAAAATATTATTACATTACTTTTAACTATTCATTATAATTAAAATATTATTATTTCTTAAACACCGCGCCAAAAGTCAAAGTAAATATTATAAGTAGACGGAGGGAGTACTGTACAAACATATTTGGTGCTGTCTGAATTTTTTATTGCTTATTAGAACAATTTTTACTTCAACGATGCTATAAGATTTGGTGTGTTGTTAACACAGTGTATTGGGTGATATAAAAATAATCACATTTTCAGTACCTCATTCGTTCCAACTCAGAGTATTCTTTTTATTATTTTCGTTTGTCCATCAAAAGTATCTATTTTCTATTTTAGAAAATATAATCATACACTAATACCAAAATATTTTAACTTTTACTTAAATTACAAATATATCATTACACATACAATTACTTTATACATAAAATCAAATGGCAAAATTATTAAAACCTTTTACGTACTTCTACTGAATACTAAAATACTACTTCCTCCGTCTCACATATCGTGTCTGCTACATTATAGACACGGTATTTTAGGAGGGGTGCAATTAGTAGATAATTAAGAATATATTAGTGAAAATAATTAACCTATAATATAATTAATTATAAATTAACATTAAGATAACTAATTAGTTTAATTAAAATTAAAAAAAATATAAATTTAAAATTTTAAAATGAGATTAAAGTGTGTCATTTTCCAAAAAAGGAAAGTGACACGGAATGTGGGACGGATAGAAACGATAATGTGGACATGATATGTGGAAGGGGGGAATATTATTTTTAATCTATTACGACATTCCAAAGACTTTCGTTTATTCGGGACAAAGGGAATAATATTTATTATGTCAATGTAAGTAGTACAATTAGTTAATTAAAAAAAAAAAACACTGATTTTAAAACAATTAAATAAAAATAGAAAATAGCTTCTTTTGAGATGGAATAGAGACCGATTAAAATAAATAAATAAATAAAAGAAAGTGTGTGATTCATGGCATCACCCACCAATTGACTTATTATTATTATTATTATTATTATTATTATTATTAAAAAAAGTAGTTAATATATTAATATATATATATATATATATATATATAAAAGTCTCCTACTTAGTTCAACTGCTGAGTAGTGATGCTTTCAGTTTATGTCAGAGAGACACAGATACACTTATACAGATAGAGATAGAGATTTTTAATAAAATAAAATGTATAATATATATGTATGTACGTATGCATGCAACAAATCTTGATAGTGAATGTTTTTGGCCAAATGCATTTTGACTTTTTTTTTTTATTTTAAAATGTGTGAGTTAATCAGGTCAACACCTTGACTTTCTGTTAAATAGTTTCCGGACACGTCTTAAGTCAATAGCAACCAGCAGACGCCACGTATCGCATTTATTGTGTTGTCCAACATTTTTATTTTATTTTATTTTTTATATTACTATATTATACTTCCGGTGTTTTTTTTGTCCAAAAACTCCAAATTTTTTTTATTTGGACTCTGTTTTTTTTTTTTTTAAATATACTTTTTTTTTCTAATAAAATATCTCATCCTGCATTATTTTAATATCAAATTAAAACTATTTTTTTTTTAAAAAAAAAATCCATCTAAAGAAACACACCCTTAGTATTTATTTTATGTTTTATTACTATATTATAGTTTTTGTTCATCACCATTGTAGTATAATTTTCATATTTTTTTAGAAATTTCAAAATAGAAATATAATAAATAAAATACTTCCAGCTAAGCTCCAATTTCTAAGATTTTTCAGCTCCCTGAAATTAATTTGTTATATAGTATTATGGCATATTGAGTTTGTTCTTTTGTAATTTTAAATTAAAATTATTTATTTTTTACAATTTTAATAAAAATACACTATTATATTATAAATATACTTTAAATATCATTTTTTTTTATATAATGTATATTTTAAAAAATATCATTTCGAATATGTATATATTTACAATTTATCAATTAAATATTACTTCCTTCGTCCCGCAAGAAGGGTGGTGTTTGCTTTTTGCACATAGATTTTTTAATATTAGTATTATATTGGATTGTAGTAAAAAGGACAAAAATACCCCTATTAGTATGGTGTAATATAAAAATAGTGACATTTGTATAATATATTGTAAGTTGAAAGGGTATTTATTATGAGTAGTACAATTACTAAATTAGGAAATAGTAACCATGTTTTGGGACGAACGAAAATAGAAAATGGTAACATTTCAATGGGATGGAGAGAGTACTATTATTTTTGTTTGATTATAGTTTGAAAATAATTTGAAATGAAGTTTTGATTTAAATTTTTGTTTAAGAGATTGGCGATGTCATATGTAACAAAAAAAAAAGAAAAAAAAAAGGAGGATGGAGCAATTACGGATCGGATGTCTAATTAGTGATATTTTATGAAAAAAAAAATGTATTTTTACTAAAAATATACGTGGTGAAATAGTATTGATTTTGATTTAAAATTACAAATAAACATATTCAAAATTTTTAATTATTTATAAAAAGTTTCAAAACTCTAAAATATATCGCTATATTCATTTGTGCTTGTTGATTTTGAGTTTATTTTTGTATTGTGAGTGCAGAGTATATTATTTTATATAAAAATTAAAATATATCTATAATAATAATAATAATATTTAAAAATGTGAAAGGAAGCAGAACCTTTAATTTATGAAGAGCGAAAGTGATACACTATTTAATTTTCAAACAAGTTGATTTGTTTAACACAATTATCTTTTATTTTACTATTTATTTTTTTAAAAAAATATCACATCGTAAAATATCAAATCAAATACTAATTTTTTATTATTAAATTTTTTTTCTCAAATTTTGAAAATTCCAAAGTCTAAAAAAAAAACAAAAAAAAAAAAAAAAAAGTCTAAACAGAGCGACTTCGTGACACTTCCTCACCTAATCGTTCATGGAGTGGAGTGACAACAACAATAATAAATAAATAAATAAATACTTTTATTCTTGTCAACTTCTTACACTGTCCTGTCCTGTCCTGGCCTGTTCTGCCCTGTCTTTAAGGTTGACTTTTGAGTGTCAACCCAACACTACATATAAATACATACCACCCCTATTTGTCACTCCCGCATATCAAACTACAAAAAACACAGATCAAACTAGAGAGAGAGAGAGAGAGAGTAGAGTGAGAGAGAATGAAGAGCAATATGGCAAGACTTAACAATGGAATGACCATACCCATAATTGGTATGGGAACTTTCTCCTTCGAAAATGACTATCATATCACTCACAATGCTGTCCAAATGGCCCTCAAGGTATCATCATTCTTATCCAATTTTTTCTCAATTAAATTATTATTATTATTATTATTATTATTTTTATTTATTTAATCCATTTTCGATCGATCATTCTCATTTAGAAAATGATCGACAATAACAATGTCGATAACATCGGCTTCTATTGCAGCTCGGCTACAACCATTTCGACACGGCTCAAGTCTACGGCTCCGAGCCGGCCTTAGGCGCCGCGCTCCGGGACTCGATATCCCGAGGTGCCGTCGAAAGGGAATCCCTTTTCGTTACGTCGAAACTCTGGGGAAGCCATCACCACGACCCCGTCTCCGCTCTCAAGCGAACGCTAATGTAAGCGAAACCATTGATCATTAATCGCAACTCGACAAATTAAAATCGAAATTATATATATGGCCCGAAAACATATAACATTTTGCGTTTTGCGTTGATAGGAACCTTGGGATGGAATACGTCGACATGTACTTGGTGCATTGGCCGGTGAGGATGAAGCCGTGGGTGTCGACCCCTTACGCTAAGGAAGACGAGTTCGAGAATTTGGACATGGAGACGACGTGGGCCGGGATGGAGCGATGCCTCGAGATGGGATTATGTCGCGGCATCGGCACAAGCAATTTTTCTTGCAAAAAGATCGAATCTTTGCTCGATCACGCATCCGTCGTGCCGGCTGTAAATCAGGTCGAAATGCACCCGATGTGGAAGCAAAAAAAGCTGAGGAATTACTGCAAGGATCACGACATTCACGTGAGCGCCTACTCGCCGATCGGCGGACCCGGGAATTTCTGGGGTTCGACAGCCGTTGTTGAAAGCCCGGTTATTCGATCGATAGCTCAGAAACACAAGGCAACTCCAGCTCAGGTAAGAACTAAACAACCTTAAATCTAGTTTCGCCTACAACGAGTCGAGGCTTATTACCGTACTTTTGTTGCGATTAAGGTTGCGCTGAGGTGGGGGATGTCGAAGGGATCGAGCGTGATAGTGAAGAGCTTCAACGAAGACAGGCTAAAGGAGAACATCGGAGCGCTCAGTCTGAAACTCGACAACAAAGACGTAAACGAAATCGAAAGGATGGAGGAGTGGAAGATAATGAGAGGGGAAGTGTATGTAAATCAAACGACGAGTCCTTACAAGACGATCGAAGAGTTATGGGACGATGAGATTTGACAACATATGCGGGAATCAAATCGATGTAAATAAAAAACGATGATTTCTATAGATTTTGGCAACGATATAAGTACCGTATATCTACAGAAAGCTCATAGGATTTGGTAACTACAGATGTCCTAGTCGCGGCCATTCTAAAAAATAACGTAAAATACGTATCTGGCTGTGGCGAGCAACGCAGACTCGACTCTGCAGTAGTGTCGAATTCCTTTTGCTCATAGCTTGATCGAAACTTCATATTTGATTGCTTTGTAGAGAACCAACAATTCTTAGATCTGTTCTATCCCGTGCAAAGAGCATCGAGCCGACTGTCGAGAGCTTCAGAAAATAAAATCAGTTAATATAAACCTAGGGAAAAAAAAATTACCGCAAAAGTCGATACCATTGCTCAGAGTTCCACATTGCAATGATTTTGGTATCGTCTTATAATGAAATAAAAGTTATAGGGAAAACCGAGGGAAAACTTGCAAAAAACATCCTCTACGTATATCGCTGGCAAAATATATCTTACACATTTGCAACAATTGTCATTTCTTGTCCTCCGGCTGCGCGTTGAACAACCGTCATGTGAATATGATGCACGGCCGAATGATAGAAATGACGACTTTTGTAAACGTGTAGGATATATTTTTTCAGCGAGATAAATAAAGGCCAAAAGTGATAATTAAATATACATAGAAGATATTATTATTTACAATTTTCTCGAAAAGCGAGGATATGTCAGTTTCGACTTTGAGCAAAATAACAAAGCCGTACAATGGCTCTGAGCAACGATCAATTAGCGACCTTGTTTCCTGCGGCCGGATCACCACCCCCAGTGGAAACAGATGTTGTGCCATGCTCGATACACTGGTCGAACACGTAAAAAAGCATTCAGGCTCAGAATAAATTCATGATTAGGCAAGGAGTCGATCGGAGATGCAAGAATATCAATCACCTGAAGAAGATAACTATGCAGCCAGTCCAAGGTCTGCGGAAATGCCGTTGCTGATATATTCACCACAGTATAACCCTGCAAAGCCATGAGACAAACTTCGTTGGTGCCTAAATATAGTATTAACGAAAATAGGAAAAAAAAAAAAAAACCACCAAAGCGCAGCGGCCTTGGGATCATTTCATAATTGCGTAGCATTTGAAAGACTCCATAAAACCTAATTAACTCGTGCATTCTAAGCAAAAAATTTTTCAAGCATTTACTACATTGTAAGATATAAAGAGTCGTGTCGACATACCTGCGACTTAAAAGAACATAGATAGTCTTGGATTGTTTTCAAGTTGCTGATTAATTTATCCTTATCCTGGAAAAATAAAACCGTGTCCGGTAAAGATATAAGGCAATGATACAAAAACATAAGAGGATAATACTTTTTTCGTTGTACAGTTAGGTAATGTAAAAATTTAAGGTTATTTAATACGGAAATGTGAAGCTAATGGAACAATTATCATCATGAAGTTTATGGACGACGAAAAAGATTGTGGTTGCTGTTTTATTTAGTACGACCTTTACGGGGAACTTTTCACAGCTACGAGTAGATAGCCACTCCTCAAGCAAAGCCTGTCAAATTCAACGTGCTTGTTAACTTAAAATTGGACAAATTACAATGTCATATTGATAAAAAGTACTCCCTCCGTCATCCAATTGTGTGCTCATTTGATTGGGCATGAATTTTTTTTTAAAAAATAGATGAAGATAAAAAATTTTACTTTTTAGGATAAAAAAATAGATGAAGATAAAATTTTTACTTTTTAGGATAAAAAAAATAGAAAAAGTAGTATTTTTTAAATCAACAAAAAAAAAAAGTAATAATAGATTTGGATGACACGGTAGTAAGGACTAAAAAGTAGGTAAAATCTACTGGCGAGACATTTTTTTTTTCTTTCAATTTCGAAAGCTCGAACATTGAATGTTAATTCAATCGAAACAATTTTGCAGTGCCTATGTATTTTGCTAAGTTCGCCAAAAGTTAAACCAAAAAAATAAAATGAATCTCAACATACCTTATGGTCAAATTCAGCCATCCTTAGGATTATCGGAACAATAATGGGTTCTGGACCGTACTTATTTTTCTTGACTGCAGGAACTTTTACAGGTTCGGCACCTGTACCCGATTCATCTGTCAGCACATTGGAAGCTCAAGTTAGAGCTGAAATGTAAACCATGCCAAGGACAAATAAATGTTCTCTACGATGAGAGCGCAGTACGGACACTAAGAAAGGAGACTTTCACCTTTACTAACAGGCAAGCTTCCACCTATGTCCTCAGACGATTGAGCGCCTGAACTTGTATCAACATTACATGTTTTGCCCCATGATTCATTCGTTAGAGTGCCGATATTCTCCTTCTCTTGATTAGCGCTAGGAGCGGGAGTGTCATTCTCTTGCGAGACTCCATTTTTAATTTTTCCTGATTTCTCTTCCTCTTTTTCTGGTACGGCAGTAGATGACTTATTGTCATCGTCCATTAGGTACATACTAGGATCCAAATATATTCCCTGCTAGTGTTTATATATATATATGTATAGATATATCAGCAGGTCGATTATAATCGGGACAATAAGCAAATCTTAGACACCTAACCTACATGCATTTATAACCTCCAGCTTATATTGAAGGAATGTATAATTTTAGGGTGTGTTCTCTTAGCAAACTTCACTCAATTTTTACTATTGGTCAAAAAAAATTTTCTCCAAAAACATCAAATCAAACTCCTAATTTTCATTTTCTATAATACACTTAAAAATTAATTTTACATTCAAAACATCATATCAATACCTATTTATATCACATCATACAACTATTCTAATTCAAAATTTTTACTATTCAAATCTCAAACCTAAATCCAAACCTCCAAACAAACGCTTCACTAAGGTCCCATTTGGTTGGAGAAAATAGGGTTAAAAGTATTTCAAATAATTCAGTCAAATTCATTAGCTTCATTTGGAAATTCCCTAAACATCAAATCAAATATTTTTCTTTTTTCATATTTTTTATCCGAATATATATTTTTTATTATTTATATCACATCAAATAATTATTCAAAATCATTTTTTTACTAGTCAAGAGACTCAAACCCCAAAACAAGCACACCCTCAAGCCCATTCATTTAAAATCTACCATAAAGTCCAAATACATCCAACCAAATGGACCCTAAGGAATTCTGCTCCCGAAATAAATTTCTATATGCATTCAAAGCCAAGAACTGCATACAAGACTTCGTTAACATGTCGTAAATCTATTGCTCAAGTAGGTGCCTATTAACAAGCACGCCATAATATACTACAAGTTCTCTTCAATTCATATAGCAAACAGCATTTGAAAGTCTGTGGGGCATGGAACAATTAATCGAATGATCTTTCTTTCTGATGTTGATTATCCTCACTAATAATAATAATTGATAGTTAAAGAACAATTCCCATGTAATTAAAGAATAATCATCAATCGGACGCTACATACATAGGTAAGAAAGCATAATGAAGAAAAAGACAAGCCATACAAGTACATTACATACGTAAAATGAAATTGAGCAGGGAATTTACCTCGATAATAATTGGCTTTCCATCCTTCATTGCTTTCTTCAAATCACCACCCAAACCTGTTTTGGAAGAATAGAAGAATACTTATTGCAATCCTTAATTAGGCCACGTTTGGTTGTAGGGATTTTGGTTAAAGGTATCTCCAAAGTTGGTTATGAATTATCTCTTTTAATATTTCAAATGCTTCATACAACCAAACAATGGGTTTTAATTATGAAATATTTCAAATCTGAAGTCTTTCAAATCAATTCATTTAAAATCCACATTCAAACCCAAATTCATCCAACCAAACGGGGCATAAAATACTTTGATTAGGGGGCAAAAAGAGTCTTAAGTATTTTCATTACCTTTACGAACAATTCGACATTCTCTACAAAATTCAGTTATTAACTCCTCGGATGAGCTAAAATTTCGAGCCCACACAGGAGAAGCTGTTAATGGAGCACTGAAATGAAAAAATGGTGCATCACTAATGAAATATACTACTCGGCAACAGAAATACAAGATTTCACAACTACAGAAGTGTTTATATAATATATATATTCGTTCAAATTAAACAAAGAAGCCTTTATTCAGACATAAAATTAACAATTTCAACAAAGTGTATTGGCCATAGAAACTTTATGAGATAAACAGTTGCATACTCTGTTGCCGTCCGCAGTAATTCATACACCATATCTGTCTGTGGCATTACAAATATAAATAAATCAACACAAGTCTTTTGTAAGTGCCAATGAAACTAACAAATGGAAAATAAAACAACAACAAATAAAAAATGAAAGAAATAAATGAATGATATTAACCTGCAAAACATTCGGCAGGTTTAATCTTTGGGCAAGTTGAGTAGCAATAGTTGACTTTCCAACACAAGCAGTACCACACACAAGAATAACCAGAGGAATTCTTTGATGGTGAAACCTAAAAACGGCAATAAAATTGAGATAAAAAGAATATTGTTATGATATTAAATCAAATAAACTAGAAATTAAAATGAAGAGCTCGAGCTTTTAAAAGTATATCATCAAATGTTTTCATGATATCAGCATAAATCGAAGACATAAAAACCTACTAACCTTGTCATCATTTTATATCTGTTTATATATTCTTCACCAAAACCTCGTCGCTCCATGAGCTATAGAGTGCAAAGAAAAAAGGAATTAAGCAGCCATATTTGTCGAAGGAATGAAATAATTAACCGAACGTATATATTGTTTATAGAAAAAAAAATGCTTTACATTAAAAAAATTGTTTATTCATTAAAAAAATTCTTCAAAAATATCAAATCAAACAATTATTTTTTATATTATATTAATAAATAATTTTACATTCAAAACAACATATTATTTTCTATTTATATTACATCAAAGAATTATTTCAATTTAAAATTTTACTATTCAAAAACCCAAAACTCCACTCCCAAACCTAAAACCAAACACACCCGAAGAAATTTCGACAATAACCCGAGGGCAATATTGTTCATTTACATCCATTGTTCTACATTCAAGATCAAAATAGCATCTTACAGAAATTCAATCAAATTTTTTTGGGCCGTTTGGTTGGATGTGTATATGTGGATATGAGGTATATTCTAAATGAATGAATTTAAATTATCTCGAATTTGAAGGGGTTCATAATTCAAATCCGCTATTTGTCTGTAGTAAGTATCTGAATTACTAAAGGGGGTGGATTTAAAATACAAAGCTAACTTGAAAATTTTGAAATCCATAACATTAACAAGTGAAACTAATGAAATTCATAGATTCATTTGGAATACTTTTACCCCAAATTCCTCCAACCAAACAAGGCCTTAATGTCTTTAACACCTTGATGTCTAATTTTCTCAGTAACAAATATATAAAACTAGAGGTTAAACCTCATATCATCAAGATTCATCTGCAATTCCAAAACTTGACAAAAACTTTAAATTCCAAACAGAGCAGATTGAACGTACCTTAAATAAGTTTGCTTCAAGGTCAGACTGAGAGCTGGAAAATGAAAAAAAAAAATTAAAAAAAAATCAGAAGCTAAAAACTAACAAACAAAAAAATAATGAAACCTATGTATAAAATTTGGCTATTATTACAACATACACATCCAGAAGGCTATTGTCAACAAGTAGCTTCTTAAGTTCCAGAGCAATCTTAATGGCCACATGGTTGGGAATCTGCAAATTAGGACAAGTACAAACCAAATAATTTAACTTTAAAATTTTAAAGAATGAAAAAATAAAAATTTTATTTTACCTTGGTGACGGTGAGCATTCTGCTGAGCAAAAATCTGGAGAAAACGTAATAGTGATCGGCATTATCGCCCAGCCAGACTTTCACCTGGTCGTGTAAAGAATTTATCCAGCCATAAATAAGCGATTGAAATTATAAATTTGTGAGTAATGAAAGGAAGTGTATGAAGTATTGCGTATTGGATCAAAATCGAAACGAACCTTGACGAAATCATATTTGGAAGAAGTGTTGCGAGTGGAGAATGGGAGAGGAACTATGGGTTCGAATTTGTTAGGGTAATCGGAATTGACATCTTCGTCTCCATCTTCGACTGGATTTTGGATTGCCACTCCTTTGTCCTTTCGCATTGTTGCAATATTCTTCCTTCCCTTCCCTTGCCTTGCCTTCTCAGGTTGTCTTGTCTCTCTATGATTTCTTTGATTTCTCCGCACCGTACAGTTCTTTGCAATTTCCACTTTCTGGGTTTTCTGACCACGATTTATAAAAGCGTTAGTTCAGCGAAATAAAAATATGGTAATATGAATATCTGGGATGTAATTGCAATTTACAAACCAGTCCCTGTAATGTTTAATTACTTATATTTGGAAGGCTTGCAAACAAATGTTTTATTAAGCAAAATGTTTAAATATGAAAAGACTGGATATTGTTTGATTATTCTTTGACTTATAATATAATATTTGAAATAAAATAAAATAAAATACGTATTAATATTTTAAATGCAAAGAATAATATCAATGTATCAAATTTGTCTATAGAGTGTGTTTGTTTAATATTTTAAATTTAAATTTTGAATAATAAAAATTTATTTATTATAGCATAAATAAATATTAATATAATTTTAAATATAAAATATTAATTTTTATTGGTATATCCCACTCACATGCATTAATTTATTATTATAATAAAAATAATTAATAAAAAAATATTATACGTAAATATTATGATAAAAAAAAAATAACTCTTAAACCAATTGCTTTTTGATAATATTCTTTGTAATGCCATACAAAATATTATAAAAATACTTTTTATTTAAATGAAAGATATATTTTACTTAAAAAAATGAAAAAATTATTTGATCAGGCCAAAATATCAAAATTAAAAAACTAAAAGAACGAAAGAAATATAATATTTAAAAATAAATATTTATTTTGATGTTTTTAAATATATATATATATATATGAATAATAAAAAAATCTATATAAAAAAAGCCAAACAAAATCCAAAATTTTCCCCTTCTTGTACATCTCAAATAATCTTATATTATCCAGTAGCACATAATTTGTTCTATTTTCTATTTTTCTGTGTCTTTCTTTTTTTTTTTAAATCTGATTATCCACTTTAATTACATTTTAAATTTTATAATTTTTTAATTTTAATTAAACTATTTACTTCTTTTAATCTTAATCTATAATTATTTTTACTAAATAATACTCTTTCCGTCTCAATACAATAATTTTGTTTACCATTTTTGTTCGTTCCAATACAACAGTGTTGTTTACCATTTTTGTCCATCCCAAAACAAAGTCTCATTTCCATAAATAACCATACACCGTAAAACTATTCCTATTTTTTCATTATTATTACACAATTGTCATTACATTTTACACGGGGCAAAAAAAGTCATTTATCTTTTACTTTTTATGCATGCCAATATAATATTAATGTTCCTGCCAATAAAACTATACTTAATTATTTCTACTAATACACTTTTTAATTACCTATTAATTATATTTTCCCTAAATTCTCGTATCCAAGGAATATGTCCAAAATATATGGGGGAGAGGCTATTTTGTAGGGTAGAATAAACAATACACACCTTTTGTATGTGTTAACCTCAAAAACACATTCCACATTACATTACATTACATTTTACATAAACCTCATACATAAATCAACAACAACAACAAAACTACCAAATTCATACAACTCATAATCAAGAAAGTTACTTCTTCCTACGCACCAGGCAAGGATTTCCAGTCACAAGCCTTCTTGAACAGCCTGCTGCCCTTCTTCCTGATCCCGGCGCCGTCCAGATTCGCCGACACCATCGCTTTCGTCTCCGGCTGCCACTGCAGATCCTTCAGACACGAGAACACCCCCGACAGCGTCGGGCTCACTTCACCGTCCTTTACGTTGTTGCACGACTTCACTTTCAGACTCTGAAGATCGCCCCATGCAGCAATCACCGACTCGAGCCCGTGCGTCGTCAGCGTCGAGCACCCTTCCAACGACAACGACCGCACTCTCCTGCACACCATAAACGACGACCAAATCGAATGAATTCTTAAGTACGACGTAAATGTAGACATGAATGTGTATATATATATATCGTCGCAGCTAAGTAGTCGAGTTTAAAAACTACTCCTTCCGTCTGCAATATTTAGCCCATTTGGCCTCCGTACAGGGTTTTAAACAGTGAATATTTTTTATTGAAAAAGTAAAAAAAAGTAAAAATGTAGTTTAGAATAATTTTGAAAATTTAGTTAGTAGTTAAAGAAAATGAAAAGAAAATGTAATAAAGTTAAGGATGTATTTGTTTGGGTATTTTCCCCCAACTTCCACCATTCATCAATTTGTTTTTTCCATAAAAATATCAAATCAAACATTTATTTTTTATTTTTTATATTATAATAAAAATTAATTTTATATTCAAATACCAAACTCAAAATTTTACTATTACAATTCAAAAATTTTACTATTCAAATCCCAAACTCAAAATTTTACTATTACAATTCAAAAATTTTACTATTCAAATCCCAAACTCAAAATTTTACTATTACAATTCAAAAATTTTACTATTCAAATCCCAAATTCAAAATCCAAACCCCTATTTACGGTAAATAAGTATTGAATGAAGGGTAAAAATTTAACTGACGAAAAAAAAAAAAAAAAAAAAGAAAAAAAAGGAAGGGAGTATATAAATATATATCTTCTCCGCAACTTCAATTTCGAACTCAATTTAATCGACTAGTCCCAACTCTGATACCATATTAAACGATCGTAAATCAATCAACACCGACAAAAATCACTCATCTACCAAACAAGTACTTGCCAAGTTCAAACTTTAATATCGACGAAAACCAACAAAGAACGATAAAGAAGATATACCTCAAAGCACGGCAACTCCCAAAAACGTCGTCATTCATTCCCCAACAATTCTCCATCGAAAGTTCCTTAACATTACAACAAACAAGAAGCAACCCCCTCAAAGCCCGCCGATCTCTAACCTGACATTTCTTCAAAAACAGCCTTTCGACAACCGGACAACACCCCAAATGCTCCTCATCCTCCACCTCATCGCTACCATCTATCCCCTTACATGAAACCAACCTTAAAGTCCTCAAACTCCGGCAAAACGGGAGCGCCAACAACCACCCGTCCTCCATCTTATGGTTGCAAAGACTCAGCTCCTGCAGCATCGGGCAGCACTGCCCGATTGCCTTAACCCCCTCATAACTCCCCCGGCATCCGCTCAACTCAAGATTTACCAAATTCTTACACCCTTGTGCTAAAATGGTCAGGCCAATGTCCGAAACCAATGACTCGTAAAAGCCTTCGACAATGCCCGTCAATCTTAAAGTCTCCAAATTCCGATAGGCTGCAATCCCGCGCAGCATTCGGTCGTGGCACATGAGCAGATCAAGCTCCTGCAATGAAGGGCAGCCTTCTGCAAGAGTTAGAAGCCCCAATTCTGTAGCGTTGATGACAGCTAGTTTTCGAAGATTCGGACAAGCTTTCGACAAAGTTTTCAAACCACTGTCGACTTCTTCGCCATTCATTACAAAGTTACTGTCGAAGAAGTTGTGTTTTCCGAGCTCAAGGACCTCAGAATCGACATGGAAAGAGACACTCTTGTGGGTGCAAAAGATGCCTGAATTTAAAGGGGAGATCAAACAGGCATTTACCAGATCAACGTGGATCAGATTAGGGAATCTGAGGAACAGCCTACCGCTAATCAGAAAATCCCAATCCAAAAGCTTGATTGACCTCACCAGGCTGCCTTGCAGATTGAGCCATCGCTTCGACACCAGGGAAATGGAATTCCTCTGCGATTTGGGGAGCTTGGAGAGGATTTTGAGCAGGATTTCGTCTGAGAGAAGACTAATTACGTCGTCGGCGGGGAGAGTGGTGGTGGTGGTGGTGGTGTCTAGGGTTTTGGATTTGGGGATTTGGAATGGGGATTCGGAGAGAGGCATCCGTTGGGGATGATTTAGGGATTTGGATTCTTTAGATTGGAGGCGCATCGTGAAGAGGACGTTGTTCAAAGCTTTTTTGGTTTTCAACCAATTGGAGTTGAGATTCTCCTTCTCCGGCGAACTCGAACTCGTCACCGTTCGGCATTTCCGCTCCATTGTTTGCTCTGCTTCTTGTTCTTGAGATTGTTGAGCTTTCCAAATCAAACCAGTTTCTGCAAATGGTTTTAGAATCTTTTCGTTTTCTGCAACAACAACTTTCTTTCCAATCCCAACAGGGTTTCTGCTTCCTGTTAGAAATTCGAAGAAGAAGAAGAAGAAAGCGTAAGTGGAAACCTTGGATAGGCTGCTGTTGCTGTTCCAACGGCTATATTACGTTGTGGGTCTGAGAGATTTGAGATAGTTGAAGAACACCACTTGTATGTGTTCAAAAAGAAATTGTTTTTGGAATTATTTGAGGGTTTTTTGAATTTCATTTTTATTATAATAAATTATTATTTTTCTGTTAACGGTTTAATTGCAGGCATCATCAAAGTCTTGTGTTACACTACTAATAATAATTGTTTAGCTTAAATAAATCTCAATTTGACTTGTACTAGAGAATCCAAACTGAAGATATTCAAAAATAGATCAGGGCTCTTATTTGAAGGTGGCCCATGAGACTTATTGGATGGCATTGAAGGTAGGGGTGGCAATCAGGACCCAGTTTTTTTCGTGCCAACCCAGACCGATCCAATCTGCAATGGAACGTACAAGCACGGCTCGATTTCAATCCGGACTGAGTAACTAAGCCAGAGCATGACCCGGTACTAAGCCCGAGCACAACCAAATTTGAAATCGAACCATGCCAAGCCCGTCGGTCCGGTTTAGAGTGAGACTCATAACCATATATATATATATATATGTTAAGAACTTTACCACGAAGTTATACTTTAATAAGTTGGGCCAAGCACGGCCCAACTTATTAGTGTATCAAGTCAGATATGGTCCAAAATTTTTTGAACCTACTTTTTAAAATCCAAACATAGTGAAAAGCCCAAACATGGTCCCGGGATTCTAAACTGGGCTTTTCTCCGTAAGTACCAATTTAATTATTAGAAAGAAAAAATTCATTTACTTAGGAGCATCAAAATTCCCCTAAACAAACATTGAGGGGGTGCTTACCTTCCTAATATATATAAACACTGACCCATAAAATAAACAGTAATTTACATGAATTCAAGAACAAAGTTTTATGGCTATTTCAAGCCAATACTGCATTGCTCAAAACCAGAGGGGTTAAAAAGAGTGCTGCTCCAGGCACAAAATACATACATGTACATACACTTGCTACAAAAGATGGGGGGGGCTGGTGTGCTCCTGATGCGCAGTCACCCCCGCGGCGCAGCCATCTGCTGCTTCTTTATCCTTTCGTCGTTCTTCACCATGCTGGATCACCACCATTAGACAACATAACATAACATTACAAAACCATCTAACTTGTAATTTGAGCTCTTAATGTAATGAAGTTATGAGGATTTTTCTTATTTATGCAGCATTATGTCTTTGTGCTATTTAGGAGGCAGGCAATTTGGTGTGTTAGCGTTACCTGATATCATGAGGTGTTATAAATATCCACTGGCAACCTTGATTCAACGCGAAATCCACTAGAGCATCCAGGCTGATTTTCCGGCTAACAGCATCCTGCAAAACAATGTGAAGCGATGAAAACTTTATTGTGAAATTAAAGAACAGGTAGGGACACCAAATTCGCAGCACTATGAGATCTTTTGTACACAATCGAAATGGAATGATCTAGTGTGAGGATTCATAATATGAACTTGTACTTATGCTCTCGCATTAAATGCACAAAGTGATCAAATTGCAAAATGTGTACCATAAATACATCGAACTCATCCATTGCACGGAATGGGGCTTCTGTCATCTCGTGAAGTGCAAGAGCAAAGCATAGTGTTGAAAATGATCGCTCGCCACCTGCACTAACATCAAATGAAAGAATAGTTTCATACTTTATTAATAAGAATATCACTCATGTAAGCCACAATATAACAAAAAGTAGAATCATGGACCAATCTACTCAATTCTCTAAATAATAAGTTGTCATGGAAACATTAGAGAAAACAGCCCGAAATCCCTTTCAATGGGATTCCAAATTAGTTTTATTTCATTCATCATTTTCAAAGGTTGCTCCCGAAAGCATCAATTGGTTATATGTATATATATGTAATGACTAAATTAAGCAGACCTGAAAGCCCTCTAGTGTCACGAACGGTGCTGCTAGATGCATCTTGAGGCATTTTTACCTGTTAAAATAGGAACTACCAAGATAAAACATAGCCATCGAATCGTTTCATTGCACTTAGTTTGTGCACAAAATTTAAAAGACAATGTAAACCCTATTTGATGATGGCAGCATGCTAATACCATGCAGTCACTTACCTCTATAGATAGAGTCTGCTCTTCATAATCAACTTTGATTTGACCGCTGATACCTTTGTTTTTTAAATGGCCATTAAACCTGTGAGATATAGTTTCAGTTAGTATTGAGTAGAAAAGAAAAAAGTCGCTTTATTATTTAATGAAATCTCAACAGAGGAGTCCCTACTGCCATGTTAACTGGCGTTTCAGAAGAGTTGCATTTCTCTGGAATTTGTTCCATCTCAAATTCAATGCTGTCTCGCATGCCTGAAATAAAGTAAAATATAACAAAAAGTTAGCATCTAGGAAAATAGCAATTGAATTCGAGAATAGCAAACCTAAGAAAAGTTACATCAGATTATAACGTAGAAGCACCGACTATCAAGACTCAACATGTTGAAGACAATTATAATAAATCAGATAATCATATCAAACAACCAACAAAAAGGACACTTGCTTCCTTCTTACAAGTGTCGATTTGAGACATTAACAGCTTATCCAGCTATAAACTTACATTTCTATGGCTAGAAAAATTTAACATAGAATATTGAAAACAATACAATACTTTTATAGTTTCTGCACTGTGCAGTGATAGAAAAGGAAAATTTTGAACATGCACCAGTAAAGGTAAGAATATGATTAGACTCACTTGCACTTTTTCCCGAAAAGCTTGATACATCTGCCTTTTCCTTGAGATCTTACGCTCTTTTTTCTCGTACAGCATTCTGAGATCTTCAATAGATTCTGGGAATCTGCATAAAAAATTCCCTTTTAAAATTTTAAAAATAAAAAATGAGAAAACAGTTTCATATGGCAAATTAATTTTCAACTTTTACCTCTGGCTTTCTCGCTCAAGCCTTTCACTTAACCTACTAAGGCGAGCACTGAGTTGCTCAGGATTGCTCTCCTTACAGCCTCCTAAAGCCTCAATCTCACTCTCAGGGCATATAAAGGATGCTTTTTGACGATTCTCCTACATTTCGTGATAAACAAACACTTAGGTTTGTTGAAATCATACAAAGTGAAAGTAACTGCATAACGTAGGCTATGACTAACATTAGAAAGAGAACATAAGAACCAAGCAGGAAGTTAAGCATATGTGAATTCCATATTACTCTCCTCCAGGTCCACTCTTTAATGTAAGGTAAGACCATAAAAGTACTCAGTATTTATGATAATAAAGAACTAAGACACATCTAACAATGCCAACATACGCTCATCTGAAAAGGGGAATATGCAGCTTTTACCTTACAACTGTGATCAAGCTGCTGATATCTGGCCTCCGCATTTTTTATGTCAGTAAGGACTCGAGTGTGCATAAATTCCTCATAATGTTTCTTCTCCTGAATTGGAAATGTGTGAGAAAAATTTTAGCTTACAGCAATAAAAAGAATATTTGTGAGAACAAATAAGTAGAGAAGAGCACCCCTTCTGCGTTACGCAAATCTGTCTCTATCATCATCAATTCCTTTTCTGCTTCAGCTAATGCATTATTTTCGGACTTTGCTGACTCTGCGTTATAAGATATTTAGATGAGATCCAAGGAATCAGGTCAACAAAATCAACATATGTAACATTTGAAGGCAAACCTACATACCGCCCAAATTTCTCAAGGACACTTTTAACTCTGTGATCTTTTTTCCTGCTTCACTCACTGTCGTCTCAAAATTTTCCAATGAAGTTTCCTTTACTTGAATTGCCTCTTGCAGTTTCTGGCAAAAATGTCAGCATAAGAACAAGAAGAGATTCATTTCATTACAAACCCATTAGATAAACCAGTTTTCCAGGCATATACTAAGTACAATAACTTTTCAAAGTAGGAAGATAAAATAAGTACAAATTAGATAGGAGATGATAGTTCAAGGAACAGACAGATCTATCTCGATGAAGTTCATCTCCAGTTGACGAAGGTGCAGCGGTTGCTACAGATGCATGCATTTTTTTCACATCTTTCAGCTCAAATTCCTTAGCCCTATAACTTCGATCCATATCCATGCGCCTTCTCTGAAAGAAGTTATATTTAACATGAATCAGTTCTGACAAGCAAAGCCTTTGGACAGATCAAATAGGCAGTCAATATTTTACTTGCTTTATTATTATTTTATTTTACTTTTAAAAAGGAAAGAACGAAAGCAAATTGAAAAACCATCCAATGCATTAATATGGCCCCAAATATAAGATAGGAAACAAATATGCTACGACACTTATACATTTCATTAATAGTATGCCAACAAACAACAATGCTATTACGATTTCAGATATCTTCTAATCTTTTACAGCTCTTCCCGGCTCATATATTATCTACAGATCAAAAGTTTTACCTTGAAATCATAATAAATAAGAATTCAAACTAATAAATATGATTAAGAAGGAATTCCAGAGGAAATGAATGGTACCTTTATAATGCTCAATTCTTGTTGAAGATTTCTCAATTCTTCCTCCTTGCCCCGTTTTAGACCCCGACCATGTTGGACATTCTCTTTTGCTTCTAATGCATCTCTTTGCAGATGTTTAATCTCGTTTTCAAATGAGCCACAAAGACGTCCAGCTCTCAAATTTTTGTTTGGGGGCAGAATTGTTTGGGCTGAACTGCGGGAAAACCTGCAAAAGGAACCCCAGTAGATCATTGACCTGAAGCATCAACTGTCCTAAGAAAATTAGATAACTATCATGGAGCAGTGCAGAGACATGACATATTGGTATGCAAAAGGGCAGGAAAACAAGTAGAGGGAATAATGCAAACTCATCATCACCCAAGCAAACACATAATAAGATTCAACAGAAACAGCAGAACATGGCACACACACTAAGAATTGATATTTGAAGTCGGTCTTTCATGCAACTTGGATATTTAAAATTCATTGTTGTTATCAACTATGACAGAGAGAGAAGAGCTTCAGAATAAAGCAAAAGTTGCCACATGAAAAATTTTACTTGAATTTCTGTCAAACATGTTCTTAAACATAAGATCAATAAAGCAGAAAAGTTCCTGGACCCAAAAGTGGATGTATTTTAAATTGATAGTTTCAGAAGACGAAAAAAAAAAGAAAAAGAAGAACTGGGGGCTCAGCTCCTGCTTCTATTTAGCTTTCATCTTACATTTTGTACCCATCAGATGTGTAAACCTCCCTCATGTTTGGTATCCTCTGATCAAAGGCAACTGTTTTACCAACGTCATAGTCTTTAACAAGAACTTGCCTCTCAGCACCAGCCTACAAGAGATCAGGTCAATAGAGTTGAAAACATAATACTGAAGGAAATACATTGGTATAAAACATCTAATTTAAAATCAGTAAGATGAAGTTTCCAGAGTCAATATTGCTATCCCATGTTCATATCTGTTGTATTTCAACATGACTATAGGTGAGAGTGAGAAATGTCGTAGAGGTTAGAATACAAATTGCACAAGCTTAGAGTATAAATCAGACTGAATTCTTAATTCACTAATACATAAAACTCAAAAACAATAACGGTATAGCTAAATAAAGAGAATAGTAAGAAACTGCGAACTTTACCACATCAACCAAAACATTCAGCACCGTTGGGTTATCAGAATCCATAACAGATAATACAGTGGGATGATTAGTCTGGGGAAGCATGTGACTTGGTATTTTAATTCTACCAGAAAAATGAAAAATTGTTAGAAAAGGTTCTCTCATTTAAAAAGGGACACATACTGGGAAATTTTATTTCACTTCATATGCATCCATCAAACCACTTACCTAGGTCTTGAGAAGTCATACATGATAATCTGCAAGTGGTTATAGTTTGCTTCACGAGCACATGCTTTTAAAATACGGGAATCTTTATGATCTGTGACAATGAAAGCATTAAGTGTCCTGCCAACTGCAGTTTCAACAGCTATAGACCACATGTCCCCATTATGTAGTTTCTGCAATCAATTGTACAACAAAGGCTTGGAGCATGTTAGAAAGCAGTGTAGAAGTATAAAAAAGCCGCTTGTGCATGCAAAACAAAAATGATCATTCCACACAACCAGAAGTGATATCTTGTTAATGTCTGATTCAAGCTCTAGAACTCTTGGGTAATTTGAATTATAAGACCAAGAAAGAACAATCTTTGGGCCCTGACGAATAGGTTGAAAACTTTTTTGACATAAATTTATTGTTCGTTAATATGATTCAGTTTACCCAAACCTGACTAAAATATCCAAGAGTGATACATAGAGATCTCAAAAGATTAAGCAAAAATATTTCAAACCGGTGAACTTAAATATTTTACCACGTGAGCACCTATGGGACCAATAGGTGGAATTTGAAATCTATGTTGATTCCGTTCAATGGACTGTAAAAGAGCTGTCACCCGACTTCCTCCAAATGCAGTCACCTTCAAACAAGTAACAAGCATATCTCAGAGCATGATGTAAAGAGTGCACAAAATGCAAGGGATCATACAACATCAAGAGCTATTTCATTTGGCTGGTGTTGTGTCCAGAATTAGTTTATATAATACAAAAACTAGAACATTTCCACAATATATATTGGCATGTGTTGGAAGCAAAAACAGATTTTCGGTGGAGCAAGCAAGAGAACAAAATGAATGAGAATATTTAAAATAATATCCCTTGGACCTTATTGCTTTGATGCATCTGGAGCTCACGAATATGAGAAGATACTTCACGATGTCTCTTCTCAAAGTCTTCTATCTGAAATAATTATTATCATCAACACAAAGTTAGTCACAATAAAAAATGCAAGATTAAGCAGAAATGGTTTTAGAAAAGGAAGATAAATTGTAAAAGATGACCTTAAGCATAATCCAGAAGAAATTTGTTTAGTAAAAGCATGAACCATGAGGCAAAAGAAAAAATTGAAGCACATAATTTGAAATCGAATCTTCATCACTGCCCTTTTTTTATAATCATTTTATAGTTTTGCTCGTGTGGATGAAAAGCACATAAGTAGTGATGCACAAAATATACATCTGTCATTACACAACCAACACAACTACATACTATGATACATCAGCCACACCTGATTGACAATTTCTTTTAATTGATTCTGTACTATAGCAACTTTTTGCATTGCTTCATCCTCCTCCTCTTTCAATCTGAAAATTACAATTTCATTCAAACCAAAATATCATTTGACTCAAAATTTACAAGAAACTTAAAAGCACACATCTCATGAACCAGTAAAATTATGATATGATACCTCTGACAGTTAGCATCAGCATTATCTACCTCAGCTTGGAGCCTCTGTAGCCTTTCCTCTATCTCATCTTCTTCAGCCTATGGCCAATCATGAGAGACATATTGTTGATGCCAGGAAAAGTAACTAAATAAACCATACATTTAGTCATTTACTAGCTTTCATGAATGACAATCAATCTGGAAAATATATAAAATGAAGCTAATCTAAATACACAAGTGGCAGGTATTAGTCTTAAGCACAAATCATATTTATCTTTTCGGACACAGATAAACTGAAATGCTTAACAAGATGACTAAAATTTTGTGACAGACAATGAATTAAATAACTTAATCTAGGAGAGATCAAAGGCGTGTGCATAGGGTGCAAAAATCTACAATTGATTAAAAATTCAAACAAGTGAAATATCTCAGAGGCTTCACGAAACCAGCAAAGAAAGAGAAGAATATGTACTGCAAAATCTAGTGAATAAAAGTGAAGTGTCAAATAGGTGATTGCCTGTGTATTTTTCATATACTGCTCATGGAGATCATGAATTTGCTGATCGAGAGCTTTCAGTTGTTGAACATTTCTCTGGATTTGCCTAGTCCTCCGGTCTTTCTCCTCTTCTAGTTCAGTCTTTTCCTTCATAATCTGGATCAAGAAAGTCAGGCAAAAGGATATTAAGAACAGACAGAAACATAAGATAGCAGGAGAGGAAAACAAGTTCGCACAAATTTAACTTGAAAAGGTTAAAAAAGGTTGAAGAAGATCTATCTGTACGCACCAACAATTGACAAAGGTTTTTCATTAGGCAGAGAAATGGGAACAAAAATGAAGAACAAGCAGAAAATACAATCTAAGGGTTTGTCCGTATGTTTGTATTTTTTGCTTTTGATGTTTTTGAGGTAAAATATTGGTTGGATGTGATCTTTTTGGAGATAAATCGGAAGATTGAATAGTAAAAAACTGAAAATAATAATAATAATAATAATCAAATAAAAAGACCCTGAGTTTTGCTCATTAGGCTAATCAATTCTCCAGAACAGGCATTCAGTACAGATGAAAAGTTAATATAGAGCACAGACATGCAAAATGTCCAGCAAGTTTCATACCATGGAAAGACTTTGCTGCAACTCCTCCTTCATTCTTCTCACTTCAGAAGTTTTTTCAATCATAATTGATATCTGGCTTTTCTTCTTGGCCAATAGATCACTCAATTCTTCTATCTTATGCTGCAAACAAAGAAGTTCCGAGTTAACCCAGTCAGTAAAATCCATGCAATCATTCTGTGTGTGGTTAATAAAGAAAGTTTAGCACAAATTGAACTGGCACACTGGGTGCACTGATAACACCTCTTTGCCTAATCATGTGCTCGCAGCTAAAAGTTAGGCAAAAGGTAAACTTTAAGAATAAGATTGAATTATGTGAACTAAAAAGTAATTATAAAACTTACTTCACTTTGCTCTTGGATAATTTTCATGTTTAAGTGATTTTAAGCAAAACAATAATATGCTTCGCAAAATTCTTTCACGTACTGGAAATACAAACATAGAAATGAAAGAGATTAAAACCGAATGGAACCCATATTAAGCAACATACGTGATGTTTATCAATCATTGCCTGACAGCTGGGTATCCTTCCTTTCAGTTTTTCAATCAATTTATGCTGTTCTTCAAGTTGTCTCTCAGTATCATATACCCAAGACCAAGCTAGCTTCTTCCTCAACGACTGCACCTGCTGAGTCATCTCCTCCATAAATTCCATGCTTTTGATTTTCTCTTGCAAGTCATCAAGTTCTTTCAGTATTGGTCGAAGCGACTCTTCGAAATGGTCAACCAGGGCAGTTGCTTCATTTAGTTGCTTCTCAATACCTTTCAACAAATCATCAACTTGTTGAAGTAGAGTTGCCTTGAAAAAGAACTGCAGATACAGTGTTACTTGCTGTGTAAAATGGAAGTGATACAAAATAACCTTTCAATCAAGGGTAATAACTTAAATAAAGATCACATGAATGATTCATAACTGGGGGAAAGAAAGGGAACAAAAAACAATAACGTGACAAGCAAAAGAAATTGAGTTTTCAACTACCTTGAATTATGAAGCGAAAATGAAAAAGTGAAATAGTTACCTTGAACTTATCTTTAGCATTGCCTGAATGCAAAAATTCTCTGCTTTTGTCTTGGCTCATTATCACACATGGATTTTCTACATCAATCTACATAGAAAAAGCACCAGACTGAGTATTTAAAACACAAAAACGAAAAACAAATCATTAGCACAGTAGAGAAAGTTTGAAACACAGTTCTACAAATATCTCGCACAAATGCACAAAGGATAATTTATCACCACCAAATTAGAGGCCAATAGAATGGTTATTATTGGTCAAATTAGTGTGCAGAGTATAAGAAAGCTACTGGAGATATTAAAGTGGAGTCACTACACAGACTATTTTGCTCAAAATAGCCTTTATCCAAAGCTTATGGCTTTACAAAGAACTCTGATTGAAAGAACTTTCATCTTGTAAAAACTTACGGTTTGCTCCTTTAAGGTATTGTTTTGGCCTTGCACTACTCAAAAAAAAATTTCTCCCCAAAAACATCAATTAAACACCTGTTTTTCATTTAATATATTCCACAAAAAATCAGTTTTTCATCACACCAAACACCTATTTAATTCACATCAAACAATATTTTAATTCAATTTTTTACTATTTAAAAACCACAAACCCAAATCCAAACCTTAAAGAAATACACCCTTAATGTCCCAAGGTGGTTGTCAGTGACATATAAGGAAAGAGATGAGAGAAGAAAAAAAAGAAGAAGAAGAAGAAAGAAAACAAAAAAAAAAAAAAAAAAAAAAAAAGAAGAAAAAAGAATGCCAACTCTCATGTGTCATGACTCTCCAAAGCTATGAATTTCACAGCAAAGTGTAAATAAAGTTTCTTGCCCAAGTATCTTATTAGGCTTCTACATGAAACAACCTTGCCATGTTTTTTTCACATCAAACTGCCATTTTATCACCCTCCCCATAAAACTAAACTCATTATAATCCTTAGCAATGCATACACCTTCTAGAACAAATTCCCTTGGTTTGGGGTGAGATCAAGGATCATTCTGGTCATGTTATTTTCATGACGTTGAAATCAATTAGTATTGCAGATTAAATGAAGCAAGAATCTTCTCAATCATCCCCCCTTTCGTGACTACCTTTTTCAAGGGCAGGTTGGTCTCCTTCCTAAAAGTGACTCAACAAATTCACTTGGTTGGTACCCCCGGGGAAGCTCAACTTAAGATCATAAATATAATCTCCAAACATCCAGATATTGTCTTCCTAGCAGAACATGGAGCCTCTATCGGAGTGGATTTTGTTGCTATGATCTAAGATTCCCTTTCTTAGCACTATTGAGTCTTAACCCTTTTATCGCTCAACGCCTTGTCTTTTCTATGTTAGATTATTGTGTTGCTATATGTTCTCTATAGCATCCCTTAGTACACCATATTATGGATTCTTATTACATACATCTTTTTCTTTCAAAAAGAAAAAATACAACTTCGAGAATATAGCAAACACAAAATACGTAAGATTTATAAGTCACAAAACTTCACTAATAATAGAAGAATGGTATCAAGGAAAATTAATTTCATCACAAAGCTATACATTGTTTATGAAAAAATATCACTAAATATAACATACACACCAGTTACAAAAACAATTGCCTTGTATGTACCATGAATATCTTTTGACCAGTTTGCCATACTTTGGCACTACAAAATAAAGAAATCAAATAAAACTAGTTTTCTCCACGAAGTAATGCTTGAATTTTTGATTGGGTGACATAAACAAAGTCAATTCAATGTCCAACCAAGGATCAAACATAACAAGGGGGGGTATCCATAGAGCATTTCACAAGGAAGTGCTAAGTCTATTTCTCTGGGCTAAAAATACTTACATTAAAGTATTCGATGATCTCACGCAGATCCTCTCTCTTGGTACCTACCCTTTTACCTGGATATCAATTAGCAAGAAATCAGAAGTTATGTGTTAAAAAGGGAAGAACATCTCAACATTAAATGTATTTCATTTAATTTGTTGACCACTAAATTTATAGAGAAAAACTTCCCAGACAAGTCCAACCAACTTTGGAAGGTGAGACATGATTTTGTTGTATTCTGAAGATTGATAAATTGAAATCAAACAAATCACTGCTGAAAAAGTTAGCAAATTCCCTCTCTAATTCTAACTAGATTATTCTAAATTTCAAATTGAAAAATATACAACAATTGCGATCTAAATATTTATTAAAAGACAACCAGCTGAGAGTTGTGAGTATCCCTTGCACCAATATATATGCAGTTGCACTATTATATTTGTTGCTACGAAAAGAAACTTCATGACATTGCAAACTTAAAGCATAATTTAATTATGGGATAATTAGGGACCAAAAGAAGAACACCTGATTTCCTGGTCAAAATATTCTTGTGTAAAAAATATGATTTAATGCTAATATAATGTATTAAAAATAAAAATATTATTGCTTTTCGGATAATACATAATGAAGCATTTGCGATTAAATCAGCTTAAAGACCTTGACTATTTTTCAATGTGATGGAACTAGATGCTTCCGAAATTCTGCGCTCCACCATTATTTTGTCTCCATATATTTCTGGTCTGAAAGCATCCTCCCCTTGATTTTTGATCTCAACTTGAACTAGTGTGTAGCTACACATGAGCAAAGATAGGTGATATTAGCTGGATAATTGGAGGTAAAAAAAAAAAACAAGCATAGTGTAACTTTCAAAATAACAATTTTATATCTAGTATAATGGCAAGTAAAATATGCATGACCAGAAAATTAAACCCATGCAAATGATCAGTTGTTTAACTTTCGATTCAAATAAACTGAGCAATCGTGTGGTTCATTTCCTGTCCTAAACATCAGCTAAAACAAGAAAGCTGTATATGTATGCACACAACATTGGACCGGAAAACAAAAACATTAGTGTAGAAATCTGAAAATGTAGGCTTGTGAAAACTTATTCCATTTGACACTTAGGTTGTATTCTTTTGTGGGTTTTACCTATTCAGATTCTTTATTCACTCCAAAAATATCAAATCAAACAATTATTTTTCTTTTCTTATATTATACTATAACATTCAAAATATCACATCAATATCTATTTATATCACATCAAACACCTATTCAAATTCAATTTTTTACTATTCAAAAATCCAAACCCAAAAATCCAAATCCACAAACAAACACACCTTTAAATACCACAAGTCAAGAAATGAACATGTGCAATAAGCTTATACATGTTGCTTGGACAGTATGGGGTCATCGAAAGAGGGTATTTATAACCAATAAGATTGAATTTATCAGTAACATCTGCTTTTCTGTGTCCCATTGAAGTGCTACTTGTTATTCTAAGCAATTAAAAAATTAAAACTATCTGCAATAAAAATAAAATAAAAATTAAACTTAGATAAAATCACCACGCAAGAAGAATCATCAAATTCTAGCAAAAAAAGCAAAAAACCTGCAGCCCGTCTTGATAAAATCCTTAATCGTATTCGCCCTCTGCGTTCCACGAGCTCGACTCCCGAATGCGACGCAGAGCGCCGTTAGTATGGCGCTCTTCCCACCTTCGAAACAATAAAATAAATCCCCAACAAAACTCAAAACTAAAACAAAATTACAACATAACCTAGTCCAGAAGGAAGAGGCAACATATTAGAGCGAGAAAACCTACTTCCATTCTGACCGGTGATGAAATTAACCCAATCTCCTAGCTCGATTTCCAGATTGCTATGGCACATGAAATTTTCTACACGGACTCTGGAGATTATCCCGGCCTGGAGGTGGCGGGTGGGCTGGCTGGCGGGGACGGCGCCGGGAATGGGATCCTCCATCGGTATAGTCGCCACCAGTAAAGACAGCCTTTTTGGGGTTTTAGAGTCGGAGTCGGATCCCCCGTTCACACTACGCCACTCCTAATGGCGGGAACCTACTCTTGCTGAGGCTACGTTTTCCTGTGTTAAAGAACCTTAATATATACCCACCACCAATCAAGCGCCTCACCATTTAAAAAAAAAAAAACATAAATTGGTTCAAGTTCCCCAGTCGGGCCAAATAAATAACAAGTTAGCCCAATTCGGCCCATGGATCGAATTATTTTGGATTGGTTCCCAGGACGGTTTTTGCCTTTATGTTATATACACAAATATCGATAAATATTATAAAAGAATAATGTATATAATGGGTGTGTTCTTTGTATTTTCTTGATAAATATATTTTCTTAAAATTGTTTATAGATGGTCACTCTCTTAACATGTTCACTTTGACACTTGGAGAACATTTATTTGCAAAAAATTGTAAAACAGAATCTTGAATGTATTTTGTATATAATTTTGGGAATAAATAGATTTTTTACATATATCATATTGATGAACAACAAAGAAATGAGAGTATGAATCTCTGTGAATAAATTTTGAATGAACAATTTTGATCACCCGAAAGGTAGGGTTGAAGCCTAAGAATGGAGTTCAAATTCAGTCAATTCAATCTTATGATATGATGAGTTTACAATGCACCTATACATAAAAAAATAATAATAATAATAACTCATCGGCAAAATATGATATATATATGATTTGTCTAGCAATACTTATCAGACTTAATTTGTATGCTATTAGATTCGATTGAAAATTTACTGAATGCACACAAGATAAATAGCTGTTGTGGATTCCACGTTATAAAATAAAATAAAATATTACTATACCACGTTATAAAAAAAATTTAAAATAAAATACTATTGCCTCTGTTCCAACTCAATATAGATATATATATATACTATTTTCATCAACAAAAATATCAAAAATATTTTATAATAGAATATACTATTTTCATCATAAAAATATCTTACACACTTTTATCGGTCAATAAAGTATTACCCACTCCATCCTAATACAATAATATCATTTTTGTCCGTCCCAAGATATTGTCACTATTTTTTAAACTAATACACATAATATCATTTTTGTCCGTCCCAAAACATTATCGTTACTTTTTAGACTATTATACTCACAAGTTAAAAAAGTATTTTATTCATATTTTTTACCGACTATCAATATAATATCAATATTTATTAAATCTCGTGTCCAACTCAATTAATATTGTATTTATGGAGTATTATTTTTTAATTTATTAAAAAATAAAATGTGCCTTGAATCGGAAAGAAGTGAGTAAAAAATGACAGCCAACATGTCATATAGCAAACAGTCTTATATTCATCAAAACATCAAGTTCTTGTTCCTTTTCTACAACCTAAACGTTAAATTCTCCCATAACTAGGCTTACTTACTTAACAATGATCTCAATCACTGAATGCTACTTAGTTACTTGGTTAATTTTCCAGATATCATATATCCAACATATGTGCAAGATGTAAGCCAGCCATAACATACCTACTTTCCTCTTCTCCTCATTTTCAATTCTTCTTCCTCCAGCAATCGATCGATATCGGCCGAAACGACGGCGTGTTTCTCCAGCACCCCGACCTCACACATCTCCCCGCCGTCGAAGTCCACAGCAACGACGTTCTCGGCACACGAACGGTCCATACCGGGACCAACCTGCAGCCCACAACAACAACCCGATTATTACAAAACGAGCTCGGATCGGGTGTACCGTTTTCGAAACTACGGCTCACATCGAACACAACGTCTCCCAACTTCAATTTCACGGCGCCGCTTTTGTGCACCAGCATTTTCCCCATGTACCCTCCGGGTTCGGATTTCCCCGACTCATTGCTGGAAGGTGAATTATAATTTGGAAGTTGGGGAGGAAATTGGAAGAAGAACATCTTTGGTTGATTTTCTTGGTCCTGTAAAGAGGAAGAATTTACTGAAGGTGAATTATAATTTATAGCATCCGGTAAAGACGATTCTTGGATAGAGAATAGTAGACGAACCGTCAAACCGAGTTCAACTGCGTCGGGGATAGCAGTTTCGTCGTATTCCTTAGGTTCGCCGAATTCCTCTTCGTCGAGAATTTCTGCAAGAACAGGGGTTGATATGTATCCAATATCTCATCTATTTGATTTCATTTCTGTTGGAAAATAGTTTTAGCGAATTGTGAGATGGGCGAAATTCGAAAACAAAAAATCAGATAGATGTGAAATCAAATCCCAGCTTAAATCCTAGCGGTTTCCTTGAAGTGAATATTCCCCAAAGTGAATTAAAAAACTATATATATATATTCTCCTCAATATCGCATCAAACATTTATTTTTTATTTTTTATATTATTCTAAAAATCAATTATACATTCAAATCAACGTCTATTTATATCGCATCATACAACAATTCAAATTCAAAATTTTTACTATTCAAATTTCAATTCAAAATTTAAACCTCCAAACAAACACACCCTAGACCTCGAAAAATCTTTTCCCCAGATACTCTCTGATTTGTGTTTTCGAATTTCGCCAACCATATCTCAGACTTCGTAAAAAAAAACTATTTTCCAACAATTTCTACGACACGAGTAGTACCTGGATCTCCGGCAGGAGGAATCCTCCACGGCAAGGTTACCGGATAATTCCCATTGTAATCCTGCAAAGGTGAAAAAAGCATAAACAATGATCAAGCTGCGGCATTTTCTTCGACTATGAGACGACACAAGGAAGAAAGCCATATGTTATTACCCAAGGCTCCTTGTATTCTTTCTTTTTACTTCCGGAAGGATCTGCCATCGAAACATCCGGGCTTTTGGTGCTGTCGAGGGCGGGTTCTTCAGGCTTGGCTGCATTCTTCTTCGCGTCTGCTGATCGAATGATTAACACAATGATTAACACAATGCACAAATTCTTCCTACCCAATGTAGCATCGAATTATAGCCTTTAATTACGAGCGAAGTATGATAGTGGATCGATGCTCGAGGTTTTCGATTTTTCGGTAATGATTATATTTGTATAGAAACAATAGAAATGGAGTGAAGAGATTACACTTCTTCTCCAGTACTGATCTTCTCCTCATTAGAGTCTCCTACACATTCAAAAAACTCTATTGTAAGACAGCTGAAACATCCTATATGATATGCTTAAGAAAATGACCTATGATCTTCTTATCTAAAAATTCAAATTTATAATAAATTGCATAATTAATTATATAGTCTTAGAACACAAACAAATTTCTGAAATATAAAAAACTTCTATCCAGCAGGAACCTTTTTAATTATATATATATATATATCAATATTTCAATTTCTTTTAGAAAATATCCTATCTAATGTATGTTCCATCTTTATCTTTTAAGATCACATTTATCTTTTACTTTTTTCATTGTACTTAACTTATAATTTATTATAAAACACTAATGTAGTATTTTGCAATTTTTTTTTAATACATTTGATATAATAATATCAACAAAAAGTAAATGAGATTTTGAAGCTGGACGGAGATAATATTTACATTTTTTTTTTTTTAAAAAAAAAAAAAGTCAATTATTCAATCTAAAGTTATATACACAATTCTCTCCTTACCCTGCACCAAAATCATTTGATCCAAAAAAAAAAAAAAAAAAAGCTGCTTGAACGGAGCCATTATTATTTTGTTCAAATTAAACGAGGCCATGTAGTGGTGTTTCTTTAAATATCAAACCCTATTTTTTCTACTATTTCAATTCTATTTTTTTTATAAAAAAACTTTCATTTCATTATATATTATTTTAATATCAAATTTAAATAAAAAATAAAATTCAAATCCAATCAAAAAGAAACACACAAAACAAATCAAGAAATCATTATATTAAAAAAAAATAAAAATAGAAGACACCAATAATTAAATATCACTTGTGATTATAAATCAGGCAACATGGTCCAAGAATATTACTACTAGTTAGAATAATAAAAAAAAATAAAACTATCCACCATTAAATAAAAAGTTAAAGGACCTATTAGAGAGTGAAACATGTAAAGGAACATGCTAACAAGCCCAAACTTCTAAATTCCAATTCTGCCTCTTCAAGATAAGGAAACGAAAAAGGCAAACAAACAAGTTCCTGTAAATCACAGATCCCAAACTCGCATCTGTCGATATATAATATATATATACATACACACAAATTCTCACTTACTGTATGCGTTGTGCGCGCGCGTGTGTATGTGAGTGAGTGAGTGAGTGAGTGAGAGAGAGAGAGAGAGAGAGAGAGAGAGAGAGAGAGAGACGTACGAGCGACTGTGGAGTTTCTCCGCCGGCACCATCCCCAGCATCACGACCACTGCAAATTTACGTCAATTCCGGAAGTTAATAAGTTATGCACACAACGCAATAAACGAGCAATCGAGTTTCCAGCGAGTACACTAAGGTCACGGTAGGCTTCCGATTTGCGGGAGGGGGTTTCGGCTGGAATCTCCTCTGAGAAATCCGGAAATTCGACAGAGAAATCGGAAAATTAGCGACTCCGACCGAAATGAAAATGAAATGGCGGCAAAGCAAACCAAATATCAAATGCGAACCTTCCTCGGAGCAGGCGGATCTGGATCCATAGAATCCGCAAAATCACCCTCAAATTAACGCTGCTCGACGCGCGCAAGATGAAATCCAGCAAAGCTCAAGAACATCCAGCCTGAAAATTGCAGCAGATAGCTTCCGGAATTCAAGAAGATCACGAAGAAGACGAAGTAAAAACAGAAAAGAAAAGAAAAGAGACAAAATTAGGGTTCGAACCCCAAACCTAACCCGATTAGAACTCAGAACTGATTCCACCACTGAACCAGAGAAGAACTTTAACCTACTCTTAAAAATATATAAATTTAAAGACATTGGAATTCTAAAATAATTATAAAAAGTCCTGGACCACAACACCGAAAAGATCTACACCGTCGGATGGTGGGGTTCAGAAATGAACGGTGCAGATTCATTTGGTCCGGGGTTTAAGGATCTCCTATTGGAGTAGGATTCACAACTGAGAGCTCTGCAAGTATGCGTGACGCCTCCTCCGTCTGCTAAAATTCTTCCCATTGTTCGAGACAATGGAGGAAAATGGTAGCCAGTGGGACGAATTGGTAGAGAAAGCGCTGTCGAAGCTCGAATTGCTCAAGCTATTGCGTTCCCTCAGGCCAATCCATCTCGGCAGTGGAGTTTCCGATCAATCCGCCTCAGTCGGGGATTCGTTTCAATTATTTGACGGTCCGAACGGATGGGATAGGGCATCTGTTGAAGCTAACATTTCTGAGTGCACATTCCAAAGATGGCTGGACGATGTCCCCAGTTCAGGTACGCTCGATTCACTGTATTGATAGTGTTGGAGTTAAGTAGTGAAATAGTGAAGAAGGTTTGATCTTGTAGGAATTAGGGTTGATAATGATATTGAGAGGCTTTGATTGAGGAATTGGATCATGATCCTTTGATAATGTGTCTTTTTATGCTTGTTTGTTTAACTACCTGCTATGAGGATTAGCCCTAATTTGCAGAAAAAAAATAAGGAAGACATTGGAAAGTCAATCATCGTTGTTTGATGACATGTTTTGGCAATTTTCAGGTGATGACAATGATGCCATGTTTAATAATGGAAGAAGTGATGGTGAAGCAGATTCAGAGGATGGAAAGCTGAGGAAGTTGATCATCTTCTCTGGAAATGATTACTTAGGACTGAGTTCACATCCAACGGTCAGCAATGCAGCTAGCAAGGCATGTTTAGTTGGCTTTTAACTTTCAAAGATTTTAGTGAAATATACATACCTATAGAGAATATACATACATACATACATACATACATACATACATATATATATATATATATGAATACACTCACTATGTATTGATTTTGCAGACAGCTCTCGAGCACGGCATGGGTTTGAGAGGCTCTGCTTTGATCTGTGGGTACACAAGTTTCCATAGGTTACTGGAATCGTCGTTGGCTGAGTTGAAAAGGAAGGAGGTATCACTTCTATTATAGATAATTCACTAATTCTTTTGGTGTTTTTTCGTGTGTTTGTGTTTTTTGATTTTTGGGTGAAATTTTTTTTGCATGAGATATTTTACATTGAAAATTGGTTTGTTTTTATTCGGAATTGGAGAACAAAAAAAAAAAAAACACTCAAAAGAGAACAGAGCCGAAGACTAATGCTTTTACCTTTTCATCTGCGACGAATTTAATTTCTCTAGTTTAAAGAAAGTAATTGGACATACATTTTTGCCCCAATGTAAAATAAACTCTTAATTTCATTATGTTATGTTTTCTGGATTGATCTAAATTATTTAGAAAAAAATATGTTTTACCTTACTCGAATCTTATTTATCAAACTGAATCGTCATCATTCTAACATTAAATGTTAGGAATGCCTTCTTTGTCCGACAGGTTTTTCAGCAAACATGGCCTTTATGACAACAATTGGAAATATTGCTTCCCTCATATCTCTTGGAAAGCGTTCAAAAGACGACAAAGTCGCCATATTTTCCGATGCCTTGAACCATGCTTCAATAATTGACGGCATCCGTCTTGCTGAGAGACAAGGAAATGCCGTAACTTTCATCTATAGGCACTGTGATATGCGTCATCTCGATGAACTGCTGTAGGCTACTTATTTGCTATACATTTTGTTGACTCGATATTTTCCCTACTATATATTGATCCTTGCACTGTTTGTTTGAACTTTTAACAGGTCAAGCTGCACGATGAGGAAAAAAGTTGTAATAACCGACAGGTTCGCCGCTATACTAAATTTCAATCGTTCTTACGGCTCAATTTTTGTTGACATCGATCTATTTTGCCAGCCTGTTCAGCATGGACGGCGACTTTGCACCCATGACCGGACTTGCAAAGCTCCGTAAGAAACACGGGTTTCTGTTTGTAATCGATGATGTGAGTTTCCGTTAAACCATTTTTCCTAAATATACTGCATATAGAACTCATCTTGCTTCGTTTCTTTTTTACATAATCTTTAGGCTCATGCAACTTTTGTCTGTGGAAGAAACGGCGGAGGTGCCGCGGAAAAGTTCGACTGCGAAAAGGATGTCGACATCTGTATCGGAACATTGAGTAAAGCGGCGGGTTGCCATGGCGGTTTCATTGCATGCAGGCAAATTCACTCAACTGATATCATTGGATCATACGCCGAATTACCGAACATGACATAAATTTTCGCCTTTCTGATTTGTGTGAACGACAGCAAGAAATGGAAGCTACTAATTCAATCCCGGGGCCGGGCTTTTATATTTTCAACTTCAACTCCAGTGCCTGTCGCCGCTGCATCATATGGTTCGATTTTCGGAATTCTCTATACTTCCAATGTTTTTCCCTTACGTTTCCTGACATTGGCTCGTCTATGCAGCTGCCGTAGTTGTGGCGAAGAAAGAGTCGTGGCGTAGGGAAGCTCTTTCCCAACGGATGCAAGAATTCCATGCCTTAACTGGCATCCCTGTCGAAAGCCACATCATTTCGCTTGTTGTCGGGAGCGAGGACAAAGCCCTTCAAGCTAGCCGGTTAGTCACCCACTTTTTCTCTCCCGATCATTACATTGTTTACTAAACTCATATCTTCATTGTTTAAACAGGCATCTTTTAAGATCAGGGTTTCATATAACTGCAATAAGACCTCCTACGGTACCCCCCAACTCCTGCAGGTTGTCGAACTTTTGCTCTCTTGGAATATCCATACGATATTTGCCGTAAAAGGGAAGGATTAATCTTTTATGGTTTTTTTTTTTTTTTTTTTTTTATGGGTTATGCTGCTTTCAGGTTGAGGGTAACTCTGAGTGCAGCACATACAAAGGATGATTTGATAAAGCTCAAAGATGCACTGTCACAATGCATCAATTTTCAGGACAGCACAACCTGTTATTCTAAGCTTTAGCTTTCTCTATTATCAGTTCTTCTTACTTTATGTGTGATCAAGTGGCAAATTGAAACTTAGTACTAGTAAGAGTACATATTTCTCATAGATAGGAGAGATTGGATCATATGTCATTACAACCAATCATTTCTATTTAAGTGGGGAAGTAGAGAAATTAAAAGATAATATCCATATCCATATCCAATGTCTATGATCATCATCTACTCATAATTTCAAGACATGGGCATTCCTCAAAACACCTAGTTTAAGGCTTCCATCATAGTTAACTATACTTTACTACATTGCATGATGTCAATGGTGTTCAGGATCAGGACAAGTCAGGCATTGATTAGATTCATTCAAGGCCTAATAGTTTTGTCCTACTAAAAACCCATGCAAATTACCAAAGTCACAACTATTTAGATACCACTACTGATTCAGCATGAAGATATTCAACCATGGTTAGATTCATCAGCAGAAGAAGATTTGAAAGAAGATAGTGCCAGCCAGTTACCAACTTCAGAAGACAAGTTTGTTTCTGAGGATCCGCAGCATGTGTTGCATTCCTTTGGATCATTGTCTGCTGCTCCATTTCTTGGCCTGTTAGTTGAGTTCTGCCATGGCTCTGTATTTGCAGGAGGTGACAAATTGGTCTGCAGTGCACACAAACAGCAAACATTACAAGAACCCTTTTGAATTTTTAAAGCCAATCCACATTATTCATACTCACCACCAGAGCCACAGCATTGGGATTGATTGTGGTGGTAGTGATCAGATTCATTGAGTTGGTAGTTGTACAATGACTTGGGCCATCCATGTCATTTTGGACTTTAGGTATGGAGACTGTAACTGGGCGTTTCTCAGCCAGTGGCTTGACAATGGAGGCAGGGTGGTGGTTGTTGTAAGGCAGCTGGGGTGGAGCTAAAGCAGTGGAGGAAGAAACTGAGGGTGGGGTTGGGACTTCAACTTGGACAAGAACTTGGGGGGACATGATCTTGCCAGAACTTGAGTTGTTGCTGCTGTTGTTGTTGTTGTCTTTGACCATGTTAGGCCAGAGGAAAGTCCCCTGGGGTTTACAGATTCTGAACCCACTCTTCAGCCTTTGTATCTTGGCTGCTTTTTCCTCAGCTGTTGCTGGTGGTGATGGTGCTGTGGCCATGATCTTTTTGGTTTCTGCTGCTGCTTTTGGAGGTGGTGCTTCAGTTTGGGCAGTGGTGGTGGTCTGATCTTTGCCAGGTATGAATAATGGTTCTTCCCTTGCCGCCATTAATGTTTGTACCTGCTGTTGTTCTTTGCTTTTTACTTGTGTCTCTGTTGCCACCATTAATGTGTAGTCCTCTTTTGTTGCTCTTTCTTCTAATTTGGGTCTTGCCTTTCCCCTCTTTTCCTGTTCCAGTTTTTGATATATTCATGTTATGCATTTCAGTTATATATATATAATATAACACATAGTACTATTAATGCTCATTAAAATTGAAAGAGATCATCGTCAGTACACTCCCACAGTCAAATATGTTTATTATCATTGCTAGGGCAAATGTATATTATATTGGGAAATGGAGATTTGAATCTTATATCTAGGATCCACAAATAGACAGATTTAATAAGTCAACAACATGGTGATTTCATCTTTCCTATTTTAGTGTCTCAAAATTGTGACAAATCTATGCAAGTTCATTTAATTCAAAACATAATCATGCATGCACCCGAGCTTTTAATGAGAACTAACGGCAATTGTTGGTACCTCTATTTGTTTCAAACAATCTGCTATGCCCATCAATTGTTTCTTGCAGTCTTCCTGGAAGAAGAGTGGTGATAATAACAGTTTATAGCACTGTGTGAGTGATCAAATAACTGAAATATTATTTAATGTGTTTGAAATAACTACCAGTGAAACTGGTGCATTGTCAAAATCACTCTTTTGGGGCTTCATCAATGAAGCAGCCACCTGCTGAGCAGATTGGTTAGATGCTGACTCCATTTCTTGATTCATTTCTTTCCTCCTTTTGGATGCAAAATTTTCAAGTTCACTGCATGTGCATGAAATAGTCCTCACGTAAAATAATATTTATAACAATTTATTTCTAACATGAAGACAATAAAAAGGTCAAATTCTGTATCCTTGTATATAAATCACCTCCTTAATTTCCTAATGTTTTCTTCCAACTCCACCTTTGTTACCAACAGCTCCAAATCCCTAGTCACAAAACAAATCAACATTATCACAAGAATTGTTACACTTGTATATAACAAATCCCAAATATACCAAATCTCTTATGTACACACCTTTTTATTTTGGAAATGTCATCCTTTAAAAGCTTCAATTCTTTAGCACAATTAGGATCCTGAGTTGGAGGATCTCCAGGTTTCCAACCAGGTGGGGGTACCCAGTAAGGGTCAGTGACCCCAGCTTCCCTCCTGATGTTCACAAGATCAGCACTCTCTAGCCAATACTCCATTGCTCCATCCGGGTTGTGCCGCCGCCTAAACCTCTCTTCCCCACCAGGTGCAAGCTTCCCAGCCATATGCTTAAGAAGATGATCAAGTAGCCCTGTGTCACCAATACTTTTCCTTGCTTCTGATCTCAATTGAGGCCTTAGAATCGGTTTCTTGGCCGTCGCATTTTTAGCTTTCATTACCCTCAAAAGATTCTCCTCAGCAAGCTTGTACCTGTATGAATTAATACATGCTCAATTATCTCAACAACAAGCAATGAAAACTAAAGCTATTAACAACTAATTAATTTAATAAAATTTTCTTGTGTGTATTTATATAATTATATATGTATGTATGTATGTATGTATACCTTTCAGCAGACCAACGATCTTTTGGATCTCTTAATACAAGTGCTTCCTTGAATCTTGATTTTCCCTTGTTCTTCTTGACTGAATACTTCTTCTGCTTAGGCTTTTTCTTGATCTCAACTTTTTCATTCTTTGGCTTCTTCACACCCTTGTTTCTAAATGTGTATCTCTTTCGTTTCAAATTCTTGTTACCTTTTTTAGACTTATTTCCATCCTCTTCTTCTGATTCTTCCTCTCCTTCCTCTTCTTCCTCCTCTTCTTCTTCCTCCTCTTCCCCTCCCTCATTCTCCTGATCATCATCTTCCTCATTCCACTCATCATCTTCTCCACCCTCATCCTTCTCATTATTATTCTCGTTTCCATTATTACCAGTAGCATTCAGCCCACTAATATCAGAACCTCCATGATTAACATGAGTATCCTCAGCTTTATTAACCAAACTTGAAAAAGAGTTGTGGCCATGTACACAATCATCCTCACCCTCCTTATTATGCCTACCAAGATACTTCACCTGCCTTCTCACACCCCACCTTAGCATCCCACTCCCCTTCAGCTCTGATAAACACTTACCCTTGTTATCTGCAACATTAACCTTATCCGAAAAAGCTGAACAGCTAATCAGCCAGAAGACTTCTTGGCTCTTCTTCTCAGAGAATACCTCCGCTGGAACCATTCTTACAAGAACTTTAGCTGCGAGCTCCGGCGCCATCACGAACTTCTTGTCCAAAGCTGGGTGTGTTTCCCTTGTGCTGTAGTTGAAAAATGCTCTTAGTGATTCCATGCTTGGATACCTTACTGATACATTCGTCTCCGTTTTCTCGCAAACCTAAAATCCAGAATCACTGATTAAAGCAATATAGTATAAAATAGCTTGAACCACAAGTTATGTCGACTATCTTGATTAATCGGTGCACATTTCTTACCATAGCAACTCGGATTGACTTGAGTTGGACTGGGGTTCTTGGGGGTAGCTGTATATGATCGATCTCGTAGAGAAAACCAGATTTGATTTTGTCTTCAATGGCGGATCTATTATCTCCATCGTTGTCCGCTGCATCTTGATAGGAAAACGAGAGATCATCAGTTTCGGCGCACATTTTTTCAGATCAGTAGAAAACTAACTTCTTCTACGATAGCTTGGAATTGATAACTTGCAGTTGTGGTGAGCAGAAAACAAGGTGGGAATACGTGAGGGTGAAAGCACGTATGTATGATATATGTATATATATATATATATGGTACCTTCAAGCAAGAGAGTACTGCGGTGGTGAGATGAAAGAGGAAGTGGTACGGCGTTGGTCAGTGGGCCTATAAGTGGCGGAGACGCCGGAGCGGTGCTGCTGTCTTGCTCCGCCCCTTTTTGGTAGCACTGCTCTGTTACCTGCATCAAAAGATCGGTACCTTTTTGCCTTCTTTTTCGGAATATGCAAGAGATGCTATTTATGCTCAAACACGAACTGATTGTTCATGTATTCGCAGAACTAGGGTTCATACTAATGCGTATATAGCATTAAATGCATCTGCATCTATGTCTCGCAGCACAAACACAAATATATATATATACAGTATGTCAAAACCTCATAATAGCTAGGGTTTCTGAGTCTCCCAAATTCCCCACAAACAAGTACGTACGATGCACGAATACTCTCTATATATATATCATGATATATAGGGTTTATGCTCCACCATGATCATATATGCATGCGTCTTGCGAGCAAAGACACGCACAAATCAAACAGAATGAAGCTGCCGCCCGCGTGGGGATGTGTATATCAGGTTAGTGATTTCGCCATTTCTTTTTGGCAACCAAGAAATGTAGCCTAATGGCGCGTGAAATAATTGTACCATTATCTAACTGCTCGAGACAAAAATAACAGACGGAAAAGCGGTTTCTGATGCAAAACCATGCGTCAGAATTGACAGCAGGAAGAGAGAGAGAGAGAGAGAGAGAGTGAGTGTGTGTTACAACTTACAACCTGTATTGAATTTCCGTAGCAGGTTTCCATATGTCACCCACAATCTGAAATCATGCAGGACCAAAATTGAACCACGTAGAACTTCAATTGTGGAAGAAATTAGAGCAAACACTGGAGTTTGCTTGATGCAACAATGCAGGATCGGAGAGAGAATTCAGATTTGCTGAAGAATCAAGCAAGAAATTAGGGTTTCCAGGAAAAGGGTAAACTTGCCTCCATCTTATATCTATTTATATATATATATATATACATACATATGGTTTCATTTTGTATTAGTTTGATTTCGAACTCTAGTTTTGATTTTTTAATATAAATAGTAATTGACTGTAATATTTTAGAAAAAATATTTTTTTATAGGATTACTTAATAAAAAATTGATAAAAAAAAAATTAAAAAGAAGAAGTAATTAATCATACATTTTCTTTCTAGTGGGTAGATCTCATACCCTTAACATATTATATATATATATATATTTAACTATTTCATCTCTCAATAAAATTTTGTTTATTTATTGAACCAAATTGCAATTTCTAATTTTCATATGATTTTACTTTGTTCCTATGCAAAGGAACAAATTATAATTTCGTGTGTGGTAAATTTTGAATTTGAATTTATCAATCCCAACAATATATAGTCTTTTGTTTATTTATTTATTTTTGAAAGAAAGACATGTGAATGATCTAAGATCAATTTGTATAAAATGAATAATACTTCCTCCGTCCAATTTCTATTATTCTAAAGTATATTTGCACTGTTTTTTTAGGTGATTTTTTTTTTTTTTTTTATAAATTGACAAATTTGTTCTTAATTGTATGACAGAGATTAAAAGTAATAAATGAATGAAGGGTAAAAATGTAAAATTTGTATTTAAAAAAGGAAATAGGATAATAGTTGTTGGACGATATTAATTTGTGAACAGAGGGAGTATAATCTAAAATAAAAAGCAAATGTCATGTCTATATATATATATGTATGTATATTGTAGGTTAATTACTTTGTATTTGCTTAGATATATTTTGAAATTATTTTGATGTTTTTTGTTTGTTTGAAAATGGTTACGTGTTGAATATATGTTATTTGTCTTGTAATGAAATATTATTACTTCAAGTTAATATATTAATTTAATCAAATTAGTACTGATTAACAAGTAGCTCCGGAATTATTGTTGTTGTATTACTATAGAATTAAATACTCCCTCCGTCCCGGATATTTTGTCCGCTCTACTGTAGACACGATAATTTAGGAGGAGTATAATTAGTAAATAATTGAAAATGTATTAATGAAAATAATTATCATATAATAAAAATAATTATAGATTAAGATTAATATAACGGATTATTATAATTAAAATTAAAAAAATTATAAATTATATTTTTTAAAAATAAGATTAAAATATATAACTCTTTTCCAAAAACAAAAGTGACAAAAAAAATGAGACGGGTGGAAATGGAAAGATGGACATGAGACGTGGGACGGAAGAAGTATTTACTAAGTAAAGTTCAAAACACAAAGGGAAAAAAAATCTACAAATATATTTGGGCCTGGGCTTTTCTGCATCTGTTAATAAAGGCCCATAACTTTATGGCCATGTTTGATCATAGGATTTTACAATATTTATAATTTTTTTTTCTCAAAAATATTTAGGTCAAGCATATGTTTTTTTAAATTTCTTTTATATTATTTAAAAAAATAATTTTACATTTAAATATTACTATCAATATATTTATATCATATTAAACAATTACTATTTTATTTTAGAATCTTACTATTAAAAATATAACCGAGCAAACAAACGCATCGTAAGTAGCCTGGCTTATTTGAATAAATGAATATATCACTCAATATTTTTTATGACAATATTTTCAATGAATATTACTAAAATAACAATAACTACACTCATATAAAGTATATAATATGTATATATATATTCTATCAATTCATAAAAATAAAAATAAAAAAATTAATAATTCAATATAAATTATTATTTTTTAATATTAATTATGTTTTATATATAACATAAATTGTGTTTATTTGTAGAATTTTCACAATATTTTAACTATTCATTTTACTTTTTTCATTTTAAAAATAACAAATCAAACAATTATATTTTATATTATATTAAAAAATAATTTTATATTTAAAATATTAAATCAATATTTATTTATATCACGCTTAAACAAATATTCAAACATCCAAATCCAAATCCAAATATAAAGTCCACAATCAAACACATACAGGTCAAAACTCAAAAACAAAACACATAAAACATACACTCAATTACTTTCAACTTTATTGACCTTATTTTCCAATTTAATAAATACATATAATTCTACCAAATATATATATATATATATATAAGTAGAGAAAAATAAGTATTAACATAATACTCCCTCCGTCCCAGTACAATAGTCTTGTTTACTATTTTTGTCCATCCCAAAATAATAGTATTATTTCCATAAATAATTATATCACCAAAAAAATACTCATATTTTTTTATTTTTATTACACATTTGCCACTGTTTTTTACACTAATACACTCACAAGAACAAAAAAAATTCTTTTATATATACTTTTTACCAACTACCAATGTAATATCAATATTTTTTAAATCTCGTGCCCAACCCAATTAAAACTATAATTTTGGGACGAGAATATAATTAATTAATAGGATATAATTTGTTTACTACCTAATGTTTCTTTAAAATCAAAATTAACTCTAATAAATTCAATCAAAATTCTCCAATTAAAAATATATTTAACATAAAATGCATTATATATATATATAATGGAATATTTTTTAATTAAATTACATTTATTAGAAATGAGGTTATGGATACATACAAAGAAAGAGATAGAGAATACAAGTGGTGTGTTTCAGTGTGCATGTGTTTTTTAAATAAATTTTTTATTTAGATAATATTTAATACAATAATTTATTAAATAGATATATATATATAGATATAGATATTTTGGAGAATATAAAATTCAAATAGTAATTTTTTTAAAAAAAAGAAAAAAGAAAAAAACAGACCCTAATATACTTATTATTATATTATAAGTACTCTCTCCATTTCATAATAAAGTATTTATTTTTTTATTTTAGTCCGTTCTATAACAAAGTATCTATTTCTTTTTTTTTTAGTAACTATCTACCTAACATTACAAATATCATACATTTATATCACACATACTAACAATATTATTTTAATCATTTTTACTTTATTTCTATTATATCCCAATATAATACTAATATTTTTAAAATTACGATTAAAAAAAGGGAGGAAGTATTATATTTGTAAGAAGGTGACGGATGAATAAAGGGTAAAGAGAAGCTTTCCTACAATTGGATATAGTTAATTTCATTTATATATATATATATATATATATATATAGATAGATAGATAGAAAGAAACTTCATCAGAAAGATTCAAAATACTTAAAAGATAAAGAGCATAAAATAAAAACAAACATGATTATTTATTTTAGATTAAATTGCACAAAATCCAGATATGATTTCACGAAATTGCGCAAAATTTTTTATACTTCTAAAATTGCGTCAAACTTCCTCGTAGTTTCATAAACTCTGCGTCTAATCCCCTCAACGGTCTTTATTTAACGGTATTTGACCTAAATGCGCCCAAACTGCGAATAAATTTTAGAATTTAAATTTCTATACCCATTAAATTACAAATATATTTATTTTTCTTATATTTAATATAAAAATACAGTAAAAATAAATTTTTAAAACCTGAAAAAAAAAATTATTTTTTAGTATATTTATTATTTTTTTAGGGTAAATATAATAAAAAATGAACATATGTTAAATTTTAGATGTTTATAAATTAAGATTCTAAAATTTATTCGCAATTTGGGCGCATTTAGGTCAAATAGCGTTAAATAAGGACCACCAAGAGAGTTATACGCAAAGTTAATGAAAATACGAGGATATTTGATGCAGTTTTAGAAGTATAGGAGATTTGACATAATTTCAAAATCAAATCATCATTATTTAGTAATATAATATTCAATAAAAATACATTTTTATATATATATATAAAATATAATATTACAATATTATTTAAATTAAAATTAAAATTCAAGTTTCAAATTAAAACCAAACAAATCCTTTATGATATTAATTAAACAGAAATTGGATTCTTGATATGATAAGGATGAATCCTTGCTGAATTTATTTACTGATTCAAGAAAATAATTTTTAAACAGAAATTGGTTCACTGTGTTTTATTTTTATTCTTTTAATAAAATAATTTTTAAATGTGATGTTTTATGCTTGAAAATTAAGTATGAGCCTTTATAAAAATATATTATTTATATTTTATAAAATTATTCAAATTATTATTTAAATTAAAAAAAAAATGAAACTAACATTCGAAAAAACTAATAAAATAAAATAAAAACACTACCGCATTGGATTTGTTCATTTTGTGTTTTGTTATTGACGTATTTCAAATTATATTTATAATATAATATTTTATTGAATAATTAATTTGTTGAGTGGATAATATACATTATATATTATTTTAATGTATATATTATATTTTTTCAAATTAAATATTATGAGGTCGTTCCACCCAAAAATCCCGAACAAACTCTATATTCATTTATATTTACATATTTATGTTTTTCGAACAAAATTTCTTATATTTAGTTTATTGCATATATATATATATATAACAATGATAATACTCCCTCTATTTCCATTCATCGATGTCTTTTGGAGTTCTATATTAAATTAAAAGATAATATTATTTTATTAGATAGTAAAAATGTGTAAGAGTTTTTTATTTTTTATTTTTATATTTTTTTATTTTTACCTTTTGACTTTATATATAAAGTAATTGTATATGTAATTGTATGTTTGTAATTAAAGTAAAAATTAAGAGTACGTTAGTATTAGATTATTCTAAAATAGAATGTGATATCTTGAAGTGACACAAACGAAAATGGTAAAAAATAATAGTTTAAATTGGAATAAAAAAAAGTATAAAAAATATAAAAATTCTCATTTCGTTTATAATTAACAGAACATTCAATCAACATATTTTTTGTGCGTGCATTATAAAATGAGTACATTTAAATATTTTATAGAAAGACATAAATATTCTTCAACTTTTGATGATAAAATTAAATTTTTGATATTTTTCTTTAACATTAATAATTAAAAATGACAAATAGTTTGTTTCAAACAAATTATTCACACCTACAAAAGTATTTACATTTTTAGTATTTTTCTTTGTCCTCTTTTGTAATACACAGACAAACAGGTGTAGATTAACCGTTCAATTAATTAAAGACGAAATGAGAATTTCGTGCATATTTTTTCATATTATAAAGTATGTAATAAATTAAATATAGAGAAAATTAATAAAAATAAATATTTTATAATATTTTTATAATTTTAATAATTAAAAACAGAAATTCTATTCGAAACAAAAAAAAAAATTAAATATTTTATAAAATAAAATATAAATACTATCAATAGTTATTTATATATAAATAATCAATATCAAACATTTATTCTATTAAATTATGCAATTTATTAATTAAATCAAATAGTCAAATATATCCTCTAAAAAATAATGCAATGATTGAAATATGATTGACTAAGGTTAGTGGGCTGATCAATTACGGTAATGGTGAGATACTTTGAGTTGAAAGTAGGTCGGTCGGTCAAAAACGTACACGTGTCACCAAATTTCTTAAAATAAGTTTTAACGGATAGTCCGTTAACAAATTAGTGTCCTATTTTTTTATTTGGGACGTCCAACAACTATTGTCTTATTTTTTTTTTTAAATGACATTTTACATTTTTACCCTTCATTATTTATTACTTTTAATATCTACCATATAATTAAGGACAAATTTGTCCATTCATAATAAAAAGACAATCATCTAAAAAATCGTGCAAATATACTTTAGGACAATAGAAAATTGGATTGAGGGAGTAATTCATAATTACCATCTCTCTATTATTTAATTTTTAAAAAATATACATATCAATTTTTTATTTTTTTTTTCACTAATAAAATTTTATACTCCACATACAACTTTGGAGTATTTGATAAAATATTTTACGAAAAAATATATATATATTTTTAAAGAAATACACTTCTAAGTTGTGTACTTAAATATATACACATACGCGCGTGTGTTCGGTTGGCATACTTTTTTTAAATTAAATATTTATTTTTTATTTTTATATTATATTAAAAATTAATATTACATTCAAAATACTATACAATATATATTTATATTAAATTATATAAATATTTAAATTCAAAATTTTTATTATTCAAATATTCAAGATTCAAATCTCCAAACAAATCCACGTTTGCTTGTTATATAAAATTTTAAAAACAATAGTAATATTTAATATATAAAAATTATTGTATTGATGAAAAAATAAAAAAATACTTTTATTACTTATGTTTGATTTTACAAATTTATTGAGTGTTATTATAATAAATATATTGAATTATAAGGATGTAAAAATAATTGTATTGAATTGCTATTTTTTAAGTTGATGGAATATATATTATGTAGTATATATTTTGTATAAATATATAGATTGTGTTTTATATAATAATAATAATAACAAAAAAAAATATATCAAAATTTGTTTGTCTCGTATAATTTGTCATTTTTTTTTGAAAATACAACTGTACGCTCTAATTACATTTTAAATTTTATAATTTATAATTTTTTAAAACTATTTAGTCATTTTAGTTTTACTTTATAATATTTTTATTATATAATAATTGTTTTTACTAATACACGTACTAATTATTTACTAATTATATTTTATTTAAATTTTCGTGTCTAAAGTAACATGAACACTTTAACTCGGAAGGAGAGAATATAATAATAATAATAATAATAATAAGACACAAAAAGAATAATACTAATTAAATTAAAAAAAGGTTTAGAGAAGAACATGTGCTATATTCCCATTTCCCACTTTGAATTACCATAGAACTCTGCTACCCCACCCCACCCACCCCGCCCCACACCATCAACATTATTCTTCCCCTATAAATTCAACCTTCTCCACAACCCCTTTTCTTACAACACCCCCAAAATTACAATTAACCCCATCATAATAACAATAATTACATAATAATCCCATGGCGGTCGCCGTCGCCATCAAATCCGACGGCCGGGATTACGCCGGCAGGGTCACTCTCTACCTCCTTCTTTCCTGCATTATCGCGGCCTCCGGTGGCATCATTTTCGGCTACGACGTCGGCGTCACAGGTTCCAAATTCTACAATAAAAAATAAATAAATAAAAAACATTTTTGTGGGTTTTAGTTTTTGGATTTTAATTTTTTAATAGCAAAAAGTTAAATTTGTATAGTTATTTGATGCTGTATAAATAGAGGTGATGTGATATTTTTAATGTAAAATAAATTTTTTTTTTAAAAAAAAGAATCTAATAGTAAAAACATGCAGTAAAATCCACAGCTTAATTACTTTTGTAGTATTTGATTCGATGATTAATTGTAAGAAACGATTATGTTGATGAAGGTGGAGTGAGTTCGATGGAGCCATTTTTGAAGAAATTCTTCGGAGGAGTTTACAAGAAGATGAAAGAGGACACAAACATAAGTAACTATTGCAAATTCGATAGCCAACTTCTTACATCTTTCACTTCCTCCCTCTACATCTCCGGCCTCATCTCCTCCTTCCTCGCCGCCGTCGTCACCCGCGACTACGGCCGGAAGGTCTCCATCGTCGTCGGTGGCTTCGCTTACATGGCCGGCGCCGCCATCGGCGGCGTCTCCGTCAATATTTACATGCTCCTCCTCGGCCGTATTTTGCTCGGCGTCGGCCTCGGTTTTACCAATCAGGTAGTAAAATTAAAAAATAATAATATTTTAATTTTAGTAAAAAATAAATTTAAAATATTATAGAAATACCAATCACCTAGTAAAATTTAAAAATAATAGTATTTTAATTTTAGTAAAAAGTAAATTAAAAGTATTATAGAAATACCAATCAGCTAGTAAAATTTAAAAATAATAGTATATAACTTTAGTGAAAAGTAAATCGAAAGTATTATAGAAATTCATTAAAGAATTAGTAAAAAGGTGATAGATTAAAGAAAAAAAATGACAAATTGCTTATTTTTATTAAAATAAGGATAATAAAATTACGAATAAATAAAATAGACATAAATTTAGTTTATGACTAAACAAATAGTGACTAATTTTAGCATAATATTTTTGCAGTCCGTGCCTCTCTACTTGTCAGAAATGGCGCCGTCGAAGTACAGGGGAGCGTTCAACGTGGCGTTCCAAGTATGCGTCAGCATCGGCTACAACGCCGCCACGATGATCAACTACGGCACGGAAAAAATCCGCGCCGGATGGGGTTGGCGTATTTCGGTGGCGATGGCGTTTGTGCCCGGCGCATTCCTCGGCATCGGGGCGATGTTCTTGCCGGACACGCCCAACAGCATCATCCACCACGACAACAATCCGGAGAAGGCGAGGAAGACGTTGGAGCGGATCCGCGGCACGGATGACGTCCAAGCCGAGCTCGACGACCTCGTCGAGGCGAGCCAGGCCTCGAAGGCCGTCAAGCATCCCTTCAAGAACCTAATGCGGCGGAAGTACCGTCCGCAGCTCGTGATGTCAGTGGCGATGCCGTTTTTCCAGCAGATCACTGGCATAAACGTGACGTCGTTTTACGCGCCGATATTGTTCCTGACCCTCGGGTCGGGCGAGCAATCCTCGCTCTTGTCGACGACTGTGATCGGATTGGTCGGGTCGACTTTCACGCTGATCACGGTGGTGTTGGTGGACCGGGTGGGGCGACGGCCCCTATTCCACGTCGGAGGGGTGCAAATGTTCGTCTCATTGATTCTCATCGGCGGCATAATGGCCGGAAAATTAGGCGATCATAATGTGATGGAGAAGGGGTACGCGATGGCAGTCTTGGTTTTAATTTGTATCTACATTTTGGGCTTTGGGCTTTCCTGGGGCCCGTTGGGCTGGGTCGTGCCGAGCGAGATATTCCCGTTGGAGGTCCGGTCCGCGGGCCAGAGCATCGTCGTGGCCGTGAACCTCTCGATGACATTCATCATCGCGCAATTGTTTTTGGCGATGTTGTGCCACTTGAAGTCGGGGATTTTTTTCTTTTTTGCAGTGTGGGTGTTCGTGATGTCGGTTTTTGTGTACTTTATGCTCCCGGAGACCAAAGGGATTCCGATAGAAAAGATGGAACGGATTTGGCGGGAACATTTTTTTTGGAAGCGATTCGTCGGAAGTGACGAAGAAAATGGTAAAGTTTAGGCAGTTTTTACGAAGGAAATTCGATTTGACGACGTGTTTGGTTGGAAGAATAATGTGTTAAAAATGGAAGAATTGTTGTGTTTCTGTCTTCCAAATTTGTTTAAGCTTTTGTTGTTGAATCGAGTGTTGTCCGTCGTTGTTTTAGCCAAATTGAGTTGTGTGTTATTTTTTTAAAAGAATTACCATGTATCGAAAAGTTTTAGAAATTTTTTGAATATAATTATAATATTTAAATCAAAATTAATACTATTCATTTTAGACAATTTCAAATCAATCGGAATGTCTTTTTTAGTATTTCAAATCAAAATCGATACTATTTATTGGTGTCTTATAACACTAATGTAACGATATTTATACAAAACATTAATTATACAAATATAAGGATATTTTTAATGTTAAAAACAATGACGCGGTGAACGGGGGTAGTATTATTTTTTCTTACAAAATATCACATTAAAATATTATTTAAACAAAAATTCAAATTAATTTCAAGCAATAAACAAACAAACAAGTGCTTTGAAAATTGATGAATTGTCGTTTTCAGTTGGAATTGGATTCCAATGAATAATCAGAAGTAGCACCAATACCAATTGATAATTATATATAATGGTGGCATGATATATGTTACGCCTTATCCTGGAATATGAGGTATCAGAATTGTAGACTGTCCTATATATCATCTTTTTGTTTTCACATAGGCATAATTTAAAAGATGACTTTCGTAAAAGAAAATAAAAAATAAAAAATAAATTGAATATTAATTACATGAATAATTAATCAATCAATTTAATTTTTATTTAATCTCGAATAGCCAGCTTCGGCTCATCTATAAAATTAATCTAACACCGATCCAACTCCTAAGTATCACATATATTAGTTTGAGATTATGATATTATTGTTTATTTATTAAAATATTTATGTTTATAAAATAGTATTAATTTTTTTATTATTATTATTATTTTCATACAAACTTCAAAACTCTAAAAATTTTAGAAAATTGAGTTTCATAAAAATAATAATAAAAAAATAAACATTTTGTGTAATTTTTATAAACCAATATTTGATATAATATATATATATATATTGAATAGTGTTAATTTTTTTAAAAATCTATGTAAAGAGAATTAAGAAAAACAATTTTGCAATTGTAAAGAATTCTATTTTGTAGCTTTTCAATAAAAGCATATTTCATCTAAAATAATAATAATAATAATAATAATAATAATAATAAAACCTGTAATATAAAAATAAAAAATAAGAAGCTTGCAATCACTATTTTAAATATGATTATTTTAAAAAGAAAATCTTTATAATATATGTATGATATCATTTATCAGTAATATATTCTAAAATAAGTATTTATTATTCAATTAGAATATTATATTAATTTTTTTTTTTATTTTTTACTGCTCTCAAAATTTCTAAATTTTAAATATTTTCAAAACATATCTAAACACAACCTAAATTTTAAATAAAAAAAAAAATTATTATAAAAAATTTCTATGTATAATTTTAACTAATGCCCAAAAAGATTGTACAACATGCATATAGTGCTATAAGTTTGATATATTTTTAACTATTACTTTATTATTATTTTTAAAAATAAAAATAAATTTTTTATTAATTTCAATTAAAATAATAAAAGAGAAAATTTACATGGTAGAAAAATTTGCAAAAAATTACATCCTAAATAAGAAAGAATAACAAAAAAATAGGATACGGTAGTACTATATGTATTTACGCATCATTCCACTTAAAAGGTCGTTTTATTATTTTCCTTAGTCTTAATACAAAGTATTTGTTTGTTCAATATATATATATATATATATATATTAATATTATTACATTAATTTAAACCTCCAAAGCAAAATAACTTTTTACATAAAAACATATCACTAATTATTATTAAAATATACTCCTTTGTCCCACATAATTTGTCCCTATTTTCTATTTTCGTCCGTCCCACATAACTTGTCTTTTCTATTTTTGGAAATATAATTATGTACTTTAATCGTATTTTAAATTTTAAATTTTATAATTTTCTTAATTTTAATTAAACTATTTACTTATCTTAATCTTAATTTATAATTATTTTTACTAATACACTTCTTAATTACTTACTAATTATACTTTATCTAAATTCACGTGTTTAAAGTAATATATTCATATTACATAGGACGGAGGGATTAATATTTATTAAAGTACACGCCAAAATTGCATAATTACTTTTTGATCCTATGAAAGGAGTATTAGTTATTTAAGTTAAAATGCAAATTCAAATAATCATAACATTTTGAATTTATTTACTTGGAATAATAATAATAATAATAATATTATTATTATTATTATTTTAAAAAAAATATATTATAAAAAATTAAAATTAAACTGTTGAGCACAAATAATAATAATAATAATAATAATAATAATAATAATAATAAATAATGGCAGTAGGATTCTGGATGGGTCTGGATATAAGCCAAACGGCCCAGAAGTCGGGAAAAAGAAGTCAGAGAGACGGGGAGGTCTGTCAAGAGGAAGGTCGTGCAAGTAAGAAGTATGGACAGACGGTCTGTCAAGAGGACAGTCTGTCCATCTAAGGAGATAAGGCAAATAGAGCCGGTTGGTTGCTCTGTGGTCGGGACCACAGTTGGTTGGTCTGCAGTCAGGACCGAGGTCGGTTGGTCCGTGGTCAGGACCACAGTCGGTTGCTCTGTGGTCGGGACCACAGGTGGTTGGTCTGCAGTCGGGATCGAGGTCGGTTGATCCGTGGTCGGGACCACAGTTGGTTGCTCTGTGGTCGGGACCACAGTCGGTTGTTGCAGAATTCGGACCAAGTAAGGTCGGGTGCGATAAGGTCGGACAATGAGGTCGGACCTGGTTGGGCCAAGCTTAAAGGTCGGGCGCAAACAGGCCGAATTTGAAAGTCGGGTATGGTAAGGTCTGGTGTGGAGATGAAACAAGATAAGGTCGGGCGTAATGAGGTCGGGCAGTGAAGTAGCATGTGCAGGTCGGGTGAGAGAGCAATTCTGGGGCGGTTGGAGGAAGTTGCAACTGGCGAACGGTTTGAGGAAGTTGCAACTGGCGAACGGTTTTTTAAGGTCGGACGTAGTAAGACGGTTGACACACGTGTCAACAGAAGAGAACTTTTGGGGCGGTTAACAACGGTTATGGTAACCGACCAGATAGCGGTTTGAACCGTTTCTTCAACAGGGTTATTTAAGGATCCGGTGCTGTTCAAAAAAAGGTATCTTCAATAAACTTCAACAAAGCAAAGTCAGATTTGGAGATCATCACTTTTATTTTCAAGTCTTTTATTTTATTTTTCTTATTTTATTTTTTTATTTTATGTATTCTACAGTGTTTAGAGATCCCTAATCTCAGGCACTCATCTATCAAATTCGAAGATATTTCTCTATTTTCGAATTTTACTTTTTATTGTTGAAAAATTGCATAACACAAACATTAGTTAAATAGTATATCAATCTATTTAATGGGATTACACACGTGTGAATGTGGTGAAGTTGTTTGGATGTAAGGTCAAAAGGCGTAAAAAATTTTAAAATTATAGAAAGCAAAAAGGCGATTCCCAAACATTCCTTTAAACAAATCCTTTAAAATTATAGAAATCCACACAAATCCTTCACATAAAATTTCCCCTTAAAAAATATCAAATCAAACACATATTTTTTATTTTTTATATTATATTAAAAATCAATTTTAAATTCAAAACATTACATCAATACATATTTATACCACATAATACAACTATTCAAATTCAAATTTATTTTTTATTATTCAAATTTCAATCCAAAATCTAAACCCTCAAACAAACGCATCCTTAAAGTATCAATCTCTCACGCTACTATATTGTGTAGTGTCAAATCCACTTATAATTTATCAATTTAAAACTCAAATTGATTAAAATAAAATAGTAACTAATTCAAATCGATTATTTTCTCATTTAATAATCAAATTATTCTCTATTTCATGAAAAAGGCAGTCACACTTTGAGACTTAAATAATTAAATAAATGTTTTAAATCACATTAGTCACACATATATATTCATTACATATAGTACTGTAGCATAGGTTGATCACTCTTATTAATTTAATTTATCTTTACATAAGCATAAAGTCCACTATTGAATTATTGATATATAGACCATTGATTTATTTATTTATTTGATTTTCAGAGCAATAATGAGATTTCAATAATTAAAAATATTAAGGGAGAATCGTGTTTCATTTGTGTTGGATTTTTTGTCCTTATGGTCCACCCCAAAAATAGATACACAAATACACACTCGTTTCGCAGCCCGAGCACATTCGGGCCTGGCCCATGTCCCGACTTCACTGACCGCCCGGTTTCGTCCCGACTTAGCAACCGGTCCCGACTTCACCGACCGCTCGACTACATCCCGACTTAGTCCGACTTGGACCGTCCGCACGACTTCGTCCTGGCTTGGATCAACCCGACTTCGTCCTGGCTTGGATCGTCCCGACTTCGTCCGTCCGCCCGACTTCGTCCGTCCGCCCGACTTCGTCCTGGCTTGGATCAACCCGACTTCGTCCTGGCTTGGATCGTCCCGACTTCGTCCCGACTTGGACCATCCGAATACATACCGACTGTCTGACCTTATGCCTCCCGACCTTGACCCACGTCCTGATCCGACCCGACTAGGATCCGCGTCTTTTTAAAGCCACGCCCCTGGCCGTCCGATCTAGGGTTTTGATCCTATCCGTCCATCCGATCTTACCTGTATATATATATATACCTGGGGTGAGAGAGGCGCCATTATTTTTTCGATACATTACTCACTCTCTCTCTAGAAGCTCACCCTCTCTAGCCTCTCTCTCTCTCGACCTTTCTTTCGCTCTCCTGTCCGACGGTGGTTCACGGCGGTTGTTGTGTAGTGCCTTTCCTCCTGTTTCTGTGGAGTTCCTTTGGCACTGGTTTCCCCCTGTTTGTGTTGTTCGTAGCCGAAAGGGGCTCGTTCAACTGTAGGCTTGTGGTTTCTGTTTCCTGTATGCCTTTTACTTTTCTGTGGGGGTTTTGTGGTTGTG